ACTCACAATTCCACCAAGCGATGCTTAGTCTGATCCAGCACCACCTTATCAAAGTTGCCGTTGCTCAGCTGCACCGCCACCGTGCGCGTATCTTGCCTCTTCTTCTCCCCCTTTGCGCCAATCTTGTCTGCGACGAAGCGCCTGAGACTCTCGAGGTCTCGTGCGCCGCGATACTCCTCGCCCGCGAGCGAGCCGGCGGCGAACCACTTGAGCGTCGGGTAGCCTTTAATGTCGAAGCGCGCGCCGAGCGCGCGGTTGGCATCGGCATCCACGCTGGCGATGTGCACGGCCGCGCTGCTGCCCGAGGCGGAAGAGGAGAAGGAAGAGGCGAGCTGGGCGTAGATGGGAGCCAGCTTCTTGCAGTGTCCACACCACGGCGCAAAGAACTCGACGAGCGCTGGCTGTGTGCGTGGGTGGGGACCCAGGGTGGCGTTGCGTGTGGGTCAGCAAGGGGGGAAGAGGGGGGGGGGGGTGGAATGGCGGCCAAGTTTCGCAGCAGAGGAAAGAGAGGGAGAGAGGCAGAAGTGCCGGCAAGATTTCACACACACACACACGCGCGCGCGCGACACACACACGCCCGACCAAAACAAACGCACCGAGTCCTTGCCCACATGCTTGTTGAAGTCGGCCTCCTTTGTCAGATCCAGCACGCCCGGCTGCGCCTTTGCCGCGACGTGCGGTGCGCACGAAAGGGCGCCGAGAAGGGCCGCGGCGAGCGGGATGAGGAGAGAGGGGAGCTGCATGACGAGGAATTCGATGCAACTGAGAGGGGTGGTGGTGGTGCAAGGGAACAGAGAGAGAGAGGCGCAACAAGGGCGCCAGATCGTGGCAAACACGCCCGTGCGCAGCGCCACCACCACGCGAGAAAGAGCGACTCGGCCGGGAAGCCGGCCGGCACCGCGCGCGCGCTGCGCCCGAAGCAGCCTCTGCCGTAAGCGTGAGCGCTTCTTCGCCTGGGTGGCTGCTTGCTTGCTGCTCCTCCTTCTCGGGGGGCGGCTATCAGGCGTTGGGGAGAGGGAGGGGGGAGGGGGGAGGTCTATGCGAACCCAACGTCTAGCGACCTTGGCAATGACTCCGATGCCGTTCTCTCCACTCTTGCGCGCGACTTGTTTGCCGTCGTCCGCCCTCTTCCCCCCCCCCCCCCCCGCCTCGCAACTCGCAACTCGCAGCTCGCAATTTCTTCGAACATCGGAGACTGCAGCCAGCTGCACCACACATTGCCCACCCCGAGTTGCAGCAGCAGCAGCAGCAGCAGCGACAGCAGTAGAAGAGCGGCGCTGACATGGTCAGACTTAGTGAGAGAGAGAGAGAGAGAGAGAAGGGGGTATCATGTTTCCCTTTAGGCCCCCACCTCCTCGACCCTCGATCCTCTCCCCCCTCCCCCTCCCTCGGGGGTGCTCGATGCAAAAGACCTAGCGGGGCGCCAAGCCGTGTGCGCCAAGCCCGCAAGCGTGTTCCGTTCGTTGGTGGCTGTTTAATGCGTCTTGTTTGCCCGCCCCCCCCCCCACTCTTCAGATGACACGTGCTTTGCGCAAGATGCCTGCGAATCTGGCCGTGTTTTGTTGGCAGTAGTTGAGTGAGAGAGAGAAGAAGCAGGGTTCAGCAAAACATGCTGGGTGTGCCAGAGTGGCACCGCGCTCGCCGCCCCCCCCCCCCACTCTTCCGCCGTCCCCCCTATCGCAATTTGGGCAAAACGAGCCCCCCCCCTCTCCCGTCTCGCCCTACTCGACGTGCTTGTATGCAGAGCCAAGGGGTATTGCGCCACACTCACTCATCAACGCCCACATCCGTCGTCGCCGCACTCGCACTCGCACGACTGGAGACGGCGGAGGCACGAGGACGTGCGGAAAAGGGCGCCCAGAGCTTGCTGCCTTCGACGATCATCTCTTCAATCTGCGGGTGAGAAGAGAGAGAGAGAGAGAGAGAGAGAGAGAGAGAGAGAGAGAGAGAGAGAGAGTGACACAGAAGGGAGATTTGAAGGCCAAGAACAAAGGTGGATCAGCGATGCGAAGCAAGACGCAAAGAAGACTGGGCCATTCCCGTGCCTACGAGACTTGTTCGAGCGAGGCGCGCTCGGCAACGAGCCCAAAAAGCAATCATGCTCTCTTCTCTCTCTCCTGTTCCCACATCCCCCCCCCCCCCATCCCCCTCGCTACGCCTCGACTTGCCGTCGACATGCCGTCGCCATGCCGTCCGATGGAATGCCGTCGTTTGCTTGGCCTCGATGTTGTGCACAAAAACTCACCTCATCCTCCTTCATCTTCTCTCCCAAGCCACCCAACACCCTCTTCAGCTCCTTGACGCCCACGCGCGTCGTGCCAGGCGGCAAAGTGTCGAGCAGCAGCTTCCATGCTTCCTCTACGTAGATGCGTTGGGATGCCGTCAACGGCATGGCTTGCGAGGAGGAGGAGGACTCGCTTGCATCGATGCCCGTGCTGGCGGCGGCGGCAGGCTTGCCTGTCTTGCTGCGCTTGCCCGACATCGACGTCGAGGCGGCGCTCGCCTTTGCGCCGCCTTTGCCACGACGACGACGCTGCTTGCCGCCGTCGTCGTCGTAGTCTTGCTCGCTCTCCTCTTGCTCCGATTCCTCTTGCTCCTCCGAGAGCGCGCTGCCTTCATACTCGTCCGACTCGTGCGAATCCTCCTCCTGCGACTCTTGGTGGCCGCGTGACGCACGTGTGGTCGTCTTGCGCGTCCTTCGCAGCGGTCTACGTCTCACTCCCTCTTCCTCATCACTTGCCTCCTCTTCCCTCGCCTCTCCCTCCTCTTGCGCCTCCGGCTGCGGTTCCGCCTCCAACAACAATCCCACCACGGCGTCCCAGCTGCGCCTCTCTACAAACTTGTGCCTGCGCGCCTCTGCTCCCTTTGCGCCGGGCAGCGCAACGGCAGTGTCGCGAAAGAGAGCGAGGACGGAGGGGTCTGCGTGAGGTAGACGCAGCGAGGCCAGCGCGTCGGGGATGCACGCGAGCGGAATGTGGCTCGGCGCTGGAGCTGAGGGAGTAGAGGCGGAGGCGCAAGTGGAAGGACCGGCATGCAAGGAGGGCGAGTCGGGTAGGAAGCCGCCAGACGCCTCGTCGTCGTCGTCGTCGTCGTCGTCGTCGTCGAGCAGAAATCCACCGCCTGCTGCAGCACCCATCTCCTGCTGCTGCTGCTGCTGCTGCTCCTCATCGACGAAGAATCCTCCGCCTCCTCCTGCGCCGCCGGCACTGCTTGCAGCCTTGTGCTCGCTGTTGCGCACGCCCTTGCTGCGCTTGCGCTTGCGCTTGCGAGCAGTCGAAGCCTCGGCCTCGGCGTCGGCGTGGAGCAGGAGCGGCGCAGGCAGCGAGGCCGGCTCGTCGCCCGCCTCGAGGCGCCACGCGCGCCAGGCGTCGAGAAAGACGGCGTGCGACGAGGGACGCGGAGGCGACATGGAGCGCAGCAGAAGGTGGGATCAGAGGTGCGGGTGCGTCGGACGGTGTGCGTAGTGTGCGTGGGGTGGTGGTGAGGGCAAGGACGACTGGAGGTGGAGGTGCGCGCGCGCCGCGTCATCGAGCATGGTTGTATTCGCGCACTCTGCAAGCCTAATCGCGGCGCAGCGGTCTGTATTCGACAGGCGCGATGCGGATACAGCGGCGCGAGCGCGCATGAACGTGCCTGCCAGCTCGGGCCATCGTGGCTGCTGCCTGTGCGCTATCTCGCCTCGGCTCCGCACCTGGGCACTTCTGCTTCTCTCCTCACCGCCGCATCCACGCCGCGATGCATCTCCTCGCTCTCCTCCTCGGCGTCTATGCGCTCCTACTGCCCAGCGTGCAGGCATGGGGCGCCGACGGGCACGCCATCGTCGCCACGCTGGCACAAGCTCAGCTGCACCCTCTCGTGCGCAAACATCTCTGCTCCATTCTGCCAAATGCCACCAGCTACTGGAGCGCCTGGCCACGCGAGGGCGCGCCGCATCTGCAGTGAGTGTGGGCGCGTGGCATGGCGTGGGTGGTCGTCGTGGCGAGCATCATGCTGTGCCACTTGACGAGTGCGCCTGATGTCGCGCCGGCCTGGCGAGTAGGATGGGTGGGTGGTGACAGTAGCGAGATTGCTGTGCCTGTCGCCCTCTTGCAAAATGTCTCCGCGCCGGCCATGCCTGATTGCCCCACTCTTCTGCTCGCAGCTGCCATCTGGCGCCCATCGCCTCGTGGCCCGACACGATTCGCTTTCGCTATCCGTGGTCTTCTCATCTGCACTACGTCAATCCCATCAACGACACGCCTCCCGCGTCGTGCATCTACGGCGCCACCGGCTGGACGTCGCTGGAAAACGTGCTGTCGGCCAGCGTCAACTACACGACGCGCCTCAGGACGCAGAGGGGAGAGGGACGCGAGTGGGAGAGAGACATGGCACTGCGAATGCTCACGCATCTGATCGGTGATCTGCATCAGCCGCTGCACTTGACGGGCAGAGAGAGAGGCGGCAATGACGTCGTGGTGCGCTTCGAGGTGAGTTGGCAGGCTCTTCCGCCGCGCACATGGGCGAGGGAGGGGGGGGGGGAAATGTGAGAGGCGACGTGCCCAACTGACCAGCCCAAATTCCCGCTTGATTTGCGTGACGCGGCAACATGTTGTAGGGACGCATTGCCAGTGAGTGTTGCGCCGGCCCTCACTTTCCCCCCATGCCTGGCGCTACTCCACACCGTGCTAACCTTCTCCGTCGCGTCTGTGCTCAGAGCTGCACAGCGTCTGGGACGGTCTTCGTGAGTCTGTGTCGCTTGCTCCTGCTGCTGGCCTCTCTCTCCTCTTACCTCTCCACTAATCGTCCTCTCTCTCGTTGCACAGTCCTAAACCGGCAGCTGCGCACGCTTTCAAACTACACGTCGCCGCTCCCCAACGCACGCATCGAGTCGGCATTGCGCGGCGCACGCTACGACGCCTACATTCGCTGGATCCTCGCCGAAGGCATGGGCCAAGTCGGCGCCAACGAGGCATGGTGGAGCGACGTCAATGCCTGGCCTGCCTGTCCCGACGTCAAGGCCAAGAAGCCTCTGCACAGCGCGGCAGCGACATTTCTGCGCTCTGCAATGCCGCATTCGTCCACTGCCGTGCGCAAGCTCTCCTCGCTCCTCGGCGGCGGCAGTTCCACCGCCAGCTCCGCTTCCTCGAGCGAGTGGGATCCGGCAGATGTGGACCGCACAGACGAGCCGCTGTGCCCGTATGCGTGGAGCGAGAAGATGCACCCGCTCGTGTGCCACTATGCATTTGCAACGCCCGTGCCGGAGAAGGGCGGCATGGAGAGACCGGAGTTGGATGGCGAATATGCGGCGAGGATCGATGAGTGAGTTAAACCCTCCCGCACCCCCACCTCGCCTCCTCCTCTACCTTGCCTTCGTTGCGCGAGCGCAAGAGCCGAGCTGCGCGGCGGGGTTGATGCGGCCAGAAGGGAGCGGGGCTAGTGATCGCTGACCCCCTCGGCTCCCCTTCTCGATTCGCAAAGCGCAAAGATCCTGCAACGCCAGCTGGCGCTCGCGGGCACGCGTCTGGCCGCCGTGCTCAACAGCGTGCTGCTGCCCGAGGCCATGGCTGCGCAACAGCAGGCGGCCACTACGCAGCAGCAGCAGCAGCAGCAGCAGCAGCAGCAGCAGCAGCTGCAGCAGCACGACAGCATGCAGCGCGTCGGCGCCAAGATGCAGCTGCCGATGCATCTTGCCCTGCCCGCCTCTGCGCACAAGGACGACGACGACGAGGAGCAGGAGCAGGAGGCGTTCGGCAACACCGATGACGCCGAGCGCGCCAGGAGCCTCGCCGACGTCGTCGCTCACGCCTCGAACTCGGCTGCTGCGCCGCAGATCATCCACGTTTCCTCGCGGCATCACGGCCGCAAGGGCGAAGCGAGCAAGGGTCCCATTTGGCCGCTCGTCAAGGTCACCGCCTCTTCCATTGCCGAAGTGGCCATTCTCTCGTCGGTGGGCTACTACCTGGCGCGGCGCGGCATCATCGACAAGGTGACGCAGACGAAGCTCAACAAGATCAACGTCTCCTTCTTCACGCCTGCCCTCCTCTTCTCCAAGGTGGCCTTCACCTTGAATCCCGCGCGCCTGGCCGAGCTCGTCGTGGTGCCCATTGGCTTCGTCGTCGTCTCGATCGTCTCGGCACTCGTGGCATACGGCATGGCGCGCATTGCTCGCATCTCGCGCGCGCAGCGCAACTTTGCCATTGCCTGCGCCATGAGTCCAAACAGCAACTCGCTGCCCGTGGCGCTGATGCAGAGTCTGGTGGCCACCGTGCCGCAGCTGCATTGGGAGGAAGAGGGAGAGCCAGAGGACACGGTGGACGGCATGCTTGGCCGCGCATTGACCTATCTCGTCCTCTTCAGCACGCTCGGCATGCTGACGCGCTGGAGCATCGGCGCAAAGCTGCTCGCGACGGTCGATGAGGAGGAAGAGTCGCAAGCACAAGACGAAGGTGCAGCATCGACGGCGCAGCTCGTCGACGTCGAGTCCGACAATGCGGCACAGCAGCCTCCTCGCATCGCCATTCGGCGCGCCACCAACGACGTCGATGCCTCCGAGGCCTCTCCTTTGCTGTCTTCGCGACGCGACAAGCCAAAGCCTCGCCCTCAAGCGTGGACGCGTTCCTTTCCGCACACCGACGTCACGGCGCCGCCGAGCGAGGCGGGCAGCGACTCGAATGAGGACGAAGAGGCAGTGGCGAGACGGCACTTCAACTCTAGCTCTGCGCTGTGGAACTCGCCGGCGGCCGACAACGCAAAGAGCTTTGGCAAGCGCTGGATCGTGCGTCCCTACAAGGCGTTCATGGCGTTCATGGTGCGTCTCTTGCTCGTTCTCGCCGTCTCCCCCTTCCATCTCGACGCTGACGCAAATGTGCCAACCAGACGGCACCGCTCTGGGCGGCAGTCATCTCCCTCATCGTCGCCATGATCCGGCCGCTGCAAGTGGGTATCGGCAGCATTGAGCCGCTGGTGGGCGCACTGCAGACGGCCGGCGCGGTCAGCGTGCCGTTGACGATGGTGAGTCTCGTGAGCGAGAGTGGCTCGCCGGGCGGGCCCTGGGAGGCGAGCATCGCGCTGACGCATGCCGCTGTCTGCCTCCTGTCAGGTCGTGCTCGGCGCCTACTTTGTGCCCGCAGAGAAGCCCAAGGCAAAGGCAACGACAGAGCGTGAGGCATATCTCTCTCCCCTCCTTGTCCCTCCCCTCGCCCGGCTCTGACTTCTGCCTCTCAGCCACTCCCGATGCCGGATCCACAGGCGAAGGGCTCTCCAACCACTCGACACTCGTCGGCACGCGCTCCAGTTCCTCCTCCTCCAAGAAGCTGCCCAAGATGCGCAATCCCTGGGGCGGCGCCTCCGACGACGGTCGCAGCGATGCCGAGCGTGACTCGGGGTGGAACTCTTCGGGCTCCGATCTTGGCACCTCGGCTCCGCCTTCTCCCAGCGAGGCCTTTGCGCCTTCGCCCCTCGACGGCCAAGCCGCGCAACACACGCGCACCAACGCCGCGTCGCCAGCGGGCGATGCGCTGCGGCGCGACGGCAAGACGCCGGCCGAGCGCCGCGCCAAGCACAAGGCCTCGCTCGAGAAGCGCACCATTGCCGTCAGCGTGCTGAGCCGCATGCTCGTCGTGCCGCTCGTGCTGTGCCCCGTCTTCGCCTACTACTGCGTCAAGACGCGCTACAATGTGTGAGGGTTCGCGCCACGAACTGGCGCAGCCGAGCGGGCCCCATATGCCGAACGCTGACCCCCCTTCGCTGCTTGGTAGCGCCGATGATCCTGTTGCCATCGCCTGTGCCTTCCTCCGTGCGTTTCTCCCGGCTTTGCGCTGCCTTTCCTTTCTTCTCTGTTCACCCGCTCACCACCTCGCAACTTTGCAAACAGTGATCGGCTCGCCGCCGGCCCTCACGCTGGCGCAGATCACCACCGTCTCGGCCAAGGGCAATTCGGGCTTCGAGCGGCTGATCAGCCGGACCATCTGTGAGTATGTGTCCTCTTGCGCCCAGCTGCTGCTTCTTCCCCCCCGCCTCTCTGTCCACTTGTTAGCTGTTTGCATCGCCACTGACTCCCGAGCTCCCACTCAAACAACAGTCGTCAGCTACGTCATCCTCGCCGCACCCACGACTGTGCTGCTCGTCCTCGGCGCCCTGCTCGTGGCCGAGAACGACCATGCCTGAGAGAGGCCGGGGGCCGCGTGGCATCGCTGGACCACCTTGCCGTCAAGGCAAAGAGCCGCCTCGCCATCTCTCGCTGACGCCGCGGCTGCGTCCAACGGGGGGGCACGGTCTCAAGCGCGGACCTCATCCCCCCCCCCTCCTGCCCCGCCCTCTTTCACTCCGCCACACCTGACGACACGCAAACGACTAGAACCAGAGAAATGACGCATCTGTACATAGTCCAGCGTGCGTGCCTGTCGACCGGCACCGACGCTGAGGCCTTGGCCTTGTGGCGATGAGCAATCCGGCGCGGGGACAATCTCGAGCGCGCCGCGCGCCGCGACGACGTCGACGTCGCCGTCGCCATGCCGCTGCACGCCAGCCTTGCAGAAAGAGCGCGCAGAAAGAGCGCCAAAGCCACGAGCGCAGTGGGCAGTGGCGGAAGCGCAGAAGACTCAGGCGGCGCGATTCAGACGACGACGGGCGCTTAGACAAGGTAGATCTATGAGCGGATGAATTGGCTCGGGTGGGCACGAGAAAGGACAGGTGATGAAGAGAGAGAGGTAACTACATGGTGTGTGGATGGATGTGGCGAGACTAGCGAGATGCATGAACGGTGAACGAGGGCTACCAGGGATGGTCGTGAAGATGCGTGACGAGGTGAGAGAGCGAGATGGTGCGCAAGGCGGGCGCGCGCGCTGCTCCGCTTAGAGCAGGCGGCCGACCTTGTTGCCGCTCTTCTTCGCCACGGCATTCTCCTTGAGTTCGCCGCGCTGCGCGATGCTGTACGTCTGGCCGGGCGCCATGTAGGCGAGGGCCCGGGCGTCGACGCCGCGGTAGTCTGCCGTGGGCTGCGGCGCGGACCACTGGGCCTCGGGCGCGCTGCTCTTCGGCAGGATGGCGGCGGCCTCGGCCTGCAGCTTCTCGGCCTTGGCCAGCTCGTCGACGGCCAGCTGGTAGCCGCCGTCGAGGACGCCGACGCGCAGCGACGAGAGCAGGTTGGCGGCGCCGTTGGAGTGGTCGTACACGCCGCCGTGGAAGGCCGTGGTGGCGTCCTTGCCGATGCGCGACTTGAGCAGCGCCTCGCCGCCCGGGTGGTCGAGCGCCGAGACGTCGTGGATGAAGCCGGCGACGACGATGAGCGGACGCGTCTTGGCCTCCTCTTGGAAGTCGTCCCACGAAATGACGGGCAGGTCGTTGGTGCTCTTGGGCCACTGCAGCTTGGCCTGCTCGCCGTGCAGCTTCTGCAGCTGCATGGCGACGCGGCCCTTCTTGACCTCGTTGTCCGGGAACGTCTTGAGGTGCGTGGCGAGGCCGACGGCCTTCATCGACGCGATGAACCACTTCGTCGGGTCGTACTGGTACCACGAAATGGCGTTGCGGTAGTCCATGGGGAACTGGTGGTGGAAGTTGTGGTAGCCCTCGCCGACGGTGACGAGTGCGGTGATGAAGTGGTCGCGCGGCGTCATCTTGTTGTCGAAGCTCGCCTCGCCGAGGTAGTGCGCGAGCGAGTTGACGCAGAACGTCGAGTGGTGCACGAAGACGAGGCGCGCCACGGCGGCGTAGAAGAAGCCGCCGCGCCAGTCGCCCCAAAGCATGCCGGCGACGGCCGTGGGGAAGAGGAAGCCCATGATGACGATGAGCGGGAGGTAGAAGCGGTGCTGGAAGCGGATGACGGGGTGGCGGCGCAGGTCCGAGATGTCGGCGACGCCCGGCTTGCGGCGCGGCTTGACAATCATCCAGCCGAGGTGGCTCCACAGCAGGCCGTGGTGCGCACCGTAGGGGTCGAGGTCGGTGTCGGTGTAGCGGTGGTGGGCACGGTGGCCGCGCGCCCACCAGTGGATGCTGCCCTCGACGGCGCCGCTGCCCATGAGGGCGAGGAAGTACTCGAGCGGCCGGCTGGCGACGTAGCTGCGGTGCGCCCACAGCCGGTGGTAACCGGCCGTGATGCCGAGGCCGGTGAAGAAGTAGTAGACGCCGGCCCAGACGGCCGTCTTGAGCTGCAGCGGCGTCGTGCACATGCCGTACACGGCGAGCAGCGGCGTCGAGGTGAGGATGATGAACGAGACCCACTGGATCTCGCTCAGGATGTTCTTCCACTGGATCGGCGGCAGCGCCGGCTCGCGCTGCAGCGTGCGCGTGACGTAGTCGTCGGGAATGTCGTCGTCGGGGTGCGGGCGCGGCGAGGCCTTCTTGCCGCCGCGGCTCGGCACGGCCACGCCCTCATCCTCCGACGCCTCGGACTGCGGCGGCGAGAGCTGGTCGGCCGGCGGCGTGCGCAGGCCGGGCTCGAGCGGCGCCGGGCCGCGGTTGCGGAGCTCGGCGGACGCCATGGTGTGTGTGCGGAGAGTGGTGCGGTGAGGTGGGTGTCGTGAGGCGGTGTGGATGACGTGTGGTCGTGAAGGTGGTGAGGTGGCAGGGGGGAAGGGGGGTGACGGGAGGTGATCGTGCGGGCAGAAGGGCGGAGCACCAGCGGTGAGGCCTTATATACCACCCTCGACTGGCAGCCATGCGAATCTCTGCCGGTGGCGGAGGGGCCGAGGTTCGGCGCACGGGTGGCGCGTGCCCCATGGCCGGCGCTGGGTGCGGCAGGCAGGCAGGCACGCTGCACCCTCGCCAAAGCCGCCGGAGCAGCCTGTCTCGGCCCAGCACCAGCGTGCGTGGCGAGGGCCGGCGAGCAGCAGCAGCACGAAATGATTTGCGCACGCTGAGGCTGAGCCGTGCCTCGGCGCGACGTGGCCTCGGCGTCTGGGCTGGCGCCGCCTCTCGCCACCGTCCGGTCGGCGCGCGTTGTTGGGGCGCGCCGCCGTCGCCGCGCGCCTGCCTCATGCATCGCAGCTCTCTCTCTCTCTCTCTCTCTGCGCCGGCGCCGCGAAGGATGATCAGCCGTCCTCCGAGCCTCGGCCTCTCCCTCGTGCTCGCTGCGTGCTGCGCCCACTGCACCCGACAGCAGCAGCATCAGGGTGCCGCATGCCCGTGCCGGTGACGACAGCTCCGCGGCTCTGCCACTCCTGAATTTCCTGGTGCTGGCTGCGCCCCCGCCGCGCGCGCGCCGCGCGCCTGCCTGCCAACGCGCCCCGCCGCCCCGCACACCCCATCGCATCCCTCCTGCCGCAGCGTGCCGGCAGCCTGCACCAACACGCTGGGTCTTCGCCCTGCATGCTTCGGCATCCGGCTATGTGGGTCTTGCCGGCTATGCGATGTGGGGTAACGAGGCCTCGCCGCTGCTCGTCGTCGCGACCTCCCTTTCTCGAGCGACACGCCCCCGCGCGCCGCACCGCGAAATAGACTGGCCTCGCGCCCCAGGGGGCTTGCGCTCCTCGCACACGCACCTCCGGCCCCCCTCGCATCGCTCCTCCTCTCTCCCTCGCACACGTCCCCATCTCTCGTATCGCCAGCCCGCCTCGCATTCACGTCGTCTTCCACAGCTGCCTCACGTTCCCTCTCTCTCCACCTGCACCTCCAAGCTACGAGGCCAGGCTGCCGAACAGGGCCAGCCTCGCAGCGCGACATTTCACGCGACGTCCGGCCTGTAGCCGCGAATAGGGCATTCACAGGCACGGCCTGATGCACGGCGGAAATTTTAATTCGTCCCTCGGGCGGCTGCGGTGCCCACCCCGTCCCACACACTGCCGGCGCGCCTGAGCAAGAGTTTTGTTGGGGCGCCGCGCGTGAAGCTGCGCCCGCGCGGCGCTGCCAGTCGCGAGTGCCGCGCCTCTGCCGATCATCTCCTCGGCGTGACGTAAGCATGAAGCACGCGCGCACGAGACGGCGCGCCGGCGCCGGCTTGCGCCGACAGCGCCGCTGCACGCCGAGGGACGCGGAGCCGCCGGGATCTCCGTCTGCAGGCGTGAGAACACGACTGTCTGCTGTGTGGCGGCGGCACCCAGACAGCATGGGGAGCAGCTTCTCTGCGGAGGCGAGCAAACAGAAGGAGGTGGCGCATCACCTGCCAGACTCCTCAGACGCCGGGTGCCGGACAGCAATCGCGCATGGTGATGGAGGTGCAAGCAGTGCAAGGCCGTCGAGCCGTGAGAGCACCGCAGGGGCGCAGAAAGCCGGAGCCATCGCATGGCCGCACCCCCGGCGCTGCGAGCTGCGGCTCCGAGGTGTCATTCATTTGCCACTGCCCGGTGCGCCGCGTTCACGTGGGTGTGGGTGGGAAGAAGGAAGCGACGGAGCGGGGCGAAAACTGACCCTTCGACGTCACCCCTGCTCCGCGTCTTGTCGCCCTGTCCGGGAAAACGGCAAGCGTCCCCCGTCCAGCATCAGACGTCACTTCGACATGCCATCCAGCATGTGAGGTGAATGCCGCCGAAGCGCAGAGCACTGAGGAGCCGGCGCACCCTTGCCCGCTCTGTCCCGCCGCACGTTTGACGGATACCCGCAATGGCTCTATACCCCCCCCCCCCTTTCTCCATCACGATGCTGCCGCGCTACTAGAGCAGATAGATTACTGGGTGACGCAAGAACTGACGAGGTGGTAAAGAGCGTGGAGTGGTGTGAGGCATCGCTAAAGAGTGTGATATGTAAGGGGGAGGCGCCGATGGCGGGGATAAGTTAGGATGAGTAGGGTCGCCAAGGAGGCGCAGAGAGCGAAGCTGCTTGTAGCAGTTCTCCTTCGAAGAGAAAGCAAGAAGAGACCCTAGGCGAGGACAGCGGCGCCGTTGGCGCTGCCCGACGCACTCGCCATGCCCGCAATGCTCGGCCTGGCAGCCAATCTTCTGCGTCTAGCCGCCATGCCAGGCGAGTCACTGCTTGCGCTTGCACTGCCGCTGCATGGCATCTGCTGCTGCTGCGTCGCGCTCGGCAAAGCCGGCGGCGGCGGCGCAGGTAGGGCGCCACGCACTCCCGGCGCTTTGCGGCGCGGCAGCGAGGCAGGGCGGTGCGAGAGCGAGCCTTGCTGCTGCTGCTGCTGCTGCTTCTCGAAGCGGTTTGTACGGTCGACGAAGGGGTCGTCTTCGTGTCTTGTGCTTGCTGCCGCGGCACGCGAGAGCCGAGTGGAGGCGCTTCCGAACGACGCTGAGGAAGAAGAGGCAGTGTCCATGGAGGGAATGGGCTTGCGACGACGGCCGCGGGAAGAGAGCGAACGAGAGGTGGGCGCCGTGAGCGTGGAGTGTGTCGAGGCCGCAGTGCTCTGCTGCTGCGTCGAGGAGGAGCCGATGACGGTGACGGTATTGGTGCCGCTGCTCGACTCGTCCGTCCTCGAAGCTCTTCTCCTTCCCCTTCTCGTTCCCGATGCCGAGCCTGCGCCGGTGCTGCTCGTGCTCTCTTCTCCACTGCCGCCGCTGCCGCTGCTTCGCACGCCAAAGTTGCGCGCCGGCAGCGTGCGGGCTCTTGCCGCCGGGCGTGGAAGCTGAGAGCGCAGGATCTGTTCGGGCGAGAAGCTGCGCGGCTCAAACTCCTTGGCCATGAGATCGAGAATCTGCGGCGCCGACATGCCGGTAGGCGACGTGAGCACCAGTGCCGGCGGACCTCGAGGAGGCGAGGGTCGCGGCGGAGAGGGCGACGGCGCAATGATGACACTTGTCGTCTCGACGACGACGGCAGATGGTCTCGGCGGGGAGATGTGAGCTGAAATGGCCGTTCGAGGCGTTGCTGGAGCCGAGACGCTGAAGCTCGACGTAGAAGGTGCCGCACCGTCGCATATCGTGCTTGCGATCTGAATGGCGGAGCCAGAGTCACTCTCTCCCCGCGCCAAGGCCTTTGCAGCGTTCTCCAGGGCCTCTACGCTTCTCATGCGTCTCAAGCCCGCTCCAGCAGGCCAAAGACAGCCGTCGTTGCGCAGCACCACTGCGTCGTCTCTCGAGACGACGGGCTGAGCGGGCGCTGCAAAGAGCTCGGCCAGCGTGCGGCGTGTGGCCGCCGTATCGCAGCGCCCAGGCGAGGCGGGCTGGACGCTGATTGCTGGAGTCGAAGTTGTGCGATGGCTGGAAGAGGCAGCAAAGGCTTTAAGACTGGAGACACTCTCTCTCCATGCTGCACGCTCGCGGCGCATTCGACGTGCTTCTTGACTGATGGAGGGCGAGCCTGGCTCTCCAGGTTGCTCATCCTCGGGCGCAAATGCACTGGCTAGTCCGACACGAGACTTGCCGGCGCCTCGACGCGGCAGAGAGCGCGAGGCGGCAGCGTGCGACGAGGGAGTCATCTCCTCCTTGTCCACGACCTCGGTCGCGAGCGAGGAGGCGTCGGTGCGATAGCGTAGCGAACCACACCACAATCCACCGAGCGCAGCTGAGCTCTTGGCGCGGCCTAATGTGCGCGGTCGAGTCGTCGTCACCGTGCTCGCTGTTGCTGATGGCGATGCAGCGACTGCGCGACGAGGAGAGGCCGTCGAGGTTGAGGCCGCACTCGACGTCGAGACAGTCATGCTCGCACGGTCGCTACTGCCACGCAGTGGAGAGAGGGGCGCACGTTTGGCGCTGGCGCTTGTGGAGAAAGAAGAGGAGGAGGAGAGTGCAGCGGTAGACTTGACCTTCCTCAGCTCGCGGGCTTTCCCTTCGCCCGACGCGCCAACGCCAACGTCCACGCCGACGTTCTCCTTGCCCTCGCTCCGCACTGCGCCACTGCTGCTCGACGCAGAAGCGCCAAGCGTGGCGTCCCAGAAGGAGGAGAACCAACTGCCAGATGGCTTCTGCTTGAGCGTCGCAGTAGCGCCCTTGACCGGCGCACGACTGGGCATGCGTCGCGAGGAGGAGCCGCCTGGATGCGCTGTACGGCGCGGAGAGCCGGAGGAGCGCGGCGTGGAAGCTCGGCCAGCCGAGGCTGACATGCTTGCTGCACCAGCAGCACTAGCGGCACCCCCAGCGGCGGCGGCAGAGGAAGAAGCGACGGGCGTGAAGATGCGCGTCTCCTTGTAGCCGGCGTCGTGCAGCAGGTCGGCGAGCGAGTCGAAGCGCGCCGCGGGCATCGGCGTCTGCGGCGGCGCGGCGGCGCTGGCTGCTCTGCTGTCGTCGCGGCGCGGATGCGGCTGCGAGGACGCACTGGAGGGATGACGAGGATGGGAGAAGACCTGTGGCGAGAGGAGGGTTAAGAGAGGACAGGGGGGAGCAAGGAGCGGAGGGGACTCACAGTGCTTTCGCGACGAGCCAGAGACATCTCTGCCCCTCGCCTACTTGTCTCGCCCGCTGCAAGTGAACAGTGGCGCTGCACTAGCGCTTGCAGGCTCACACGAGCGTGCCGTACTGCCGGCAGCAGTAGTGGCTGTCTAGGCGGGACAGACGCAGCGAGCAGCAGCCAGTGTGTGTGCCGGGGCAGTTCGAGCCGTTGAGCGCACGAGCGGGTGGGGGCGTGGGGGAGGAGCGGCGAGAGGCGAGAGGCGGAGAAGGGAAGGGCGAGGTGGGGCGAGCGCCGAGATGCAGAGAGTGTTGCTCTCTTTCTCTCGCGGCAACGCGCGCGGCCAGAGCAGCGGTGGCTCGGCTAGCTCGGTGCGGCCGGGTGCGGTGTGAGTGCTTCGGCAACGGACCGGCCGGCGGTGAGGGACAGGGGGTTATGTGTGTGGTGGTGAGAGGAGCGTTGGCGCCGGTCTGTTTGCTGGTGCAAGCGGCGCCGGCGGCTGATGAGGAGCGGCTCAAGCGCCGGCGCGCATGGCACGCATCTCTGGCATGCGGGCGAAGCCATGGCCGGCGGGCGGCGGCGCGCCTTGCGGTACACGCGTCGCAAGCAACACCGCCCGGCAGAGGCCTGTCGGACGGGCATCCTGCGCCCCGCCAGTGACAGCCCTGCAGACTGGTCCCAGTGGATGGTGAGGCGTGCCCTTCTAGAAGCCAGCGACGGCGTGCCATGCTTCCCGGCGTGCGTCACACGACCTGCTCGACGGGAGAGCAGAGCGAGAGGGAGAGAGGGGGGGCGCGTCCGGTCACGTGCCGCTTCCCGCCTGCGCTCCGAGCGCCGCTTCCTCTCCGCCCTCACGCCCGCGATGCGCTCTGTGCTCTTGTGCTCTGGCCCGCGCAGCCTGCAGTCAAGCACACGATGGGAGATGGAAGAGCATAGTTAGGCAAGTAGACAGGGAGAGACAGTGACGTTGAAGTAATGCGGATGATGGGGGGAGAGTGAGGGGGACCATGGAGAGACACTTGGGAAGCACGAGAGACGGGGAGAGAGGCAGGAGCGAGGCAGGCAAGGCAGCGACGGGGCCGTTGAGGCGCCCTATGCTGTGTCTGCTCAACCGCTCGCTACCGAAGACGAGACGCTCAGTGGCCAGCGGGGCGCTTGATGTTGTTGCTGTCGATGCCCGGCAGCGCAAAGCTCGTCGCAAACGCCTCAACCTCCTTCTTGAGCGTCTTGACGTCCTCGCTCGCGTTGGCGGCCTTCTTGAAGTCGACGAGCTTCTTGCCCACCTCCTTCTGGATCTGCAGGGCGATCTGCGTCATGCGGTGCAGGAAGTCGGCGACGATGACCATCTCCTTCTCCATCATGCTGCGGCTCGTCAGCGCCGATGTGCCGAGACGGTAGCCGCCGGGCGTAAGCGCCGACGTGTCGCCAACCACGGCGTTCTTGTTGACGGTCACGCCGCACAGGTCGGCGAGCTCCTCGATCTTGGAGCCCGTGAGGCCGAGCGGGCGAAGGTCGACGAGCAGCAGGTGGTTCTCCGAGCCGTCCGTCTGCAGCTTGTAGCCGTGCTCCATGAGACGCGCACCCATGGCCTGCGAGTTGCGGATCACCTGCGTGGCGTAGGCCTTGAACGCCGGGTCGGCCACCTGCTTGAGCGCCACGGCGATACCAGCGATGGTCTGTTGCGATGTGTCAGCCTATGCCGCCGACATTGCCCTGCCGAAGCGTCACTGCTCTCGCCCGCCACTCACGTTGTTGTGCGGGCCACCCTGGCAGGCCGGGAAGACGGCGGCGTTGATCTTGCCCTCGACCTCCGGGTCCTTGTCCTTGCGGAAGAAGATAAGGCCGGCGCGCGGGCCACGCAGCGTCTTGTGCGTCGTCGTCGTGACAATGTCGCAGTACTCGAAGGGGTTGTTCTGCACCTTGGCCGCGACGAGGCCGGAGATGTGGGCAATGTCGCTCATCAGCAGCGCCTGCTGCGACTTGGCCGTCTCGGCAAGACGCTTGTAGTCCCAGTCACGCGGGTACGCCGAGCCGCCGGTGATGAGCATGCGCGGCTTGAAGAGGTCGGCGTTCTTGTGCAGCGTCTCGTAGTCGATGAGGCCCGTCTTGGTGTCGACCTGGTACGGGAACGACTGGAAGTAGATCGACGAGGCGCTGATCTTCTTCTTGGCCGTGTAGTAGCCGTGCGTCAGGTGGCCGCCCGAGGGCAGGCCGAGACCCATGATGCGGTCCTGCGGCTGCAGCAGGGCGGTGAAGGTGGCGAAGCTGCGCAACAAGCGGGTCAGCGGCCTGTTCTGCAGTACGCGACATTCGCCTCGCTGTGCCCCACGCGCGTCGCACACGCCACTCACTTGGCCGTCGAGCCCGAGTAGGGCTGCACGTTGACGCCCCAGATCTTGGGGTCCAGGTCAAAGGCCTTGAGGGCGCGCTGCTGGCAGAGAATCTCGAGGCGGTCGATGTGCTCGTTGCCGCCGTAGTAGCGCGCGCCGGGCAGGCCCTCGCTGTACTTGTTGGTGAGGATGCTGCCGTTGGCCTCCATGACGGCCGCGCTCGTCAGGTTCTCCGACGCAATGAGCTCGAGGCCGCTGAACTGGCGCCACGTCTCATCCTCGATGATCTGCTGCACCTCGGGGTCGGCCTCGGCGAGCGTCTTGTACAGCACCGCGTTCTGCCAGGAGGCGTGAGTGACAGTGCGGCAGCAAGTCACGCCGCGGCCAACTCACGTAGTCGGTGGGGACCTTGATGCTCGACATGCTGCGCGAAGGAGCGGGGGCGACGAGGGGAGCAAAGGCGGGGGTGCGTGCGACACGGGCAGTGGCGGCGAAGGAGGCGCGGAGGAGCGAGGGCGCGGCGAGACGGAGAAGAGGCGTGCGGGAGGCGAGGGGCATGCGTGGATGCGGGTGGTGGGGAGCAAAGGAGGGGCCGGGTGAGAAGAAGCTGGCTGGGTCGACGACGGCACCGGACGGAGTTGGGTCGGAAGATCTGGCGCGCGTGCTGGCTGGGCAGAAGAGGAGAGGAGGCGGGTGTGCGACGGGGCGAGGCACGCTTGCTTTGCTTCGCGCGAAGCCGCGCGCGCGCGCCGCGCCAGCGAAATTTCGCTGGCTCTGGCTCCGCTCTGCGCGCGCGCCCGCTCCGAAGGGGTCCTCGCAACGTGCCTTGCCACGCGCCGCGCCGCCGGCCTGCAGCTTCTCTCGCGCGGATGCTTGTGGCGCTGCCGCCGGCCGGCCAAGCAGAGAGGCGACGCTGAATCAGCGCTGCCCCTCTCGGCGGCCAGGCCTTGCGAGGCGGCGAGCACCCGCAACGAGCTTGCAGCAGCATGCGGCTCCGAGCGTTGATGCACCGCTCCGTCTGCGCCCTACGCCACAGGGCCAGCTCGGTCCTACGCCGGCGCCGGCGCAGAGACATGACTCGGTGCAGGCCGGAGGGGCAGGCTGACTAAGCACGCCGTGGTGCCACGTGATGCGCGCTCGGGCTGCTCCCACGATCGCGATAAGGCCGAGCGCCTGATCGCGGTGGCCGACGGCGCGCCCGAGGCTGCCTGCTGGGTGCTGAGCTGCCCTTGCCTGGCTGCAGCACGCCTTCGAGAGCAGACGTAGAGCGGCGGATCGCCGCTGATGCTGTGAGACTGTCGCTGTGAGCGTTTCCTTGAGCGCGAGGCTGCTGCTGGAGGGCTGAGGCGGGGCGATGGCAGCTGATCTTCGGCGCCGAGCCGTGCCGCGCTGGCGGCCGAGACGCCTGATCGCACGGCACGCCGCGAGTCAGGCGCGCGCCCGAGTGCCGCGCCGCGAAGCGCCCTGCGCCCAGCACCAGCAGCGAGACCCGCGCTGCTGGCAGCTCGCCGCCTCGATAGCGCCGCTCCCTTCAGCTCCACATCCCCCACACCCCCACTCTACACTCACCCTCTCGCACACCATGGCTCTGCTGGCGCGTCGCTCCGCCGCCGCAGCCGGGGCGCTCGCGCGTGCGGCGGCGGCCCGGCGCGGCGCTGCTCTGCCGCGGGTCGCCGCGGCGGCCAGTGCTGCTGGCCAACAGCTGCCCAGCGCCCGCGCCTTCTCCTCGGCCGTGGAGAACATGTCTGACCGCGTGAGTGCCCGGTGCAGCAGTCATCGCACGCGGCAACGCTAGCTCTGCTCTGCCTGGTCCGGCAAGTGCTCACGCCAGTCTGGCTCCCGCTGCGCAGGAGACCATCACGCGCCTGCTCTACTCGCTCGCCTCGCGCAAGGAGGTGGAGCGCTACCTGCGCATCTTCAGCGCCGCCAACAAGTTCGCCGTCATCAAGGTGGGCGGCGCCATCCTGACGCACCAGCTCGAGGAGCTGGCACTCAGCCTGAGCTTCCTGCACCGCGTGTGAGTCGCCTGGCGCGCTGGCCATCGGCCGCGGCAGCAGCGGGCAGGAGCAGCGCCGCCTGCGCCACAGCTGCTGCCTGCTGCCCTCGTCAATGCCCTCACTGCAGCTTGGCTGATCGCATCGCCTGCAGCGGCCTCTACCCTATCGTGCTGCACGGCGCCGGCCCGCAGCTCAATGAGATCCTCGAGCGCGAGGGTGTCGTGCCCGACTACGAGGACGGCATTCGCATCACGGGTGAGCAGACTGCTGCATTTGCCCTGCATGCGCTCACGCCTGTCTGCAGACGCTCGCACGCTGCGTGTCGCACGCCAGGTGTTCCTCGAGGAGAACATGCGTCTCGTGGAGAAGCTCGAGTCGCTGGGCTCGCGTGCGCGCCCAATTCCGCTCGGCACCTTCACCGCCTCGTACCTCGACCGCGAGAAGTACGGCCTCGTGGGCAAGATTGAGAAGGTCGACAAGGAGCCCATCGAGAGCGCCATCCGCAACGGCTGCCTGCCCATCCTGACCAGCCTGGCCGAGACGGAGGACGGACAGATTCTGTGAGTCGGCATGCAGGTGTGCGTGAGATGCAGCGCGGGGCGCAGCCGGCTCACCTCTCGCGCGCACGCAGCAACGTCAACGCCGACGTCGCCGCGAGCGAGCTGGCCAAGGTGCTGGAGCCGCTGAAGATCGTCTACCTCAACGAGAAGGGCGGCCTCTTCCACGGCAACACCAAGGAGCTGCTCGAGACGATCAACCTCGACGAGGAGTACGACGACCTGATGAAGCAGGAGTGGGTCAAGTTCGGCACCAAGCTCAAGCTGCGCGAGATGAAGGAGCTGCTCGACCACCTGCCGCGCGCCTCGAGCGTCGCCATCATCAGCGTCGACCAGCTGCAGAAGGAGCTCTTCACCGACTCGGGCGCCGGCACGCTCATCCGGCGTGGGTACAAGCTGTACAAGTCGTCGTCGATTGAGGATGTGGGCGCCGAGCGTCTGCGCAACGCGCTCAAGGAGAACGATGAGGAGATCCGCGATGGCCGCAAGTCGGTGGCGCAGTTCTTCTCTGAGCTCAGCAAGCAGCCCTACACCATCTACGGCGACGAGCCGTTCGACGTCGTGGCCTTCGTCTCGCGGCCCGAGGGCGAGGTGCCGATCCTCAGCAAGCTCGTCAGCACGCGCAACGGCGTGCTCAACAGCGTCACGGACAACGTCTGGAACCAGATCCGCAAGGACCACAAGCGTCTGGTGTGGACTGCGCGCTCGGACGATGAGAACCGTGCGTGGCACTACGAGCGCGCCGACGGCAGCTTCAGCCGCAACGGCCGCAGCCTGTTCTACTACGGCATCCAGGATGTCACCGAGGTGGAGAAGGTGGTGCGCAGCCTCGAGGAGAAGAGCCGCATCGAGCGCGCCTACCTGCCGCTCAACGCCGCCAAGCCGGGCGCGCCGCGTGCCTTTTCGACGTCGGCTCGCCGGCCGGCTCTTCGCGCCGCGTCGCCCATGGGCACTGCGCGCGGCTACGCGACGGCCGTCGAGCGCTCCGTGCCCCTGCCGTCGACCAACTCGGACAAGAAGCGCGTGGCGCTCATCGGCGCACGCGGCTACACGGGCCAGGCGCTCGTCTCCATCCTCAACACGCACCCTCACCTCGAGCTCTCGCACGTCTCCTCGCGCGAGCTTGCCGGCACACGTCTGGCGGGCTACGACAAGAGCGAAGTGCTCTACTCCAACATTGGCGTCGAGCAGCTGCGGCGTCTGGAGGAGGGCAAGGGCGACTCTGCGCCACCCGACGCTTACATCATGGCGCTGCCCAACGGCGTGTGCAAGCCGTTTGTCGAGGCGGTGCAGCAGGGCGGAAAGGGCAAGAGCGAGGGGCATGGTCGCATTGTCGACCTCTCGGCCGACTACCGCTTCGAGGAGGGATGGACGTACGGACTGCCTGGTCAGTAGATGGACGTGCGAGGCAGCCACGGCGGTGAGGCGAGGGAGCGGAGGGAGATGGAGGCGAGGGAGCGGAGGGGAGGGCTATGACGTGGTGCTCTCCCTGCCCGTTTTCCCCTCCTTGCTCCTCCCCCACCTGCGTCTGTATCTCAAAGAGCGAGCCCTGTAATGGCAACCGAAGTACACAGGATAACCGAAGTACACGAAGTACACAGGATCTTCTTGCTGCCTCGTGCCAGCCCATATCACTCCGTATCAGCTCATCTGACGCTTCTCTTCGCACACACAGAGCTCTACTCGCGCCAAGCGATCCGCGATGCGCGTCTCATCTCCAACCCGGGCTGCTATGCCACGTCGATCCAGGCTCTGATCGCGCCTCTGCTGCCCTTCCTCGACGGTGCGCGGCCGCCGACGGTGTTTGGCGTGTCTGGCTATTCGGGCGCAGGCACCAAGGCTGGGCAGTCTGGCTCCACGCCCGGCAGTCAGCCCGTCACCGTGCCCAAGATCAGCGCCGAGGACCTGGCGGGCGGCGTGCGCCCCTACGCGCTCACCGACCACATCCACGAGCGCGAGGCGGCGCGCCATCTCTCGCGCCTGGCGGGCAGCGACGTGGGCGTGGCCTTTGTGCCTGCCGTCGCGCCGTGGTTCCAGGGCATCATTAGCACCCTCAGCGCGCCGCTCAAGCAGAAGATGACGGCAAAGCAGGTGCGCGAGGCATACGAGGCCTTCTACGAGGGCCAGCAGCTCGTCGAGCTGGGCCCCAACGTGCCGGAGGTCAAGGTGCGTGCTCCCCCCCCCCCCTCTCTCCTCCTCAAAGATCCCCACTGACACGCATGATCCCTCGCTCGCGCGCTCTCAGGACATCGCCCTGCAGCACGGCATCAAGATTGGCGGTATCCAGGTGCACTCGGGCGGCGAGCGCGTCGTCGTGGTGGGCGGCCTGGACAACCTGCTCAAGGGAGCTGCGACGCAGTGCATCCAGGTGAGTCTCTGCTTGCAATAGGCCCGGCCCACGCGCAGGAGGGGCAGAGAGTAGGCGCCCTCGATCGGCCTGAGCTGATGTCCGCAACCTCTCCACACCCTCGACAGAACCTCAACATCGCCCTGGGCTACGATGAGCTGGCGGGCATCGCATGAGCGTCTCCCCTTCTTCTGCCTCACCCTCTACGCACAAAATCCGGGGGCGCGCGAGAGAAACGAAGTAATACGAATCCCATCTAGACACATCCGGGCGTGAGCTTGAGGCAACAAGCCGGTGGAGCGGGCAGGGAAAGGTCGCGAGTGGGTTGGGATTCAGGAGCCACGAGCAAGGGAAGTACAGGGGTTGCTAGGCCGCAAAGGGGAGAGGCGCAAGGCAGGCAGGGTTAGAGAGAGTGGTGGGATTTGCAGAGCAAAGGTCGGTGGGATATCTCAAGAGTAGAAACGAGAGGAAGCAGGCGCAGAGAGGAAGAGGGAGGGGCAGCTGGCGGAGGAAGAGAGCGACTCAAGGCCGCACATCGCCTTCCCATCTGCGCTCCGTCCGGCAAAGAGCAAGAGAGTCGAGGCTCGATTTCGAAAGCCGTCGAGCGCGAGAAGAAAGAGACAAGAGAGAGGAGACGGACCAAGTCGGTGGAGAAGAAGAGAGAGAGAGGCTCTAGGCCATGCGATGCCTCCTTGCGCTGCGCCGGATCTGCGCACCGCAGATTGCGCTTGATGGCGCACGCACTGCATGGCGGTGCCCTCTCTCAGAGTGCGCTGCTCTCATGCGCAGCAAGTCCAGGGGCCGGACTACTTGTGTCCATGACCCGGCAGATGGCTGGCGAGCTTGCTCGCCAAGCCCTCGTGCTTGGCAGTGCCGTTGGTCGAGCCCGAGTGCGACGAGGCCGTCTCGTCGACTGCGGCCAGCGAGCCGGCATCGGCCGTCGTGGCCGTGCGCTGGCCGCTCGAGGCACGAGGCTCGCGCGAGCGGGAGCGCGAGAGAGAGCGAATCGCCTTCAGATGAGAGGTGGTGTGAGTGAAAGGAAAGGAGAGGAGAAGAATGGCTGAGATGGAACGCTGGCAGTCGAAGCGAGACCTTCGTGCGCCACCTTTGTGCCCATCTCCCCCTCATCTGCTCGCGCTGCTTCAAACTCACCGCGCCCACTCCACCCGAGCTTCGTCCACGGTCATCGGCGCCTCTCTCCGTGCTGCTCTCCCTCTTGACGTTTCCGGCACCTCCACGGCCGGTCGTGTGCGGGTTCTGGCGTTCCTTGGCAATCGCCTGCGCCTGGATACTGGCCTCCTTCTCCTCCTCGGCCTGCATCTTGACGCGGTCCTTGGGGTCGCGGCTCGGCGAACGCACGTTGCCGACGCCGCCGCGACCGCCTGCGACGAAGGTCTGCTTCTTGGCGTACTGCACCTGCGCGGCGTGCTCCTGGCCCTCGCGCGCCGCGGCGGCATCGCGAGAGGGAGAGCGCGTCATCTGAGAAAAAGGAGAGAAGCGAGCGTCAGTGGGAGGTGCTCGAAAGAGAGACATGTATGTGCCGCCTTGTGACCCTCCAGCCGTGCGCTGCTCAGTGCGCAGCATATGCTGGTCCCTTGGCCGTGAACAGCAGGCGGCAGGCAGCACAGCGGAGGGTGCGGCATATGCACACCCTGCAGGCGCAGCACGCTCTCTCCTGTCGCTGCGGCTCGCCCGTCCATTGCGCAGACGAGCAGCGCATACAAGTGTGCAGCAGCACTGCGAGCCTTCGCCAGCTGGCACTGCGATCGTCGCGCAGTGCGCACCGCAGCAAGGGACCCGTGCTGTGCGGCGGCGATGCTGTGCTCTACACGCTGCTGCGCAGTCCCTCGGCGTCGCACGTCTCTCTGGCTCCACCGCACAGCCCACGATCTCGGCCGGCGCCGTGCACTCACGTTGCCCGCGCCGCCACGTCCCGAGCTGATGACGGCATCGCGGCCGCGCTCGGTGGAGGAGGGACCGAAGGCCATGGCTGACTGTCTGGCTAGCTGCGCTGAGCTAGCGGGTGTGGAGGTGTGTGTGTGATGGAGGCGCGCGAAGGGATGCGGCGCGCGAAGGTGGTGGTGAGGAGGATGGGTGTGGATGTGGAGCAGGACGCAAACAGGGGACAAGCCGCTGCGGGAGGTGGCCGGTCGGACTCTGCGGCAGGCGTGGTGGGAGAGGAGAGCGGCGAGCGCGCGCGATACGTTTGCGATAAGGCGAGCGCGGGTGGGAGCCGCCCGCTGGCGCTGCGCCCGCATCCGAGCGACCCGCAAGCCGTGCCGCGCTTCCGAAGCGCCAAGAACGGCCATGCAGCTCGCACAGCGCCTGCGCCAGCACCGCACCGCTCGGCCGCCTTCGTCCGCGCTCCGCATCCGCCGCCGCGCCCGAGCCGGCACCGGCGTGCGTGGCAGCCACTCACAGGCTGAGAGCGCCCCTCGGGCGAGCGCAGCAGCAGGGGCAGCATTCAGCAGCGCGCGCGAGTGCGTCGATGCTTGCCATACGCTCACAGCGCTGCATCCGACCAGCGCAGCCCAGCAGCATCGATGCAGCGATGCCGTCTCCGGCTGAGAGGCGCAGGCTCGCTGCTTGGGGCACATGCTCGTTGAGCGCAGCCGCTCGGCGCAGCCGTGTGGCAGGGCCGTGCCGCTGAGCGAGCGCGAGCTGCCTGGCCGATGTCGAAACTGCAACTGATGAGCCAGCGTTCGTCGTGCCTGACTGTTCATGCCTCCCACCTGCTCAGCCTTTTGCTTGGCTCGCTGCGAGCAGCCGCTGCAGCGGCGAGCCGCACCAGCCGCGGTGTCGGGCAGCGAGGCGAGGCGAGGCACGTGGGAGCATCTCGTTATCGGCCCTCTTGGACGGGCGCCAGCCACGCATGTCAGCGCCCAGCGATCCCGGCGAGCGGGCGGATCGCAAACTCTTGATCTGCGCTCTCGCTTTCGGGCACGCTGCGAGCTGTCGGGCTGCATTTTGGAGGATCGACGGTGCGTCCCTTTCGCATGCCCGCTGCGCGCGAGGACGCTCGATCAGTGCTGAGCGGCGACGGCTCGCTCAAGGGGCCGCTCGGCCGCGCCCCAAGGCGCAGCGGAGCTCAAGCGCGCGCCTTGCCCTGTCGATCTTCCCGATGCTGAGCTTGTCGTCTGCGCCCCCTGGTCCGCTGCGCACTCTGACAGCCCTCTGGGCGTGACAGCTGGCATGGAGCAGGACGGCCGGCGCAGGCGAAGCGAGCCACACAAGCAATGCAGCTCGTCAAGCCCGGCACATCAGCGCGTCCAACCCACGTTGCTCTCGGGGGGCTGCGGCTGGTCGAATGGAGACGGACGTGCGCACACGAGACATGCCGCATGGAGAGGAGCGAGGTGCGTGGTCAGTGGGATTGCAAAGCGATGGGCCACAAGATGATGGGGGAGCGAGCCTTCCGGGTGAGAGAAGGTGCGACGCAGAGGGCGAGGCAGCGGTATGGAGATGCGGAATGAAGGGGTCTGGGATGGTCCGAAGATGCGCGAGCAGGTCGAAAGGTTGTCGCAGGCAGCTACGAGCGCAGCCGCCGAGATGTGTGCCTCACTTGCCGTGCCCGCGGATACGGCGATGACGCAGCAGAGCATCCTTCCTGGAAGACCACGGAAGACGAGGCGTCAGCAGATGCTCATGTCAAGTCAGCATTCGCCGAGGCTCACCGGCTAAAGACGCTGCCGCAGCCATTGCGGCCGTCGCACTTCCACTCGACAGTGGCGAGGCTCTTCTCGGGATCGACCTCCTTGTAGAGCACCGCGCAATCCTCCTTGCGCAACTTGCCCTGCCTCAAAAGCTGCGCCTCCTCCTTGCCGTGAATCGTCTCGCGATGTCTGGCCAAGTCGTACGGCCGGTGGAACTCGGTGCCGCAGATCTCGCCCGTCGAGTGCAGCACATAGTCGCACGTCGTGATGCCGGCGGCGTTGGCTGCAGAGTGCATCGCGGCAGATGAAGGTCCTTCACTGCCGCCGACAGCCTTGGGCAGCGGCACGTGGATGCCATGATCCTCCTTTGAGGCCGCTGACGAGGCAGAGGCACCAGGCTCGCCCGGCGGTCGGCGACGCTTCTTGATGCCCGCCGCCTTGGGTCGGGACGGCTTCGAGCCCTCGGCGTAGTCCGACTCGCCCGTCTCGTCCTCCGTGTCGCCGCTCTCCCACGCGTCCTCATCGTCATCGCCGTCCTCGCTGGCCGACGTATTCTTGAGTGGCCGCCGCGCACCGCCCTGCGGCGAGGCATTCGCGCCCGCTGGTCGAGGACGCGAACGACTGCGCTCGCGCTGGCGAGGATCGGAGAGGTCGGGCTGTACTGGCGGGCCGTGTGCTGGCAGACCGGCCAGCTCGCGGCGATAGCCCGGCAGTGCTTGCGCCGAGCTGCGAATCGACGGACTGACGCTGCCGTCGTCGTCCTGCGCCGAGCTGGCGCTCCGGCTCCGCGCCGCCTGTGCGCCTGCGTGTCCAGCGGCAGCCAGTGCGCCGGGCAGACTGGCAGCAGCGACGCTGAGGCCGCTCTCTTGACTGCCGGCCATGTAGCCATAGCCACCCATGCCCTGCTGGCGCGGAAACATGCCCTGTCCAGAGCCGCTATGCCGTCCGCGCATCGGACCTTCACCCTCCGACTCGCTCGAGCTCGACGACACGTCGCCGAAGCGCGGGCCGGGCGCAATGCGCTGCGCAGGGAAGGGAAAGTGCGCCGAGAAGCCGGGCATCATCTGCCCTCCTGCGGCAGCGGCTGCAGCAGCAGCAGCCTTGGCTTCGGCATGAGCCTTGGCTGCGGGACGGAACATCGCCTCGTCCTCGTCATCGCTCGAGGGCGTGCCGAATGTCTCGGGCGGCGAGAACAGACTCGGTCCGCTTCCCGCCGAGCCTTCGCGGCTGGGTCCATTCGTGCTGCTGGCCGTCGTGGCGCGCTCCATGGCCTCGCGCTGCGACACGGACGGTCGTGCAGTCTCGTTGCGGTCCAGCGGCGCACGTTGCGGAGCAGGCGGGCCAGTCGGCGTGCTGACCGACTCCGTGTTGCCCTGGAAGCGCTGCTGCTGCAGTGCAGTAGCACGCGCCAGCGAGTCGGCGAGTCCTGGCACGGGCGTCGGTGCAGACGTCTGGAAGAGACTGAACATGTTGCCGCTCGGCGGCTCGTACTCCAGCAGCGTCTCGTGCGGACTGACGGTGAGCCCGCTGCGGTCGCGCGTCATGCCGGGGCGCCCGTTTGCTTCGGGACGCCCGCCACGACCACGGCCGCGGCCGGCAGCAGGTGGACGACCGCGAGCAGCCTTCTGAGCAGCCTTTGCTTGGCCCTTGCCGTTCTGCGCCGGCTGCTGCTGTGCTTGCTGCGGCGGCGGCAGCTGCTGATTCGGCATCATCTGCTGATGCTGCTGTTGCTGCGGCGGCATCTGCTGCTGCTGCTGGAACTGCGGCTGGTTGAAGCTGGCGAGGTAGTTCATCAGGCCGCCGTCCCAGCTCATGCTCGACTCCATCGGTGCGCCGCCCTGCCACGCGCCCATGCCGCTGAAGAGGTCCGTCTGCGAAGGAAACATGCTCGAGTCGAGGCTCCCGCTTCGTCTCCGCGGCGCGTTGGGACGCTGCTGATCGGCATCACCTCTGCTCGGGCCGAAGCTCTGCATCTGCTGCACGGCATTGAAGTCGGGCGCGCCGCTAAACGCCGGCTGCTGGTTGTTCAGCGGAAAGCCGCCGCCGTTCTGTCCTTGCTGAATGTTCCGCAGCGGGCCCTTGAGAGCGCGCGGGTCGACGCCCGCCAGGTCGCTGCGCACCTGTTGCCGCACGCGCTCTGCGTTCGGCAAGGAGCCTGCGCGGCCGAGCGGTGCGCCGCCGAAGCCGGACATGTTGGGCATGTTCGTCGGCATGGGCGCCGTAGCACTGGGGCCCGAGGCGCCGAGCGAGAGCGCCAGCAGCGCCTGAGCCTGCGCCTGCGCCTGGGCATGAGCGCGCTGCTGCTGCTCGTCGTTGTCGCTGCCGCCGAGGTGCTGCTGATGCGGGTAGTTCGGGAAGAGACTCTCGAAGCTGACGTCTGCTCCGCCCGAGCCGTCGCCGAGGGAGAGCGAGTTCAATGGCGCGCCCAACGAGCCACTGGGCGGCGAGAGCGAGTTGTCGGAGACCCAGAGCGGCGAGTCTCCCGGCCCGCCCGGCGCACTGCCCTGCGAGGCCACGCGGTCCCGCTGCACGCCGCCCAGGCCAGGCACTCCTCCTTTGCCAGCCGAGCCAGCCCAACTGCTGCTGTATGCGTGTGCGCCGCGTGCGCGCTTCTTGCTCGGCATGCCCGAGCGTGGGTCGACAGTGCTGCCACTGCCGCTGCCGGGCGACGTGCCGAAGTCGTCTTCGGGCCGCGAGGCTGGGCTGGAGAAGGGCGAGTCGGCAGGTCCCAGGCCGGCAGGTGCGCCGCGGTACTGCATGAAGGAGGGATTCGAGTCGAACGCCGGGCGCGCAGCCATGCTGGGCTGGGCGCTGCTCGCTGCACCGCTCGTGACGGGCACGCCGGCGGGCGCCAGCAGACTGCTGCCGCTGCTGCTGCTGCCCCACGTCGTGCCCAACTCGCCGCCGGGCGTCTGGGCCGGCATCGGCAGACTGGCGCCGGGAAAGGCATCGTCGAAGAGGACAAAGTCCTGTCCGGCGCCGGAGAAGGGCGGCATGCCGAGAGCGCTGCTGCTGCCCGAGCCGCCGCTACTACCGCTGCCAAGGCTCGGCCCGAGCGCAGATGCGCTGGCAGGCTGCGACGCAACGGGCGCCTGGGACATGGAGAGCGCTGAGGTGCGTGACTATGCGCAGCGATGGGTGCGCCGCTGTGCTGGAGATGCGAGACTGAGAGACGAAGCGATGGCCTACGAGGCCAGAGATGGACGAAGAAGCCGAGGCGCGACGAGGCGGCAGGTCCGTGCAAGCGAGCGAGAGACGGAGCGCGAGAGCGAGAGCGAAGGGGAGCGAGCGGTGCAGAGCAGCGAGCGAGACGGCGCGAGCTGCGAGCGAGGTGCGAGGCCGAGACGAGCTGGAGACGGAGAGCAGGACAGGGCCGAGGTGTTGGAGCTGGAGACGGAGCTCGAGCTCGAGCTCGAGCTGCATCTGGCGTCAGGCCATCAGCGGGCGTTGCATCTCTCCGTCGGCCGGCAGGCGGCAGATGCGCCGTGTCGCACGCTCCGACGCGGCGCGCGCGCCTTGCTCCACACGATGGCGCCCGCCGCCGCGCCGAGCGCTCCCCTCGCTGGCACGCTCCTTCTCTCCCGCCTGCGCTGCCAGGGCCAGATGCAGCTGCAGCCTCAGCCGCAGATTTCTCCAGCCATCCAAGCGCTCGCTGCACAAGCTCTCGCTCAGCCGTGCAGCGGAGTCGTATCCGCAGGCGGGGAGCGCTCCGCTCTGATGTGTCAGGCGCCGCACCTCGCCAGACGCCGCCCGGGCGCTGCGCGGTGACGTTGCTGCGTGGCCGTGCCGCCCGCTGCAGACGCCGATCTTGCGCCCGAGCCGCACCTCCACGCGCATGCGCAGCGTGCTGCTCCCACCCGCCAGCACAGCGACGCTCCCGACTTTTGCTGCGGCAGCTTGCCGCTGATTTTGAGCTGGCCGTGCCGTCTCAGAGACGTTGCCGCCCGCCGGCAGCGCTTGGACGAGGACCGGACGCGGAGGTGCTTCGAGACGCTGCGTGCCTCGCTGGCAACGGCCTGCTTCGTCTTGCATGCCGTCGTGCCGCCGAGGGCGCAGCATGCAGCAGTTGCAGAGCGTGATGGCCCTGAGCAGCAGGTACACGCTGGCGGCGCGACGCGGCCTGGCAGGGCCATCGTTGTTTGCCTCGTCGCATCGCACTGCCAGCTCGATCAACCTGCCACCTCGCCATTGCCTTCACAATCTTCGTCTGAGCGACTTCGAGCGCCTCGTACACCTCAGACGCTCACGCGACGTCTCTCGCTCTACGTGCGACTGCTAGAGGGCGGCGAAGCGCTCGGCCTGGTGGAGCTCTAACCTCGCCCCGCTTGCGAGCCTCGCTGGGCCCCTGCGACGCCAACGACTCCTCTGTCTCTCTCGAAGCGGTGGGGCAGCAGCAGGAGCCGGTGGGGTCAAGGGACCTACACAAGGCTGTGCTGCCTACTCCAGCGCATTGCTGCCGAACTCGGCAGCTCGGCGTCCAGATACCCTGGGGGCGCGAATGCGGGCTGAATGCATTGCCTCCTCTCCCCTTCTCCCTTTGTTCAGCAGAGGAGAAAGACTGCACGCACCAGCATCAGGCCAGTTCGTGCAGGAGACGAGCTATTCGCAGCACCCTGCACACCCTAGGGACCAGCGCGGCAGACCCAAGGGTTTGTTGCGTCACCGGCGACGTGGCAGGGCAAGCGGGGGCGCAGCTCGTCTGCTGCCTCAGAGTACGAGAGCCGCAGTGTCGAGCGGTGGGCGCAGCATAGCGATGCACGGTCACCGTTGGGCGGCGCATTGGATTGGACACTCGGCCTCTTGAATCGCTCGCCTTTTGCGCTTGAGAGCTGAGTGCGTGTGCTGGAGGTGCGAATGAAGCAGCGAAAAGACGAGCTCGTCTGCCTCCTCGGCTGCTCCCAGCCGGTGTTCTGCTTCTCGGCCGTGTGCTTGCAAGCGCTATTCCCGGAAGGTCAGCAGTCGCACGAGAGCAGCGAGAGGAGCCGAGGAGGAGCAGAGGAGTAGAGGAGGCGAGCCTCGGCGCAGCGAGACGCCGCACGCCCGCCGGCAATGTAGATGTTCTCACTGGCGTCCGGCACAGCCCCGAGCTCGGACGCCGAGCTCCTAGATGCGGCGCTGCGGCCCCTAAGATGCGCCCCTGCTGCGGCTGCTGACCAAGCGGTGCGTGTGGGCTGAGGGGGGGAAGGAGATGCTGGGAGTCGAGGCGCGAGGCAGAGACGAGCCTCGGCACAGCCTGGAATTGGATCACATGACCAGCAGCGCGGATCGAGGCCTTGGAATGAGGAGCACGTGAGCATCGTCGATCGCCAGCTGGCGGACATGACATGCTCCTGAGAGGCGAGCGGGAGGGACGAGGAGCACGGCGAGGGCTCGCCTTCGGCCCATGTGGGCAGCGTGCGAAATATTGCGCCGCGCCGCAGCTGAAAGTGGGCGCAGCGCGCGAGGGCAAACCGGCACGCGCCGGGCACCAGAGCAGCACGGCGCAAGCACGCACGCACGCACGCACGCTGCACCGCCGGTGTGCTTCTTCCGCACGCCGCCACCACGCCTGCTCAGCTGCTCCTGGCCCCGGAGCCGAGACTCGAGTGCGGCCCCTCGCACTGCGCCCGCACGGCCTCTTTCGCCTACTCTCTTGCGCACAGACTTGAGATCCGAAAGCACACATCCGCACTCCGCAACGCCCACGAGGTGCACTATGTGAGAGGCCGCAGCGCGGCAGCTTGGCCCCTGCAGCGAGATGGGGCGCCCATCCTCTGCTCTCGCTCGCCGCCGACCTCGTGCTCCTCGAGTGGCTATTCTTGCCCTCGTGCGGCAGAGCGCTCAATTGCCTCCTGTCGCAAGCCTAGGCTAGTCCTTGCGGCGTGCGGATAGCAGATGGAGAGAGCCCCATAGCGCGTCATGCCAGCTCCTCTCCCCTCTGCGCCGCTCCTCTGCCGCTCCGTCGGCGCAGCGCCACCGCCCAGCAGCGCAGCGCCCCGAGGCGGAGCTTGTGCGCCTCGGCCACCGAGTCCACAGGAGACGCATTGCCTCCCGAGCACAGCAGCCGCTCTGCGGCGTGGACTTGCTGCGCCGCCAGGACAGGGTCAAGTGCAGCCCCGAGCCGCGCCCGGCCTCTCCTGTCGCTCGGCGCCGTCACACCGCCACTGCGCCGGAGCTTCGACGGCCGGAGCCCGAGCTACGGCGTTCCTGCCTGCGACACTGATGCCGCGTGGTCTCGCCACTGCGCCGGCTCCGCAGGGGCGCACTCTCACCCTGAAGCCTACGCCGACGTCGAGCCGCACCGACGTCCGTGCGTGCAGCCTCGGACGAACAGCAGACTAGGAGCGAGACGCCCATCGGGGGGCTTGGCCACAAGTGCGCTGCGCCGTCTCCACAGGGACCCATGATGGCGCCGCCGCTCCAGACTGGCTTGGCCCGCTCCTCTCATTCTTGCGGCGTGATGTGCGGTGGCAGTGGCAGAGAGAGCACATGGAGGCTCCTCTCCGCGCCCGAAGCTGACGCCGCAGAGGAGCCTCGGTGCGGCTGCGGCGTTCTCCTATGGTAGCGGCCACGTAGACAGCCGCCTGCCTCTGCGAGCTCGAGACGAGCTGTCTATCTGCTATATAAGCCGCACCTCTCGCCTCGTCAGCCTCTCTCATCCTCGCTCACACCATCCCCTTGTCCGCCACCCCGCACCGTCGAGCCGCCTCCCTCTCTACCCGCACTACACGCGACACCCTCTTCTTTAGCCACCTCTCTGCGTCTGGACGCACTGATCTCTGGCTCTCTCCACCCCTTCGCTACGCCTCAACGCTACTTCTTCACTACCAGCTGGGCTGACGACACATTCGCCTAATCCTTGCTGCTGCGCTCCTCGCTGCGTACCTCTATTAGCTACTACTCCCGCCAGAGCAGACTCTTCGTCTGCCGATCCGCTCGTTGCTCCGACTGTCCGGTACAGCCCCTGCACTTCAAACCCCACTCGCCCAGCATGACCAGCGTCCTCTCCGCGCCGGCACTCGCCAACATGCCCGGCTCTGCGCCGGCAGTGACGAAGAAGGCGACGACGAAGCAGGCGCCGACGACGCCGTCGAGCAAGGTGACCAAGCCAACGGCCACGAAGGCGGCGCAGCCCGTGCGCAAGGTCCGGTGAGTGCTGCTCCGATCCGGCACAGGAGGGAGCGGCGGTTGGACCACGGGTGGATGCTCTTGTTCGTGTGCGGTGCGGCAGAGGCTGGAGGACAAGGGAGACGCGGCGGCGAGGCGAGAACAAGGACGCGGCGCGCGCTACGCGTGCCTCGCCGCCGCCGCTCCCCTTGTCCCGCCCCCTGAGGCGCACTCTTCGCCGGCGCCAGCCTTTGTCCCACCTCCTCTCGCGCACCGCACAACATGCTGCGCTGCGCCCACTGCAGGCGTATAAGACGACGCTGCGTCTGCGCTTTGCCCCGCTGTTCGAGCAACTTAGCTGACGCATGCCCTCATCCCCCCTCCTTCCTCTCCTCCCGCTCTGCCTCACGCTCTCCATCATGGCCGCCATCGCCTACGCCCCTTCCTACTCGCACGCCGCCATCTCACGATCTGGCTCCTCCTCATCCTCGCCCGACCCGTCCTTCGCACACATCGTGCCTGCCCGCGCTGCGCCTCGGCCACCGATGCTTCCTGCCGCGCCTGCTGCTGCACCTCGTGCTCGCTCCTCTGCCTCTCGGCCACGCTCGCCCTCGCCGCCGCACCGTGCCTCGTCGCGCCGTGGCCTGCCCGACGCCGGTCCGCCACCGACGCACTCGCTGCCCGCGCCGCCAAACGGCCACGCGCACCTGACGTCGTGCGACGTGCAAACGATCAACAACATCAGGTTCAACGTCGGCAACCGCTACCGCGTCTGCGACGTCATCGGCGAGGGCGCGTACGGCATCGTCTGCTCCGCCATCCACCGCGCTACGGGGCAGAAGGTGGCCATCAAGAAGATCCAGCCGTTCGAGCACCAGATGTTTGCGCTGCGCACGCTGCGCGAGCTCAAGCTGCTGCGCTACTTCCAGGAGTGCGACGTGTCGGAGAACATCATCAGCATCCTCGACATTGTCAAGCCGGCGTCGTACGATGTCTTCCAGGAGGTCTACCTCATCCAGGAGCTCATGGAGACGGACCTGCACCGCGTCATCCGCACCCAGAAGCTCTCCGACGACCACGGTGAGACGTGCTGACGACCCAAGCATCTCCTCCCATGCTAACGTCGTCCGCCCCAGCGCAATACTTCACGTACCAGATCCTGCGTGCGCTCAAGGCGATGCACTCGGCCGACGTCATCCACCGCGACCTCAAGCCGAGCAACCTGCTCCTCAATGCCAACTGTGACCTCAAGGTGTGCGACTTTGGCCTGGCGCGCAGCATCCGCACCGCCGACCCGGGAGGCGAGACGGGCTTCATGACCGAATAGTGAGTTGCCGTGCCGCCTGCCCGCTCCTGCACGAGGCTAATGTCTTTGCCCTCGCAGCGTCGCCACGCGCTGGTACCGTGCGCCGGAGATCATGCTCACCTTCAAGCAGTACACCAAGGCCATCGACGTCTGGGCCGTCGGCTGCATTCTGGCCGAGATGATCACGCAGCGCCCCCTCTTCCCCGGCCGCGACTACCACCACCAGCTGGCGCTCATCCTCGACGTGCTCGGCACGCCGTCGATCGACGACTTCTACTCGATTGGCTCGCGCCGCTCGCGCGACTACATTCGCGCCCAGCCGTTCCGCAAGATGAAGGACTTTGCCAAGCTCTTCCCGACGGCCTCGCCTGCCTGCCTTGACTTCCTCAAGAAGACGCTGGCCTTTGACCCCAAGAAGCGTCCCACCGTCGAGGAGTGCCTCGCCCACCCGTACCTCGCCGCCTACCACGACCCGGACGACGAGCCGACGTGCGAGTCGCTCGAGCCCGACTTCTTCCGCTTCGACACGCAGAAGGCCACCATCACCACCGAGGACCTGCGCGGCCAGCTGTGGGAGCAGATCGTCGACTTCAAGCCGCTCGTCTGAGCAAGTGCAGCGTCCTCGCCGGCCCTTGCCTACCCTCTCTTGTTCTCGGCCACCCCACATCCGTTACCCCGTCTTCGCAGCGAGACACCACACGCATTCCTTGTCCGACGCTGTCCCACCGCACAGCATCTGTAGCCTTCTCCTTTCTACTTCTTCAGCTGTCACCTTTTTACTCTAATCTAGCCTTTTACTTTGTACGTCGCGAGTGAGCGTGATGCAGCCGGGAAGCGAGGGAGGGGGGTGGTGGCCGAGACGCAGGCTCGCTGCTGCGGCGCTGCTGTGCCCGCCTGCCTCCACATCCTCTCGCTGCCGGCGCGCATCCGATCCTGACGCGTGTTGGATGCTCGCCTCACGCGTCGTGCCTTCTTGCCGCAGCTCCCCATCCTCGCGCCGCCCTCTCTCACCCAACAGCGTCTGCACCCGCCCGACTCGCGCAGCATCGCATGTGCACTCGCGGCGGCGCCGTGTACGCCCACCCAGCCAGCGTCTCGCTGCTGCAGCCATGACGGCGCCAACGAGCGGCTCTGGCTCGGCTGCGCGTGGGCGGGCAAGTGGCAGCGGCACAACGGTGCCCAGCTCGTCGCTCAGCGATGCTCCCTCCTCATCGATGGCGCCGCTGTCGAGCATGACGCCTTCGCGGCCCGGCGTGGCGCAGAAGAGGCAGCGCACCAGCCTGGTGGCGCCCGCGTTCGAGGGCCGGCAATTTGCACCGCCGGCATCGCCGCAGATGCCCGCTGCGTCGCCTTCGCGCGGCGGCCCAGCTAGCCAGCAAGCGTCGCCCATGGGCATCTCTTCGCATGTGCTCTCGCAGGCATCGCTGCTCGCCGCCGTCGGCAGCAGTCAGTCTGGGCGGCGCGGCGAGAGCAGCGCTGTGCGACGCTCGCCAGCAGGCGTGCCTGGCGTACATGGCGCAGCACCACCGCGGCTCGCACCGCCTTCCTCGCCGAGTCCGCGAGCTGTCAGCGGCGGCGCTCCAGCGGCATCGCCTCGCCCGCTGATGGCGCTCAGCGCACTCCAGCCCGTGCGCCTCGTTGCAGAGCCTCCGCCTCCACCGCCGCCGTTGCCGCGTCGTTCCGCCAGTCCCACTCGTCGGCAGGTGTCGCTGAGCGTACAGGCGGCGCATATGCAGCCAGCAGCCGCAGAGCAAGCGAACTCGGAGCGCCAGCTCGCAGCAGCAGCTGCGCTCGCGGCGGCACCATCTCAGCGCACACCGTTGCCGGCGGTCGAGTCACTCCTCATGCCTGCGCCGGCAGTCGTCGAGCCACCTGCAGCGCTGCCACCACCGGTGCCGCCAGCAGAGACGCCGCACGCTTCTCCAGCACTGCCGGCATCGCTCTCCTCTCCAGCACTGCCTCGTCCGCCCACTGCACCCTCGCGACATGTGCCACGAGAACGTCTCTCGACACACCTGCCCTCCCTCGACGCCCTGCTGGCGCCGCTGCCGTTTCCTACTGCGCTGCGTCCGTACTCGGCCGACGAGCAGCGGCGCATCGGCCTGCGTCCTGGCGGCGCACTCGAGATTGCGGGTCCGCCAGGCTCGGGCAAGACGGTGCTCGCAGTGGCGGCGGCGGTGCGCTGCAGACTGGATAGTCTGCGGCGAGTCAGGGCGCGGTTGCGAGCGAGGTCGGAAGGCGAGGCGGATGATGCGAGCCCTGACACGTGGGAGAGCGCGGCGAAGACAGCCGAGCAGGTGTGGCTTCTCGGTGAGTCGAGAAGCTGTCGTATCTCCCGCGACTGGTCTGCTCACACTCGATGCGCTCTAGACACCGAGGGTGCCTTGATCGCCGCTCGGCTGCGCCAGGCTGCTGTGTCGCAAGTTGCCGCGCTGCCCGAGAGCGAGGTCATCGAGTCCAGCCTCGCAGCAGATGGCGACGTAGTCATGGATGGGGCATCCTCCGCAGACGCAGATGCAGACGCCAGTCGCAAAGGCCTGCTCCGAGCTGTTCTTCAAGGACTCCACATCTCTCGGGTCCTCTCTCTCGCCGCTCTGCTGGCACACTTCTTCCTCGCCTTTCCGCCCACCATCGCCGCTCCATACGCGGGACGTCTGCCGGCGCGCTGTGCGCTCATCGTGATCGACACTCTCTCTTCGCCTCTGCGGTTCCCGCCCGGCGATACATCAGCCCAGCGCACTGCCCGCACGCAGGCCTTCGCCAGCATCGCTTCTTTCGCTGCACGGGCGCGAGCCGCCAACGTTGCCGTGCTGGCGACGAATCAGATGGCAAGCAAGATGTTTGCGCCTGGCGGAGTGCTCTCCAACTTTCGCAACCCGGACGCCATCGCCCGGCTGGTGCCGCAGCTGCTGGCGCCGCTGGTGCTCGGTGTCGACGCGGAAGAGATGCAGATCGTGCCGCGAGACGAGGCGGAGGCGGCTTGGCTGTACGCTGAACGAGGAAGCGCACTGGGCAAGGAGACGAACCGAGTCACTCTCTTTCGAGCTGGACCGCGCAGTCAGACGTGAGGAGTCGGCCACTGGCGCTGAGGCTATTTCCCTTGCCGAGTGCTGACCGCGTCCTTCCTCCACCTCTCGCACGCAGTTTCGCACAGATGGTGGGACGGCCCGCCTCGCAGCCGATGCCGCCACGCGCCGCACCTCTGATCAAGCCTGAGCCGGACGCCGAGCCTGCTGAGCCCGCCGTGCCCGAGCTCGGCTGGCGCACGTGGATCCCATTTGCCATCGATGTGAGTCGAGCGCACAGCCACTTGAAGTCGCAAAGCGGCGACTGACGCACTTTGCCGCAGGACAACGGCACGCCGTTTGAACTGCCAGACGAAGAGCCGTCGCTCGCCGCTGGCTAGCGCGCCCTTCCCATCCGGTCCCTCGTCACGCGGCCCCTCCCATCTTCACTTGTACTTGTACGCTGCACTCATTACCTTACCTCTGTCGAGCCGCGGCTGGGCCGCTCGGCGCATGGCGGAGAAGCGGGGGGGCATCTACGTGATCATTCGCAGCTTATGCTGCTGCGGGATATCTGCGGAGAGGCGAGCATCAGTCGCTGGTACAGCGCCGCTCGAGAAGAGGTGCAGCTCACTTTGTCTGAGGTACTCGAGATGCTTCGCATGCAGCGCTGCCTGCTGCTGCACGCCCTCTCCGCTCCACAGCCTGCGCTGCGGCTGCGCGCCCGTGCCGAAGATGACCGAGTGATCGGGCAGTCTCTCCTCTCTCGGCGCGTCCGCCTGCACCTCTTCGCCCTCGTCGCCGTGCTCTGCCTCAGCGAGGATGGCGGCAGCGTCGTCCGGGAAGACGGGCGATGCGGAAAGGACGCATGTGGCGCCGACGGACGTATAAGAGCCGATGCGCACCGAGCTCGCGACGGAACAGCGAGGCTCGAAGGTGTTGTGACTGCCAATCTCTGCTGCCTCGATGACTGCTCCGGTCTGATCAGCACATGCCTCGAGAAGCGACACGCTGCACGTGGCACGCACAGCAGCCGACCTCGAACAAGTTGCTCTCGCCGATCATCAGCGCCTCGCTGCGCCGGTTGACAATGCGCACGTTCTCCTCCACGATGCAGTCTGCGCCGAGATGAACCGGTCCACCTAGCGCGACGATGGAGGCGCGAGGATGCAGCACGCAGCCATTGCCGATGGTGATGGTGCCTCTGTCGAGTCGCACGCAGCTGTCAGCTGAGCAGGCTGCATCGAACGCGCGCATGCAACGCACCGCAGCTCGGCATCGGCGGCGATGACGACCTTGCTGCCGACGGTGAGCTTGTCGACGATGGCAGCTGCGGCTCTGGAGCGGTGGGCAGTGGGAGCATCAGAGCGGCCGCCGCGTTCTGGCAAGCGGAGCCAAGCTCACTCGCGCGACATGGCTGCCGCTACGGGCACCAGAGGCCAGACTGCCGGTGCACGCCTTGTCCGAGAGCGATGCGAGCCGTACTTGCGGACACGCTCGATGGAAGCAGGTGAGGTGGAGAGCAGGAGCTGGACCCCAAGGCGAGGCAAGGCGCCTACGTCCGTGCGCGGTCACGTGACCAGCGGTGCATGAGGAGGCCCAGCGTTGCGTCACTCGACTCGACCCCGCACGCCGGCAGCGGTACGGGCTCACCCACGGCGCCTTTCAGCGCCTCGAGGTGTGGGCGAGATGAGGTGCTGCCGCCGCTGCATACTGCCGAGCTGCGTTGCGTGACGAAGCACGTCCAGCTGGCGGCCCGAGAAACACGGCCTGGCGCCGGGCCGGTGCCCCTGACGAGGGCGAGCGCTGCGTGCTGGGTGCCGTGAGCCGCTGCCGCTGGCACGCGATAGCGCTGCTCTGCTCCACACGATACGCCGTGCGCCGCCGCGCCGCGCCGCCTCGGCACTCGGCATGCGGCGTCCAGCTCAGCTCGCCAGCCGCGAGACGCTTCGCTGCGCCTCCGCCTCCAAAGGCCGCTCTGGACCCACACCACGCGGGCAATCTCTCGCACCACACAGCCTCATCTCGAGCCGGCCACGTCACCTCGGGGATCAGCGTCGTCCGTGCCCCACTTCCCTCCTCTCCACCACCACCCGCAACGCCCGAGCCAGCCATGTCCTCCTCGCCATTGCCCATCCGTCCGCGCGCCGCCACGCAGCAGGAGCTGCTAGCCGCGCACAACCGCCGCCACGACGGCCTCGCGGCGACGCCGGGAGGCGCACATCTTTACGGCACCACGCCCGGCGGGTGAGTGAGGGCGCAGCACGGGTGCAGAGGGGCTGCGGAGGGCGCGCGAGTGGAACTCTGGCTGGCAATAGGTGCAGCGAGGTGGGCGAGCCTGAGCATGGCGCTCGGGCTGCCAGATAGCGTCTGCTCTGTGGCAGGACGTGGCTCTCTCTCGCATGCTCGCAAGCATGGCCGCTGCCAGCCACGGCGCTGCCTGCCACTCCTGAACCCCCATCTGACACCTCACTCGCAGCACGCGCATCGTCTACTCGCGCGAGCAGCTCCTCGCCCTCGCCTCTTCTCCGCTCTCCGCCACGCCTCCACGCGGACTGGGCGCCTCTGGCATCCCGTCTGAGATCTCCCGCTCGCCTGGCTCGGGAGATGCAGCAGCGTTCTCCTCCTCCTTCGGCGCAGCCGGCACCTCTCTGGGCCGCTCGCCTGAGAAGAGCAGTCTGCGCAACACTGCCGCTCTCAACCGCGCCATGAACATCGGCGCTGGCAGCAGCGCCGCTGGCTCTTCGCCGCCCGCTTCGCGCTCGCCTCTGGGCGCAACGCCGCGCTCGCCGGGCTCCGCATTCAACTTCAGCGGGCCTGTCAGTCCGAGCTCGCGCCGCTACCCATCTGCCGGCGGCTCGACGGCGCCAAGCGGCATCTCCGCGCAGCGACCTACGGGCCCGACATCGCCGACGGCTGCAAAGCCCAACAGCAGCAGCCCGCCGCGAGCACAGGCAGGCGGCGAGCAGTTCGCCATGGACATCTGATGCTGTCGCCGCCAACACGCTCTCTGCAGCTCTGCCTTGCAGGTGCCTTCGCTTCGACGTGCGAGCTCTCAATCTCGCTTTCCCTCCCGTCTCGTCTCTCCGCATACAATCTCTTCCTCCTCGGTCACGTCGCTGTCGCCCGCCGCTCTTCAACCCAATGCCGTCGCGTAATCTCCATCTGTCCGCCCAGTCCACCTGAATGCCGCCCGAACACCATGTAACCCTCACCCGCCCTACCTCTCTCTACTCTCTCGTGCACCTGTGTACTACACGAGCAACCACTGCCAATCATCATCTCTGCGTCATCCGAGGCTGCGAGAAAGCGAGTGGCTGTGCGCATCTCATGGTGATTGCCTATGCGCCTCCCAGCGCCTCTCCGCCTCTCTCCCTCTTTGATGCTTGCTCCGGCGCCTCTCAAGGCCCCGGCTGCTCGCTCTTCAGCGAGCTGCGGCCCGCCCGCAGGATCTCATCGACGGCGAGGATGTTGGTGGCGATGACGGAGCTGCAGGGCGGAAATCTCAGTCAGCGGAGCCATCCTTTCAGCGCAGCCCACACGTCCGACTCACGCGCTGTGCAGCATATGCCGGATGACGCGGTAGTTGTCCCAGATGCCCTGCGTGACCACGTCCGTCGGCTCGCCGGTGAGAATGTCGAGGCCGACAACGTTGCCGGCCGAGCATTCATCCTGCAGCGCCACAATGGCATCCTGCACGTCGAAGCCGCCGTTGGCAGCCAGCGTCTTAGGAATGACGAGGAGCGCATCGGCAAACGCCTGCACGCCAAGCTTGCTGCGGCCCTTGGCCGCCTTCTTCGTCTGCTCCTCGAGGTGCTGTGCTGCAGCAATCTGGAAGGCGCCGCCGCCGGGAACGAGCGAGGCATCCTCGATCGCATTCTTGACGGAGCGCAGGCCGTCGCGCACTGCGTCTTGGATCTGCGAGATGGTGTGTGCGTTGGGGCCTGGCAGGAGGTCAGCAGCGCTGGCAGAGCGAACGCGCGCAGGACGCACCCTTGATGAGCAGCGTGACACTCTTCGGCTCGCGGCACTCCTCGACAAACGTGTACTTCTCCTCGCCGAGCGTGTGCTCGTACACGAGACCCGCGTAGCCGAGAATGTCAGGCGAGAGATCGTCGACGGAGTTCTGCGCGACACCTCCGCAGCAGAGCTGCAGACGCTCCATGTTGCGGCGCTTGGCGCGGCGCAGTGCCAGGATGTTGTGCTTGGCCAGCACGTCGAGCGACAGCGGGTCGATGCCCTTCTGGTTGAAGATGACGAACTGCTTCGGCTTCTCGCTGGACGAGCCGTCCGTCGGCGCATCGCACACGGCCTGCTTCAGCTCGATGATCTTCTTCAGCTTGGCATCGACGTGCCGGCGCTCCGACTCGACTAGCTTCTCGCGCTGCTCGGCCGACGAGTAGAAGAAGCTCGAGTTGACCTCGCTGAGAGGGGCCAGCATCAGCGCCGCGCCACACACCTTGCCGGTCGCGATGCGACTCACGTCTTCTCGTACTCGAGGCTGACATTGAGCGTGAGCACGTATGCGTTCTCGACGCGGCGCGGCATGTCGGCGTGGCGTGCGCCGTGGTCCATGACGAGGCCGCGGACGAGCTGCGTGTCCGTCTCGTGGCGGTGCTGCATCTTCATGATCTCCACCATGTGCAGGTCGATGGGGTCGCGCACCTCCCACTCGGCCGGGTTCTCGGCGCTCTTGTCGCCCGTAGGCGCGGGCGCAGAGATCTTGGTGCTCGTAGACGGCCGGATTGCAAGCACAGAGTCAACAACGTCGCCTGCGAGCTGCGCTGCAAGCTTGGCGTGCAGCTTCGTCGACAGCGACGTGCGCGCCACAGAGATGAGCGTCGTGCGGTCCAGCTCGGGCGTCTGCTTGTACGTCTCGAGGAACTGCGCGCCAAGCGCGTCAGCTGCGCCCTGCAATGCCAACCCACGGCTTGCCGATCTGCCCGCGCCTGCTGCTGTGCAACTCACCTTCAGCGTGCTCGTCTTTGCCAGCTCAAAGCCCTCGCTGATGACGCGCGGGTGCACGCCCTCCTGGATGTAGCGCTCAGCCTGCTTGAGCAGCTCGCCGACGAGCAGCACGACGCTCGTGGTGCCGTCGCCGCACTGGTCGTCCTGCGCCACGGCAGTGCGCGCAATCATCGAGGCCGTCGGGTTCTGGATCTGCATCTCCTTGAGGAGACTACGCGCAAGGGGGCTCAGCGGTGTGCCTTCACGCACAGACTGCAGGCACGACTCACCGGCAGCCGTCCTTGGTCATGGTGAGGTTGCCGCTGCCATCGACCTGCAGCGCATGTCAGCTGTCCGATCCCCGCACGCCCTTCGCGCCTCTGCCACGCACCAGCATCTTGATCGTGCCGCGCGGGCCCTGCGCATCGCACACACGCCGTCAGCACGCCGTTCAGCACATGTCCCGCACCGCGCTGCTGCGCACCAGGTTCGACTTGACGACGTTGGCGAGGCCCATGGCGCCGGCGCAGTTGACGCCGAGCGCCTGTGCGCGCCGCACGCTCTCGGCGCGCGGGTTGATGAGCTCGATGGCCGAGGACATGGCGCAGGCGGAGCGAGGAGCGCGACGTGGAAGGCTGGCGCTGTGATGCACGGGTGTGCTGCGCCGGGTGCGAGAGCGGAGGTGGTGGAGCCGGTGTCGGAGAGAGAGATGCTTTCGAGGCTGCGTCTGTGCGTCTCGCGGCGCGCGTCCTGGTCGTGCCTTGGCTGTGCCTTCCGCAACCTTCGCGCCACGTGACCTCTCCCGCCCTGCCAGCCCGCCGCGCGCCTCTCGCCGTCGCTGCGCTGCGAAGGCGCGTCGAGCTTCGCGCGTGAGCCGCGGTGTGCGGCTGGACGCGCGCCTACGCCACACCGTCCGTGCTCCGTGCTCCTTCGTCACCCCTGTCACATCCCACGCCGACCACCCCGCTCTGCACCCGCATCCTCTCTCTCACCACCCAGCCCCGTTCACCCCCCACACCACCAGTCATCATGGACGGCGAAGAGTGCGTATCGCCGCGGACACTCGGGTCAGGCTGGCGACGCGCCGCTGTCGTGCGCCGCCTCGGCCTGCAGCGCAGCACCCATTCTCCGCTCTGCAGCACGCCGCTCACACCGCGCCTGCCACAGCCTTGTCGACTACGAGGAGGAGCTGCCCACCGTCACGCCGGCCGCTGCCGCCGCGACCGACGCCTCGGCCGCCGACGGTGCCGCGTCTGCCGATGCGCCCGCAGATGGAGACAAGAAGGCGAGCATTCTTCTTCCCTGCCCTTAGTTCTCTCCACATCCGGCATCTCCTGTTCCTCTCTGTCGCACCTCGTCCGTGCGGTGCATGGTGCGCCGCGTGCGGCTCTTCGACACGCTGCTGCAGCGTCATCGGCGGCGCCCTTGCGAGCTTGCACGGTGCACGTACACGATGGCGCTTTCACGCCCAGCGTTTGGATAGGAAGCCCGAACCTCGCCGCTGGGCTTCCATCCGCGCGCGGAGCGGTGCACGCCGATGCGAGCCCAGGCGCACACGACCGTCCGTGCGACCAGCCACGCACTGTGGCGCTCGCTCGTGGCGGACAGCGAGACGCGCTCGACCGGGCGGCTAGACATCCAGGCAGTCTGGCTCCTCGGACGCAATGGCCGCGAGACGCGAGCCCGGCGCGCACTTTGTCAAGCTGGCGGAGCTTGTCGATCATCGTGCTGCCACGTCGGATGTCAAATAGGCATGAGGGCTGGTAGGACGCCCGCCGCAAGTGCCAGCACGGCTGCAGCCCGCATCGGCGGACGGTGCGACGATCAACGGCGACTGCGCACTGCTCTTGCTCCATCTTGTCCCTTCGCGCTGCTCCTCCCACTCCGTCAACAGCATCCTTACGCCTGCCCTTTCCCTCCTCCTCTTTCCCCCTCGTCGCCGCGTTGCGTCCTCTTCTCTCCCACAGGCTGCCTACGCCGGCGTTCACTCGACCGGCTTCCGCGACTTCCTCCTCAAGCCCGAGCTGCTCCGTGCCGTCGGAGACCTCGGCTTCGAGCACCCGTCCGAGGGTCAGTCGAGCTGCGCGTCTGGACCGCATCGCTACGGCCCGGCCTGACATTCCCATCTCGCGCAACACAGTGCAGCAGGAGTGCATCCCGCAGTCGATCCTCGGCATGGACCTCGTTTGCCAGGCCAAGTCGGGCATGGGCAAGACGGCCGTCTTTGTGCTCGCCACGCTGCAGCAGATCGAGCCGGTCGACGGCGAGGTGGGCGTCATCGTGCTGTGCCACACGCGCGAGCTGGCGTTCCAGATCCGCAACGAGTACGCGCGCTTCAGCAAGTACATGCCCGAGGTGCGCACCTCGGTCTTCTACGGCGGCACTCCCGTCGCGGCCGACCAGGCCGTGCTCAAGGACAAGACCAAGTGCCCGCACATTGTCGTCGGCACGCCCGGCCGCATGAACGCCCTCGTGCGCGACAAGTCGCTCAAGGCCGGCGGCGTCAAGCACTTCGTTCTCGACGAGTGCGACAAGATGCTCGAGCAGATTGGTCAGTCGCGCAAAGCTCTCCGTCGTTCACTGCATCTGACAGCATCTCTGTACTTCAGACATGCGCCGCGACGTGCAGGACATCTTCCGCGCCACGCCGCACCACAAGCAGGTCATGATGTTCTCAGCCACGCTCTCGACCGAGGTCCGGCCCGTGTGCAAGAAGTTCATGCAGAACGTGCGTGGGGTCGCCCGCACGCCAAGCTCGCGCCATCGCTGACTGTTGCACGCAGCCGCTCGAGATCTACGTCGACGACGGCGCCAAGCTCACGCTGCACGGCCTGCAGCAGTACTTTGTGCAGCTCGAGGAGGCGGCCAAGAACCGCAAGCTGAACGAGCTGCTCGACTCGCTCGACTTCAACCAGGTGCGCTAGCCGGCACAAGACGTGCGTCTCGGAGCTCATCGCCCTTCTGCCACAGGTCATCATCTTTGTCCGCTCCACGGCCCGCGCCAACCAGCTCAACCAGCTGCTCATCGAGTGCAACTTCCCGTCGATCTGCGTGCACGGCGCACTGAAGCAGGAGGAGCGCATTGAGCGGTACCAGCAGTTCAAGAAGTTCGAGAAGCGCATCCTCGTCGGTGCGTAGCACGACGTTGCCCGCGCACGGCATCTGCTCACCGCTCGCCTCACAGCCACCGACGTCTTCGGCCGTGGTATCGACGTGGAGCGCGTGAACCTCTCCATCTCGTACGACGCCCCGACGTCGGCCGACGAGTGGCTGCACCGCGCCGGTCGTGCTGGCCGCTTCGGCACCAAGGGCCTGGCCATCCTCATGACGTCGAGCGAGGAGGACAAGAGCGTGCTGAGCGACATCCAGAGCCGCTTCAGCGTCGAGATCCCGCCGCTGCCGCAGGAGATCGATGCGGCGACGTACATGAGCTAGACGGCGACACTACAAAAGGCAGAAGGCATGCTCGGAGAGGAGCGCAAAGCGGAGGTGCCGCACACCTCGATGGGCCTTTGTGCACCCCTCCCTCCCTCCCTCGTCTCTCGCTCCGCTCCGCTTATCCGTCTTGTATTCCAAATTCGCGCCCTCTGCCAATTCCAACGCTGCAAAGAGGCTCTCTGGTGCCTGGTGAGAGGTATCGTCGGGCGCAGAGGAGCTGCCGGCGGCAGCGGGGCGGGCATGGAAGCGGCTCGGTGCGGGCACGAGGGACGCCTCCTCTCGCGCCGCAAAACCTCCAGCGGCGCTGCTGCTGCTGAAGGCGAGCGGAGCTGCTCCATGCGGCGTGCCCATGCGGGGTTGCTCAGCCGCAGGGTCTTCTGCCTGCGCAGGAGCAGCACACGGCGAGCACGGGCGCAGCGATAGGGAGAGCAGCACGCACGTGCCCTCGTCGCGCGAGATGACACGGGCGGCGCAGCGAGGCGGCAGCGCAGGCGCGACGATTCCGCGGAGGGCGGTGCTGCACCTCACGCTGCGCCTCTGCCGGCCGGCCGCGGCACCTCTGCAGAGACAGCGACAGGCCGGCCTGGCCCTCCGCTCTCGCGTCTGCCTGCCTGGTGCTGCGCCTGCACGCGCCTGGGAACGGGAACGGGAGCGGCACGCGTCTCTCTCTCTCTCGAGCCGGCTGCTGGCCCACCACGCTCTCCTCTCCTTCTTCCTCTCCCTCTCCCTTTCCCGAGGTCTCGCAGCAGGCCGTCTCCGTTCCTTGACGTGCTACTTCCGGCTCGCTGCGCCTTGTCTCTCTCTCTCTCTCCCTGTCCGGCCGCCAGTCCTTCGAGGCGCCGGCCGCATCTCGCTGCTCCGCGACGCTGCTCTTCCTTTCTTCTCGTGTCGCGCGAGCACACCGCACCACGCGCCATCCAGCACGGCCGACTCCATGCGCTGCGCCCGTGACGAGCCATCCGTCACGTTGCCGTAGTGCACCTTCGCCATCCTCGGGCACACCCGTCACCGCCCGCTCCGCCTGGCCGGACCTCCTTCGCACGCACCTCCCAGCGCGCGTCCGCCTGCTCTGCCTGTGCGCGTCGCGGCGCTGCTCCGCAGTGCGAGATGGCCAGCAACGCCGGCGCCATGGTCTCGCCGCAGTTCTCCGTCGCCTCCTCGAGCTCGTCGCCGGCGTACGCATCGAGTAGCGGGCGTCGCGGCGGCGGCGGCAGCAGCTCAGTGGAGGAGCACCAGCGGAGCAGCAGCTCGCACGTCGCTGCTGCAGCTGCCTCCTCTTCCCTGCGCAGCGCATCCTCTTCTTCCCTCGCGGCTGCCGCGCCGAAGAAAGCCTCGCCGTCAGACGTCATCTTTGGCTCGTCTGCCGCTGCTCGTACAGTCGAAGAGCTCGGGCTGCAAGCCGATGCGTCCGTCTCGGCAGGCAGTTCGCAGCAGACGTCTCCCGAGCAAGGCAGCTCTTCGGCCAGTCACTCGGGTCCGGCGACTGTCTTGACAGACGCAGCTGGAGCCCTGCCGGCGGCGAGAGAGGCACTCAAGGAGCCGGGCGTGCGGGAAGTGGAGATTGAGGAGAAGCGAGAGCTGCCGGCCACTTTCGAGGATGCGGACGTGGACGACGTGGTGCTACTGGTCGGTGAGTGGGCGCGCCGGGTCATCTCGAGCGCAAGCTGCCTTGCTGGGATGTGTTCGTGCTGCCCCGTGCCTCGAGGATCTGCAGCTGCAGCTGCGCTGGTCGACGGCACGGCTTTGCGCACTGCCTCTATCCGCTTCGCCTTTGCACTCGCTGACGCTTTGCCTGCAGCGGACATGCTCACGCGGCTCACCTCGCACAACGACCATCTGCCATTGCACCCTTCCGCATTGACGCGCTTCCACTCGCGCGCCACGCCCGGCATCACCATCACCTCGTACCTGCGGCGCATTGCGCGCTACACTTCGCTCGACAAGGCCTGCGCTCTCATCTTGCTCGTCTACATCGACCGCGTCTGCGAGCGCATGGAGGGCTTCACTGTGTGCAGCCTGACCGTGCATCGCTTCACCTGTGCCGCTGTCGTGTGCGCCAGCAAGGCGCTGTGCGATGCGTTCAGCACGAACGGTGAGCGCGCCTCGACCTGCATTGCGGCTTCTTCTTGCTGACTCTCGAGTCAGGCCACTACGCGCGTGTTGGCGGTATCTCGCTCATTGAGCTCAACATGCTGGAGAAGGAGTTCCTCAGCATCATCGACTGGCGTCTGACGGTGAGTCATGGCCTCGTGTGCAAGCGTTGTGCCTGCGCTGATCAGCGCTATCCGACGTGCAGTGCAGCGGTGTGCTGCTGCAGCACTACTACGCCTCTCTCGTGCGCTCGCACGCCTCCTACGTCCTCGCCGAGCCCAAGCCGTCCGAAGTCGTCGCCCCGACGCAGTCCGCCAACGACGTCTCGATGGCCGAGGCCTCGTCGTCGTACGAGAGCAGCAACGGCGGCGGCGACATGGTCGTCGACGAGGCGCCTGCCGCCGGCGTTCAGCGTGCGCCCGAGGAGGAGCGTCACGGCAAGCGACGGCACCACACGTCGCCACCTGCTTACTCGGACGCTTCATCTGGCGCCAGTCCCGATGCTCATGCACGCAAGCGCAGCAGCGACGTCCACGGTGGCGTCTCGGGCGTTGGCTGATAGCGTTTGCGCCGCGCCCGCCACTTCTGCACCTGCCTCTTCGCTGCTCCTTCTCAACTCATCCGTCGCGGTTTCCTCCCTCCTCCTTCATGCTCATCTGTGCTTCCTCGAGACGCCCCACATACACTCGCACGCTCCCGCGACGCCCTTTCTTCTCACCCTACATGCGCTCGGCTTGCCCTTCTCTCCCTCGTCGTTGCATCACGTCTCTTCCCCTGCCGACCACGCACATCTCCGGGCCTGTTGCCTCTCACTCGGTCACGCAATGACAATGAAACTCGGCTTGACGCCTAGCAGCGGTATAGGCACGACGAGGGCGCGCAGGAGGAGGCAGGACTCTGGTAACACGGAGAGGCAGGGCGATGGAACAGGTATGGAGACGGATAGCTGGATGGGTAGTGTGTAGCGCACTGCCCGGCATCAGCTCAGAGCCTGCACGTGGACGTGTGAGCGTGTTGGATGGTGGGCCAATGCAGCCGGGAAGACTCACCGCGATGAGCACGATCGCGACGACGAAGCCGACCACGGCGAGCAGACATGCAGCACGCTTGCCGGCCTTGCGCTGGTACTCGTGAGCGCTCACGAGTTCCCGGTCGGCGGCGCCGGTATGCGTGGCGATGGTCTGCACGTTGTACTCGATGTTGTCTGCACGGAAGCGAGCGTGAGCCTCGGCGTCGATGCAGCAAGAGGCCGCAGCTGCGCTCACCAATCATGCCGCCCTGCTCCTGCACGATCGTGCCCAGATCGCGGAAGATCTCGTTGAGCTCATGGATGCCGCTCTCGATCTCGCGGATCTCGGCCTCGCGCTCGGAGATAAGCGCCTCCTGGAACTCCACCTCGGCCTGCGATGGCCCGACCTGCGCGACCGCCTGCGCCTGAGCCTGCTCTTGTTGCTCGCCTGCCTCTTCCTGTGACTGCGCAGAAGAGTCTGGTGCAGCTGAGGGGTCGGCGACGTTGATGAGAGGCGTCGTCTCGAGGGCTCTGCGGAGCGGTCTGTTCAGCACGAGCTCTTGCCGCTGCTCAGGGGCAGTACTGCTGCCACTCACTTCCGGTTGCCCTCCTGCTTTCTCCGCTCGCCCTCCACAGCCTTACGTCCAGCCTCTGCGCCGCGCAGCTGCGCCTGCTTGAAGCCCTTGAGTGCCGCCTCGAGGTCCGAGCGCAGCTTGTTGAGCGCGATCTTTTGCGCCTGGCCCGAGCAGCGCAGCGCGCCCAGCTGCTTCATGTCCGAGAGCAGCGAGCTCGAGAGCGATTGTGTCGTCGAGGTGAGGTCGGCCCTGCGCATGAGATCGTGCGTGAGATGACTGCAGCACAGACATCAATGCAGCGAGAAGGAGTCACAAGCAGCGACACGTTGCGAGGCAAGCGTGCCGTGCTCAGGCCGCCCCAAAGCGAAGCATCGGCGGCTGGTCTTGGCCTCCACCTGTGCACATCTGACTCACACAGACTTGGTCCAGTCGCGGTCCTTGCCAGCACCCGTGCCTCCGCTCTTGCTCGACAGCTCCACCAGCTTCTCAATGCCCGCGACGTTGGAGTTGAGCTTGAAGATCTGGATGCCCATGCGCTTGGCGAGGCGCTCAAACTCGAGCTCCACCTCGCTGGGCGCACTGCCAGCTGCACCGGCAGCCTCGACGTCGATGGCGGCGTGTGTGCTGTTCGATGCGGCGTTGGATGATGGCGGTGCACGGTAGAGCGGCAGCGGCGTGAAGGAGCCCGAATGGCGAGGTGCGGCGCCGGCTCGCCCCACGGAGCCCGTCAGGCCACCGGCTGCGCCGCCGCGCGAGGGCGAGCCGTGTGCGCCATTGCCGGCGCCGCCGGTGCCGCGCTCGAGATCGTTGAAGGACATGTAAGTGCGCGGAGATGAGCGCCAGGCAGCTGCTGAGAAGGAGTGACGCGGCTGCGAGAGGGTGGAGGATGGATGTGGGGAGAGGCGGAGATCGGCGGCGCGTGCGCTCCTCGGCCAGCCGGCGAGCCAAGCCTCACAGCATGAGCCCCGTGCGGGCGCAGCGCACGTGATCGGCCGGCGCTCGATAATTTGGCCAGCGCTGACCGGCAAGGCTCACCTCAGCTCCACTTCCTTCCTGCCGGCACCGCTCTCGCCCCCTCCGCCGTCGGTCCGCACTGCGGCTCACCTGGGAGATGACCAGGCGGAAGGTGAATCCCAGCATCCCGCCGCATTCCATGTCGCGGCGCTCCGCCCCGGCAGACTCCACCGAGCCCACCTTCGCCGAAGGCTTCATCAATCACAAGGTCGTGTCCAAGGCCGAGCGCCGCGCCATCCACGAGGCAGCGGAGAAGGCGGCGCAGGAGAAGAAGGCCGCCAAGAAAGCTGCAAACCAGGCCAAGATAGACGCAGCTGCGCAGGCGAAAGAGCAGCGCAAGGCGGCAGCAGCCAGAAAAGCCGAGCGAAAGGCGCGCCACGAGGCCGAGGTCAAGGCGGCCCAGGAGCGCAAGGCCGCGAAGCAGGCTGCGGCACCAGCAGGGCCGGCAGCAGCGGGTGCCAAGAAGAAGAGCAAGCAGATCGTCGATACGGCTGAGGGAGAGCGGTCGCGCGAGGAGCGATACCGCGCCCAGCAGGCCCAGCACCGCGCGCCCGCGCCCAAACTGCCGATGCCCAGGAAAGAGGCCAGCTCTGCACCTCGCGCAGCCATGAAGGCCGAGTCAGCATCACGCAAGGCCGACGAGGTGCCTCGCTTCGACGCCGCATTCACCTTTCCAGACGATGCCGGTCCGAGCGCCGCTGGCCCGTCGAGCTCTGCGCGCGTTGCTGCGCCGAAGGAGGAAGAGGCTGAGGAGGAGGAGGGCGAGTGGATGGGCGATGCCTCCTTCACCCTCGACGCGGCGCCGTCGCAGCCGTTCGGCCTCGAGGCGCTCGCCAAGCCCGTCGTGCGCGCGCCGTCGCCGCTGCGCCAGGAGCAGCAGGTGAACGGCCTGCTGCTGCCGGGACACGTGCAGATCGATGCGCCGGCGGCGTCGCCTGAGCGCACGGCAGCGCAGGAGGAAGAGGCGCGCAAGGACGACTTGGCTGCGCAGGGCGAGCTGGGCGACTATGCGCAGCTGGACGACACGTCGGGCAAGGGCCGCTACTACGATGCAGAGGAGAAGGCGGAGCGCCTGGCGCGCGAGGAGTGTCCTGTCTGTGGCGAGCTTGGGCACGACAAGAAGGGCTGCACGCACTCGCAGGTGAGTCGGCTGCCGTGGTGCGGCCGATGGCTGCTGCTGACGCTGCCCTCAGTGCCTCGCTTGCGGAGCGCTGGACGAGCACTCGACGCGCGACTGCCCGCTCGGCGTCGTCTGCTTCCGCTGCGGCAACACTGGCCATCGCTCGCAGAACTGTCCCGTGCCGCGGCGGCATGGCGGCTACCAGTCCTCGTGCGCGCGTTGCGGCTCGCCGCGCCACGTGGAGAAGAACTGCCCGACGCTGTGGCGCATCTACGCGTTCAGCACGAACGGCGAGTGGCGGCGCTTCCGCCGGCGCAAGGCGATGGGTGCGGATGAGAGCGATGGCAATGCGTCGGGCAGCGACATGGCAGTGTCGAGTGGCGAGGATGATGCGGCGCGGAAGAAGCGCGAGCGCAGCCCGGCGCGCGACTGGGACCCAGCGGTGAGTGCGGTCACGCACGGCACTCGGGCCTCCTCGCTGATGTCCTGTCCAGGTGCTGTGGTGCTACAATTGCGCGGCTGCCGGCTCTCACTGGGGCGATGACTGCCCGCTGCCGCGCTGCAACCCGACGCGCTCGTCTGGCGACCCGTCGACGTTCAGCGACTTCCTGTCGCGCTCCGGGCCATTTGGCCAGTACCTGCCCGACGCACCGGATCCGTGGGAGACGTCGTATGGCGACAGTCGCGGCGCAGGCGGCTCCCGCCAGAGCCACCACATGCCGGCGTCGCGGGCCGGTGCTGGCATCGAGTTTTCGGTCGGGCCCGGCGCATCGATGCATTTGGCCGCAGACCCGAGCCGCGGCGCTGCACAGACGGTCGACGACCTCTTCGCCGGCATTCGTCCTGCAGGCCGAGGCCACAGCCGCGCGCGACGCCAGCCCGACCACGGCAGCTCGCGCACAAGCTCGCGCGACGAGCAGGCGTCGAAGCGTCGTCGGCATGAGGAGGCTGAGCGCGACGAGGAGCCTGACTGGTTCGACCGCCACTCGGCGCCGTCTGGCAGCAAGGGCTCGCACGCCGGCCGGCAGGGGCAGTCGCTTGCCGAGCGGCTAGCCTCCGGGAGCAGTCCGCGCAACGGCGGCAGCAGCAGCAAGCGCCCTCGTCGCGACATGGACTCCGACTCGGACTCTGACGACTCGCACTCGCGCTCCGGTCGCTCTGACCGCAAGGGCGGCAAGAAGAGCTCCAAGAACGAGCGCATGCGGCAGCGCAAGGAGCAGAGCGAGCGCGACCGCGCCGCACACCAGGCTCGTGTGGCCGCTGGTGGCGGCAGCAGCGAGCGCATCGACGAGGACGCGCGCCGCGAGCAGAGCCGCCGCGATCGCGAGCGCAACCGCTTGGCCGAGGAGGCACGCTCTCGCCGCGCCGGCCATGAGAACCGCTCGCGCGGCGAGCCCAGCTTCGGGCCGTACTCGCGCGACGACGGCGAGCGCCGTGCGCCGCAGAGCGACAGCCGGGGCTTCCGGCCGCAGTACAACGGTGGCTACTGAGGGGCGGAGCAATGTATCACGATAACTGCGCTGCACACAGACTGAAGTAGCGCGAAGAGGTGTGCATTGGTCATAGCGGGTAACGAAGGGGCGTACAGACGTAGAAGGGAAGGGGTGAGGAACCGACGGTCCCATGAAGAGGCGGCAGAGCCAGGGGATGAAGAGCAGGGGCTAGACGGCAGCCCACGGGAAGGCGCGTTGCGAACAGAGATGGGGATGGCTACGGCCGCGACACTATCCGGGCCGGGCCTCTCTGAGATCCGCGTGGCGGGTGCTTGCGGCATCCGAGCCCGGCTGGAATCGTGCCTTCATAGACGGCCGCGAAGTTCCTAGGCGGAGACGCCGATCTTCTCGCCGATGCGCGCGGCAATGTCGGGGTGCACACGCTTGAAGACGGCGAGCTGGCGCAGCTGGATCTCCTTGCTCTTGCAGCCGCCGAGGTGGCCCGAGACGTTGTTGATGAAGCGCTCCTTGGCGCCGTCGTCGAAGACCTTCTCCCACAGCGCGCGCGGCTGCACAAAGTCGAGGTCGTTGACCTCGCTGAGGAAGTTGCCGATCGACGAGGCGGCAAAGTCGTCGTGCGTCGCGCTGTGCACGACGGGGCGCTTCGTGTACTGCAGCGGCACGACCGTCGACTGGTAGTTGGGGCGCGCGCCCTGGTTGCCGTTCACCGTCATCGCGCCGTCGCGCTGGAAGTTCGCCACCGGCACCAGCGGTGCGTTGACGGGAATCTGCTGGTAGTTGACGCCGAGGCGGTGGCGGTGCGTGTCGGGGTACGAGAAGAGGCGCGACTGCAGCACCGGGTCGGCCGAGGGCTCGATGCCGGGCACGAGGTGGCTCGGCGCGAAGGCGACCTGCTCGATCTCGGCAAAGTAGTTCTCCGGGTTCTTGTTGACGGTGAGCTTGCCGACGGGGCGCAGCGGGTACTCGCTGTGCGGCCAGACCTTGGTCAGGTCGAACACGCTGTGCTCCCACTTCTCGGCCTGTTCCTGCGTCATCGTCTGCAGCGAGACCGTCCACGTCGGGAAGTCGCCGGCCTCGATCTGCTCGAAGAGCTCCTGGTTGTGGATGTCGGGGTTCTCGCCCGCGAGCTTGACACCCTCCTCCTGCGTGTAGTGCTTGAAGCCCGAGTCGCTGCGCAGGTGCCACTGCGCGTAAACCCAGTTGCCCTGCTCGTTGACGAGCTTGAACGTGTGGCCCGAGTAGCCGTGCTGGTGGCGGTGGCCCTTGGGAATGCCGCGGTCGCCCATGAGGATCATGACCTGGTGCACGCTCTCCGGGTTCTGCGACAGGTAGTCCCAGAACATGTCGTTGTCCTTAAGGTGCGTCTGGGGGTCCTGTGGGTCGGAAGTGGTCAGCCAAATGAACGGCGGATCACCAGAGGGCACCCAAAGACACGCCCGGCACCCCAGAACACCCCAAAGCCCTCCTACACCCTCTCAACCCCTTAAAACTAACGCGCTTCTGAGTGTGGATGAAATGAGGACTGTAAAGGAGGAGGAGAGTGAGTAGGGGATGGTGGCGAGGGAGGGAGGCGATCGGGGATGGAGGAGGTGGTGGCGCGCCGGACGCGCCGCGCGCGCGCCACACCTCCGCCTCCGCGCGCGTTCCGCTATTTAACTCACAACTTGGCCGGGTCACGCAGGAAGAAGATGGGCGTGTTGTTGAAGACCCAGTCGTAGTTGCCCTCCTCCGTGCGCAGCTTGACGGAGAAGCCGCGCGGGTCGCGGGCCGTGTCGGCGGAGCCGCTCTCGCCGCCGACGGTCGACCAGCGCACGGTGAGCGGCGTCTTCTTGCCCTGCTCGAGGAACTTGGCGCAGCAGATGTCGCTCACGTCGTGCGTGGCCTCAAAGACACCGTGCGCACCGCCGCCCTTGGCGTGGACGACGCGCTCGGGGATGCGCTCGCGGTCGAAGTGCGCGAGCAGGTCGATGTCTGTGGCGTGCCGTCAGCGCCGAACGCGTCTGACTCTGATGCTGCACTCACGGTGGAAGTCCTGCAGCAGCAGCGGGCCGCCAATGTTTTTCTTGCCGTTCGAGACGCGCTGCGTCTGGTACGGCTCAGGGAAGGGCGCGCCGTTGGACGTCGTGTAGGTGACCTGCGAGAGTAGGTGAGAAGGTGGTCGCGCCGGCTGGCGTCGTGCGCTGCTCACGTTCTCCGGGCCGGCCTTCCAGACAGATGCAGATGGCATGGTGGATGTTTGATGTGTGGTGGGTTTGGTGGGTGGCGATGCGCGAGCGAGAGCAGTGCCGACGAGATTTATATACTCTGCGGCGGGGCGTGGCAAGGACTACTAGACTGCCGGCTGCAAGAGGCGGTAGAAGGCACATGGGCAAAGTGCCCATCTCACCCGCGCGCCGCACGGTGATGAGCGCGCGCATGCGCTGGGCACGCCGCCTGTGTGGCGCCGCGACCGGCGACCGCCTCGGCACTCGGCGAGCGAGGCGGCGCCGCGCGCCCGTGCACCGCTGCAGCCGTGCCGCCGCCGTGCCGTCAGTGCCGCTCCATCATCGCCGCGCCGCCACCGGAAAGCTTCCACCGCCTGCGTCGATGTGCTTCTCCTGTCGCCGCCTCGCCGCAGGAGCGCTCGAGACATTTCCCTCCGCGCTCAGCCAACGTTAGAGCGCGCTCAGCGCGAAAAACAGTGTCAACGGCCTCCGCTCCGAGGAAGGCTGGGCTCATCAGGCGTCCACGCGGCACCCGTCCCTCGCAGCGTGCCCTCGACAGCCGCAGCTCGCCGGCGGCTGTCGCCCGGCAGCATGCCGCTCTGCCGTCCACGCTCGCCTTCTTGCTCGCTCCTGCCCTCGCTTCATTCGCTGCCGCTTGCCTTCCCCGCACTGCAGCGGCAGCAACGGCGAGCGCCCTTGCACGCTTGGACAGCGCCCTCCTCCCATGCATGCATGCACGTGCAGCCTCCTGCAGCTCGACCCCACACTCTTTGCTCGCTGTTGCGCTGCTGGCCTTCCTTTCTGCGCAGCAGCATCTCGCAGACAGCGGCAGTCCGAGCCCACTCTGTTTCACGACCTCTCATCTCGCCCCAGGCACTTGATGGCCAGACGCGCGCCGTGATTGGCTGGCGAGCGAGCATGCACTGAGGCCTGCTTATGTCACCCTCCGAGCCAGAGCGTGTGACCATCCTTCGGCGTTTCGACTCTGGAGCTTGGCGAGCGGCTCGAGCTTTGCCCGTTCTGCTCGGAGGGATGCCCGATGTCACATGCCGACGACAGCGGCGCCGGCGCTTGACGCCATCGGATGGAGCTGCGACAGCGGGTTGTGGTGGCGGCCGATTGCTCAACGCGGCAGAGGCGCGAGAAATGTGTGCGAAGGAGGCGAACCTGGCGTGCCAGCGCGGGTGCTCTGCCTAGCGGGAGCGAGCTGAAGAAGCTCGAAGGCCTGCACCTTGACTGGGCTTGAATATTGAACGTCAAAGAGGGAGCATTGACAGCAAACCTTCGACGGCAGCGGAGGAAGTACAGGGATGGGTGCGAGCTGGACGCGCTTCTAGACCATTCGGATCTCCACCTCTCGCACGGGCCCGGCAGAAGCGAAAGCCGGCCGCGTCGATCTCGCTTGGCGCCAAGTGGAGGCATCCGTTGCAGCTCCGATCCGCCGCCTTGCACCTCTCTCCATCACCCCTCGCTACCCCTAGCAAAGATGGCCACTCTCAAGCCGATCCGCTTCGAGTTCCCCGACGCCACGCTGGAGCGTCTGGCGCGCCGGCTGGACGACGCCCACCTGCCCGACACGCCCATCGTGCCCGACGCCGGCTGGAAGTACGGCACGGAGCTCGGCAAGCTCAAGCAGATTCTTGCCGACTGGAAGAGCGGTGCGCCGGCGCGCTCGGACGGCTCGCACGCCGAGGGTGGAGGCGTGCAGAAGTGGTGGAAGGGCGTGGAGAAGCGCATCAACCGGTGCGTGGCTGGCGGGCAGCGCATGTGCGAGGCAGAGCTTACCTGTGCCATCATAGGCACCCCCACTTCCTCGTCGAGATCGAGGGCATCTCTGTGCACTACCAGATCGCCAAGTCGAAGGATCCGGACGCGGTGCCGCTCATCTTCAGGTGCGTCTGCCGAGCCCTGTCCTCCACTTGCCACGCTGACCAGCCCCGCGCAGCCACGGCTGGCCTGGCGTGAGCACTGCTCCTGCTGCAACTTGCGCTCTTGCTGATTCCTCCACAGTCCTTCTTCGAGGCCGACCTCATTCTCGACCGCCTCTCGGCACAGTCCGACAAGGGCACGTCCTTCCACGTCGTCGTGCCCTCGCTGCCCGGCTACGGCCTCTCCGGCCCGCCGCCGCGCCAGGGCTGGACGCTTCAGGACACGGCGCGAGTCTTTGACACGCTCATGACTGAGGTGCTGGGCTACAAGTCGTATGCTGCTCAGGGCGGCGACTGGGGCTATGCTGTGCGTGCTTTTGATTGGCCCGTCGAACGCCTCGGCGCTCACAACGATGCTCCGACAGGTGACGCGCTTCCTGGCCAACCACCCGGGCTGCAAGGCGTACCACACCAACTTCATCGTGCCCAACCCGCCGATGTACGCCTCGGCCATCATCGCTGCCGAGAAGGTCGGCGCCAAGGGTCTGGCGGCGCGCACTATGCCCTGGCTGTTCTCCGACTTCGAGACGGGCCTCGTCAAGCGCGGCCTGGACTACCTCGACCAGGGCTTCGGCTACTATTCGATCCAGAGCACGAAGCCCGCGTCGCTTGGCTACGGCATGCACGACTCGCCGGTGGCGGTACTCAGGTGCGTCTGTCAGGAACGAGAAGCGCTGAGCTGCAGCTGACGTCGCTCGCGCACAGCTGGTTCCTGGACGTGAGTTTGATGGGCTCTGAAGAAGCGTTGTGCTCACGACCTGCGGTGCCGGTGGCCAAATGCAGAAATTCCAAGGTGAGCCGCGCGGCTGAGCATGCATGCAGCGCTGCCCCTGTTGACTCCCATTCGCTAGGCTGGAGCGACCCGGGCGCTCCTGCGTTCGCACCGAAGAGCAAAGCCGACAGCAGCAGCGGCATCAACGATGAGAATCTCCTGTGAGCCGAGCTGCGCAGGCCAGGCGTAGAGGCGGAGACTGATATGGCTCCACAGAATCAACGTGACGCTTTACTGGCTGTCCGGCACGATGTGAGTGCCGCGGTGCGTCCGACGTAGCATAGCATCTCACTGATGCTTTCCTTCGCTCAGCCACACCTGTAAGCAACGTCCGGCTGACCGCTGCTCTCCCGCCGCTCACGATCGCCGCAGCCTTCCTACCGTACAAGGAGATGGGCGGCCTGATGTACCAGCTCGGCACCGACCGCAAGCTCACTGCGCCTGCGCGTGACAAGCCGTACGGACGTGCGTGATGCATCGCAGAACGCCGGCTCCAGGCCCTGCTAACCCCTCCCACAGACTCGGGCTTCCCGTACGAGCTCGCCGGCTCGCCAAAGGCGTGGATCCCGCGCTGCGGCCTCAATCTCGTCTTCTACCGCACGCACGAGAAGGGAGGACACTTTGCTGCGCTGTGAGAGAATGCCGCCTGCATCTTGTTCGCGGTCTTAGACACTCACGCCTGCCGTTTCTCCAGCGACAACCCGGAGGCGCTCGCAGATGACGTGCGCGACTTCTTCACCGAGTCGTTCCCGAGAGCATGAAGCGAAGACATGCAGGGTGTCATTGGAATATCAGCTGATGTTGAGACAGGCAGAGATCCGTGTGTGAGACCGAGCGAGTCTCTGGCGCCTCGGCGTCCGAGGCAGGGCGGGACGTTCCTGCATCTGTTGCCTTGCACAGCGGCACAAGGCGCGACCCTTGCATGGCAGATGACCTGCGAGAGCGAGCCGCACCCTGATAGACGGGGTATGCAGGTCCCGGCCGGTGGCTTGCTGGCGCACTGTGCTGTCAAGCTGAGGTGCGAGGGGCCAGGGGAGGCGGAATGGTCCGGTTCCCACGCATGCGCGGGCGTCGCGGCGCGCCCACGTGGCGCCAGCGCCCGGCCAAGCACGCAAGGCCGCTGGCGCGAGGGGCGCGGCGCGCGCTCGTCATCCGCGCCGCGCTGCCTGCGCGTGCACGCTATCCGTCGCCTCGAAATGTCGCCATGCCCGAGGATGCAAGAGCAGCTGGCACGCAGAGCAGAGAGCATCTGGCACCTCCGCAGTGTCACACGCTGCACCTTCTCCATTTAGCGCACGCCTGGACATCGAGTTCGCCAGCCACGCCGAGTGCGTGCGCGCTCAGGGCGCCAGGAGCGCACTCCCTTTCGATCGGCTGCGTGTGTGTCGCGCGCGTGCGTGCGAGGGGGAGGTGATAGCACGTCTCTTCCGTAAGGCCGGAGGCCGGCAGCGCTAGCTCGTTGGCGTGCATCAGAAGCATCTTGTGGCCCTCAAGTCGGCCGGTCGGCTGCTCCTCGAAGCACGCCTCGTCTATCACACCACCGCCGCAGGGCCGGCTGCAGCTGTCATGCTTTCCCTCCTGGGTGCATCTTCCGACTCCGATCAGCTGGTTGCAGAGCTGAGAGGGGCCAAGGTGGTCCAAACGATCGCTCCAGTGCTTCGGCGCACCCGGAGCCCCTCCTCCGTCCTGAGCAGGACTTGACTCATAAGGCGAGCGTCGAGCAGCTCTGCCCCCAGGCTCGCGTCTGTCCCTTCCCCTCTCACCTTCGCTTCGCTGCCAAGATGGACTCTCCTGCAGCTCCTCTGTCTCAGGGCGTCGGCTACGGCGTCATCATCGGCCTCGGCGCCTTCTTCGCCATTGTGAGTTGCAAGCTGCAGCAGCCCGCGACACGTCTGACGCGCCTGAGCAGGTCGTCGTCGGCATCTCAGGCTCGCTGCACCGCTTCGGTGGAGTCAAGCAGACGTCGGCCGAGTATGCCATTGCCAGTCGCTCGCTGGGCGTCGGTCTGACGGCCGCCGGTGCCGTCTCGGGCTGGACGTGGTCCGTGACGCTGTGAGTGGATGCCGCGCGTGACGCCTCGCTGCCTCTGTCTGACGCGCTACACAGTCTCTCCTCGTGCACGGTTGCCTACTCGCAAGGTCTCGCTGGCGCTCTGATCTACGGCGCAGGTAACATGTCCCAGGTGGCGCTCTTTTCGCTCATGGCGGTGCGCTTCAAGGCCAAGGTCCCGCAGCTGCACACGCACCTCGAGCTCCTTCACCGCCGCTACGGCCCCGCCGGCCACCTCTCGTTCCTGTTCTTCGCGCTCTCGACGAACATCCTCGTCGTCTCCTCCGTGCTCGTCGGAGCTGCCGCGGCCGTCAACTCGATCACGGACGTCAACATCTACGCGAGCCTCTGGCTGCTGCCGCTCGCGGTCGCGGCCTACACGCTGCGCACCGGCCTGCGTGGCACGATTCTCGCCGACTATCTGCACACCGTCATCATCTTCATCATCCTCTTCGTGCTCTTCATTGTCACGTACAGCACCGGCTCGCAGATCGGCAGCTCGGGCCGCATGTGGCAGCTCTTGCAGGACGCTGCGGCGCGCAACCCGTCGGAGAACTACCAGGGCAGCTACACGACGCTCAAGAGCCGCGGCGCCATCCAGTTCGGCTGGCTCTCGTTCCTCGAGTACACTGGTGTCGTCTTCAACGACGCCTCGTTCCACCAGAAGGGCCTCGCCGCCGGCCCGAGCGCCGTGGTGCCAGGCTACCTCATCGGCTCGCTCTCCTGGTTCTCGATTCCCTGGGCCCTCGCCACGACGGCCGGCCTGGCTGCCCTCGCACTCGAGACGACGTCGACGAGCTTCCCGACCTACCCGCGCCGCATGACGGCCGGCGAGGTCAGCGCCGGCCTGGTGCTGCCGTACGCCGCCAACGCCGTGCTTGGCTCCGGAGGCTCGGCGGCCGTGCTGCTGCTCATGTTCATGTCCTCGACGAGCGCCATCAGCGCACAGCTCATCGCCGTCTCGTCCATCGGCGGCTACGACGTCTACAAGACCTACCTCAAGAAGTCGGCCACGCCGGACGACATCCTCCGCGTGCAGCGCTACGTGGTCGTTGGCTTCACAATCTTCATGGCCGCGTTTGGATCGCTCCTGCATGGCGTTGGCGTGGACCTCGGCCTCCTCTACAACATGTGAGTGGCTGCCCGAGGCGGATGCCTAGTCCTATGCTTACCCTTTGATTGCAGCACCGGTGTCTGGTCGACTGCCGCGCTTCCGCAGATGATCTTCAGCTTCTGGTCCGAGCGCACGCCGAAATGGGTCGCCTTCCCGGGCATCTGGATCAGCTTCGCCGCCGGTCTCGGCACCTGGCTTGGCCTTGCGCGTCGCCTTGAGGGCGGCATCACCATCGCGGCGCTTGGAAGCCAGGACGTCAACGTGAGTTTCTCGAGTGCGGCCTGCTACGTACCCTCGCTCACCTACTGCGCAGATCTACGCCTTCACCGCGGCCATCGCGACCGGCCTGGTGATTTGCACGGTCGGCGTGCTGTTCTTCCCCGGAGACTTCACCTGGCAGTCGCTGTGGGACGCGCGCAACAACGACTCGGCCGACGCCAAGGAGCTCGAAGAGATCGAGAACGACTCGCGCTACAACGCCTCGTCGCTGCGCAAGTGGACCATCCTCGCTGGCATTTCCAGCGGCACGATCTTCGGTGCGTCGCGGACTTGCCTGCATCTGCTGCTGCTTCGCTGACTCCACGCCCCTGCAGTGGTCTTCATGCTCATCTGGCCGCTGAGCCTGTACCGCGACTACATCTTCCCCCGGAGCTTCTTCGGAGGCTGGGTGTGGGTCTCCTTTGCGTGGTCGGTGCTGGCCTTCGTGGCCGTGGGCCTCTACCCGCTCTACGAGGGTATTCCGCTGCTGCGGCTCGTCGGCTCCGGCGTGCTCAACCGGCTGCGCGGCCGGCACTCGCCGACGCCGTCGCCCGCGGCAAGCAGCAGCAGCAGCATCGGCCACGACGAAAAGGTGCCCGTCTCGCCCAGCGGCGAGACAAGCAGCTGAGCGCGCGCCGGGCCTTGCGGCCGTGCCTGCTCGATTTGCTTGTTCTCCGGCCGCTGCTCTTTCTCATTACACTATGTTCTCCTTGTCACACGTAAAAGTCGAATCGAAGCAGCTGAGACATGGCGGCCGCGTGGGCGGCGGAGTGGCGCTGCGGGCGGCGGAGCGGCGCATCGCAGACGGATGCGGCGGAGGCGGCGCTGCTCCCACGCCAACTCTGCGCTGCCGTGCCGTACGTCCGTAAGCCGCAAGATGGGCCGCAGCCGCAGCCTCCGCCCATCGACGAACGTTCCCGGAACCGTCGCATGCGAAGTTGCAGAGCTCGCACGGACGTTGCGAGTTCTTGGAGGAGCTGAGGGTGAAGTGACGCGGCGCCGAGGTGCCGAGCGCAGCGGCTGCGGTGCTGCGCCGCGCCGGCGCCCCTTGCAGAGGCCGGCGTAGTGCGTGCCTGCGCCCGCGCCCTCCTCATCATGAAGGGCTCGCCGCCGCGCTCTCTCGTCATGCGAGCGCCGACAAGCTCGAGCAACACGAGACGGCCTCTGCGGCGGCATGCCTTGTCGATCATGCTCGCGGCCGAGTCGCATGCGTCGGGAGCGCGAGGCGTCGAGATGGGCCTCCGCCGCCGCAAGCAGCGGTTGCGGCGTCGGGCTTCGAGTGAACCCCAGCGAGACCTGCGCGCGGGTCCTTTGTTGTATGTGCGACTACAGCTGGCGGGGCGCGCCGAATACAAGAAATGTGTTGTGGCGCGCGCTGGCGGTGCCGCCGTGCCGAGGGGGCTGCCGCCGCGCCGTGCCGCTTCCGGCATGCGCTTGCGCTGTCTCGGGCACGTCGCCTGTGTGGCCGCTCCGCCGCGCCTCAGAGACACGCCTCGCCCCGCGCAGCGCCGCCTCTTGGCTTGTTCTCAGCCGCCGGCGCCTTGGCTCTCCCGCACCCTCACACCAAGACCCGTACCGTCCACTCCGCAGCCGTTCCGCGAACGCACCGCTCCGCCTCTCGCCTCTCAAGTCTCTCCGTCTCAGTCTCCTTGCGATCCTGGCTGATCGCTCCTTCCTTCTCGACCCATCACTCGCTCTCCTCTCTCCACTCCCTTCCGCGTCCTGCGCGCGCCTCCCATCCCCTCGCCTCGCCCTCACACGTCGCGCTCGCCGCCTCGTCCCGCCTCAGTCCGCGCAGCTGCCGCCCGACCGCAGCAACCTGTCGTTTCTGCGTCAGATCGCTGCACAGCGCTCTTCTCTTTCCCTCTCGCTCGCGTCGCCGGCTCTGCGCTGGCTTCCTTCCTGACCCACACACCCTCGTGAGTCGTGCCGCGCCTTGCGCCAGCGCCGGGCCCACGCTGAGGCGATCATCGCTGCGCAGCCTCCACCACCATGTCCGACACATACTCGGTCTCGTTCACGCCCGATCCGCTGGAGACGGGCACGACGTCGCAGAGCACCTCGAGTGACTCCGCGCCCATGCTCGCGATCCAGGCAGGCCCGTCGTACACGTGCAAGATCGCCACGATCAGGTGGGCGTACTCCGGCCTGAACAGCGCTGCCACGGCGCTGGACATTGGCCTGCAGCAGCTTGACTCCGGTTCCGTGGTGCGCCGCACAAACGCCGCCGGCGGCCGCTTTCACAAGGTGCAGCGCCGCACCGCACTCGCCCAGCGCGATGTCGCGACGGTCAGCATTGCCCTGGCGCAGCCGCTGGAGCGCCAGTCGTACACCTGGAACACGTACGTGGCGCCCGGCGCGTACCGCTGGATCGCCATCGTCGAGAACCAGGACGTGACGGCCTACTCGGCGCCATTCTACGTCACAGACTCGGGCGACTCGTCGTGCGTCGACACGACGCTCTTCACCAGCAGCAGCACGCCCGTCGACTCCTCCGTCGCCGCGCTTCCTTCGTCGTCTGCAGACGCGTTCACCTCGTCTGCGGCGGAGATCGCCTCTTCCATCGTTGCCAGCAGCGCCGCGATGAGCAGCGCCAGCGCAGCAGCTGCAGCGTCGACCAGCGTCGCTGCCGGTCTGGGCTCTGCTTCGGCCGACACGAGCAGCAGCTCGCAGCACAACGGCGTCTCGTCCGGCGGCATTGCCGCTGCCATCGTCGTGCCGATGCTCGTCATCGCTGCCGCCGTGGTGCTGTACCTGCGTCGCCGCGCGTCGCGTGCCGACTCGCTCAACGAGAAGAGCAGCGGCGCCGGCGGCTCGTGGAAGGAGAAGTTCCTTGGCGGCGGCGCGGCCGCGTCGGGCGGACACATGCGCACGGTTTCGTCGCCATTCGACCCGCGCCAGCACACCGGCCTCTCGTCGCAGGGCGCCCAGGCTGGCATGCGCCGTGCGGATGCCGGCGACGTGCTGCCCGGCACCGACGGCGCAGAGTGGGTCGACTTCAGCGCGACCAACTCGCCGGACGCCCGCGTCCTCAGCCCCGGCCAGTTCGCCCACATCCCCGAGGGCACCGAGGCAGCCGCTCGCAACTCTGCCTTTTCGGACTCGATCGTCGGTGGCGACCTTGGCGTGACCGGCGGTCTCTACCAGCACAACAACTCGTCCCTCGCTCGCGACTCGGCCCTCTCTGGCGCCGCACACGGCCACAGCCGCTTCGACAGCTACAGCACCGCGCCCAACGTCCGGCCTAGCAGCATCACGAGCCACACGAGCGCCGCGCAGGAGGAGTCGGATGCAGCAGAGGCAGCTGCTCTGCAGCGCAGCGTCAGCTCGGCCTCGACGCTGCACGTGCAGCGCAAGCCAGTGCCGGTTCTTGAGGACCTCCAGGACACCCTGAAGCACTACTCCTCGGCCGCCCGCTCGTCTGTGGACCCGTACTCGCTGCCCATCGTCAGCTCGCCGGTGCTGCCCGACGCCTCGCCCTTCTCCGACGCCCACGCCGCGGCCTCGCCCGTCTCCGACGCTGCGCTCTTCGCCGAGCTCAGCGCGCCGACGCGTCCCTTTGCCGCGTCCGACGCTCGCGACAGCCACATCAGCGGCGTGCCGGACAGCGTGCAGAGCATCGACACGCCCGTGCTGCCCAGCCACTCGTCGCCCACGCAGAGCCCGACGAGCCGCACGCTCGTCACTGCCGACAGCAGCGAGGACCTGGCCCGCGCGCCAAGCACCCGCGGCGACTACCACCTGTCCGTCAACATGGACAAGGGCTTCCGGGTCTCCTTCTAAGCGGGCCGCGACACGCACCGCCCTCTTTGCTCCTCCGTCTGGCCGGCTCCAGACCGTCTCTCACTGTTCCGCCCTGGCGCAGCTGTGCTGCGCCCACCGTCACTCGTGCTCCCTTTTGCCTTCCCTTGCCTCCATCTCGCTCCGCTGCGCGGAAGAGAGCGTCTCCTCGTCTCCTCGATCACACGGCTTGCTCACCCGCCCAACGCTGGCCGCGCCCACGCGTACATAGTCTTTCCCTTTCACCTGCGACTCCCGTGCTTTCGGTCCCTTCCAGCCGTCCTGCTTGCCCGGGACGCTGTCATGGAGACGCGCATCCGCCTCTTCGCCTACTTCACCACCGTCCTTTCGCTGCCTATACAGTACTCAACCCTGCCACACACCGCGTGTGCGTCGTCCCAAAGCCGGCAAAAGCCACCTCGACGAGCGTGCTTTGTTTCCGGCTGCAATCGCACTCGTTCATCCTGCCTTCTCCTTGCTTGTGTGACTGCTGGCGCTGCGCCTCACCTTGCCCGTGCAGGTGCAAGTGCTGCCGTTGATGAGGGCGCGGTCGTGGCTTGGACGGCACTTTGATGACGCGCTAGCGCTAGCGTGGCAATGCTTGCGACACAGATGCGCTGCTGTGACAGGAGCCAAGCCGTAGATCTCATCCTGCGCCGGCGTGTTGCAAGCTGCTCAGCAGCATCCCAGCAGCACCAGGTGCGCAGCGTAGACGCAAGTCGCGGGAGCAGACGCGAGGTGCAGATGCGCAGGGCGTCGTGCATGGACTTGCCTCTTCCCCGCACTGGCGATGCACCATCATACACCAGCATCACGGAGACGAGCTTCTGATTGATCGCAGCTGGCACCAATCACGGCACGTAGCGCGGCCGCACCAATCAGGACAGTGCTGGTAGCCTGAGCAGTGCTCGACAGAGAGGCGTATCACACGGGTCTGGCGTGCGAGAGGACACACGGGAAGGCCGTCGGAGCCTTCCATTTGCCGGCGATTCCGTGCTGGAACGACCGCAAACCACTTCCGTTTGACCCCAGAATCTTGCTACTCTCGTCACGAAATGCACCCTGTTCTACCTAGACGCCGGAAATGAGGCACACAAACAGTCTGACATCCGAGGAGAGGGCAAGCTGAGGCGCCACGCGTACGGCATAGTGACGGCGCCCTCATCTCCCACCGGCATCTCATCACGACCTCTTGCGAAGCCGGAAAACGAGCACGTAGATCGCTCGCTCTCCAGGCTCGGATGCCGAAGCTCGACGGTTGACTGCGTACCAGTCCATATTGCTCATGCGCAGCCGCGCTAGCCAGCGCTTCGGCGCCTTGCCCGTCCCGTCGCGCCCTAGCCGCAACGCCTCGCAGCGAGAAGAGGGGCGGGACCACGATGACGAGCTTCGCTGTGCTGAGAGATGCAGTTGCGTGGAATCAGGCGGGGTCTTAGCCCCGGCAGGTCCTCCTAGCGGCGATGAGTCGCATGATCAACGAGCAATGCAGTCAGCTCATGGCGCAGGTGAGACGAGGCCCGATCTTGCCAGACTCGACAGCCGGGACATCATGCGACAGACGCAGCACAGAGTAGAGAAAGAGAACGGAGCGCCTCATAAGCCTGGCTCAGCGACCTCTTCATCTTCCGTTCTTCCATCACTCTTCAGCCACCTCAGCAGCCCATTCACCCAGTCATGCGTGTCTTCGCCACCAGCGTCCTCGCCGCGCTCGTCTCATGCGCTCTGGCCGCGCCTCTGGCGCCGAAGCTGCCAGACATCCCGGATCCGATCTCGCCGCTCATCTCGGACGGCCTGCAGCAAGTGGGCGACATCATCCCCGCTGTCGGACAAGAGGTGCAGCGCTGCAGCAAATACCAGGTCGTCTCGGCCCGAGGTAGGCATCGATCGGACGCGTCGTTGAGGCAGTCTGACTGAGCTGTCGCTTCGGCAGGCACCTTCGAGCCTCAGGAGGGCGAGGAGAAGAGCCAGGACACCGTCGACGGCATCCTCGCAGCGGTTCCCGGCGGCAAGCGCTACGAGGTGAGCGCTGCGAACGATGCATGCTCATAGTCGCTGACAGCGTCGGCAGCTCATCTATCCGGCCGGCATCAACTACGCAATCGATCCGTCCGTCGGTGCTGCAGGACTGGTGGCGCATGTGAATGCCCAGCGCGCGCGCTGCCCGGAGCAGGTCTTCGTACTGCTGGGCTACTCCGAGGGCGCCATGGTCGTCGTGCAGGCGCTCAACAATGAGGCGCTGCCTTTCGATGCTATCAGCGCCGTCGTTCTGTACGGCAGCCCGTACTGGCGCTCGTGGAACCGCGAGTCGGCGGGCTCAGCGACCGTCGGAGCAGGGTGAGCGGGCTTCGAGGAGCAGCGCGCGGCGGCGAGGCTGACTAGACCCTCGCAGCGTGGCGTACTATGTGCTCTCGACACCTCGCCGGTACGCCGACAAGACGCAAGACTACTGCATGGTGCTCGACGCTGTCTGCTCGGGCCAGCCGGGCCTGACGCACGTCTTGTACGAGGTGCGTGGGCGTCTGCGAGCGAGCGCACAGCTGCAGCCGGAGCTGACCGTCTCGCACGTGCTACCAGGGCAGTCCGGAGCAGGCCGAGGCCATCGCCTTTGCGGCGGCCAAGCTGCGCGAGACGCTCGGCTCCTGAGCGATGTGCGGCACACGCCGACAGCTGTGCCGTCGGAGACAGATGCCAGACAAGAAGAATGAGATGCTGGACCCGGTCCATTGGGCCGCGCCCTTCCATGACTTGCAGCGGCAACCCCCGCGCGTGTGCATGAGCAGTGCGGGAATCTTGGCGTGTCTCTTGAAGGCCGGCGTGCGGCGAGCTGGTGGTAGACAAACAAGGGCGATCACTCGAGGTCGGACAAGAAGAAGGCGCAGCTCATCATGCGCAGCCGCAGAGCGCGTAAATGCACGCGGCGCGGCGCGCGGCGCGCGGCGGCGGCGGCCGCGGCGGCCGAGTCCTTGAAGGCACTCACACGTCCATCAGCGTCGACTAGCGCAGCCGCGACGAGGCCGGCGCCCTGACGCCGCATCATCGAGCGACCTCTCCACCACCACGTCCCGCAGCCCGTCTCCTCTTGACTCTCGCATCTCGCACACTCACGGCCCACTCGTCCGACCTGCGCCGCTGCTCGTGCAGAACGCACAGCCGTCCTCAGCGCTCCTCCCTGACATTCGAGCTCCGCGCCGCTCACTGGCACCCTCGCGGCCTGTGCTGCTTGCGCGACTAGGGGCTGGGCAGTCTGGGACGTCGCAAGGCGACGACAAGCGTGAGTGCGCAGGCCGCGGCTCGAGTCTCTCCGCATACATGCGCATGTTGGCGCGGCACCGCTTGCCACTGTGCTGGCGGGCTGTCTTGGGGGGGGGGGGGGGCAGTAGGCACGTCCGGTCTGTGCTGAAAACCGCAGTGGTGGCGTCGAGCTCGTGCTGTAGCTTCGCAGGCTCGGTCGAGCTGTCTCTGCTCTGTTGCTCGCTGAAGTCGCTGCTTTATTGCTGCCTTGCGCTTCATTCGGCTAGCATTTGAGAAGGCAACCACTGACGAGCTGCTCTAGCCACTGGCTTCCTTTCGCCGAACCTTCGGACTGCGCAGACAGGCACGTCAGCTGCAGTGCTGTGCAGGCAGGAAGCGTTGCACCTGCGCCAGCACGAGCAGACTTCTCGCTCGCGAGCATGTCCGCGTGGTCTTCTGCCGCGTCGGGCAAGGGCTCGGCGCTCTCGTACGCTGAGCGATTACGGCGTGCGAAGGAGGACAGCTCGCGCAGCAGCGCAGACTCTTCGGCTGCGGCACGCAGCTCGACAAGCAGCAGCACTCCGACGCTCACGCAGCTGAGTCCGCCACCAGCGGCGCCTGCGCCGCCCAAGCCTGCTTCGAGTAGCAGTGGCGCATGGAGGGTCGTCACAGCGCACAAGAGCGCCAACGGGCGCGCCGATGCGCCGAACAGCACGAGCTCGAGCTCGACACCATCAGCGCACCCCGCGGCAGCGTCATCTACGATCGCAGCCGCGTCGGCTCCAGCGGCTAGTGCCAGCGCCTCGCAAGGCAAGACTGCTGCGCAGTCGCCCACTGCCGCCAGCGCGGCCCTGCGCTCAGACGCCCTTGCGCAGCGGCCGCAGCCCGTAGCTGCTGCGTCAGGCGTGAATGTCTGGGAACAGAGAAGGAAGCAGCTGGCGGACAAGTCGGCAGAGTCCCGGCAGGAGACCTCCACTGCCGCTGCCGCTGGCAGTAAGGCGCCGGTCGAGCAGAAGAAGCCGGTGAGCACGACTGCGCCACCAGCGACGAGTACAGGGAACGCGAGCACTTCTGCTTCGTCCAGTGCCCCGGCGAGTGCCAAGGCCGCTGCGGTGGCTCAGCCCCCGGCTTCGACTCGCAGTAATGGCAGCGCCCCCAGTGGCGCGTCGCGGCCTGGCGCTGCCGAGTCGAGAAGCTCATCAGTCGGCGAGGAGGACAGTTCGAAGGAGCGGCGCGCAGCAGCGCCTGCGACCTCCGCTTCTGCTCCTGCGCAAGCCGGACCGAGTGCGCAAAAGCCTGCTGAACGACGGAGCAGTACCGGCGCTAGTCTGCAAGGCGACTCGCCAATAACGCGCTCAATAGCTGAGAGCACGCTTCCGTTCGTGCCGCGGTCGCCACTCTCGCTCGCCAGAGCTCCGACAGGGCCGGCGTACGACAACGCGTGGCTCGACCGCATTCACCTGCTCAATGGCGGGCAGAACATGCCGACGTTCGTGCCGGCGCTGCAGGAAAGCTCAGCGGAGATGGGCATCGGAGCTGGCCTGCAGCCCGCGCCGGTCGTGTCGATGCCGCCATCGCTGCCCTCGACTGCCGAAGAACCATCAGCCACCGGAACGCCGACCAGCGCTGAGGCGCACAGCGTTTGGCGGAAGGCAAACACGAGCGTGAACGGCGCCGCTGGCGATGATCATCAGGACGAGGTAGCACTCTCCGCCTCTGGTGTCTCGTCAAGCGTCGAAGCCGCCGAGACTGCGGCAGCCTCGGTCCCATCTTCAGCTGCGCCGGCTTCGTCGACTGTCGCAGAGAGCTCCGCCCGCAGGCGCGCAGACAGCACATCATCGGGCGGCGCGGTCAAACCTGCCGCGCCTGCTGCCACGTCCAAGAGCAAGGCTCGGCGTGCGCAGGCCGCAGCAAGCGTGCTCGCAGACAGCGAGTCATGGCCGAGTCCTCTTGACGCCACTGTCAAGACTGCTGCTCGAAGCAAGCCGCGGGCGGAGTCTGTCAGCACCGGCGAGAATAGTAGCAGCGAGCGGCCAGCGGCGACAGAGAAGGGCCTCGAGGGCCTCGACGTGCAGGTCGCCAAGGGTGCGGGTGACAAGGGCAAGAAGGGCAAGCAGTGGATCTCCATCGTGCCCACCATCACGCACGCGAGTCCCTTGCCTGCGAGCGGGCGCAAGACGTCTGGGAAGGACGCAGCGAGCAAGGACGCCTCGTCGGCAACATCGCCGCACCCGAAGAAGGCCGCCAAGACTCGAGCGGACAAGGGCGCAGCGGGCGGCGAGAAGCGGCCCGAGGCCGACAAGCAGGATGCGAAGTCAGGCACCAAGGAGAGCAGCAAGGCCTCTCGTCAAGACGCGAGCGCTCCCAGCGCCGCAGCGGACAGCGTTTTAGCGTCGGGACAAGGCCAGGCACGCGAGGCGGAGGCGTCACTGTCCGCGCCTGGCGCACCACCTGCCGAGGCAGCCGACTCGAGCGGCGCGCCCGATGCAGTGAGCGCCTCGCCGGCACTCAACGGCGAAACAGACGCGTCGGCACCTGTGGCGCTGCCTTTCTCCTCGCCGCTGATGCCGATGGCGCTGTCGGAGCTGCCTGCCATGTTCCCGCCAATGCGTTGGACGTCGGGCAGCCCGGGACCGCCGTCGCCATTCCCGTTCGTGCCTCCACCGCCACAGCGACTCAACAAGGACGGCTCGTTCTCGCCTACGCGTGCGACCGACTTCCTCGTGCCGAACGGCGATCCTTCCTGGCACGCCTCGCACAGCCCGGTGCGGCACAGTGCGCGTGGACGCGGGAGCCGTGGCCGCGGCCGCGGAGGTCGCCACGCCGGCGGAGACGTCTTCTCGGGCTCACGCAACGACGGCGCGTACATGCCCGGCCCCGGCGCCGATGGCGCGGATCTGGACAGCCAGGGTGCCCCGTCAAGTCGTGGCAGCCCAGGCTCGGGCTCCTACGCGACGGGCGCGCAGCTTCCGTTCTGGCTGCACGGCGGCCAGCCGCATGCTCTGCCGGTCTTTCAGCCGCAGGGCATGGCGCCTGCTTCGCTCGCGCACGGCGAGTGGCAGCAGCCACCGCCGACTCGCGCTCCCGCATTCGTCAATTCGCCGGCCGGGTCTCCGCGCGTGCCAGGAATCGACGCACCGACGCACCAGCTGCTCAAGCAGATCGAGTTCTACTTCAGCGAGCGCAACCTGCAGGGCGACTTCTTTCTGCGGCAGTGCATGGACGCGCACGGCTGGGTCTCGATCAGCACGGTCGCCGGCTTCAACCGCGTACAGCGCCTCACGTCAGACCTGGCGCTCGTGCGCGATACACTCCTGTACTCGAGCGTCCTCGAGGTCGACGCGAGCAACATGCGTGTGCGCAAGGCGCAGAACTGGGAGTCGTACGTGCTTGGCGCCAACGGCGTGCCGAACGACGTCGATCAGTCGTCTCGGCCGTCTTCTGCGCAGGCCGGCATCTCCGAGCAGCACTACAGCTCGCTTGCGCAGGACGACGCCAGCCGCCGACATGCCGGTCTCGCGCAGCTGCGTCGCCAGGACAGTGCCGCGACCGAGGGCAGCGGTGTCAATGGCTACACGGGCGAGTCGAGCAACGCAGACGGCCGCTCAACGACGACCGTCTTGACGGAGGCGAGCCGCTCGAAGTCCTCAACAGCCTTCTCCAGCCCGCCAAGCTCCGCCGCACACCAAGACTCGAGCATGGAAGACGGCTGCAGCGACTCGGACAAGGAGGTGAGCAGCGCTGAGAACAGCAGTGGATGGCTTCGCTGACGCTGACTCCAGGATCAGGAGACCCTCGGCGTCGTCGCTGCGGAAGGCCTCGGCGGCACGCTCTTTCCGCCAGTGTCGAATGGCGCATAGCAGCGTCGCCTCAACACACGACCCGGGCGCCCTCGCCGGTCCACTCTGCGATCCGCACGCTCTCCTGCTGGCCTACTTCTGGCGCACTATGCGGCCGCGCGTGTGCAGGACCCCGTCATCATCATCATCATCTCTTCGCGCTCTGACCCACACCACATCTGTCCGCACCCAAGTCCCTAGCACATCACCCTTCCTCTTTCTCTCGCATCTCTTCCCATCACACCCTGCATCCACCGGCCTGCCACGCTGCGCCGCGCCTTCCCGCCCGCGTGCGCCACGTCCCGCCACATTCCTGCTTGCTGCAGCTCGGCGCGCCCTCGGCGTGTGACTCGCAACCAAAACCCATTTCCTGCGTGCCCACGGCCTGCGAGTCGACTGCGTGTGCGTCCAAGAGAAGTTTCGCGATTGCGCTCTAACAGACGGGCTGCAGCCCTCGCTGCCGCCGTGCGCCGCTGCAGTCGGCCCTCCGTCCAACCTCACTTCTTCCTCCACCTCCGAGCGCGGCCGCTCAGAACAGCTCGTCCGCGTACGGCAGCTTCTGCACGTCGCCGACGACGACGAGTGTCGGCTTGCTCTTGAGCAGCTTGCCGGCGGCCTGTATGCGGGCATGAGAACGGCGCCCGGACTAGGAGAAGCGCCTCTGCTACTCACGGAAGACAGAGCATCTGCCTTGACGCCCTCGAACTTCGAGAAGGCCTCCTCGAGCGACTGGACCTCAGAGCCGTTCAGGAGCTGCCGAGAGAGGGTCAGCAGTGCGCTTCTCCGACGAAGCGCGCCTAGCCCGCGCGTGCTAAAAGCAGCTGCGTGCGGCCGAGTCCTCCCGCAGCACTCACCTGTGCGCCGGCAACGGCCTGCGTGGTGGCGCGGTTCTCGAGCGCGGCGGCGGCCTCGAACTTTGCCTTGGCAACGGCGCGGCTCAGGTCCTCCGACGAGATGCTGTCGGCAGCCTTCTTGAAGGCCTGGGCAGCGGCCTTGGCCACCTCGCCAATCTTGGCGTGCGGTGCCGAGACGTGGGCGCCGAAGAGGCCGCTGTCCGAGAAGCCGAGGTTGAAGGCGTTGGCCTGCACGCCCGGGTGGCCTGCGGACACGGCAGCGAGCGGCGAGAGGCCGGTCGACCACTTGACGGCCGCCTCGCCGCCGAGGTGGGCGCGCAGCACGGCCAGCTCTGGCGAGCCGAGCGCAGCGCCCTCGAAGCCGAACACGACGTGGCCATCGCTGGCGCGCGGGCTGTCGGAGTGCGCGGGTGCGTAGGCAATGCGCGCGTCACCGCCAAAGTACTTCGACGCACCGGCAGCGACGCTGCCCGACGACGCAACACCCTGGAAGTGCTTCGAGACAAGCGAGGCGAGAGCGCCAGCGTCAATGCCCGAGCCGAGCACAGCCAGGTTCGACTTGGCGAAGGCAGCGCGAGCGAAGGAGACGGCGGCGTCGTGCGAGACGGGCGTGATGGGCGAGGCGTACAGCGACGCGCCGAGGCCGCGCTGGCGGTAGGCCGCCTGCGTGAAGGCGTCGAAGGCAAGCGCTGCGGGCGAGGCCTGCACGGAGCTGAACTCCGAGGCCACCGAGGGCAGCACCTCCTCCTGGAACTCGTGCTCAAGCAGCTTCGACGACGAGAGCACCTCGCCAAGGACCTGAACGAAGAAGTCCCTGAGAGAGCGCGTGTCAGTATGCCGGCGAACCGAACGTGGTACATCGAGCCGGTGCCGAATCGGCCTCGCACTTCGGCATTCGGTGCTGGCCCTTCCTAGCATCGGCCTCAAGTGCAGCTGCACTGCTGTAGACTTCGCGCTCCGCTCCGCTCCAGAGCGCTCGCGCTCCAGCTCAACCCACGCTGCTGCACTCACTCGTCGCCGCGCAGGAACTCTGCGGTGAGGAAGAGGTGCTCCTTGCTCAGGCTGCTCGAGAGCAGGCCGCCGTACAGCTCCGCCTCGCGGATCAGGCGCAGGGCCGAGCGCTGGGCAGTCGACTTGAACGTGAAGCTGAGGGGGAGGGGATCAGAACGGCAGGCGGCTTGACCGCCTCGCAGGCGAGACGTACTTCTTGAGGATGTCTGTAGGCCAGACGCGAGAAGATCAGCGACATGCTCCGCAATGCGCTCTCGCTCGCAGCACTCACGCGCAACACCAGCCGAAGTCTCGTAGCGCGGGCCGGCATTGATGGCGACGGTGATGCTCGTCGTCTGCGAGCCATCGTCCTGCAGCGCGCGGCCGGTCAGCCTCTGTCGGCTGCCGTACTGTCTCCTGACGAGGCGCGTGCTCGAGCCGCGCTCCGAGGCTCGAGCGACGCGGACACGGGCTGAAAGCTCCAAATAGCCGCGTCCTCCTGGCAACCACAGCGCCGAGCACGCCCGCATCCGGGCCGCAGCAGGCCTGCCGGCGCACAGGCATACTCACGGCAGCAGCGACCTTGACGCCGTCGGCACTGGCCGTGCTGAAGGCACGCGCGGCCGGGGCGGCGCGGGCAAGAGCAGCGCGGCGGAGGGGCGCGGCGGCGGCCCGGGCGAGAGACATGGTCAGGCGGGCGGGCGGGAGGGGTAAAGGGTGAGGAGAGGAGAGGATGGAGCAGAGGCAAGAGCAAGCACGTCCACGTCCGGCGATGAGCGATGCCGACCGTGCGACTGGCTGGCGGCGGCGCACTGCTTGGCTGCCACGGCGCTGGGCCGGCGTGCAGCGACGACGTGCTCTCCGCCAGGAAGGTCGCGCCAGGCTAGGCACACAGCGCCGGCTTGCGCCGAGCGGCTGCTGGGGCGCGGCACGTGCTGGCCCTCCAGCTGCCCCTCCCCAGCGCGCGACTCCTCCGCTCCCACGCGCCTCCACTCCACACGGCGCTCGGGCCTTGTCCGACTCTGCTTGACGTCTACCAAACCCCACCATGTCCGTGCAGCCCGACACCTCTGCCTCTTCCTCCAGCATGAACGCCGCAATGTAGGAAGCGCCCTTGCCGATTGTGCCGCCTCACCCCTCACGCCTGTCTGCGCAGCCTCGGTGCGACCGGCGCCGTCGGCAAGCCGCTGCTGCAGGTGCTCCTCGAGTCGCCGCGCTACGCCGCCGTGCACGCCTTTCTGCGGCGCCCCAGCGGCGTGCAGCACGCCAAGCTGCACGAGCACATCGTCGACTTTGACGTGCTGCTCGAGCAGGGCGCCGAGGGCGAGGAGGCGCGCAAGTTCCACGTCGGCGCACAGGACGTGTACATTACTCGTGAGTCGCCGAGGAGCAGGAGGAGCACGGCTATGCGCTGCAGGTGCTAGGCTTTGTCGCCTGCGCGCCAAGTGTGACCCTACGTCAGGCTGATGCGTCTTCGAAGTGGGCACGACTCGCGCACAGGCCGGCTCAGCTGCCGCCTTCACCAAGATCGACCGCGGTGAGTGACTCAAGCAGTCTGGTGCGAGCCGCGATGCGCGATCGACGCCGATGACTGGTTGCAGCAGATGCAATGTTGCGCACGACTACGCGATGCTGTCGCTGCTGCAACTCGTCATCGCCGTCGCTGGAGCATCGCGGCGCCGCTTGACCCGTGCTGACCTCGACTCGCAGACTACGTCGTGGCCGGTGCGCGCGCCGCCTTCGATGCGTCGAAGCGCGAGCAGTCGCGCGTGCTGTACTGCTCGGCGCAGCTGGCCAGCAGCTCGGCGTCATTCCTGTACCCGCAGAGCAAGGGCGAGACGGAAGAGGCGCTTGGTGAGCAGCTGCGAGCTAGGGTATCGCGATCGCAGCGCTGACGCACTTGGCTTCTGCCAGCGTCGATTGGCTACAGAGAGGCATTTCTCTGCCGTCCAGGCTTCCTCGCCAACGCCGACCGCGGCGGCAAGAAGCGTCCGATCGAGACTGCGTACGGAGTGAGTCTGGCGCTGCTGCGCCGGTCTACTGCGAGCTGAATGCAGTGGTGCCCTCCAGTTCTTCACCCGTCACGCCTCGCGCTTCTCCGACTCGATGGAGATCGACACGACGCGCCTCGCACGCGCCATGGTGCTGGCTGCCGAGCGCGGCGTCGCCGGCCTCAAGGCCGAGGGCCTGGGTGGGGAGGTGCATGCCTCGTTCAAGTACCGCAACCCGGCGACGCTCCAGGCGGAAGACGCGAGCAAGCGTGACCAGCCCGTCGACACGATCGTGCTCGACAACGCCACTCTGCTGCGCATGACGAAGAGCGCCTGACCCTAGTGACGTTCGAAGCTCCTGCTCCCTGCATCTGCTCTCTGCTCCCGTTGCGCCGCCCGCGACCTAATGCATACCCCTCTGCTCCACCACGACGCGATGATGAGGCCAGGAGTTGCAGCAGTGAAGTACAGATGACAAGAAGATGGGCATTGCGCGCGCGTCGCATTTTACTCGGAAGGCACCTCGATCTCGCCCTCGTTGATGCCGTCGATGATGTCGTGGGCGGGCTGGCCGTCAACGGCTGGAGGAGGGGATGCAGCGGTCAGCAGTGTTCCTCGAGCGGTCTGCATCGCCGAGAAGGCGCGATCGTCCGCGCGCTCGCCCTCATGCCTGCGCTTTCGGCCCCAGCGACCTGTCTGCAGCTCGCCGCCTGCTGCATCTGACGCCACTGACGCCAACAGCACAGCATCCACCTCCCACGCCCGTGCACGCTGCAGATACTCACTGCAGCCGACGCTCTGGCACGTGCCGAGGATCTCCTTGACCGTGCCCGACAGCTCCTTGGCGAGCGACTTGTACCGCATGGTGCGGGCAATCTCAACAATCTCGTCGAAGGGGATGTTGCCGGAGTGCGCGATGTTCTTCTGCTTCTTGCGGTCACGCGGCGGCTCTGTGCGCGCAGCCCTGCATCAGTCGCCTGCTCCTGCCTTGGATGCGTCTCCAGCCACTCACCCTTGAGCGCGCGGATGACCAGCGAGCTGGCAGCGGGCACGATCGTCACGGCAGCCTGACGGTTCTGGACCGTGAGCTGCACAGTGACGCGCAGGCCCTTCCACTCTCCCGAAGCCTTGGCGATGTCCTCGCCGACCTTCTTGGGCGACTGTGTGCGGAGCGCGGGTCAGTCGGAGTTCACGCATGCCACGAAGCCGCCAGAGGGTCAAGGCGCCGGGCGCGCAGCGTCGAGCAGTGCGCCAGGAGCGCGCCGCTTGTCCACCACCTGTCCCGCGCGCGAGCCCGCCCTGACCTGGCCTAGGCCCGAACACCACCACTCACGAGACCAAGCGGGCCGATCTTCGGGGCCAGTGCCGACGAGGCACCGACCTCACCACCGACGGCGCGGAGGTAGATGATCTTGACTTCGTTGGGGTCGATCTTGGGCGCCATTTTGAAGAGGCTGAGCGAGACATGAACAGCGGTCAGCGCCCGTACTGGCGTCGCATCAACTTGCGCGGCCAAGACTGGTCCGCAGCCCTGCCGCAGCCAGCGCTCTGCCATGCCGACCTCATCCCACCCTGCCCGCTCCGATGCGCGCGCCGTCGCACAGCGGCAGTTCGCACCGCGCCTAACCGATCTCTGACTGCACCTGAGCTTCTGCAACGAGCGGGCGGCAGGGCGTGCAGGTGACCAGCGCTTCGCTAGGCGCTCCCGCGTCCTCGCCTGCGCCCTCTCCATTCTTCTCAGATGTGTGCTGCACGCCGCTGCCGCGTCCCGCCCGCCCTCGCCTTCGGGCCCGACGAAGCGCTGCGGCGCCTTGCCGACGCAAGTGACAGTGTGCCGCATACGGCTGCTCTGCGCGGAGAGCAGCGATGCGTGCTTTCATCGTTGTGGCAGCAGTGCGACGCTGCGGCCGGGTGCTGGGTGGCGCGCGGGATGCACCGAGCGGCGCTGGCTGCAGCGCATCAAGGCGCACATGCAGCGCCCGAGCAGATGATGCACAGCGGTGTGCGTCGAGAAGAGGATGCGGAGAGGCTCGTAGCTGGTGCGGCATACTTACGGGAGGGGAGGGGGTGTGGGAAGAGGAGAGCGGCTGCGCCGGCGGCCGCTGTGCCATCCGGCGCCGTGCCGCCAGCTGCAAGACGGCTGGAGCGGGGCGGACGCGCAGAGTCGCGCGCGCGACTGCGGCTGCGGCTCGCCGGCGCGATGGCAGCTGGTCACGTGCAGCATCCTTCCCACGCTTGCGCCGCCTCCTCCCCACCGACTGAAGCAGTACAGATACATTGCGCAGCGTTCGGGACAGGTAAATAGCAGCAGGGCACGGGCGTCCAGCCGCAGAAGGCAGTGACATGCGAGGCGGAGCGGAAAGGGGCAGCGGAGCAGCAGGCTTCGGAGGCAGCACGCGTCTAGGCCAGCGGCGGCTCTATTGCAGGGCGTTGACGAGCGCATACTGCAGCGGCACGGCGGCCGGGTTCTCCGTCGTGGCCTCGAGCGAGACGATGTCGCGGAACATCTGCGCAGACAAGCGGTCAGCACTGCGGCGAGCACGGCGTGGCACGGCAGCCTCACGCGAATGCGGCGGTCAAAGACCTCCTCGATGCGCTCGAGGAACGCCAGCACCTTCTCGTCGACGTCCAGCGGCGCCTCGAGCGGGTGAGCTGCGCGGTGCGTCTCCCAGCGCTGCACCTCGTTCTTGAGCGAGTCGCGGAAGCGCACGGCGTTCTGCGTGAAGACGGAGGCGACGGACATCAACTTGCCCAGGACCTGTGTGGTGCAAGTGGGTGAGCGGCCGTGCTGCGCGTTACTGCAGCCGCAGCACTCACGTCCACAAAGTTGACGTTCGTCAGCATGCACTCCTTGCGGCAGGTGTTGAGAAAGTCAAAGTGGTCGCGCATAAACTGGTCGACCGTCTTGGCACTGCCCATCTTCTCCTCGAGCTCGCGCCAGTTGCGCTCCAGCACATCGACGGTGATGAAGGCGAGCACCTGCTGCACGAAGCAGCCGATGCGCGAGCGCAGCGCAAAGACGCGCAGCTTGTAGCGCTCCAGCGGCGCACTGTGCCGGGCGCGCCAGAGGTCGAAGGAGCGGTGCTCGTGCCACACCTCGGCCAGCGCTCGCTCGGTGGCCTTGAGGTGGATGATCGGCCGCTGGAGGAACTGCCAGCGGAGGATGTTGCGCTTGGAGATGACGAGCGACACGGGAAAGTGCACGGCAAGGTCAAACTGCAGCAGCTCCATGACTGTGCCGAGGGGTCAGCTTCGCCTCGCGGCACTCGGAGCGTGGCCACGCACCAGAGATCAGGTCGACGTCGCGCTGCCGCTCTCGCCGCGCCTGCGCCTTGGCTGCCTCGACACCGCCCTTGGTCTCGGCGATGCGCCGCATCTGCTCGTACGCATTCTCGCCTGCAAAGTCGATGCGCACGTCCTCGCGGTATGGGTCGTCGGAGCCGACGCAGCTGGAGCTGCCCAGCACCATGCCAAGGATCGACTGCAGGCGCGCCGTCGTCGCCTCGCGAATGTGGCTCGGGTTGACACGCTTGCGCAGCTCGTGCTCGGCATTGACGAGGAAGATGGAGAAGAAGTCGCCCTGCGCCTGGAAGAAGTAGTGGCGCATGGAGCGCAGCCGCTCCATGATGCTGTGGTCGACGAGCAGCAGCCGCAGCAGGGCCGAGTTGGCTCGCTCGTACGCCTCGTCGATGCGTGCATAGAAGCTGTGCATCGGAAGTGAATCAGCACATCGCCGTGTCAAGATCGGTCGGCGCACTCACCTGTCGTCAGTCATGGAGACGAGCTGGCCGTCGCGGCCCTGGCCTCTCGCTGCATCGTCCACATTCGCGGCGTCCGCGCCGTCCTCGCGGCCGATCTCCTTGCCGCACTCGCGCACGACGTTGAGGTACTTGCCCGCGAGCAGGATCTTCTGCTTCCAGGGCTCGAGGAAGCCAGGAATCTTGGCGCCGCCAGTCAGGAAGCCGCGCGGCCCGAGGTCTTCCTCCTCAAAGTCAAAGTCGAGGCCGCGCTGCTGTCGCTGCTCGCGCTGCTCGCGCACCATGTCGTCGCGCAGCATGTACCGCCGGTCCCAGTACTCGTCCGTCGGGTCCTGCTCCAGGCTGGCGACGGTAACGCGCGGGTCCTCGGCGATCATGAACTCGTCGTACGTGTCGGAGAGGTGGCCGGTGGTGATCCAGCGAAGCAGAATGCGGGCATATGGCTGCGACGCTCGCAGGAAGAGGGTCGAAAACAGAGAGCTGGCAGTCGCGTCTCTGCACAGAGCAGCCTATCAGACCAGCGACTGCAGGCTCACAACGCTGCTCAACTCACCCGCGCATTCGCTCGCACCGCTCCCACAGGATTGCCAGCACCTCTCCGCCCTTGACGATGCCGCCCTTCACTTCCGTGGCAGATGCGTCGTCGTCGAGGCCAAGGATGGCGCGCTGCTCCTGCTCCAGCGTGCCTGACACCTCGTCATCATCCTCGTCGCTGCTGCTCGACAGCGACGCAGTGTCGTCGTCGTCAGCGAGCAGCGGCGCGTGCGAGACATTGGCGATCGAGCTCGTGAGCGAGTGCACGATGCTGAGCGTGCGCATCGTCGGGTGGATGTAGAAGAAGAACCGCTGCAGCGTGAAGGCCGGCGATGTCGCATGCTGGTGCTCGAGCTGCACCAGCAAGATCTCGTACTCCTGGAGATCCGTCGTCAGCACGCTTCCACCAGGTACTCAACGCACCGCGCACCTTGAGCAGCTCGCGAATGGCAGCACACAGCGCGTGCATCACTGTGCCGAACTCCAGACTGCTGTCCATCTCCACAAAGGCGAAGATCGACGAGTAGTGCGTCGCTAGCGGCAGGATGCGCTCGACGAGATCGCGAAGGGATGGATCTGATGGAGCTCGTCAGAGGCTGCTTGGCCTAGGCAGGCCGAATGACTCACCAAGCGCCGGATCGATGACCCACTGCGCGCCCCTTAGCCGCGCCGCCGGATCATCAGGCGCATAGGACGGCGCATACGTGATGTACGAGCCTTCGATACCCTGTGAATCATCGGCCCGTCAGTCTGCTAGCCCTCATCTCAGCACAGGCCTGGCCCCCTCACCATCAGGACGAAGAGCAGATCCTCCAGAATGAGCGCCTCCTGCACCTCCTTGCTCGCCAGGCCAAGCGGCAAGAGCTCGGACTCTTCGTCCTCAGCCGGCGCTTCATGCCGGGGAGCCGTCGGGGCAGGCGAGGAGGCAGCCGGCTCCCGGCTCTTGCCCTTCTCCCTGCTGCCTGATGGCGCCGCAGCCGCCTTCCGCGGCGATGCGTGCGGCACCCGCCGTGTCAAGGGATTGAACACGAACGAGGCCTCGTGCATGAATGAGTCTTGCGGGGCTGCGATCACAGGGATGTCAGCGCCTCTGCACGCACGTTCAATACGCGCCGCGACAAGCTATCGCGCGCGCTCGGTCTGTCCTCCATCGCGCGCTGCATCGGGCTCAGACTCACCATTTGCCTTGCCCTTCAGCCCCTTCGCAGCTGTCCTCGCCAGTGCGATCCCATCAGGACCTTTGCCTGCCAGCTTGGCCAGCCCGCTGGTGTCGGCATCGCGCACGGTGCGCAGCCAGTACTCCGTGTTGGCCTGGCCGCCCTCCACATTGACCGCCGCAAGCGCAGCGGACAGGCCCTCTTCTGCCTCCTCGCCAATCGTGTACGGCACGGCATACTCGCCCGCGCCGGCAGCAGGATCGCTGTCTGTGGCGCGGGCGCCCGAGCTGCTCGAGCCGGGCTCGCCCGCCGGCTCGCCCGAGGTGAGGCGGATGTGCCCGGCCTTGCGGTTGCTGCGCTGCACCGACGACAGGTCCTTGATCATCTGAATACGCACATGCAGCACAGCGCAGCACAGTCAGCCGACATCCCTGTGCACCATGCAAGGCCACAGGCTGCGCACCTTCTCGAACTGCTTGGCGCTGAGCTGCTTGGACTTGCGGACGCGTCGTGCGGGCGTCTGAGGCTCGGCGGCGCCGGCAGCTGCGGCGCCGGACGCGCTTGAGCCGGCGACGCCATTCGTCGCGGCCGCCTGCGCACTGGGGCGCGCGTGCCGGCTGGACATGGCAAAGGACTGAAAGGGGCGCTGAGGGTATGTGAGAGGAGGCGGTGTGCGGCGGCAAGGGGCGCGCGAGCGAGTTGGTCTCCGGACGCGTCGCGCGGCTGGGCGGACGGCGTGGGAGCAGCGCCAGAGCCGCGGGGCGGGGTCGTGCACGTGATCGGCACCCCTGGCGGCGGCGCAGCACGTACGATCGAGTGGAGCGCCCACCCTGCCCCACCCCTCCCTCCGCACCACCACACCCACCCACACCCATCGCCCAGCATGGCCGAACGCAAGGCCCTCGTGCACTACTTCCCGCCGGACTTCGACCCGGCCAAGATCCCGCGGCGCAAGCTCGGCGCCGACCGGCAGATCGAGGTGCGCCTCATGGCGCCGTTCAGCATGCGCTGCAACACGTGTGGCGAGTACATCTACAAGGGCAAGAAGTTCAACGCGCGCAAGGAGACGGTGCAGGGCGAGACGTACTACGGCATCAAGATCTTCCGCTTCTACATCAAGTGCACGCAGTGCTCGGCAGAGATCACCTTCCGCACCGACCCGCAGAACACGGGTGAGTGCGCAGCAGCGGACGTGGCGGGTGGGCGGTGCAGGCAGCTGGCGTCGCGACAGCGCACCGGCACGAGCATGCGTTGTATGCGCCTTGAGAAAGTGATGCCGCCGCTCAAAGCGTCTGCAGCTAGCGAGTTCGATCTGACCGCACCTCCACATGGCAGACTACAAGGCCGAGCACGGCGCCTCGCGCAACTTTGAGCCATGGCGCGACACGTCCAAGGACGAGGACGACCCGGACCGCGACCCACTGGCGCACCTCATCTCCGACGAGGAGGACGAGGCGGGCGACACAATGGCTGCGCTGGAGCAGCGCACGCTCGACTCGAAGCGCGAGATGGAGATCATGGACGCGCTGCAGGACATCCGCACGCGCAACGCCCGCAACGAGCGCGTTGATGCAGACGCGGTGCTGGACTCGCTTCACAAGGGCAAGAGCCGCATCAACCTCGAGGAGGAGGAGGAGCGGCGTGCGCGCGAGGAGGACGAGCTGCTCGTGCGCAAGTACTTCAGCCGCGACCTCGCCGCAGACGATGAGCCGAGTGGCAGCGGCAGCCTGGCCGGGCCCTCGTCCGCCTCTGGATCCGGCTCTGCTCCCGACGGCGAAGGCTCGCCGCACACGCCCGATGAGGCAACGCTAGCGCCAGCCTCCGCTGCGCCGATCATCAAGCGCGCGCGGGGAGCAGACGACGAGGACGAGGCGGAGCCAGAGGTGGCCGCGCTGCTGTCCGAGGGCATGCGGGCGCAGCTGGCGAGCGCACGCGCAGGTCTAGCAGCGGGCAAGCCGTTCGGCAGCGGCGCCAGCAAGGCGGCGGCGACGAACAAGCTCGGCGTTGCGCCGCCGGCCAAACGCAAGAAGGGCGTGTCGGCATTCGGCATCGTCAAGAAGAAGGCGTAGCAGACGCGCGGCGCGCGGAGCAAGTCATCGTTAGGATTGGGGTATCGCGAAGCGGAGTGGGCGTAGACAGATGTGACGTGGCAAGGGGGACTCATGTAGGCGGCATCGCGGCGCCTTGTACAACAGAACAATATTCTCAGCGCGACCAGGCAGTGTGGTGCGGGACGTGGCGGAAAAGAGGGGCAGATGTATGGGACGTGCAGGTTCGTGAGGCGCTCATCGAGCGAGCGCCAAGGTCATGGTCGGGGTGTGGTGCGGCTGCTGGACACGGCTGTGCGTGCGCGGCGGCGTGGCCGGCGTGGTGGCGACGAGCGGAGGCGATGCAGCCCACGGCGCCGACGTAAAGACCTTGGCGCTGGGCGGGCCGGGCGACACCGACGAGGCAGCGCTGACGGAGCTGGAGGAGGACATGCGTCGCGCGTCGTCCATGGCCTCGGCAGGCGACAGGTGCTCGTCGGCAGTCTCGGCGCGCTCAGCCGAGGCAAACGTGTCGCTTGAGCTCCGCGAGCCTCGCTCGTCTTCGTCGTCCTGGGCGCCGAGCAGCGTGACGAACGGCACAGGCGAGTGCATCTTGCTCGAGACGCGGCGCACCGCCTCCTCACGCTGCTCGTCGAGCGGCGGCGCGGTGCCGCGAGGCGTGGCGTCGAACATCAGCATCGGATCCTCCTCCTCGACGCGCATCGGACTGCCGCTGGGCATCATGTACGACGAGCGGCGCACCTGCGCAGGTCGGCTGGACGGGCTAGACGGCAGCGCAGGCTCGAGCGGGCCCGGCCGCGCCCAGATCTTCTGCACATACTTGTCCTGCCAGAAGCTCTTGTCGCGCGTGGAGCTCGGCGTAGCGCCGCCGCTCGGGCGCGAGTGCTCGTAGTAGGCGTTGGCGCGCTCGTTGCCCCAGCTGCGCGCGGCGTCGAGCTGCTCGGGCGTCCAGTCGTCGAGATCGACGCTCTTCACCTTGCTGATGTGCACGCCCAGGCTGCGGTGGACACCCGAGCAGGCGATGCAGATGAAGATGCAGCACGGCTGTCCGTTGAGCGCCCATGAGGCCCAGCGCGGGTCTGTTGCAGCAGCTGTCAGCATCGGCGGCACACACAGATCTGCAGCATCACGTACCTGGCGCACGGCAGTCGGCACAGCTGGCGTTCTCCGGCAGGCGCGAGATGCGAGCGACCTCGGCGGCGCGCGTGACCTTGGTGCTGTTGCTCGAGTTGATGCGCTCGATGCGCTGGCGGACGTGGCCGTTGCTGCCAGTCGCCGACGTCTGCCGGCTCATGATGGGAGAGTCGGCCGTGCCCGAGCGGCGATGGCTGAAGGCCGAGCTGCCATTGCTCGACGCTCCTGCACGCGTCATCGCGCTGCTGCCGCCGTACGAGTTGTGCACCGCCTCGGCAATGCGCACGTCGTACTCCGACTCGATCTCGCTCCACGACGAGTTCGAGTCGCTGATCTCGGTGCCCTGTCGGCGGGCAAGGTGCGTTTGGCTGCGCAGCGCGGCCGGCAGCATGGTGATCGGTCCGCTGGTAGGCTGGCCGAAGCCGCCGTCGGCGACGTAGCCCGACACGGGCGTCTTGTTGGAGATGCCGCGCTCAAAGCCGGCGTGGCGGGTGGGCGTCTGAGGCACGAGCCCAGCGGAGCCCGGCATGCTCTCGGTGAGCGTGCTGAGGTGCTCGCTGTGCCCGCCACCCGCAGCGCCGTGGCGCTGGTCGCGCTTGCTCGTGCGATGGCTGTCGGACATGCGGTTAAAGAGACGTGCACTCGCGGCGCTGCTGAGGTCCGTGAGACTCTGGCTGAAGGCGCGCGACTGGCCTAGCCCGTCCTTGCCGGAAGCCGGCGTGGCACCGCCGAACGCGCGTAGGCCTGATGCGCCAAAGTCGTCGGGAGACATGGCGCCAATGTCCACCGAGCGCGCGACCTTCTCGACATGGCGCACGCTGCTGGTGCCGTTGAGCAGGCTCTCGATCGCGCGACCGATGGCCGCCATCCAGCTGCGCATGCCCGCCTCGTCGGGCGCCTGGAAGAAGCGACGGCTGTCGCGGGTGACCACCTCGAAGGTGAAGCGCCGCTCGACGCCGCGCCCCTCGCGCACCGTGGCAAAGCGCAGGTCGATGAGTGGCTGCGACGGCTCGAGGATCTTGGACTCGCGCCAGGCGGCGTACTCGCCCAGGTGGCCGGAGCCGGACAGCACGACCCAGGCCTCGCGCCAGTGCGTGGCCCGGTTGACGCCGCGGGGCGCATCGGATCCGCCTGCGCCAGCGATCGGCTTGCTCAGGACCCAGAGAAGGCCCTCCTTCTTGCGCTCCAGGCCAGGAGCCACGACTGGCGACAGGTTGCCAGAGCGAGTGACGTTCCGCGGGAACGGCATGGGCGTCTTCGCGTCCTCCGGCTCGTCGACGAGCAGAGTCACGCCGCCGATGCCCAGGCCGGAGGCGCTCCGAGTGGGCAGACCGCGAGGACTCAGCTCGCCGAGCCGAGCGCAGTCGGAGGCGGACCGCTTGATGCCAGGGCTCTGGCGGTCTGTGGTCATAGGGCTGCGGTGGTTCGGGAAGACTGGTCGCGCTCGGCCCATCGGGCTGGCCTGCGTGCTGGACTGACTGAGCGCGCGGCGCGGAGAGGCCGGAGAGCGTGCTTGCATCGGCTCAAAGGGGTTGACCGGCATGTTCTCGGCGAGCGGCGCGCTTGCCATGCGCGTGCGCGTCGGGCTGACCTCGACGTACTCGCCGTCGAGGCTGACGGCGGCCGACGGAACGCTGCCGCGCCGCTCATCGTTCGGGCCAGTCGAGTGGTGGCTGTTGCGAAGACGCTGCAGCGCACCGAAGACGGGCGTGGAGACGCCATTGGGGCCGGAGGCGCCGCCGCTGAGCTTGAGCGAGACAGTGTGCCTAAGGCGCTGGCCAGTGCCTGGCTTTGTGGGCGTCTCTGCAACGCCGCTCTCCGTTTCGCCGTCCGGACCTGAGCTGCCGGTCGTGCTGTTCATGCTCGCGCTCGGGACCAGTGCCGCAGACGAGAGCGACGCCGAACTCGGAGAGCCGATGCCGCCAAGCGAGCTGATCATTGTCTTGATCTTGTTGCCCGCCTGCCGGGTGACAGCGCTAAGAGCCAGCTCGTCACTGCCAGCCCCTTTGCCAGAGTCGCCGTCGTCGCCGACCTTGCCGAGACTGCTCTCGAGCTGAGCAATGCGGGCCTGGAGCTCCGCGATGCGCTCGCGCATTTCGATGTCACGCGTCTGGAAATCCTCTGCAGCCGCAGCCAGGCCGAGCTTGAAGCTGCTCAGCAGCGTCTTGGCGTCGGTCATCGGCCACGACCCTGCGTCGCCTCCGGCCGGTCGCTTGGCGTGCCAGGCGCACAGCTCGAGCGCCTTCGACGCCAGATGCAGCTCCGTCTCGCCTCCGTGCAGTCTTGCACTGGCGCGGAAGATCTCGAGCCGTGCAAGGTCGAATCGCGCCTGTCGCAGCTTCTGCTTCTCGTCGAGGCGATCTTGCTTGACGGCGCTCTTGTCGAAGCCAATAGCGCTGGCCGCGTACGTCGTGTCGGGCTCAGCAGCAGGGGTCGCCCGGCTGGAGAGCCACTTTTGCGTCTGCGAGTAGTACGTGCGCGACTCGTGCTCAAAGGTCTTGTGCTGCTCCTGCGTTGCTCGGCACGTCTCGAGCACGCCGCGCAGAGGCCGCTCGATGCACTCGAAGAGCATGCGTGCCTCGTCCTCCTCTTGCGCACGCGCCCGAGCGCGCGCCTCGGAGAGGAAGTCGCGCATCAGCACGGCGACAGAGCCTGGTGCACTGAAGCAGAGCTCTTGCATCGCCTCATCCAGTGCAGCCTGCGCTGCTCGCGAGGCGCTGAGCTGGGCCTGCACATCTGCCGTCGCGCGAATGACAGTCTTAGCGGTCTTGCGGAGCGTGGCCGTCTTACGCTCGAGGTTCTGCAGCGCAGCGCGAAAGACCGGCGAGTCGTCCGCGACGTCCTTGAGCGAGATCTCCGTCTGGTCGAGCTCGAGCCGCATCGGGCGAACCTCAGCGCTGGCGCTAGCTGGCGGCTGGGCTGGCTGCACCGAAGGGAACGCAAAGTTGGCACGCGTATCGGCCGGCGTGGCTGGCGTGTTCGAGCCGAAGCTGCCGCTGATGCGGCGTGCACGGACAGCAAGAGGGTCACTTGAGCCGCGCAGATCCGCAAAGGAGTGTGACGCCGCTGAGTGGTTCGACAGCTGGTAGGAGAAGGTCGACACCGCAGCTGGTGCACTCGTCGCCTCCGTTTGCGCGCTGCTTGAGAGACTGGCAGAGCTCTTCGGCAGCTCGACGAAGAAGGCAAAGGATGCAAGCAGCGTGCATGCTCCAGTGCGCTCTTCGCGCTCGACGAAGGCGCACGCGTACTTGCCGCGGCTCTGCGTGAGTGCCGAGGGCGACCAGCCCCACTCGAAGTCCTGCTCGCGCCCAGGCTCCTGCACGACGCTGCAGTGCACGCCTTCGACGTTTCGCGGCTCATCGCTCTCGAGTGCGCGCACGAGCTGCGCTGATGAGGGAGCGGCGATGAAGGCTAGCTGGCGCGAGCCGCTCGATGGCCGCAGACGCGGCGACTGCGCCATGTTTGGGTATGCGGACGGCGGCGCACCTTGCGATGTGCGCCGAGGGCGAGGACCAGAGGGCGTGCGCTGATGCGACGCGGAGCTGTAGATGCTGGCAGGCGTCGGCGGAGAGAGCCGCAGCCTGACTCGCACGATCACGTCGTGCTGCTCGACTGTGCCGGCGTCAAGCGCAGACGGATTCGCAGCCCAGCGAGTACGCGCCGCTGCGGCTGGCGGCTCGAGCTTGAAGAGCATGCGATCTGGGTCCAGAGCGCCTTCCTCCTCCTCATCGTCTGACTCACTTCCAGCATCGCTGGCCGCATCAGAGGGCTGGAAGCGTCCAGCACGGCCTGCCATCGAGCACTCGGCGGCAGTGGCGGGCTCCTCGTCCGCGACCAGCTCGCAAGGCGGGGCATCGAGCTGCGCCCACAGCCCAGAAGCGTCGTCCGACTCGAGGCGTGAGAAGACTGCGGCACGCATGGCGCCGACCCGTGGAGTGCCTTGCCGCGGCCGTATCCGTAGCACACGGCGCACACGCACCACTTGATCAGCCACAGCCGGGCGGCCCTCCAGTGAAGCGGCAGCACTGGCACGCTCGCGCGTGCGCTCGTCTGGGTCTGTCTCATCACGAGCACGAGGCTGTGCGTCGAGGAAGACGTTTGGCAGCTGCGAGTGCGACGCAGCAGAAGCCGATGCAGCAGCAGCGGCCTCGTCGTTGCGCGAGCGCGAAGTGCCGCCATGGCGCAGCTCGCGAGCTGCTCGGCCGATGTCGAGGAGCGCCTCGCGGGCTCGAGAGCCGAGCTCTACGCTGCGAGGGCGCAGGCGCGGCGTGCGTCCTGCGCCGGCCTGCGGCTGCGACTCTAGCTGCGAGGCACGCTTGGCGGCTGCGCCGGACGAGGGGCAGGGCGAGCGTGCCGCAGCCGGTGAGGCCGTGGGCTGCGCCGCCAGCGATGACGGAGCGGCAGCGATGATGCTCGTCTGCGCGCAGATGACGAGCGTCTGGACGTCGAGGCGCGTCGAGGCCAGGTAGATGGAGTGGCCGGGCGAGGCGAGCGCCGCAGCGGCAGCGGCCGCCGCGGCCGGCGAGTCGTGCGGCACGAGCATGGATGGAGCGGGGCGGGGTCGTGGCGGTCGTGAGGATAGGTGCTGAGAGGTGAGGGTGTAAGTCGGGAGCAGCGTGCTGCCTGTTGCTGCGACGTACAGCTCGGACCCGATGGCGGCTGAGGCGAGAGCAACGCGCGGGTGCGGGGCAGCGCGCAGCAAAGCAGCCCGCACGTCGACTGTCAGAGGGCTGCCAGGCGAGAGGCTAGCGGCGTTCTGGTGCAAGCACTGTCGGCGAGGCGAGAGGCGCGGTGCAGCCAAGGCACGAGCCAAGCCGGGACGAGGCAGCCAAGCGTGGCAGGCCAGGCGCGGATCGGGGGCGGCAGGAATGGCGGGAGGTATGCGAGAGCAGCCAAGGAGGACGAGGCGGCACGGCGGCGGGTAACGGCGAGGCGCGAGGCTCGCCGCGCGCTTCGGCGCACGCGACCGACGCAGAGCGTGGAGGCCAGCTGGGCTGCCGCAGCGCACAGCAGAGCAACAGATGAACGCAAGGCATCAGCAGGCAGCTCATCTCGAGCCAGGTGCAGGATCAGCAGTGCAGGACCAGCCGCCCAGCACGCAGCCTCACAGCCAGACGGGCCTCGCGCAGCCGTCCACAGCGGCAGGCCGCCGCCCAGCGCTGCGGGGTGCGAGCCGCGCGCCCCTGTCTGGCGGCAGCGCGCTGCCGCGCGGCGGCGCCACAGCCGCGAGCTCGCTGCACCCTGACGCCGCGCCCGCATGCTGCTCTCCTGCCTTGGGTCCTCTACGCGCTGCGCTGCGCCCACGTCGCTCTTGATGAAATCAGCCCCTGACAGCCGACGTCGCCCACGCTGCGGCGCTGTCAGGGTGCCCTGGCCCTGCAGATGACCAGCAGCAGAGCGCGACGAGAAGAGAAGGATGTGCTTCATCACGCCGCTCACGCTGGCCTTTGCCGCTCGTGCGCTGATGCGAGAGGGCCTCGTGCCTGCGCAGCATGGCGAGTGCGCGTCAGAGATGCCTCCGAGTGTCTCTGGCGCGACGAGGTTCAGCGTCTTCGTCATACGTGCGCTTCAGGCATCTGTCCAACTCTGTACGAGCTCGCTGACGCTCGTTGTCAGGATCTCGCGGCGAAGAACAGCCCTCGCTGGATTGTACGCCCATCCGACGAGGCAGTGCTCGCCCGATGGACTCGCGCCAATCGTTCGCACTTGTGCTTGGCTCGCAGGGAAAGACGCCCCTTGCCACCCTCGCCTCGACGCACCTTCCAGCGCAGGCATGCGTTGGCGCAGGTGCTGGCTCTGATGGGCAGCTCCGGAGTCATCAGAGCCCCTGCGCCATCGCAACACGAGCTCCTGTCGTTCGTTCGAGGCACGCCGTCCTGCTCAAGTCGAGAGCAGCCCGTCACGGGCCCCTCGCAGCGAATCTTTTCCTCCGCTCATCCGGCATGCTCTTGCCTCGCTCACATCGGAGCTGCACCTCCATTCAGGGGGTCCCTTTCGGACCGCGGCGGCGTGAGCGGCCATTCGGCGCTCGCTGGGCCTGCATATGCCCGCTGCACCTCGCCGATCCTTCCTGCGCCAGGGTCCGGCGCGAGGCTGTGCCAGGCGTGGCGGAAGCGCACGTGACCGCCGCGCGTCTGGAGGTGTTGTGGAGTCAGCCCACGCGCGCCGAGTCCAACACTTTTTGGCGCGGCTCGCCCAGGCCTGGCTGCTGGCGCGGCTCATGGCAGCTGCCGGCTCACGGTGAGGGCTGAAGTGAGCATCGATGGGACAGAGCGAAGATGTCGCCGAGTGGTTCGACAGAACGCAGACGGCCGTTAAAACGGGCTGCCGGCGAGAGGCGAAGATTGCGCAGCGTTCGCGGTTGGCTTGAGCGGCGCCGCGCGCCGCGCGCGTGTCGAGCGGCAGCAGGAGGAGGCGCGCCGCGGCGCTTGCGGCGGCGATGCTGGCTGTGATGCAGCAGCGGGCCGTCGTGCTGCGAGCCGAGCCGCCTCGCCTCGTCCTGCACCATCACCACCTGTCCCTACAGCTACTCATCGGCTTCCGCAGCCATGGCGCGCACGCCCGCCGTCGCGCGGCCCGTCTTCGGCGTCGTGACGAACCAGGAGCGCAGCTCGGCCTCGTCGTCGCAGCAGCGCGCCGAGTCGCCCGCCCTGTCTGCGCTCAAGAGCCGCCTCGCTGCGCTGCCGAATGTGTCTCGCAGACACAGACTGGGCACGGCCGAGACCGAGAACAACGACGAGATGCCGCACCTGGCGCCGACTCACAGCACGGCGCCCAGCGAGATGCCGCTCACCCCGCCGAGCTCGCGCGAGCCGGACGCCTCGCTGCCGACCTTCACCAAGCCGACATCGCCTTCGCCAACTCGGCCCGTGCGGAGCGGTGCTGGCACGGTGCTCGGCACACCAGCCAAGACTCGCGTCACACCAGAGGCCGCCGCAGGCAAGCGGCCACGAGCCGCTGCCTCACCGGCCGTGGCGCGGCTGCGCTCGAGCATGGAGCCCGGCGCCGACACGAGCCCCAACCCGCGCGAGCGCAAGCGCACCAGCCGTGCGCCGTCGACACCGCCACGGCACCTTGCTCGTGCCACGCCGCGTCGTGTGCCGTCAGCAGCAGACTGGCTTCCGCCGGTCGACGCGGCAGACGACGACGAGGCCGACACGAGCGGCGACTTCAGCATGCGCGAGGCGACGCCCGTCAAGGCGGGCAAGTCACAAGTACGCGGCCGAGCATCGCAGGCTGCGGCTGCGGCCGAGGCAGAAGCCAACGCCGGCGACGACAGCTTTGTGCGCGAGGCGCGCGAGCGGGGATGGGACCGCATGATGCTGCACTCGCCCGTCGCCGTGCGCATCCTGCCGCCGATCACCAGCGCGGCGCCGCGGCGGCGACAGAGCAGCAAGGCCTCGCCCACGCCCCCGCCATCTCTGCCGTCCATCTCGCAGGTGCTGCCACAGACGCAGCCTCGCACCGCCAAGGCAGCCAAGGGACGAGCGTCGCTGCTGCGCACCGTCGCGCGTGCCAAGCCATCGCCGGCGCCTCAGCGCGTGCCTCGTCTCTCTGCCCGGCCTGATGCGCCAAGCTCGCCCTCAGACGACCCGCTTCTGCTCGTTGGCACTAGCCAGACGCCGTATCTCAAACGTGAGGTCGGCGTCGGCGGCGACGAGACAGAGGCGGGCTACGACGACACGTTTGCAGACGTGAGGGGCCGCGAGCAGGTGGGCGAGGGCTCCAGTCTGGGCCTAGTGGCGGGACCGCGAGGAGCGATTGAAGAAGAGGATGAGGAGGAGGCGGAGCGATCGCAGGGTCATGATGCATGGCACGACGAGGAGCAGCAGCACGAGGAAAGCTACGACGACGGCTTCGATGCATTCGGCATGGACGGCGGCGCGCAGGACTCTCCTTCGCCTGAGCCGTCCCCCGAGCCGGAGCTGTCCCACAGCGCAGGCGATGAGTCGCAGCAAAGCGCTGCTGACGTGTCTGACAGCGCGGTGTCCGAGCATCACTCCTCGAGCGAGCCTCACTCTGGCCCTGCCGAGGACAGGAGCGTGCTGCTGGCAGAGGAGGCGGAAGCGCACGACCCCTCTTTCGACGACAACTCTTCGCACGAGGTGGACGAGGACCTGCAGAGCTTTGCTGCGGAGGTGCACTCTGCCGATGCCGCACTCGGCGACGCGAGCGCAGCGCTCAGCGACTCGGAGCACGGCTCGCAGGCCGGCGAGGCGAGCTGCGTCTCGGAGCTGCAGGAGGAGCAGCAGCAGATCTACGACGAGGACGACTCGTACCTCGACGAGGATGACGAGGACCTGCCGCAAGACGACGAGATCGAGCTGATCGGCTCGGCAAGCAGCAACTCGCTGCAGTCTGACAGCTCGCCATCGCCTGCACCGCGCCTCACGCCCGTGCCGACTCCACTGCGCGAACAGCTCGCGGTCGCGTACGAAGGAGAGGACGACGACGCCAGTGCAAGTCACGCAGAGTCTGAGGAGGAGGAAGAGCAGATCAGCGAGGCTATCGTGGAGCCGGGACAGCGTGCTCAGAGTCCGATCGACTTCACCCACGATGACGAGTCCGCGTCAGACGAGTCCATGGTCGAGCCCGTTGAGGAGGAAGCGCTCGAGCAGTCAGGCCAAGAGCTGAGCCTGGAGAACAACGAGGAGGAGCTCGACGGCCGCTCGGAGGACGAGGAGGACCTCAGCAGCGCGGAACAAGAAGGGCGCCAAATCAGCCACGACTCGGCAGATGAGCGCGAGCTCAGCGCCGAGCTCACACGCTACGAGGAGGAGCACTCGGTCGCGGAGGAAGTCTCAGAGGAAGCGATGGAGGAGAGCTTCGCGGAGAGCGCAGACGGAGACGATGCTGAAGACCAGCAGCAGCAAGAGGCCGAGGCCGAGTCGGATGAGTCTGGCAAGGCCGGCGAGGTCGACATCAGCGAGGTCGCGAGCTCCAGCGAGGCACCCGCTGTGGAGCACGATGAGCGCTCTGATTGCAGCGCCAGCGCACACGACGACTTGTCTGAGCACTCGATCAGCGAGGAGCAACAGCAGGTCGCACAAGACGATCTCAGTGCGGGCAGCATGCACGACGAGAGCGTGGAGGACGCCAGCGACATCGAGGAAGCGCTGCCTTCGCATACTGCGCCTAGGCCCATCCAGGTGGAGCGCCTTGCCTCTAGGCGTTCCGAGGCTTCGCGCAGCCACATTGACGACGTCAGCGCCTCGCTCTCGACGTCCGTGCATGCGCGCGCCATGATGCTCCTGCAGGAGGCCGAGACACCGATCATTGAGATCTCCTCGCTGGACGCCCGCGCCGCCGCGCGCGCGAGCGCTGTGCTCAAGCTGCACCACCGCTACATCGCCACCGGCACTCTGCTCGCATCGGATGCTGCGCCGAGCAGCAGCCGCATCCTTTCTGACAACACGAGCGTCCTAGGCAGCGCTGCTGAGGGCGTGGCAGGCGACACGACGATGGCGGACCTGCTCGCTGACGAGGAGGCTGCGCTCGCCGAGGCAGTGCAGCCAATGCCGCGCACGCCGTCCGAGCGTCGGTTGATGCGCTCGCACGACCAGTCTCTGCCGCCGCAGACGCCGCTGGTGCCGGGTGCCTTTCCCGCGACGCCAGCGCCTCGCACAATGCCAAGCCGTGTCGAGCTTCTCTCCGCGGCTGCGGTCAAGGATGGTCAGCTGCAGCCCGAAGCCGATCACTTCTCGGTCAAGGCGTGGGCTGCGCTCAACCGCGTGCTGGTCGAGGCCATCCGCCTCGATGTGCGTGAGGAAGGCGCGCCCGAGAGCGGGCCAGCCAGCGCTGCCGCTCGTGCAGATGCTGTGCTCGACCTTGACTGCGGAGAGGTGGTGCAGGTCTTCTTGCGGGCACACGGCATCAAGACGTCTCGGTGCCACGGACAGTGGAGCTCGTGAGTACGGTTCCCTCGAAGTAGCCTGCCAGAAGCTCACACTCATTGCTCTCACAGCAAGTCGTTCAGCTGCAAGATGGGCGCTCTGCAGCGACGCTACCTGATCTCGCTGCAGCGCAAGTACCCGGGCACGCTGACCGACGCCGAGCTGGCGATGGTCGAGCTCGGCGGGCTCACCGAAGGCGCGCCCGAGGTGTCGCTCGAGCAGAGCTTCGGCAGCGTGCGCCGTCCGGACGCCCGCCTCGACTTCGGCACGCCCTTCCGCACGGGCGCACACTCGACGCCAGTCGCTAGCCGCGCTGCGACGGAGGCACCTTCGGAGGTCACGAGTCGACCTGAGGCGAACCTCTATCCCCGCCTTCCGGTCTCTCGCCGAGAGGCTCAGGAAGCGCCGAAGCCGGTCGAGGCGAGCGACATTCGCTCTCGTGCCTCAGCGCTTCTGAGCACGGTAGGCGGCGCAGTGTTTGGCTCTCGCACAGCAAGTCCGGCCGTGGCGCCGGTCAAGGTGGTCGTGCAGCCCGCTCGCACAGAGGTCCGACGCCCCCCAATGCGAGAGATCGGTACACCCTCGCGGGTCTCGCAGCCAGGCTCTGCGCACGTGAGGCCCTCAGTTCCGCTCGTGCCAGCTGCTCGAGCACAAGTGCCTCCGCCAGCTCCGCCACCGCCACCGCCGCCAGCTGTCCGTGCGCCAGCACCCCCGCCGCCGCCTCCAGCGCCGCCAGCAATGACACCCGGTCGCCGTCCAACGCAGCTTGCGACGAAGTTTGCCGCCAACAGAACGCCCTCGCCCCTCAAGGCTGCCACCGCGAGACGGCCCGCTCCTCGCTCGTCCGTCAGCACTGCCGACATCGTCGCTGCCGTCAATGCACGCGCCGCGCGTGTCTCGAACGACAACACCATGCATGCCCGTCTCTCGGCTGCCCGCACGCCGGCTCGCTCGCCGCGCAAGCAGGATGCCCGCTCCAGCATTCGGGCAGATGCCTCGACCGCATCTCGCTCGAGCTACGCGCCCGGCGCCGGGCAGAGCGGTCCTCGTCCCTTCGGAGGCACTCAGGGCTCCTCCTTCGTCCGCCCGACGGCGCTGGCCGGCCTCGGCGCCGACGCGCACCTCCAGGCTGCCGCAAAGGCGCGCCAGCTGCGCAGCAGCCGCGACGAGCGCAAGTGGACGAGCCCTGCTGCCCGCCGCTTCCGTCCCAGTGGCGCGGCCGCCGACACTGCCGAGCGCCAGGCGCTGCTCGTCACCGCCGCCGACTGCTCCTTCGACTCGTCGCGCGAGCTGTGGCGCGAGCGCGCCGAGCGCGAGGGTCTGGCAGAGGCAGATGCCAACGCGTCGAGCGGCCTGCTGCTCCGTCGTTGATGACGCTCCCGCTCCGCCCTACCGCTCCGCCCTACCCCTCACTAACGACCCGACTCCCTGACCGCTCTCATCCATTCGCCTTCGCACTCCTACGCATGTCTCCTCCACCTTCCATCACACAACCGATGCTCAATCTTATGCGACGCGCGCGACGCATGCGCCCACCAGGTCACGAGGCAGATGCAGTTGTCGCGGGTGGTGATGAGTAGAGGCCAGGATGATGGTGTGGTCGAGCGTGGGGGTAACGTGTGCGGAATGAACCGATGGAGAGAGCGCGCGCGGAAGGGATGTAGCCGAGAGATAGGTGATGGGTCATGATCGAGAAGCGCAGGTCAGGAAGCGGGAATGGAAAGGGAAAGAGCGGAGTGGAGACTGCTGGCGGACTGGTCGCGATGCCGAGTAGAGCAAGAGCCGCACGCCGGCGCTCCTCACTAAGATTGTGCACGGGCGCGGCGCTCAGCCGCGTCGGCGAGCATGCGCCTGCGCGATTGCGGCGAGAGCGGCGCCTCCTCCTCGCTGCTCAGCATCGCCTCGTCGTAGGAATTCTGGTCATCGTCGTCATCGTCCTCCTCGCTGTCGCGAACGGCGCGGCGGCCTCTGCGGCGGCGCGGAGGCGTGCCCACGTCCTCGTCGTCGAACTCGTGCGATGAGAGAGATCCCGCACTGCCCGAGTCGTCCGACATCTCAGGGACACGACGCCGGATACGGTCCACTGTATCCTGCAAGGCCGCGAGACGCGCGGCAACGCCCTGTCGCACGTCACGGAGGCGAGGTCTGGCCGGCTCCGCGGCTTCCTCCTCAGAGTCGTGGAATTGGTCCTCGCTGTGCGAGTCGCTGGATGCGTCCGAGCCGTCAGAGCCGTCGACGGCGTTGATGTCGGCGTCCACGGCATCAGCGTCCGCGTCGGCGACGTCCTCGAGACGTGCTCTGCGCATGAGCATGCCGCGATTAGCGCGGATGCCGTCGCTGCCGGAGTCATCCGAGTCGCTCTGGCTGCCAGAAGAGCTGTCGCTCAGATCCTCTTCATCAGACGACGGGAGTATGGCGGGACGGCGTACCTCGCCAGCAACTTGCACCTCGCCGTCCGAGCTGTCCGAGTCCAGGACGATCGGCGCGTTGCTGCAGCGCGAGGGTCAGCTCGGATCATGCTTGGCTGCAGACGTGTCAACTCACGCGCGGCCTGCTGCGCGACGGGCGCGGTCAATGTCACGACGATCGCGCGCAGCTTGACGACGATCGAGACGTGCTCGATGGCGGGCGAGACGGGCTTGGTCGTCGGCGTCTTCATCTCCAGAATCAACGATGAAGTCCTCGTGGTCGCGGCGATCCTCGTCGTCGAGATACTCGTCGACGGAGTTGTCGTCCGATTCGCTGTCGGTGAGGATTGCGACATCATCATAGCGGCGTCCAGCCGGCGCAGCGCGACCGTGGTGCGCGCCCATCAGGTTCGCCAGGTACTCGTGTGCTCCCTGCGGCGGCGGAATGGGCCTCAGCGCATGGTCTCGAGCGGCAGGGGCGGCAGGTGCAGCAGGACGCGGCGCTGCGGGGCCAGCTGCCACCTCCACGGGCAGCTCATGCGGCAGCGCAAAGAAGGGCGGCAGAGGCGCAGCCAGCGGGCCAGCGCCAGCGCCCGCAAAGCGAGCAGCGTTGGCGCGGGCAAAAAGGCGAGCGTCGCGTGGAGCCAGCGCAGCCTGCTGCTCGCGTTCGGCGCGACGACGTGCGCGCAGAGCGCCGGGAGCGCCAGGCAGGTGCAGGAGGGGTGGCAGTGGCGCCTGCGGCATCGGCGGCAGCGGTGGCAGCGGTGGCAGCGGTAGCGGAGGCGGGGCGAAGTGATCGAAGTCGAAGCGGACCGCGGGCCCGTTGCCGAATCTCGGCTGAGGACGCACGGCGCGCCGCGCCTCTGCCACCTGTTCCGCTGCCCGGACGTACGGCAGGCGCCGCACCGCCTCTGCGGCGCCGCCGGCCGCTGCTGCGTTCATTTGCGCTCTTGCTCCAACTGCTCCAGCTGCTTGCGCTCTCGCTCTGATCGCATCTGCTCTGGCGTGGGCTGCTTGCGCCCTCGCGTTGGCTGCCTGCGCCCTCGCGTTGGCTGCCTGCGCTCTCGCGTTGGCTGCGTGCACGCGCGCTTGCGCCGCGCGTGCCGGCTCCGCCTGGCCGGCCATCACGGCCTGGAACCTCTGCATGGCTTCCTGCACGCGCTGCTGCACGTCGCGCATGAAGCCAGGCTGACCAGCAGCGGCTGGAGCCCTGATCTCGGGGATCGCAAAGGCGGCACCTGCGCCTCTGCGCGCCGGAAGACGGCGCACGTTCCTCACAGGCTCAAAGTGTCCGTCGTCGAAGTCGTCGCCGTCGCCGTCGTCTTCTTCCGAGTAGTAGTGGCCGCTGGTGGCAGGAGAGAGGCGTCAGTGGTACGACCACCAGACGCATGAGCACGCTGACGCACCAGTCGGCATTCTGGCAGTAACCGCCGACGACCTCCGACGTGCAGACGCCACAGCGGTCCACGCCGTCCTCGAGGTCATGGATGATCGGCGGCGGCGGCGGGCCGTCCGAGAAGATGTCTGCACACGGCACTGTCAGCATGCACGGCGAGCAGGCTGCGACGCGAGACTCACTCTGCCACAGCGCCGCGCCGGCGGGCAGCGTCTCGCCCTTGGCCTCGGCGTCGGGCTCCTCCTCGCCCTCGCCGCCGCGGCCCTGTCCGGCGCGCACGGCCTTGTCGATCGTCTCGAGCAGGTCCTTGACGGCGAACAGCTCGATCGGCGGGTTGATGACGCGTGCGCGACAGCCCGGGCAGATCTTCTTGCGCTTGCGCGTGGCGCGGTTCTCGTACGTCGTGCGCTCGGCGCCGCGCATGTGGGCCGGAGGTCCGAGCTCGTCCTGCAGCGGCCTGGGTCCGACGTGCATCAGATGCATGCCGCCGAAAGAGATGCGAGGCAGGACTCACTTCTTGAACCAGTCGATCAGGCAGCGTGCACAGAAGACGTGGCCGCACGTCAGCACCTGCGGGCGCCAGGCAAGATCGAAGCACACGTGGCACGTCATGGCCGACTGCGTGGCGTCGACGGTGGAGCGCGTCGCCTCGATGAACTCGTTCTTCGACGCGAGCTCGTGGCGCAGCGAGAGCATCTCGGCTCGCAGCTGGTCGGGCGTGGCTGTGGCGCGACACATCAGCCGTGCGAATGCAATGCACAGGAGTCATGCGCCACTCACATCCCTCCAAGATTGGCTCGGCCTCTTCAAGCACATTGGCAGGGTTGGCAGCCGGCTGCTCGCTTGCCTTGCCCTTGCCCTTGGGCGACGTCGACGTGGTCTTCACCGGCGAGACGCTGCCGCGCAGCGGCGTTGCGAGGCCCGAGAGACCGCTGGCCAGCCGGTTCTCCTCGTCGAGCGTCATGAGGCCATTGCTGCGCGAGCGCGCACGGTTGCTGATAGGCTCCACGCTGGCCACTGCGCGCGAGCTGCCGGCCGCAGCTTGCACACTGGGCGAGCCTGGCAGAGGCGCACGTGCGTGTCAGCGAGGTGCAGCTGTATGCGCGGCGCGGGCAGACTCACGGAGGCGCTGGCGCTTCGGCGGACGGACCTCAATGAACTCGACGCTCTCGTCGGCCTGCATCTGGCGGCGCGCCGGGCGCGGCTCGGGGCGCGGCGAGGGTGTGCCGGCCGTGGTCGAGGCCGCTGCCGACACCACGGCGGGCGGCTCGGCCTCGTCGTCCTCGTCCTCGTCGCGCTCGTCGAGCTGGCTGGGCGAGAGCGACCAGCGCTGGCGCTCGGCGCTGTGCGAGCCGCTGGCGCTGCGCGAGCGCAGGACGCGGGCACGGGCGGTGGCGCTGCCGCTGCTGCTGCTGCCAGCACGCTGCGCACGCGAAGTGGAGGCGCGGGCAGCGTCGGGCATGCTGGCAGCGGGTGGGTGGGTGGCGGAGCGGAGCGCGGGTGAGGCGCAGCGGCGCCGGTGGCGGAAGATGCCGTGCTAGCAGGTGGTATGGGGCGGTGGTGGTGGTGGTGGGCAGAGGGCAGTGCTGCGCCGGAGCGAAGTGTTGGCTTGATGGCTTCGCGCGGCGGCCGCCGGCCGAGGCGTGAGGTGGGTGCGCGCCACGCGTCGCTGGCAAACAAGGGCACGCCGCGAGTGTCGCGCGGTCATCAGCCAGATGCAGGCACAAGAGAGCGAGCTCGCCGCACGCCGCAAAAGGTCTGGCTGCTCTCGCCGTGGCCCAGCGAGAGACAAACACGCCGTCTGGCGCAGCAGCTCCGCAGCACGAAGAGCGGGCTGTGCAGCATGCAGTAAGAGTGTCCAGCTTGCAGCCCGAAGCAGCGAGGCACCCAAAGAGGCAGCTGACGAGACGGCGGGGTGCAGGCGGTGGCTGCACGGGCGCGTCGAGTCCCACGCTCAGGCCTAGCCCATCACGTGCACCGCGAGGGAGTCGCGCCTGCCCGCGCCGCGCGCGCCTCTCTCTCTCTGCGCCAGCCAGCGCTCCAGCAGCGCCGGCGTCGTCTTCTTGCTGCTCTGCACCACCAAGTCACCCCCCTCACACACCTCTCACCATGTCTGCTCTTCAGTACCGCGGCGAGCTCGCCGGCCACAAGGGATGGATCACCGCCATCGCCACGTCGAGCGAGAACCCGGACATGCTCCTCACCGCCTCGCGTGGTGAGTAGGAGCAGCAGGCGGCGCAGCGAGCGGGGCGCAGGGCAGAGGAGATGAGCGCAGATGGGAGAAGGCTAGAGGGAACATTTCGGGGAAAAGTCAAGGGAACATGACGTGGTCGCGTGTCAGCAGTGCTGCTGCTTTGGGCATAGGGACGCTGTGGTGCCAACTGCTGCTGCGACACGGCCGCTGACCTTGGCCCGCAGACAAGACGATCATCGTGTGGCAGCTGAGCCGCGACGACGCCTCGTACGGCTACCCGAAGCGCGTGCTGCGCGGCCACAACCACTTTGTCAGCGACATCGTCATCTCGTCCGACGGCCAGTTCGCGCTGTCGGCGTCGTGGGACAAGACGCTGCGTCTCTGGGACCTCAACACCGGCACCACGGCGCGCCGCTTCGTCGGCCACACCGGCGACGTGCTCAGCGTGTCCTTCTCGGCCGACAACCGCCAGATCGTGTCGGGCTCGCGCGACCGCACCATCAAGCTGTGGAACACGCTCGGCGAGTGCAAGTTCAACATCCAGGAGGACGGCCACACCGAGTGGGTCTCGTGCGTGCGCTTCTCGCCCAACCCGAGCAACCAGGTCATCGTCTCGGCCGGCTGGGACAAGGTCGTCAAGGTGAGTCGCGCGCGAGAGCACCCGGCAGAGGAAGCACGGGCGCAGCATGGAGAGCACCGCCGCGCGAGGAAGAGGAACTTCAATATTTGCTACTACTTAGAGCACTCGGTGCTCGATGAGAATAACTCTGAACCACCAAGATCACTGAGCGCTCTTCTGCTCGCTGTGCCCGCTGCTGCTGCCGCTGCTGTGGTGCCTCCGATGTTGCGCACACGCTGACACACGTACGCGCAGGTCTGGGAGCTGTCCAAGTGCAAGCTGAAGACCAACCACTACGGCCACACCGGCTACATCAACACCGTCACCGTCTCGCCCGACGGCTCGCTCTGCGCCTCGGGCGGCAAGGACGGCATCACCATGCTCTGGGAGCTGTCCGACGGCAAGCACCTGTACTCGCTCGAGGCCGGTGACGTCGTCAACGCCCTCGTGTTCAGCCCCAACCGCTACTGGCTGTGCGCTGCCACCGCCAGCTGCATCAAGAGTGAGTGTCTGCCACGCGTGTGCTGCCCGCCGGCATGCAGCTGACCCTTGCTGCACCAGTCTTCGACCTTGAGAGCAAGTCGATCGTCGACGAGCTCAAGCCCGAGTTCGCCGGTGTCGGCAAGAACTCGGCCGACCCGCAGTGCCTGTCGCTCGCCTGGTCCGCCGACGGCTCGACGCTGTTCGCCGGCTACTCGGACGGCCTCTGCCGCGTCTACTCGGTCGCATAAGCGCGCATCTGCTCGCTTGTGCAGCGCGGCTGTATGATCTGGCGTCTCAGACGGGAAGGAGCAGTGCCGCAGACGCAGGGGGCGTCTCCACTCTCAAGCTCAAACCACATCACACATCCCTCCACTCTTCCCCTTCTCTCCTGCGCGCACGGACGAAGCCGTGTGCGCGTTACCCCCCGGCCCGTGCCGCGATCGCAGGGGGCGATCCCACCGCGCCACCTTCCTCGGCGTGCATGCGTGCGTCTGCCTCTGTCGCCTGCTCTCTTGTTGTTCCGCCTCCAAAACGGCTCAAATGCAGCGCTTGTGTGCCCGCCGAACTTCTCGCGTGATCTCGCGAGGATGTGTGCGTTGAGTATGTGCGAGGAGACAATGCGCGCGCTAGAATACATGGGGGGTCGGGCAGCGCGATAGATAGACAAAAGCGGCAAGAGGGAGTCCGGGAGAAGTCTAAGAAGGAGCGCAAGAGAAGAGTCGCGGGCGTCACCGAGCTGGTCAGGTGAAGGCGGGGCCCACGAAGCCGTCGTCTTCGGCGACGGAGCTCGTGCGGCTGGCCGAGCGCTTGGCCCGCTCTGACGGCTCGATGCGCGGCGGCAGCAGCGGCGGCGCCGGCTGCAGCTTGTCGCTGAGGCTCACGCCATTCGGCGGCGAGCCGGCAGCAGCGGGCGGCGAGACGGGCACGCGCGAGAGCTGCGAGTGGTCCAGCGACGCAAAGGGCGGTGAGGCCACCACGCTCTGCCGCTTGCTCGGCGGCGGCGGCGCTGACGTAAAGTTGTCGGGCGCAGAGGCACTCCCGGCTGCGACGCCCTCGGCACCTGTTGGCAGCACCGAGGAGCGCTTGGAGAACCAGCTGCTGAGGCCGCGCAGCGGCGTGCCTGTTGCTGCGGCGGCAGGCACGGCTGGTGCTGCGGCCTCGCCCTCCGCGGCGCTGTCCGCGCTGCCGCCGAAATCGGAGCCTGGCGTCGGCATGCCGCTGGCCTGTCGCGCTCCGGTCTCGTCGCCGGTGCCCGAGGCAGAGGCGTTGCTGGCGTTTGACTCGCCCGAGTAGGCACGCGTGAACATGCTGGCGAGCGAGCGGCTCGGCGGCGCCGGTGCATCGACGGAGCTGGGCGACGCGCGCAACGTGTTGCCCGAGGCTGCGCCTTCGCCATTCGCAGCCGTGGGCGTCACCGCCGTGGCGCGCATAAACGTGCTTCCTAGCCGTGCGCCCCACGTTGCGTTGTTGCTGTTCTTGCGTCCAGGGCTGCGCACTGCCTCCTCGTCCTCTGCCGACAGGTCTGTCGGCAGCGGCGGCAGCTTGAGCGCGTCGGCAGCGACCTCGCCGTTCGCGCCGCTGGCGCTGCCGCTGCCGCCCGCTGCCGCCTGCTCCTCGATGAAGTGGCGCAGCGCGCGCAGGCACACCTCGGACGCCTCGCGCGCCTCGCGTGCCTCGTCGAGCGCCGAGCCGAGGCGCCGCATCTCCTTGCGTGCGCGCTCTAGCTCGGCCTCGCGCGCGCGCAGCTTGCCTTCGGCCTCTGCCAGGGCGCGCGGCGCCGGCCCACTGCCGCCAGCTTGGTGCATGCCGAGGAAGCTCATCGGGCGAGCCGTGCCGGGCGCGTCTGAGTGGACAGAGAGATTGTCGGGGAACGTAGCGACGCCGCTCTCGTCGTCGTCCTCGAGGATCGGGCTCGTCATGCTGGAAGGCGAAGGCGAGACGCTCCCGTTGCGTCCCGGCGGTGCGAGGCCTACAGCGCCCTCGCTACCATCGCTGCCGGCGGTGCCGCGGCGCGCGCGCTGCAGGGCGTGGCGCAGGCCAAACAGCGACTCGCCGGGCGAGGCATCGTCAGGCGCGAGTTCGGAGTGTGAGCCTTGCGGCGAGAGCATGCTGTGTTGACTGCTGCGCCGGCTTGTCGAGCTTGCGGCCTCGGATGCGAGCGTGATGGGCACCGCGCTCGTGCCGCCGAGGCGCAGCTCGCGCAGCCCACCAGCGCCCGGGGCGCCGTCGTCGGTGGGGGCGCCGCCGCTGGAGGTGCGGCGGTGGCCCGCGGCTGGGCCGCGCCCGGCGGCGAGGATGTCGGCGCGTGCCGTGGGTCCAAAGGCGAGCGAGGCACGCTTGCTCTTGCGCCGCGCTTGTGCCTCGTCGTCCTCCTCGGCACCAGGCTGCGGCGACGCGTTTGGCAGAGCGGCCGGGTTCCAGCCCGCCAGCGAGGCGGGACCCATGCTGCGGCGGTTGTTCTGCGCGGCGCCGGCAGCCTCGGTCTGGAAGCGCATGATGGCGCGGCGGCTCTCCTCGCCGCGAATGCGCAGGTCCATCACCTTGGCCTCCTCCTCCTCGCGCCGAGCGCGCTCCTGTGCCAGCGCCGCCTCGAGCTCGCGCACGCGCGCCTGCGTGGCGGCGGCGGCCGGCGGGCTGCCGTATGCGCTGCCGCCGCTGCTGCTGCTGCCGGCCCACTCGCGGTCCGCTAGCTCAGCCGAGCGCGAGAGGAGTGCGTCGTGGGCCGTGCGCAGCGTGGCCAGCTCGGCGCGCAGCTTGCGCACCTGGGCGTGCAAATCCGGCACGTTGCTGCTCAGCGGCGGCGACGGCGAGCGGCGCGGCGGCGCCGAGAGGGCCGTGTGGCTGGCCGAGCCGCTGCGCGAGAGCGGTGCGCCTTCGACGGGCGACGAGCTGCTGCTGCTGCTGCGCGGCGGCGGCGAGTGGCGCACCGCACGCGGCGTCGTGGGGTCGGCCGTGGCGGCCATGGGCTCAGTGGTGAGGCGAGGCGATAGGGATGTGGAGTGTGCGAGCGCTGGCCGAGAGAGCGGCGCGCCGGGTTGGAGGTGTCCGAGGAGTGGGTGCTGCTTGAGGTGACTTGCGGGGGGGTGGTGGTGGTGGTGCAAGAGACAAAGTGGCAGCAGGCAGAGAGGAGGCCAACATGATGGGCGCAGCCACTCACGGCCAAGCAAGGCGAGCAGCAGAGGCAGCCAGCCTCCTCTCGCCATACGACACCGCCGCAGCGCGACACAGCCCATGCGGCGTGCGGCCGCGGCGTCGGCGCAGCGGGCAAGCTGCGCCGTCGATCCGATGCGCGAGGGATGCGCGTGCTGCCGCGGTGCTGCTGTGCCGCTGCTCTGCTGTGCTGCCGTGCCGCCGCCGCTGCGCGCCAGCCCCTGCGCTGCACCTGCCTCGCGCCGCTGCGCCCTCATCACCCTCGGCGCTGCTCTGCTGCTGCCGTGCCTCGTCGAGTCGGCTCCGCCGTTCGCCCGCAGCGCCGATGTGACGCACGGGCGCCGCCGCGGCCGCCGCGCATGCCTCGTGATCTCTGCTGCGTCTCCTCGCCGCTCCTCGCCGAGCAGCGCGTCGCTTCTGCATCTGTGCTGTTGTTGCACCCTTCAGATGGCTCGCTGAGGCAGAATGGCCTGCATTCGCGGCCAGCTGGCTTCAAAATCTGCCAAGGGAGCGGCGCGCGGTTGGGCGGCGTCTCTTGCGCTTCTGCGCTTCCTGTCCTTCTCTCGCAGGCGCCGCCGCGTTACTCCGCCTTGCGCAGCTTGCGCGTGCGACCCGACGTCCGCCGCCACGGCATGTGCCGCCGCGGGCGAGGTGTTGCGCACAAAGGGAGGCTGTGGTTCGCCGGGCAGCGCTGGCTGCAGAACGCACAGTCTGGTGCAGCGACGACGACGCAGGGTTGTGCAGCACGAGTCCGAGTCAGAGTGCAGCTTCCGCTCGTTCTCCTGCTTCCATGCGGCGCCCAGCCACTCCCGGCCGGCGCGCCGCTTGCTGCTCGGTGCGCTTTTTGGCGCTGCTCTGACCCCATCTGAGCGATAGAATGCCTTCAGATTCTGCGACGGGACTCGAGAAGCAGTCGTGACTGCTACGTGTCAGTGCGCGGAGGCTTCCTGGGATGCTGCTCCGCCGCACGACGGAGCCCCTGGACGGCGGCGCGCTCGGCGAAATCGCGCCGGACGACGCTAAGCACCAGGGCCGCGCTTGCCTCCTCTCCTCAGCCAGCTGGGCTGCCACGTCTCCAGCTCGGAGGTCAAGCTGCAAGCGCTGCCAGACGTCACATGCCGTCACATGCTGCTGCCAACGGCCCGGCTGCGGCGGAGAAAGGCAGCCGGGTCCGAGGGGATGGTCGGCGCGTCGGGCGGCCGCCGCGGTGATGGCGTCGCTCCTCTGCCCCACAGGGCCTGATGCAGCGTCGAATGGCACGGAGATGGAGCAACAGCTTCATCTGTAGCACGTTTGGGCTGGTGCAGATTGCCACGCCCGAGCGAGCACTGCAGAGCAGGTGGCTCGATGCAAGCCAAGAGGGAGGCGGAGGGGCGAGGCGCGGCGGTGTTGTTCTTGCGCGGCACGTGCCGACGCGTCGGTGTTGCTCTCACGCTGCGCGCGCGGCGAGCCGGCGTGGGCGCGTCTGGCCGTGCTCGCCGCTGCCTGTCCTCCACCACCATCTCCCTCCAGCATGCCGTCCGCCGTGTCGCCGCTCGAGGCGCTGCCGACGCTCGTGCCACAGCACTTCCAGGACGCACAGCACTCGCTGGCCACGCACCGCAAGAACGTCGTGGCGCTGCAGCGCGCCCATGCTGCCGCCGCCCAGGTCACGCTGCGCACGGAGCGCGGCACCAAGCTTGTCGGCGAGAAGGCCTTCAACGAGGTGTTCATCGCGTGTCTGAACCGCGTGCTGGGCATCAAGAAGGGCGTCGTGAATGCCGATCGCATCGTCAAGTTTGTCGCTGCGTACGCGTCTTGTGAGTGGAGGTGCGGGACCGGCCTGGCGCGGCGAGACAGGGCCGGCAGCGGTGTTGTGCGAAGCAGCAGCGCATCTGCGCCCGTCGTGGGGCACCGACTGACTGAGGCCTCACAGATGCTCAGGGCGCCTTCCGCGCCGCCGCGCGCGCGGCGTCCGGCGAAGAGCCGGCGTCGGACGAGGAGGAGGAGGAGGACACGGCGGCGACGCGCTTCGTGTCCATCCTGCTCAAGCACCTGCTGCGCGGCTTTGGCGCCAAGAACAAGGCGGTGCGCCTGCGCTGCTGCCAGGCCGTGGCGCTGCTGATCAATGGGCTCGAGGCGATGGAGTGAGCCGCGCGTGCCTGCCGCGCTCGCCCTGCGCTGACACGCGTGCGGCAGCGATGATCTCTACCAGACGCTCAAGGGCGCACTGCTGATGCGCGCACGCGACAAGGAGAGCTCGGTGCGCGTGCAGGCCATCGTCGCACTAGCGAAGCTGCAGGGCGGAGAGGATGAGGAGGACATCGATGAGCCAGAGGGCAGCGGCAGCGACGGCGGCACCGGCAAGGACGTGACGGGCGTGCTGCTGCGCATCCTGCGCGAGGACCCGTCTGCGTGAGTGCTGCTAGTCCCTTGGCAAGCGCGCCGCTCACAGCAAGCGCAGTGAGGCACGCCGTGCGGCCCTCTTCAACCTGACGCCCACGGCACGGACGCTGCCCTTCATCCTCGAGCGGCTGCGCGACGTCGACGCCATCAACCGGCGCTGCGTCTACCTCGGCTCCCTCTCGCACAACATGCTGGCACAGCCCGGCGCCGCAGCACTCGAGGTGCACGAGTGGGGCGACGTCGTCAAGACGGGCCTCGGTGAGCGTGAGGAGAGCGTGCGCCGTGCGGCGCGCAAGCTCGTCTGCGGCTGGGTGGACCGCGATGCGGACCTCGAGAAGGTGAGTGCCAGCGTCAGAGGGCCACAGCTCCTGCTGACGACCGGGCCAGTTTGCTGCGCGCTTCGATATCGTCAACAACCCTGCTATCGCGGCCTCAGCTCTGCGTGCTGTCTTTGAGGCGCGCCCGGCGCTGCTGGATGCCGTCGCCTTCGACGAGAGCTTCTGGGCCAACCTGACGCCTGGAACCGCCTTTGTTGGCCGCCAGTTCGTCGAGCACTGCCGCTCGCTCGGCCCGCAGGGCGCCACGCGTCTGGACGAGGCCATGCCGCTTGTGACTGCGCTCGCGTTCCGCACGCAGGCAGCGTGGGGCACGCTGCTTGAGCTTCTCGAGATCGAGCTCGAGGCCGACACGGAGGCCGAGCTGAGCCCGCAGGCCGAGGGTGCGCGCAGCACGCTCGATTCGCTGCTGCACGTTGCCATGTCTGCCGACTACGGCGACGAGATTGGCCGGCGCAAGATGTTTGGTCTCGTGCGCGACATGGTCTCCAACACACTCTTCCCACACGCGCTGCTCGATGGCGCCCTCGACGTGTTGCTCAAGCTCAGCGCGGGTCAGCGTGACTTCATGCAGATTGTCGTCGAGCTGGTGCAGGAGATGAGCGACTGGGAGCGCGAGGGCGAGCGCGACGAGCAGAGCGAGGAGGAAGAGGAGGACGACGAGGCGGAGGTCGAGGACACTGTGAGTCGCACAGCGCTTTGAGCCAAGACTGCTGGCAATGCTGACGCTAGCGCAGCTGGCCGCTGGGTCGAACGGTCGGCGCAAGCGACGTGCCGCCTCGCCGGACGAGGACGAGCTGGCACGCCAGGCCGGCATCGACGCACGCCGCTTGGCAATCGTGCGCGGCATGCTGGAGCGCATGTCTGGCGGAGTGAGTAATCGCCGAGCTTGGCCGACAGCACGCACGAAGCTGACACGCTTTTTCTCAGGGCATCCAAGAGATGATGGGCCTCGTCAGCCAGCTCATCTCGCCCGCCATGCGCTCCAAGGACGAGGCGGTGCGCGAGCAGGGCTTCCTGTGCATGGGCCTCTGCTCCATCCTCGACGCCGACGTGGCCGCGACGACGTTCCCCATGTTCCTCAACCACCTGCAGCGCAGCAGCGGCATCATCAAGGTGCGCGCGCTGCAGGTGACGTTCGACATGCTCACCGTGCACGGCATCTCGCGCCTGAGCGCCGCGCAAGTCGAGGGCCTGGGCGGCGGACCAGAGGCCGAGGCCAAGGCGCACGAGCATCTCGTCACCTTTCTCCTCTCGCTGCTGGAGGACGAGGACGAGGAGCTGCGCGTGCAGAGCGCCGCGGCGCAGGGCATGGCCAAGCTCATGCTCGCCGGCATCGTCGAGGACGACGTGGCACTGCGCAGCCTCGTGCTCATCTACATGACGCCCGAGACGGCCGGCAACCAGGAGCTGCGCCAGTGCCTCGGCTACTTCCTGCCGGTCTACTGCTTCTCCTCGCCGCACAACCAGCGCAAGCTGCAGCGCGTGAGTCCTGAGGAGCAACGTTGCGAACTCGTCGCTGACACCTGCACGCCAGGTCTTCGTCGAGACGCTGCACATCCTCGCCGAGCTGTACTACGAGCTGGAGGACGGGCAGGAGATGGTCACGCCGCTGCAGGTAGGCCTGCAGCTGCTCGACTGGACAGACCCGAGCAAGTCTATGTGAGTGGCCCGCACCTGCCGCCACAGATCTGCTCTGCTGACGCTACCGCGCGACGCAGCCGGCAGGACGGTGATCAGACCATCCACGTCGACGTGGCGATGGATCTGATGAAGCAGCTGCTGCTGCTCGACGACAAGGACGAGCGCAAGGTGCTCTGCCAGCTGCTCGCCAAGCTCAACCTGCCCGAGCCCGAGGCACTCTCTGCCGATCGCGCAGAGGCTCTGTTCCTGCTGGCGCGCGTCTTGAAGGCGGTGCGTCCAACTGCTAGTGCGCATGTCTGCTCCATCTGACTCGCTCCTCGCAGACGAACCCGCTCGACGACACCGTCACGCGCAACGCCTTTGGCCGCTTTGAAGCTGCGGCAGCGAAGCGCTTTCCGGATGCTGCGGCCGCCGCCGAGGCGCATGACCTGGCCGAGGCGGTCGGCGATGCCGTCGAGGAGCTGCGTGCGTGGTTCGAGGAGGCGCAGATCGAGGTCCGAGGCGCCAAGGCAGGGCAGGAGGCGGCTGCGGCAAAGGGCCGAGGCAAGGCCAAGCCGCGGCCTAAGGCAGCGCCTGCTCCGCCGAAGAAGAAGAGGTGAGTCCTTCGCTTAACCACATGTCGCATCGGTGCTGCTCGACTGCTGATGACGCGAAACGCCACAGCATCAAGCTCATGTCTGACGACGAGGACGACAGCGACGAGGCGCCGAGCGCTGCGCCGACGCAGGACGAGGACGACAGCGACGAGGCGCCGAGCGCTGCGCCGACGCAGGACGAGGACGAGTCGATGGACGACGCCGAAATGAGCGACGACGAGCTCGCCTGAGCGCCCCCGCCTTGCCCTGCGCCGCCGTGTGTCTCAGACTTGTCGCTCTCGATGCCGTTCTTCTTCGTGTACGCCCTCTGTATGATGTGTCAAGTCACGTTGCACCTGCTCGTCGTGTCGTGACACATCGTGTGACAGGCCTGCGCTGCGCGCGCTGCACCCTCCGCACCCTCAGCCCAGCGCCCGCAACCCACTCGCGCGCCGCGCCGGCAGCTGCTCAGGGTGTCGCCGCCTTTGGCCCCGTGCCGCCGCTGCCGGGCCCTGCCATCGCGCATCGCAGGCGCTGCTGCGGAGCATCCGATACGCTGCACATGCAGCTGCGCTTACGACGGCCGAGCTAGGTGTCGTCGGGCTCGGCTGAGCGGACGTCATGTGTCGATGCCAGCCGGAAGTCCTCCCGAGCGCGGCTCGAGGAGGCCTGCCTGCTACGCTCGGAATGCCACAGCCGACCCCTCATGCCTGATGCTGATGGTGATACGCTCGCATTCATCGTTCAAGGGTGAAGCGCACGTTGTGCAAAGAGCTGCGCCGCGTCAGGGGAGATGAGGTCTTGGCCGGCGCCCATATAGCGGCGCTGCAGATCATCTGCACCCCTGAGCAGGCTGAATCGTGCTGTATCGTGCTCCATCGCCCGCTCTCGCAGCAGCTGCAGACACGCAGAGGACATATTTCGCAGGCTGAAGGTGCCTAGGCCTGCTCGCTCCACGCTCTAGTCTGATGTAGGACGCCGCGGCAGCGTGCCGGCGGCCGGCTGCGGCGCATGGTGCGAGCGAGGCGCGGCCGCCGGCGTCAGGGGCACTTCTGGACGTAGTCAGGTCGACCAGACTTCGAGGCGGCACCTCTCGAGCGTGAGCATCCACGACGGCAGCAAAGGCGCAAGAGCTCGCATTTCGACGCCGACGAAGCTCTTCCTTTCCGCTCAGCCGACGGCTCTGCCGGGTGCCGGTGCGGCGGCACCCGGCCGCCATCGCATGCATGGCGCGCCGCCGGCGCCGACCCCACATTCCCGCTTCCGTGCGCGGTGCTCTGAGGCCGAGGTGCAGCTCTGCCTCTGACTCTCCAGCCGAGGCGCGCGGCGGTTGCGGCTCGCGTGGCGCTCCCGCAAAGTCACCATGCTCTTGATGGCGGAGCCGCGGGCGGAGTCGGCCGCGAGCGCCTCTTCTCGCTCTCTCCATGAGCGAGACTGCGGCTGCGAGAGAGGTGCTGCAGACGCTGCAGCGAGGCGTGCGTGGCGCTTGCGGAGATGCGAGCTGCTGCGCTCTGCGCTGCGTCGGCACCGGCGCCGGCAGAGGCGGGAGCGGCGGGAGCGGCAGCGGCAGACGCCGGCGCGGCCGGCGGGCGGCGCGGCGTAGGCGCAGCGCTGCTCCTGCGCCGCTCACGGCTCACCCCCTCACCCCCGCGCCCACGCTAAGCCGGGCTTGGCTCGCGGTGCTTTGCTCGCGCTGAGCTGCGCGTGTGAGAGCGCGGCGTTGCACCGCCTCAGAGCGCGGCGCGGGAGGCGTGCGAGATCTGCTCAGCGAGGCGGCATCTGCTGATCATGAGCCCCTCGCCCAGCCCCTCGGTGGCGCGTGCCTCCATCATCTGTCTCAACTCGCCGCAGCGCAGGTCCTGATGACGCCCTTTGAGCGTCGACAGGGGCGGTATATGATGCTGCACTTGCTGCCGGGCCAGGCTGAGTGCGGCTGCGTGCCGTGCGTGGTGGGCGGTGGCCGGTGCCGAGGTGGGCGCATGTTGCTCCTTCGCGCGCGGGGCACGCGCGGACCTGGACGCGCGCGGCGCGGTGCGTGCGTAGCGTGCCAGCCCCGCCGTGTGCGCTGCTGAGGCACGCCTGCTGTTGCCGCCGCCGCTGCCCGCCTCGCGCCTCTGCTCCGCTCTCCATCGGCCCCAAGCCAGCGTCTGGCCCTGTCGCGTGCGCTGCACATCCCTCTCACCCTCACCCTCCGCAGCACGCTCCTTGCACTCCACACACACACCCACCCGCGCCTGCGCCGCCGCTCCGCTGCGCCTGCGCTCCTCACCTCACACCGCCGCAGCTCGGCCCGCGCATGTCGCCCTCGGCCCTGCCGCTGCGCCGCTCGCCCTCGCCGCCCACCCGTCTCGTCGCCGAAGCCGCCGGCGCTCCCTCTCCACCGGCGCTCGACACCGACAGCGTCCTCGCACTCGCGGCGCGCAAGCAGGGCGCGCTGCCCGTGCGCAGCCCGCTGCCCGCCGCAGCTCGCGATGCCGGGCCAATAGCTGCCGGTGCGGGCGCAGCGCCGGGCGCGCCAGATGCAGCGGCAAGTGGCAGCGGCAGCGAGCCAGACAGCTCGCCGCGCTCGCTGCGCAAGCTCGACACGAGCGCAGCGATGCTCAGCACGGCCGAGCCGCCGCGCTCCTCGCCGAGCCGCTCCAGTGCCGCGGCAGAGTCCGTGGGCGGCAGCAGCAGTGCGGCGCCCGAGGCGTCGTCCAGCCGCAGCGCCACAGCCTCGTCGTCGTCGCCGCTTGTGGTGGAGCGCCGCGCCCTGAGCGCCATCTCGTCGCCGCTGCCGCTCTCCTCGTCGCCGCTCGCCTCGCCCTCGGCGCGCCCGCCGCCGACGCCGTCGCCCTCGAGTGCCTCGCTGCTGCGCCGCATCTCGGCCGGCGTGCTCGGCGACGAGAACCGCAGCGGCCTGGGCGCCTACATCTCCGTCGGCACGCCCTCGCGCTCCGGCTTCTCCACGGGCGGCGGCAGCGGCAGCGGCGGCGGCGTCGGCTCGGCGCTGCTGCAGATGAGCGCCTCGCTCGGAGCCGCGCATGTTGCTACTCCCTCTCCACGCAGCGTGCCGCCGCCGCTGCTCGATGTGCCGCGCTCGTCGATCCTGATGAACCCCATCAAGCGCACGACGGTCGTCGACGCCTGGCGCTGGGACTCGGCCGGGCTTGCCTCGCCGCCGCCGACGCCCGGCTCGCCGGCGCCACTGACGATCCGGCGCGTGCCGTACGTGGCCTCGGCGCGCGAGCGGCGCGAGGCTGCGCGTGAGCGGGAGCGGGCGCGCGAGGCTGCGCGCGAGAAGGAGCGCGAGAAGATGCGCGAGAAGGAGAAGGAGGCGGAGAGCAAGGTGTGGGGCATCCCCAAGAAGGCCTTCTACCTGGGCCTGCCGGACATCAACTTCAACTCGCAGGCCAGCATGCTCGCCGGCTGGGGCAACGGCAGCGGCACGACGGACTACCGGCCGAATCGCCGGCCCATGAGCGCGCATGGTGGCGCCGGCGGCCGGGGCACTAGCTTTGGCGACTCGCGCCGCGAGACCTCTCAGCGTGAGAGAGAGCGAGAGCGCGAGCGGCGCGACCGCGAGAAGGAACGAGAGAAGCGCGAGAAGGAGATCGAGGCTGATGCAGCGGAAGACGATCCGATGGACCCCGAGGAGCTGGCGGCGCTGAATGCCATCATCAACACGCGCCGCAGCGCCGCCAGCGCCATGGCTCTCGCCAGCGGCCAGGTGCGCTTCGGCGAGCCCTCGACGCCAGCGACGGCCGAGCCGACGCCCTCGGAAGACATTTCGCGCTCCAGTCTCGGTCTCTCGGCGCGCAGCGTCAGCCACGACTCTGTGCCGACGATCTCGTCAGTCTCCACATCGACCGCACTGGAGACGCCGAACAGCGAGCAGCCTCGGCCTGATCTGCGCCGCCAGAGTGTGTCTAGCAGCGTGCTGCCGCCACCGAGCGCCAGCGGACGCATTCGCTTTGCGCCTCTGCCGCACACGCCCGTGACGCTCATCACGCCCGCCAGCGAAGTGGCCGAGGACCAGATGGAGCTCATTGAGGACGGCAAAGGGCGGCGCTCTAGCAACGACGTCGACGGCACGGCGCTGCAGGGCATCAGCGCGGCGCGGCCGCGGGCACCGGACAGTCTGGCGCCCGACAGCGATGGAGATAGCGACGACGACGAGGGCTGGTCGCGGCGCTGGAGCAATCTGGGCGAGAAGAGCAAGTCGTGAGTGGCTGCGCGCTGCGGAGGCCACTGATCTGCGCTCTGACACGCTTCCTTGTGCAGATGGCTCGGCCTCGGCATGCTCTCGACCTCGGAGAAGGAGAAGGAGGAGCGGCGTGGGCGCGGGAGGCGGCCGCGCAGCGTACGCTCCTCGCGGCCCAGCTCGGTCAAGAGCCGCTCCAGCAGCGTGGGCTCTGGTGATGAGGACGAGCGGCAGCGGCGTCGCGAGCTCATCCGCGCCAGTCGGCCGGGCGGCACTGGCATGGTCACGCTGCCCGACGGCACGAAGATCAAGGCGCGGCGCGTTGGCGAGGGCGGCGGGGCTGAGACGGACTACGACGAGCTCGAGAGTAACGAGTGGGGCTTTGCCGGCCTGGCTCGCGAGGCACGCCGCACATCGGCAGCAGTCGCGGCCTCCGACGAACCGCCGCTGTCTGCACTCAGCACGGAGGCGCCGCAGAGCGGCCGGCGCGCCGACGACATCGACGATGATCACGCCGACGACGACGACCTGGCGTGGGTCAAGCGGCGGCGGAGCGAACGCGAGCTTTCGGGCCGCCTCACGTCTGTCGCGAGCCGCGCCAGCGCGAGCAGCGGCGCCGAATCGACGGCAGATGACGAGCAGATGGCTGCATCGAGCGACACTGTCCTGGCTCCGCCGCCAAGCATCGCTGCGACCGTTGCTGCTGGCTCGACAATCCGCGAGGCCGGCGCAACATCCTCAGCGCCAGCGCCGCCGGCGAAGCCTGCTGTGGCTGTGGGCCCGCTGCTCAACGCGCAGCAAGTTGCCGAAATGCGCCGGCGACACGAGGAGGAGGTCGCGGCGCTTGGCGCCGAGGTGCTTGCAAACATCGCACGCACCAAGGCGCAAGCAAAGCAGCAAGCCGCTGCCGCAGCAGCAGCCGAGGGCGGCACTGCCGCCGACGACAAGAGCACCGTGGATTCTGGCGCACACCACGGCAGTGCGCGGCACTCGCGCGTCAGCTCGCACTCCGATGCTGCAACGGCGGCGCTGCGCAGCGAGGCTCGCCCGGCCACGCCGCCGCGTAAGCCCTCAATCCGCCTGCCGCTGCGCAAGCCGTCGCTCCCCATGCCGGTGCGCAAGGGCTTTGGCCACATGCCGACGTCGCCGCAGACACCCAAGCTCGACCTCTCCTCGCGCCTGGAAGAGCAGGTCGAGCCGACGGAGACCACCGTGGATGGCGTCAGACCGACGTCGTCCATGCACACCGACCTCGTCATGTCGGCCAGCCCGATTGGCTCGCCCACAAGCGTCATCATCAAGACGCCGCAGCAGGCGCTACCTGCCTCCTCGCCCGACCAGTCAACGATTGACCTGTCGCCTTCGCGCTCCTCCATCTCGCTGCCGAGCGTGCGCGGCTCAACCTTCACGAGCCCCTCGCGCACGCGCCTGACGTCGCGCAGCCCGTCGAACAGCCGCGTGCCCATCGACTCGTCGGTCAGCGTGCCGATGCCGTCGCAGACACTGCCGCGGCGGCCCGACGCGCGCGGCTATGCCGTGGTGCCGCTGCCGGGCAACCAGCTTGGCACGCGGCCCGCGCGGCCGCACGAAGGCCGCGTCTGGCTCGTCGACGATGACGATGACGACTTCGACACCGAGGAAGAGGGCAGCGGCCCGCGTACCATTGCCGTCGGCGACGCCTCGAGCGACGAGGACGACGAGGACATGGGCCCGGAAGAGCTGGCCGAGGAGGAGCGCCGCACGGCCATGCAGAAGAAGCGCGCCACGACGAAGGCGGCCGGCCAGGAGGTCATGTCCAAGGCCAAGGCCGGCCCCAACGGCAACGCCATCTCGGCGCCTGCGGCGTTAAGCGGCCGCGCTGGCACGCGGGGCACGCTGCGCTCGGCCCAGTCGTCGGCGGCCGTGCCGCGGCGCGATGTCGGTGGCAGCATGGGCGCGGCAGGCGGCGGCAAGACGAAGCAGACGCTGCGTGTCGCCTCGTCGCTCTCTGCCATCCGGCGCGTCAGCGGCGAGAGTGCGGTGTCGGTGGAGATCGACGAGGCCGACGTCTCGGACGACGCCGAGCTCTGGCCGCCGTCGGTGCAGCACTCGCTCGGCGCGCGTCGCCCCTCGCAGCAGCTGCGCGAGGAAGGCGCCATCCGCGCTCGCATCGCACGCGAGAAGCGCCGCCGCGCCGAACGCCGCGTCGAGGAGGAGCGCCGCCGCAAGCGCGCCGAGGACGAGACGGATCCCGACTGGGGCTGGGTGAACAGGACCGGCGGCGGGCCCATCGGCTTCGGCGCCTCCTCGACGAGCGTCAACCGGCGCAAGTGATGCGACGCCGCCTCCACAAGCTCTCTGCGGAAGGACCGGCCGCTCTCACGGCCGACTGCCGCATTCCCTCCTCCACCCTTCTCATCGACCATTCCCCCACCACTTCTCTATTTCATACCCACCATCCCTGCGGCTGTCATCCGGCGGCCGCGGCTGTATATATCGCCCCGTCACGTTTTGCGCACTCTGCCCTTCCGTCAATGTCCACTCATGTGTCACCGTCCATTCACGCCAGGTGCTGGTCGTCAGGTATCTAGCATTGCGTGAGAGTCGTGGAGAGGAGCCGATGTTAAAGCATATACAGATGGCTCCGGAGCGGAGCTAGACGAGTGGAAGGCGATCAGATCTCGCGCTGGAGGGAGGGGCGCGTCAGCAGGTGGTCCATGACAGCGTCAAGATCTCAAGCTCACCTTGCCGCCGCCGAAGAAGGAGCCGAGGCCGCCACCGGAGCTGCCGCCTTGTGCGCCGTACGGGTCTGAGGTACAGGCGGTAAGTGACTGAGGACGGCAGCGTGCGTCAAGACACTCACTGTAGCCGCCGCCATGTCCGCCGCTGGGCTTCTTGTTCTTGTTCAGGTGGTCCATGAGCATCTAATGTGGTGTCAGCCAATGTCCCTGTGCGCCTCGCCGTTTCGTTGCTCACCTTGCCGCCCTGCGCCAGTGCCGCGCCGCCAAAGGCCGCCTTCATGCCGCCGCCGTGGTTGCCCATCATCTTGTTGCCCGCAAAGCCGGCGAGGCCGCCCATGGCCATGGTGCCGATGCCGCGCTCGCCCGGCGGCAGCGGGTTGCCGTGCTCGTCGTACTGCTGCGGCTGCTGGTCTGGCGCACCCTCCTGGCCCGGGTACGACTGCTGCCCGTACTGCTGCTGGTGCGCCGGCGGTGCGGCGCCGTACGGGTTGGGCGAGCCGCCGTAGGGATTCGGCGAGGCGCCGTACGACTGCTGCTGCACGTTGTAGTCGGGCTGCGGCGCGCCGTAGCCCTGCTGCTGGCCGCCGTACGGGCTGTGCTGCGGCGGCGGTGCCGAGTAGTCGGGCATCGACGAGCCGCCGTAGCCGCCGGCGCCGTTGTTGTAGCCCTGCGGCACTGGCGGCGGGTATGGCGACTGTGCGGAGGGTCAGCGGATGAGGCAGGACGGGCAGGAGCGGCGGCGACGCACGTTGTACGAGGCGCCAGTGTCGGGCATGGGCATAGAGGAGCCGCCGGGGCCGGGGTAGTAGGACATGCTGGTGCTGGGCGGTGTGGTGGTTGCGAGTTGAGAGGTGCGAGTGCTGCTGAGGCTGGCAGATGCTGCGTGGTGTGGTGGTGGTGAGGGCAGAGCATGCTGCGAGGCTGGCTTCTTGTATGGCCCGCCCAGGCGCACAGCCCGCGCCGCCGGCAACGCTTGCTTCGCTTGGCGTGTGGAGCAAAGGCAGGCGCAGCGGCGGTTGCGGGTGGCGCGGCACGGCGGCACAGAGGAGCACGGCGTGGGCGCGTGGCTGTGCTGCGCCCACGAGCGACGCCTCGGCCGCCGAGCGCCGCCGGCTCCTCCTCCTCGACCTTCCCCACGTCGCATCTCGGCACAGCCGCATCTCATCGCTGCTGCGTGGAAGCTCATCAAGCACAGCATGCGCAGGGCGCAGGAGAGGCTGATCGTCGCCGGCCCTGGACCGGACAGCCACTCAGCGACATGCGGGAAAAGTGCGGCGCAGCCACAGCAGATCTCGCCCGGCACCCTGCATGCTGTGCTACGTGGACGAGACTGAACGTTGCGATGCCTGCATCACGTGGAGGACACTTCGGCGTAGGTGCGGTCAAGAGCAACCTCTGCACGGCGGTGTGCTGCCTTCGCTGTGGGAGAGAGCGAGCCGCCGGCACGCTGGACTGCACAGCCCGCCTCTTCCCAGGCTTGGCTAGACGGCGTCGCATCTCCTCCATCTTCCGCTTCTCTCCTCCAACATGCTGGCAGGAGCGAGCTCACATGTCACCCGCTTGCAGCAGCGGCGTCGCAGCCAGCGACGTCGCCGCAGCTCGCGGCCGACGTCGAGGCGGCGGCGGAGTGACGTCGCCCGATTCCCGCGGATGCGCACGGATGCTGCGCGCGCCGGTGTCGATTTTCAAGTGCCTGGTGGGAGATTCTAATCGCGACCTCAAGGTTGTTGTATTCGCGCCGAGACTGGCCCGGGCGCCGAGAGCGGCTGCGCTTCTTCGCGGCGCTCCCCATCCTCCTCCGGCGTGCCCAACATGTCGCTGCTGCGTCTCTCACGCCCGCTGGCACGGCCACTGGCGCAGCCCACAGCGCGCTCCCTCTCCTCGTCAGCCGCGAGCAGCGGCCGCAGTGCACGCGCCAGCCGCGCCGCCTACCTGGCCGCCGGCGCGGCGCTCGGCGTCTCGGCGCTCCTGGCCGCATGCCTGCTCGTCGACCGCAGCGAGCCGGTGCATGCCGAGGCGGCGCGCTCGCCGGCGCCGCGCGGCAACCCGAGCGGCCAGAGTGAGCCGCGCGGAAAGCTCGAGGGCCTCAAGCAGGGGCAGAGCGTGGGCAGCGTCAGCATCCTCGGCGGCAAGGTGAGTGCAAGTGCAAAGAGCTGGCTGCGTGTGGAGGGTGCGGCATTGTGCAGAGGTTGAGGGGTGCAGCAGCGAGAGGCTTTGCAGCAGACATAGTCTCGGCTACGTCGCATCGTGCGGCTGTCATGGCCTATGGCTTTCACATGGACGCCAGCCCGCATCTGCCTATGAGCCGTGCTTCTCGTGCTGACACCTTGGCCAGTCCTCTGTGCCCGACATCTCTGCGCTCGATGCAGCCGTCGTCACCGACATCAATGCACCGATGCGGCAGCGCATGGAGACGTACGTCAAGCTGCTGCAGCATCGCATTGTCTCGACGCTCGGCGCCGAGGAGACGGGCGACAAGGGCTTCTTCGTCGACTCGTGGCTGCGCAAGGAGGGCGGCGAGGGCATCTCCTGCGTGCTGCAGGACGGCCAGACGTTCGAGAAGGCCGGCGTCAACATTTCAATCGTGCATGGCAACCTGCCGCCGCGCGCCATTGCACAGATGAGCGCCGACCATGCGGGCCTGGTGGAGAAGGTCGGCTACAACCTGGGCCTCGGCAGCTCGGCAGATGCTGCCGAGGTGCGCGGCCTGCCGTTCTACGCAACCGGACTCAGCCTCGTCGTGCACCCGCGCAACCCCAGCGCGCCAACGGTACACTTCAACTACCGCTACTTCGAGCTCACGCACCCCGAGAAGCTCGCCGACGGCTCGCCGAACCCGCGCTTCGACCCGGCGCAGCCCGACAAGCCCGTGGCCTGGTGGTTCGGCGGCGGCACCGACCTGACGCCCATGGTGCTCTTCCCGGAGGACGCCGAGCACTTCCACAGCGTGCTCAAGAAGACGGCCGACCGGCACGACCCGGCGCTCTACCCGGCGTGGAAGCGCTGGTGCGACCGCTACTTCTGGATCCCGCACCGCGGCGAGGCGCGCGGCGTCGGCGGCATCTTCTTCGACGATCTGACGATCCCGCCTGGCGGCAGCTCAGCGCGACTGCTGCTCTCTGAGGGCAAGCCCAACCCCGCCGACACGACGCCGGAGCGGCCACTGCCGACGCAGCGCGAGCACACCAAGGAGACACTCTTTGCCGTCGTGCGCTCGCTCGGCGACGCCTTCCTGCCAGCGTACCTGCCGCTGCTGCAGCGGCGCAAGAATGCTGCCTCGACGCCGGCGCTGCAGCGCTGGCAGGCGCTGCGGCGCGGCCGCTACGTCGAGTTCAACCTCGTCTACGACCGCGGCACCAAGTTTGGCCTGCAGACGCCCGGCGCGCGCATCGAGAGCATCCTGATGAGCCTGCCGCTGCATGCGCGCTTCGAGTATCTCGAGCGCCACTCGGGCGTCGGCCAGGTGGGCGAGCAGGACGAGCCGGGCGAGGACCCGAAGCAGGCGCAGCGCGAGCGCGACACGATGCGCGTGCTGCGCCGGCCGCACGACTGGGTGCGCTGAGGGGCAGCGAGGAAGCAGGACGGAGGGACCAGACTCGCTAATCAGAATATCATCACCTTGCTCATCGCCCAACGGTCCCTCGAGCAAGCGTGACACGTGATTCCTTGCGGAGGCGACGCGTCTGCCGGCGCGCGCGCGGCTGCTGCGCCTACCTTCGCGCCACGCCGCAGCTCCAAACACGCGCTGGCACAACACGATGGCAACCCGCCTCGGAGCGCAGCCGATCAGACAGCAGAGAGCAGGCAGGAGTCGATTCGCAAAGAGAGTTAATACAAGGGTCGGCGCCAACCACGGAAAGAAGGGGAAGAAGGAGGGACACAGAGCATGCCTGTGGGAGGAACTGGGCGCACGCGCGAGAGTGGGCAGTGCGTGTGTGCGCCGAGAGGGTGTCAGGTGGGGTAAGGCGCAAGAGCCAGGAGGCAGTGCACCGAGGAGACGAGGCGGACAAGGCAGAGGCAAAGGGGCCGAGACGGGACTAGTCGTACATCGCGCGAGTCTCGATGAGAGACACGGCAGTGGGCAGGTGGGTGGTTGTCCAGGACAGGTTGCGCGGGCTCGAGGAGGTGTGCACACCCCTGAGCGACACGCTTCCCGGCTCCGGAGCGTCGATAGGGTGACCGAGAGAGTACTGGGCGTAGGACGTGGAGGGACGAGAGAGAGAGACTCGCAAGCGGCGTGGTGGGGTAAAGGCCGAACGCCGCCAGTGGCGACGCGCCGTCAGAGACGGAATTGAGAGCGGAGACAGATGCGATGCCGGACGAGAAGCGGAACAGAGAGGCGCAGTGATCGGCGACGCTCCATTTACTTCTTGGGCTTGGCGGCGGCCTGAGCGGGAGCAAGAGGGGCACGCTTAGCAAGGGAGAGGGCGAAGGAGTGCGTGAGTGGCCAGCTCGCAAGAGTCGCAAGGCTGGCCAGTCGCGAGAGCGCGGCTCACCTTCTTAGCAGCCGGCTTGGCAGCGGCGGCCTTCTTTGCCGGAGCAGCAGCCTTCTTGGCAGCGGGCTTCTTGGCGGCCTTGGTGGTCGACGAGGCCGTCTTCTGTGGAGGGAAGAAGGGTGAGCACGAGTGATGATGTTGCGCCAGGCAGCTGAACACACCTTGGGTGCGGCAGCCTTCTTGGCAGCGGGCGCCTTCTTCGCGACGGCCTTGGCCGCAGCGGGCTTCTTCGCGGCAGCCGTCTTGGCCGCCGGCTTCTTGGCGGCGGGCGCCTTGGCGGCGGCGGGCTTCTTCGCAGCGGGAGCCTTGGCAGCCTTGGGTGCGGCCTTCTTGGCCTCGACCTTGGCCTTGGGCGCGAGCTTGATGGAGCCGCTGGCGCCCTTGGGCAGCTGGAAGATGCCCTTCTCGGCACCGCGGACGATGGCCTTGCTGACGAGGTTGTTGAACTGAGCAGCGGGGCTGAAGAGCAGGTGATGCAGCAACGACGGCGATGAGGTGAGAGAAGGTGGTGAGGAGAGGCGAATGTGTCAGTGACATGGTATGGTGGACGCGTCGCGTGAGACGTGGCGCGGAGGCCGGCGCCGATGACGACGACGGCGAGCAGCGCGAGTGACTCACAGCTTGGCGGCGGCGGCGTTGTTGGCGAGGATGTACTTCTTCACCGACGGGCGGCCAAGACCGGTGCGGGCCTCGGACGGGTGGGCGATGATGGCCTGCTTGATCATGGTCTGGCGGGTGGGTGGGCGGCGCGTCAGTCGCGTGTCACGGGACGGAAATTGCGTGCCGCGCGGGCCTGCTCCGACCCCTGCCTCGACGCTCCGACGGCGACGACGAGCAAAGCGCACGGCCAGTGCAGTGTTCAGCGGCCACTGGCGCATGCATACGTCCAGACTCCCTCCAGGGGATCGCTCGCATGTGCCCTGCAGGCCCCACTCTCGCCCTCAGAGGCATTTTCCTCCGCCCTGTCAACAGCACCCCTCGGCCCGACCTCGACGACGACGACGAGAACGGCGAGCGAGCACCCGCAACCGCCGTAGCAGGCACTCAGATACCACAGAAGGTCTCTGGGCCGCTCACCGGGTCCGCTGGGCCGCCTGCGCCGCTCCCGCGCGCGGATGCACGCCGCCACGTCACGTCGCGTCAACAGCGACCCGACGCGCCATGCTCGGCGACGATGACGGCAGCGAGCTGCGAGTCTGCGCTTTCGCCTGGTGGTAACCATGCACCACAGAACACGATCCCGCATGGTCCGAAGGCGCTGCCTTGGGCGCGAGCCACGCCACACGTGCTCGTGCCCGGCGCACTCTCGGACGCGCGCAGCCGATCCTCTTCTGCGCCTCGACGACGACGACGCGAAAAGTGGTGCGGCGACGACGATTGCGAGTGGCACGGGCGTGTAGCTGAGGATCGAATGCGTGCAACGGTGCCATGCACGAGGTGCCACGAAGCATGCTCGGCGTGCCCGCGCCGCCGACGCGCCATTCCGTCAACAGGCCCCGGACGCGTCGCGCGCTGCTCGGTGTGCTGCGCTGCGCTTGCCGCGACTCACCTCGTACGACGGGCCGGCGGCGACGGCCTTCTTGGGGGCGGCCTTCTTGGGAGCTGCGGCAGACATGGTTGCTGTTGAGGTGTTGGGGTGGGTGGAGGTGGGGTGTGGTGGTGAGCGTGCGAGATGCGGCGAGGGAGGATGGGTGCTTGGTGGGGACCGGGGGTGCGCGGCGCGCGGCGGTGCGAGGTGCTTTGAGGCGAGGCGCCGCCTGCCGCGCCGCTGCCGCGCTCTTGCTGCACCGGCCGCGGCAACACCGCACCGCAGCGCTCACACAGGCGCCATGCCGCACCACTTTTGCACCGGGTGGAGCATCACGAGCGTCCAACACACACTGCTCCCGTGCCCGCGCACGGACGCTGTCGCCGGCTGCACCTGCACGCCGCAGATGCATGCGCCGCACATGCAGGGCGCACCGCTCGCCGCCTGCCGCTGCTCCCGCGCCCAGGGTGCAGCCTTGTGCCCAGGCATGCGTCTCGTGTGTACCTCTTCTCCTCGAGGGAGCGCTCCTCCTCGCGCCTGCTCCTGCTCTGCTCAGCGCAGCCTCTCCTTGGACAGCATGCCTGCTCTGAGGGACGGCCTGCTGAGGCTGCGCGGTGCTGCTCTGATGCTGCTGCCGCCCCTGTGCGCCCGTCGCTGTGCTGCAATCTCGCGCCCGCAGCGGCCGCGCCCGTGCCGAGGCGACGCACGCGGCCGCGACGAGCGCCGAGCGCGACCCGCATTTCGGCCCGCCGCTCGCGGTCCCCGTGCTCGCTGGCGGCTCGTCCTCTGTCTCGCTCTCGCCTCTCGTGGCACTGTGTTAAGGTGCCCGCTTGAGGCTGAACGACTGAGCGCTGTCTCGCTCGGCATGCTGCGCCGTGACGGATCGGCGTCTGCCGGTGCGCGCACAGCCCACAGGGCGGCGTTGCTGCGGCAGCACATAATGCCCGAGCTGAGCAGCTGCTGCACAGCTCTCCCCTCGCTGCAGCATCTCGCTGCTGTCTCTGCCGCAACAGCTGCAGGTGCTGCTCTTCTGGCTACCTTCTGCGTGCTGCTCTGAAGAGCGCGCGAGATGTTGTCTGCTGGATGCTGCTGCCGGTGCGGCTGCTGGCACACCTGCGTCGCACAACGGCGGCTGCCTCTCCTCTGTCCGCCGCTCCGCGAGCGCGCGCGCCCTCTTCCCTCCGCACCAAGCATTTGCCGCAGTGCGCAGAGGGGCATGTTTGCCTGCTCGACGCCCATGCTGACACGCTGCCGCTGGATGCTGCGGCAGTCCACACGCTGCCGCAGCGCGGCTGCGTATCGGCGAGGCCACGAGTCGTGAAATGCGGGTTCGCGCGACGCGCGACGCGGCCTCGCCTCTCTGCCGCGCAAGCCGCTCTGCACTGCCCGCTACCCGGCGGGCTCTGCGTTCTGCGCACGCCGCTTTCCGTGGATGGAACTGAGAACCAGGCGCAGACGTCTCGCCAAGGATGGGACAGATGCACGTGCGAGGGCTGCGGCCGCTCGAGAGCTTTCCGAGCGCCCGAGCATGGCCTGCCGCGGCTGCCAGCCGCCCTTGTCTCGCTGATTCCCCTCCCAGCCAGACTTCTGCCAAAGCCAGCTTGTGGCCCTGCTAGGCAGTAGGAGTCACCCTGGCCCTACATGCACCTGGTGAAGCTCACCCTGATGGAGGCCGGTGCGGCCCTCAAGGCCAGTCTCACAGCCTTCGGAGTGCCTCAGGCAGCGGCGAGCCGACGTGGCACGTGAGGCCTTCGCTCGTCTCGGAGGGGAGCTTCCTCGCACCTGCCTCGCACTTGCCGCACAGGGGCGCAGGTGCGATCTAGAAGCCAGATGGTTCGTCGACCCCCATCAGCCCCTCTCATTCTTATCCGCTCCCGACGGCCGTCTCTCTGCGCCTCTCTATGAGCTGCCAGGGCGAGAGAGTGATGCGCCTGCACGCGCGTTCTGTGTACGCCGGTGTGACCCCTGTGCAGGGTGCTGGCCCGCGCCGCCCTCTCGGCTGTTCCCACGCTCGCGGCTCGCACGCCGTCAGTGCCGCGCTTGCGCCCTGCCTGCCGTCCACCAGCACCCACCAAGTGCGCCCGGCCGGCGCTCTTCGCCTCCTCAACACCCTCAACGCCGCCTCGCTGCATGCTGCTGTTCGCTCCGAAATCGCTCGTCGTCCTCGTTCTCCTCGCAGCCCACAGCTGCGCCGTGCAGCTGCCTCTGAGCCGCGCGGGCGATCCACTCTCGGCGCCGTTAGGCAGGCTCCTCGGCGCGCCCTCGCCGCTCATCATGGGCGAGCAGCCCAAGGACCGCATGAGCCAGACGGCCAGCGGCACGCCGCTGCTCAACTTCGAGCCCAACCGGCCATCGCGCGTCATCCCCAGCAAGCAGGGCCTCGAGAGCAGCACCATCACACTCGTCACGCGCAGCTTCGAGAACAGGTGCGGGCGGCGCGGAAGGGGCAGGCCAGATGGCCCTGCGCGCTGACCAGCTAGCCGCACAGTTACTACAAGCCATCAATCGTGCAGTATTCGCCCTCGCTCTTCGATGGCGAATTCTCCGATCCTTCCAAGTGGCTGTTCCTCGACATGCGGCAGGATGGCAGCTCCATTGGCCGGCAGTTCGGTGCGAAGCTCTGGCCCGCGAGGCCTGTGCGCAAGCTGATGCCCTGCACGCAGATCGGCTCGGCAGCGTGCAGCTGGGTGGGACAGAGGTGTGGCGCACAGGTGCGGCCGTCACATCAGGAGTGAGGAGAGCTTCGCTCACCCACGTGTCGCAGACAACGCCGAGCCGATCGCGAAGCCGCCAGGCATCGTGTGGTCCACCACACGCGAGGTGAGCCAGGCGCAGCGCAGCGTCTGCATGGGCTGACGCGCCCGCCAGATGGGCAAGTACTACGATCTCTTCAGCAAGCCCAACACGCTCCTCTTTGACGTGCGTCGTCACGACGTCCTGCTGGTGCCCTGCTCATCGCAGCCTGCGCAGTACCCGAACATCGTCAACGACGTGTACACGGGCGCGCTGAACATCACCCTTACTCTGACGGCCTACATTGCCTCGGGCACGCCAGACTCCTCGGCGCCAGCACAGCCTCTGCCGCTCGCGTCGACCTCGCCTCTCATCTTTCCGCTCTCGAAGCAGACGCTCGATCAGAACGCCTTCTTCTGCGTTGGCGGAGATGAGGGCGGAGGGGAGTGCGGCGGCTCCGGCAGCGATCAGAGCACGACAAAGATCACGCTGCCGCAGAACGCGGCGTCGGCTGTCGTGGAGATCTTCGCTAGGTGAGTCAGGAGGCAGAACAGACGGAGAGGCGTTCGAGGCTGACTCTTGCTTGCAGCGGCACTGCCAAGGAGTGAGCTTGACGCTCGTGCGCGCCTTTGACCTCGCTAACATTGTCACGCGCCTCAGCGAGTTCTGGTACAGTATGTCAAGTGTCGCTGGCTCGCAAGCCTAGCTGACTCTCACTCGTGGCAGACAATCTGCCGAACACGGTCTACAAGCAGCTCAGCGCCGACACCGCCAAGGCGCTGAATGCCTACCCACGCGGCCCGTACCGCGAAGTGCAGCTGCTGATCGACGGCAAGCTGGCCGGCGCGGTGCTGCCATTCCCGGTCATCTTCACCGGCGGCATCAGTCCCGCAATGTGGCGGCCACAGGCGTCGTACGGCGCGTTCAATCAGCCGACGTACCTCATCGACATCTCGCCGTTCCTCGGCACGCTCACCGACAGCCAGGCACACGCCTTCAAGCTGCAGGTCGTCAGCGCCGAGAAGGATCAGAGCATCATGGCGTCCTGGTTCCTCTCTGGCAACGTGCAGGTCGTGCTAGACACCAGCTCGGAGCGCACGACGGGTGCTCTCACGGTGCACGATGCGCCGGTGGCGGGAGACTGGAGCAGCTCGGGCACCGTCAAGGGCGACGTGAGCCGCGACGGCACGCTCACGTCAGAGGTGCGAGCCAATGCGCCGCGCAGCATCCACATCGAGGGCACGATTCAGACTGGCAGCGACGCCTCGGCGCGCACCGTGGTCTGGAAGCAGGACATGACGTACGCGAGCAAGCTGTACATCTCGGGCCAGAGCGGCGTGCAGGTAAGTGACTGGACCGCGTGGTGCTCGCTGCGGCCTCTGACCGCTACTGGGCGTGAGCAGAAGATCGAGCAGAACTCGTCGGGCACCGCCTCGTCCACGCACGGCGGCAAGCCATTCCTTGGCTCGTCCTTCAGCTATCCTCTGCTGGTCAACTCGTACGGGTCAGTCGCCTGCAGCCCTGCCGATCGCAGAGCACTGCTGACCATGCACGCACAGCAACGACACGAGCAACACTGCAGAGGTCGACCTGAGCTTCGAGCAGACGCTCGTGATCGCTGATAAGCGCTTTGGCGAGCCGATCGAGCAAGGCACGGCGCTGCGGCAGAAGAGCTCTGGCACGATCAACTCGACGTCGCACACGATCAGCCAGGCCAACTCCTTGTCGCACTTTGTGTACCATGTGAGCGGACCGGCGATGTGCCCGTGCTGTCAGAGTGCTGACGCTGCCGCAGGACAACACCGGCATGAACTTCTCGCGCGACACGGCTACGGACGGCACGACCATCGCTCACGACCGGCTAGCCGGCACGCTCGCGGGCCAGGCGCAGCCCGTGCAAGCTCAGGCGCGAGTGCCAGCCTCCTTCCGAGCGCAACAGCTGCGCTCTTGAGCATGCCTGCGACAATGATGACTATGTATGCGATTGACTACGGGGCGTGACGGGACGTGTGCGATGAAGGGTGGGACCGGGAAGAGGACGAGACGCTGATGCAGGGAAGAGAAGAGAGAGAGAGGTGATGAAAGCGTAGACGGACGAGGGAGCAATGAGGAATGAGGAGCACGCCATGCCACGAGCATAGCGCGAGACGCACGAGGCGTGAGTGAGCAAGAGCAGAGATAGCTCCTCTCGCAAGCTCTCAACTGCCGAGCGGGCCCTCGAGCGTCAACGCCACGCGGCGCTTCTTCTTCGGCTGGCCGTCCTCGGTCGCGCTCGAGGCTGGCGCCGACATCGGCGCAGAGCCAGTGTCCGACGACGTCGGCGTCGGTGGCTGAGCGTTCTTCGTGTCGAGGCCGAGACCCAGCGCACTCGCCACGCTCGATGCGTGCGCCGCCGCATCAGCCGCATCGGCTGCGGCCGGCGCGGCCGCGGCAGCTACGTGCGGAAGGTTTGGAGACGTCGCCGACGAGGCGGGCCGCTTCATGGGCGCGGACTGCGGTGCGTGCGTGCTCTGCAGGCTGGGCTGCTGTGCGAAGGGCAGCGGCACGCCGAGCTCGCCGTAGTCGAAGACGCAGACGGAGCAGTAGCCGTCGCTGGAGCACATCATGAGCGTCTGGCCGTCCGGCGACCTGTGCAAGGCAAGACAGTCAGCATGAGTAGGCATCGCCGCGACGTGAAGACGCACCAAGACAGGTCGGTGAAGCTCGCGTAGTGCATGTTCGAGAAGCAGCACAGCGGGCCGCCCTGCTGCGTGTCGTAGATCCAGACGCTGTCCTGCGTCGCGACGGCGAAGACCATGCGGTACGGCAGGCCGATCATGCTGACGCCGTGCGGCGGCGGTGCGGACGCGGACGATGCATCCGCAGCGGCGGCCCCGTCGCCCATGCGGCTGCTGCTCGCGACGCCGCCAGCGCGGCTTGCGGCGCTCTCAAGCGCCACGGTCTTCTGCTTGCCGACCTCGAGCGGCACAGTCGGGTGAGGCGCCATGCCGCCGCCGTCGTCGCCCGAGCCGAAGCGTCCCTCGCGCAGCTCGTACAGGATGGGCGAGAAGCGCACGACCAGGCTCGCAGTCTTGTGGCCGGAGAGATGCGCCAGCGGCGCGTTGCTGCGGTGCAGGTTGCCGCGGCCGTAGATGTAGACGGTGCTGCGCACGCCCGACGATGTGGCCGCAGCAGCGGTCGTGGCAGCCATGGCCGCAGATGACGAGGCGCCAGGGTGCGCGGCAGGACTGTCGCTGCGCATGGCTGGGCTGCTGCGCACGTCTGCGCTCTCCGAGCCACGTCGCGTCGCAGCTGCAACGCCAGTCGTAGGGCTGGCCGGCATCGTAGCCGCGTCGAAGATGCCGCTCGGCGTCACCAGCAGCGCGCCGTCCGGAGAGAAGGCCAGCCGCCGGAAGAAGCCGCTGAAGTTCTCGTCGCCGTAGAGACGCATGCCGGCTCGTGCAAGCGTGCTCTGGTCTATGCCGGCCGCCGCAGCCGCCGAGGCCATGCGCTGCTTGGGTGAGGGCGGTGCACGGATGGCCGGCAGTGGCGTGACCGGCGAAGGGCTGCGCGTAGCAGCTGTGCCTCGTGTGCGCGAGACGCTGCGTCTGATCGCCGCAGATGCTGCACGGGTGGCAGAGGCCGGCCCATCGATGTACTTCTCCGACGGGTCAACGACCGAGCCCGGAGCGGGCGCCAGTGAAGTCGTGCTCGTGATCGGCGACAGCACGTCCGCCTGCGAGCCGCTGAAGCTCGATCGTCGCGACGGCGTGTGCAGAGGCGGGTTCATTGGGTGCGCACTTGCGCTCGACATGGCCGGGCTCTGCGGGTACACCGGAGTCGGCGTCACGGCGCGGCCGAGGGCGGATGGCGTCGCAGTTGCGCTGCTTGATGACTGGACGCCTGAGCCAGGCGGCAGGTAGGCTGCGACAGGCTCGTGCGGCGTAGCGCTGCGCCCACTGCGCGTGCGCTCCAGGCCTCGCGGCATGCTTGGGCCACCATTCGAGCCCGTAGGTGCTGAGCTTGTAGCCTCGCTGCCCGCTCGGCGGTCCTCCGTGTCGCTCGCGTGGCTGGCGTGGCTGCTGGCGCGGCGCATCGGCGGCTTGGCGCTGGGGTCCCAGAGGAAGCCGGTCTGGCCGCTGGCACTGCCGCTGCGGCGGTGCAGATCCATGCGGCTGTGCCTGCTGATAGTCTGCACGCCGCTGATGCCAGTGCTGGAGGAGCCCAGCGCTTCGAGCGCGTTGCGCAGCTGCAGCGCGTGGACGTGCACCGAGCGGTCGGATGACTGCGTCGCGATGTACTCGTTGAGTGGGTCCCAGGCGACGCCCTGCACGTAGTGACTGTGCTCGGCGATCTCGCGGATGACGGAGCCTACGATGCTCGATGTCAGTGATCGCGAGCGGACATGCTGCTCTGTCGCCAGCGCCAGCTGCTGGGTTGCTTCGCCTACTCACCGTCGTGCGCATTGATGATGCGAGCCACGGAGTCGGTGCCGCCGACGAGCAGCGTCTCGCCGTCGGGCGCCCAGCTCATGTCGTAGATCTCGCTCATACTGGTCCGCGCCATTGTGCGCACTCGCCAGTGCTCCTTGGCGAACTCCGCATCGCCGTCAACCTCCAGTGAGCCGCTCGAGCCAAAGCCCGTCGGCGGTCCTTCGGCAGGTACCCAGAGCAACACCATGCCATCTGCGCGAGTCTGTCAACAGATAGCCGGCATGAGCGCACACAGCCCTCACGCACCGTCGCCAGTCGTCGCCAGCAGCTCGCCGCGCGGGCAGTAGCGCACGCAGTTGACCGTGCCAGAGTGCCGCTTGAGCGTCGCGAGGTACTCCACGCGCGGCGGGTGCGGCGCGGGCAGTGCACTGCCTCCGCCCGTCGAGGCTGCTGCGGCCAATGCCGCAGGAGATGGGATGTTGGGGTGGATCTGCCAGATCTGCGCAAGGAGGTGAGCCACGGCTCAGCACCCAGTCGCACCCGGCGAGATGTGCAGCGGCACCACAGCGCCTCGTCCCGCGCATTTCTGGCCTTGCCTCGAGGCGGCGGGCACTCGCCTGCGCCGACAGACGGCGTCCTTCACAGGCTGCGACTCACTCTTGCGTTCTTGTCTGCGCCCGCCGTGGCGACCTTCCAGCTCTGGCCACCGGCCATGATGGGCAGCGCGTGCTTCGACGACGAGGCGCTGCTGGCGCCTGCCGCGCCGTCTGCGCCGCCTGCAGCGTCTGCCAATGTCTTTCCCAGCGGCAGTCCGGCAGCTGTGAGCAGGGTAGGAGTATCAGCATACACACCTCAGCAGACCAAGTACCGGCGCGCCGCCTCACCCTGTGCGGCATTGTGGTCGAGCACGCGGCGCAGCTGCGAGTGCGACACGGGCTGGAAGGAGCAGGCGTAGATGGGCTCCATGTTGTGCCAGTGGATCTCGAAGGTGACGCTGCGCACCATCGTGGCGGCGGTGTGTGGGGTGCGAGTGGGTGTGGGAGAGAGAGAGAGCGGTGCGCCCAGAGGAAAGCGGGGCCTTGGAGGGCCGAGATGTGCCACGTGCACGCGCGGCGCGCCTGGTGCCGGGATGAGCGCGCTCGAGCGAGTCTTTGGTGCGGGCGTACGGCGCGGCGGCGGTGCAGCTCTGAGCACAAGACGATTCGGGCAGGTGCGAGGAGGTGGTGGTGCTGAGCCAAGGAGCTCGGCTGGCCGGCCGGGTGCTCTTTGCGAGGACGGCGTCGGCGTGGCGCTTGTGCGGACACGCTGCTGATGCCGCCTCTGCCCGCTGCACGCTGCGAGGAGAGAGGCGCGCTTGGCTCGACGCGTCGGGCGCAAGGCACGCCTCGAGCCGCCAGCCCGCGCCGCTCCCGCCCCCCTGCACGCCGTCTGCCTCAGCTCGCTTCCTTCCGCCACAGAGCTGCACGATTTGCTTCATTGAGCGTGCGCAATAAGGCGCACTCGGCAAGGCGGAAGTGTGTGAGACGCCGCGCCTTCGAGCTCGCTGACGGCCGGCCCGGCAAGGGCTTGCAGGCGGCCAGCCGCGGCTAAAGGCTGCTGAGGGCTGCATGTGCTCTCACCGAGAGGGCCGGCGCGGTGATCAGCACCCAGCGACCCTTCGAGCGCATGCACGCCGCCGCCGGCCGGCGCGGGCAAGAGAGGCACCATCGCATGCAAGGCCTCGCAGCATGGCGGTCGATCGCTGCTGCGGCTGTGGCTGCTCTCGGCTAGCTTGCGCCCGCACCGTCTGCGTTCAGTCCAGCGCGGAACGTCGCGCTCGGGAAGCCGCTGCTGCACGGGGCTGGGCGTGAGCAGCAGGTGCGGAGCAGCGCCGCAGTGAGAGGCGAGCGGTGCGAGAGCTCGACGGCCGCCGCCGCCGCCGCCGCGGATGCCGCAGCACATGCCGCAGCATCTCCAGAAGCGTGCGCCTGAGCGGCTGCTCCTGCTCGCCAGCGTGCAGCAGCGGCAGCAAGCTCACCCCGCGCCTGCTCCTGCCTCGCCTGCGGCTGACGCTCCCGACGGCCGCGGTCGGCCACGGTCTCGGCCGTTTGTTGACTTTGAGCTGTAATTTACAGCTCCGCCCTCTGCCTGAGACGACAGCCGCGGCTCGCCCAGCCGGCCGTCGGGCTTGAAGAGGCCGAGTAGCCGATCGTCCTCTTGATCGACCTTCGCCAGCCAACATCAAGGATGCTTCAAGCGCAGCGACGCAGCAGAGGCTCGGAGTCGACTAGGCCCGACAGCAGCGCCTCTCGTCGGCGGCAGCCGCAGCGCGGCCCGCGCATCTCGCCTTCGTCTCTCGAAAGGCTCCGAAGAGCTCGCACAGCCTTGCTGTGGGTCAGTTTGACTGCCTTTTGGGCTCGAAATGCCATAGAGGCGGTCTTTGAGCCTCACGAAGACGCATGTCGCTCACATCCGGCCACAAGATGGCACGGCCCCTCAAGGCGAATGAGTCAAGCAAGGCCGGGTGCTGATCGTGCATGTAGGTTTGGGCAGATCTTCCTGCTTCGAGCTGCCTCTGGTTTGGACTCATGTAGACAGACTAAGGATCTCTTCCGTGCTCGTCTCTGCGTACTTGGAATAGAGCGGCCGTTGACTCTGCCTCGTGCGATGGCCTTCGCAGCTCGAGGAGCGAGCGCGAGAGGGCGGATGTGCTTTCACCGCGGAGGCACGTCCGTGCGCCTCGGGCGCCGATTATCCGCCCCATTCCCGCGGCTTTGCGCGTCGGCCGAGGCGGCCGCGCTTCGCCGATCCAAAAAAGTCGCGCGCCGGCGCCGGCAGCGCCGGCCTGCTCACGGCGCCCTGACGCTCCTCCGTCGTCCTCACCGCATCTCCAGTGCCCTGCGACTCACACACACCATGGTCGCCAAGGTTCGCACCGCCGCGTCGGCCTCTGCCGCATCCTCTTCCAAGGCCACGCCGCAGGCTGCGCGCCTCGCTGCGCTGCAGCACGCGCTCTCGGCATCCACCGACCTCAACCCGCTGGCCGAGCTGCTCGACTTCATCCCCTCGCTCGCCGCGCCTGCACCCGACGCTGCACTGCCCAAGGCCGTCGCTGTGCTCGTGCATGCTCTACAGTCGCTGCTTTCCGCGGGCCGCATCCCGATCGATGCCGCTGTCGACGCCGAGGGCCGCCTCGTCGCCGCCACGAAGCAGGGTGATGCCGCCAAGGAGGTGCGACACTGGATGGCGCAGCGCTGGAACGACGCCGTGCAGCTGCTATGCCAGCTGCTCGGCCACACTGACCAGGCTACGCGAGTGAGTCTGAGCCCTTCAGAGACAAGGGACACCCAGAGCGGCCAGCTCACAGGCTCTTGCAGATCCTCGCGCTGGAGCAGCTCCTGAGCCTGCAGCGCTCTGCGAGCAGTGCGCTTTCCACCATGCGCAGCGTCACAGCCGGCAAGGCAGGAGCCAGCGCCGAGGCCAAGGGCGAGTGGTCGCAGTCGCCGTTCCGCTCTCTGATTCTGTCGCTCCTGGCCGGCCCGCCATCGCTGCGCGGCGCTGGCTCCGAGCGCGTTGAGCTCGAGGCCGATGTGCGCGAGACGTTCGCCGAGACGTACCTTGAGTGCTTCGACGACGTGCGGTACTGCGTCTGCCGCGAGGTCCGGTGAGCCAGGCGCAGGGAGCTGGAGAGGATCCGCAGCTGACGTCGCTTCAGTGCCATTCTGCATGCGCCGCCCACGTCCGCTGCATCCGCGCCGCTGCGGCGGAACGGCACGCAGCTTCTGCTGCTGCTCACCGCCATCCCGAAGGTGCAGGCCGATCTCAACGAGTACTTCGTACCCGAGCTGGCTGCCAAGCCCACCGGGCTGAAGCTCAAGGGCCCCAAGGCGGCCAAGAAGAAGGCGGCGGCGAAGCAGAAGGTCGTCGATGGCGGAGGCAGCGAGCCGGAGGATGACGACGCCTCGAGTGATGACATGGAGGACTGGTTCTCAGACTCTGACGAGGAGAGCGGAAAGCCGAAGAAAGAGAGAGCGGCTTTTAAGGCCAGCGAGGACCCGCAGAGCCGCGCGGCCAAGGATGCGCGGCGGCGCGGCCGGCGAGCGCTGCCCGTGCACGCTGCGGTTCACACTCTCGCACCGCAGCGCGCAGCATTCAGCGCTGCCTGGCTTGCTGTGCTGCTGGTCAAGACCGTCGATGGCAAGCACGTCGGCGGTGATGTCCCGCTTGCGCTGTCGCACGAGGTGCTCGTGCGCTTCCACGCGCAGATCCTGCCGCACATGGTCAAGCCGCGTCTGATAGTTGACTGGCTCGTCGAGTGTCTCGAGGCAGGTGAGTTTGCCTGGCTCACTTCAGACGCGTCTGCCCACTGACCTCACACGCCGCGCAGGTGGCGCAACCTCGCTGCTCGCTCTGAATGGCCTGTATACGCTGATGATCGAGCACAACCTGCTCTACCCGTCCTTCTACACGAAGCTCTACACGCTCCTGCTGGCCGCACCCCCGTTCATGCACGTGCGCTACCGCGCGCGCTTCCTGCGTCTGCTCGACACCTTCCTCTCCTCCTCGCATCTCTCCGCCGCGCTCATCGCCAGCTTCGCCAAGCGCCTCTCGCGCGCCGCCCTGCGCGCGCCGCCGGCTGCGGCCGTGACCGTCGTGCCGTTTGTGTGGAACTTGTGCAAGCGGCACAAGAGCTGCATGGAGATGATTCACCGCGAGGTGGATGGTGACCGTCTCAGCGCAGGCCCGGCCGGCATCGAGGGTGAGTCCAGGCCTTGACCGCTCTCGAGGCACACGCTGACGGCCCTCGCGCAGACACGTACGACCCGACAGAGGAAGACCCTCACAAGACTGGCGCGCTGCAGTCGTCGCTCTGGGAGCTCGCGGCGCTGGGTGCTTCGGCTGCCGCGGCTCAGAATCAGGGCCTGGAGGCTCACGCCGGCGGAGAGGCGCACTACCTGCAGGGTGTGAGCACGATGGCTCGCATCCTGGCCGAGCCCTTCACCAAGGAGCGCTGGGACCTCGAGGACTTCCTCGACGTGACGTACGGCACGGTGAGTGTGGCGTTGCGCAGCACAGCGGAACTTGCTCCTGACGTGCTGCGCAGCTCTTCGAGACCGAGACGAAGCGCACGCTGCAGCCTCCGCGTCCGAAGGCCAACGGCGAGGTGCGCGTTCTGCCGGCGCCTGCGCTGGCATATGCGCTGCCGGAGAGCGCCTTCCCTTCGCTCGAGAAGCATGCGCTCTTTGCTGCAGCCCAGACTGCCGGCAAGAAGCACGCACGCGCGGATGGCGCTGCGGAGGAAGACGAGGAGGAGAAGGAGGCCAGAGAGGCGATGGACGAGGTCAACAAGGCACAGAAGCGCGACACGCGCGACGTGTGCGCGCGGCTATGGGCCTACTAGGCGGCTCAATGAGGATGCTTTCTGCTGGCGGACATGTGCGGTGATGGGTGATGTACATGCGATGTGTGTGAGAGAGGTGACGCTGAGGACGATCAGGATGCTGGGACAGAGGGTATGAGACATGCGGTGGTCATCTGCGAGAGAAGTACGGAGAGGCAGGCCCATCGTGCGGGGCGCTGCGAGGACTCGGTGGCCACGCTCGCGGGCCGAGGACGCGCTGGTGCGAGTGCTCGCGCAGAGGCTTGCGGTCAGGAGTCGCATCGACTCGAGGCTGAGTGAAGGCGGCAGCGAGAGCAGGCAGCTTTGGAGATGGCGTGCGAGCTCCGGGACTCGGTGCCTTCTCGCGCCAGCGGGCAGGTGGCGTGTGGCGGAGCGCAGCCACTTCGACGTCTTCGTGCTCGGTGCGCAGGTCGAAGATGGACGCTCGAGCGAGCAGACGGGCCCATAAGGGTCGCAGTCTGCGGCAAGACAGCCCGAAGAGACACACGACGAGCATCTAGAGGCACAGGATATGAGCATGGGATATGACAGCGGTGCGAAGCAGACTGACCAGAGCAAGGCGAAAGAAGTGCGTGGCAGCACGAGCGGTCATCAGCACGGCGAGGCCCGTGCCGCGCAGGAAGAGGCTCAGTGCCGGAACGGCAGCAGCCGGAAGGAGCGGACGGAGGTGGGCTAGACCTCTGGATCAGCGGCATGACTGGCCGAAGCTGCGATGGACTCTCACCTAGCTCTGCAGCACGACCAAAGAGACGAACTGCTTGCTCATCCCACGCCTCGCCGCTCGGCTCGCGGCCTGGCGTGGAGATGCCGAGCAGCTGCAGGGCCAGCGGCGTCCACCAGCCGGTGATGGACATGCGCCTATGAGACGACTCATTCTGCTCCTTGAGCTTGCGTGTGAGGTCGTCCATCACTGCCTGAAGCTCTGCGACCTGCTCGGCGTGTCTCGAGGTCGCCGATCCGAGCGCTGAGTTGTGCTGCTCCAGCGCAGTATCCACGACGGAGAGGCCGCTATGAAGCTGAGACAGCAGCGCCGCAGACTCGACGCCTGTGTCTCGGACGACCTCCAAGCTTCTGATGGAGGCGTCGTGAAGTTCGCGAGAGACGCCGGTGGCCTCCGTCAAAGAGGCGTGCAGAGCGATGGCCGCGTCGTGCAGGTGCGCCACGTGCTGAGCGAGCTGTTGCGTAGGCTCGTCGAGATGGACGGACAGAGAGGCGGAGTGCTGCGACGTATGATTAGCTCTGAATCAGAGGTGCGATGCTGCAGGAGCCGCGTACCTGCTGAAGTGTGCGCTCCAGCCCGAGCTCGAAATGTGCGTGAGCGGCATCGGAGGCCTTCGCCAACGTTGCAACGAGATCATCGATGACCTCATGCAGCTTGGTACTGATGTCTGATGAGGTCTGAACGGAATGACTCTCAGCACGAGTACTCATTGTGCGTCAGCTCCAGTTGACGCACCTGAACACTGAGGTCGGCAAGCATCTCGCGAAGACGTTGCTCCTGGGCCTGCACAGCGCGCTGCCAGCCACCGACGCCAGCAATGAGCTCGGTGCTGAGATCCTGAGCGGAAGCCAAGGCGTCAGACGGCGCAATACGGAAGCGGTGCAGCTTGCTATCTCACCCGAAGGATCTCGCGCGCTGCCGCTTCCGTGGCTTGGCGAGACTCGTGCTCGTCCGTGCGCCTCGACGCATCCTGGTCGCTGCGCTCGTGAGCGGCCTTCTCGTGCTTCACAAGCATCGAGAGCAGAGCCCGCTTCTCGCGAGCAAGACTGGCGTAGATCTTCCGGGCTTCGTCTGCGCGAAGTGAACGTCAGCAGATGCCATGTCGGCGCTCCAGGCCCGACGCACCCAGCGCCTCGCTGTGCCGGAAGGCGTGGCACAGGACGGAGACTTCACGCAGATGTCCGCTGTACGAGGACCAGGCTTGAGGACTGCGCGAGAGTGCTCTAGACGCGCCTGAGTCAGATGCGAAGGCTCGGGCCGGGAGTCGTAGCCCTCACTCTACGCAAGCCTCCGCGGCCCGCTTCGGCGACAGGTCGAGGCATTCCAGCGGCGCGTTCAGGCGGGCGGTCGCCAGCTCGCAGCGCGTGAGCTCAATGGCAGCTGCGAAGAGCTCGTCAGACGGCGTCTGAGCGTCTTCCAGCTGTCCAAGATGCGCTCACCGCGCACGCGAGCTTCCGGGTCGCGCTCCAGCGTGTCGCAGTCTGTGAGCGGCACGGCGAGGCGGAAGCAGTCGGGCTTGGAGAGGTACGACTGCAGCGCCGCGTGCGAGGCGGTGAAGAGCAGCGGGTGCGAAGCAGAGAGAATCTCAGGGGCGACTGCGCCGTCCACAGCGTGAGCATGTGCTGCATGGGGCTCAAGCGCAGGGCCCCGTCTGCAGTGCTTCGCGACGCCTGCTCACCCGGCGCCTCGTCGGCCACTTCAGCATCGCGCGTCGAGATCAGGCTGCGGGCGGTCGTCTCGACTCGAGAGCCGTAGCCGGGCCACGCGCAAGCAGGTACGCAGAGCACGACGACGGCGGCCACACACACGGCCACGCGACGGCCCCGCATCGCGCCCGACCCCAGCTCGCCTCGGCGGATACAGGCGCCCGCGCAGGTCCCTGAGACGGCGAAGGAGGCACAGAGCAATGGCTTTTCGGAGGCGGCGCAGATGGGCCGCGCGTGGACGTTGACAGAAGACAGGGAGCGTCTGTGCGTCGAACGCGAGCCGGCGGAGTGCGGACCTGGACGGTGGTGGTGCGGGAGGTACCGCGAGCGGGCGCTGAGTGCGGGGGAAAGAGGCGGCGGAGTCGGCGCAGCGGAGGCGGCGCGCAGCCGGGCGCAGCGGTGCAACGCCGCGTCCGGGGCCAGGCCGGCCAAGGGTCCACGGCCTCACGTGACGCTGGCACTGGCAGCAGGCAACAGCTGCGCGAATAAGCTTTCTCGGTGCTCGGCTGCGGTGTGGCTGCATGTGCCTGACGTCCAGTCTGGGCGCTACGCATGGCTCGATGGGGCGCAGAAGGAGCGCTGAGGAGCACCGGCAGCGCGAGCGTCGAGCGTCGCGCGGCGCGTGAACGGCGTCTCGGCGGCGGCGCGCCGTGCATTCCTCGCGCTGCATGCCTCGCGCCCGCCCAACGTGCTGCCTCGTCTCCGCACCGCCCGCCGCTGAGATCTGTCCTTCGCAGCCGCCTGCCGCCGCTCCGAGCGACTTGCAGCGCTGCGGCACCGCTTGCAGCCCAGCATGCAGATCGCCGTGCCCGCCGCGCCGGCACCAGCCGCAGCGCACCGTCCGCGCGCCGGCTGTCCATAGGGCGCGGCCGCCGTCCGCCGGCCCCCGCCGTGCATTCCAGAGACAGCAGCCGCACAGCCCGCTCTCCGCCAGCAGCGCCAGCGCCGCCGCGGCCGCACTGGGCTGCTCTGGATGTGCTTCTGGCGCACCGGAGCCGCGTTGACGACGGGCAGGCGAGGCGGACGGACGGCCGCTGGGCGCGACACGGGCGCCGCCCGACGTGCCCTCCTCGCCCTCCTCGCCGGCGCCGGTGCCGCACTTGGCCCGGCCCTCGCCCGGGCTGTGTTGTCGCTGCAGCTGCTGCTGCACGAGAAGCAGGATGACATGCTGCAGCACGCAGCCGCAGCGCTACGCTCGGCTCTGGCGCCACCGCCCTGATCGCCGCACCGCGCTGAGGGCGCCTCGCTGCCTGTACCGCCCCCTGATGCGCGCCTCTGGGCCGCCTCTGTGTGGCCGCTGTCCGCCTCTGCGCTCCTCTCGCCAGCCACTCCTCTCTCACTCCCGCTCCCGTACCCCCTCCCGACCCGGCCCACACTCCTTTTACGACGCTCCGTCCCCATCACGCTCCTTACGCGCCCTGCTCCGCCTACTCGCCCCCTGGGCGCCCCCTTCTAGCGCCGGCCTCTCGCGCCTGCCTTGCGTGCAGATTCGACACTCGTGTTGTCGCCCATCGCAGCCGCCACTCGAGGCCCTTCTCTCCCTTCATCTGCCTAGCGAAGCCCTTTCCGGGCCCATTAGGCCACCCGAGCACCCTTGCTCAGTGAGCGCCACAGACTCGCTCGCCGCGCGCCGGACCACGGCTCATTCACGGCGCTCTCCGCAGGCTCCTCTGGAGCACCCGCCAGCATGGCACACCTTGATGCCGGCGCATCGCCCGTCGAGCGCACACTGCGGCGCAAGACGAGCGCGCTGCGTCCGGCCGCCGGGCACGGCCTCGGCCTCGGCAGCGGCAGCGGCGCCGGGCTGTGGCTGAACGGCAGCGCCGAGGCGACCGACGACGAGCACATGGTGGACCAGCAGCTGGGACTGCAGGAGCACACCTACCACATCCCTGCCGAGCTGGCAGGCCGCGGCGGCAAGGGCATGCCGACTGGGCTCGGCCTGAGCCTGGACGGCGAGGCCATTGCGTCGGAGATGCGTGCGGCCGTCTCGTCGGACGAGGTCGATCTCGACCTCAGCTTTGACTTTGTGAGCAGCCTCGAGGGCCACCGGCGATATGTGTCGCACGACGGCGAGGCACCGCGAGCGGTGAGTGCAGCCAGCTCGCTGGCGCCGACGCCGCAGCGGCCCAGCAACCCGACGCCCTCGCGCGCCGGCGCACCGACGTCGTCGCTCGCCGGCACGCCCACGCACATGCCAGGCAGTGGCATGCACGAGCTCGGCGTGCCGAATGTGCCGAGCCTCGTTGCGACCAGCGCCTCGCCGTCCCTCTCGCCTGCGTCGCCGCGGGGCATGGCGACGGCAGCCAGCTGGACGACCCGCCAGCGCAAGCGTCCGCCGGCGCCGCTCAACTTCCTGCGCCCCGGCGCCGTGCCCGACGCGAAGAAGAAGCAGCGGGCACAGCTCGACGAGCTGAATACGCGCAGCTACTTCAGCCCCGTGACGCCGCAGCACGGCGGCAACATGACCGACGACGGCGACATCGACAGCGACGACAGCCCGCTGCCGCGGACGCCGCTCAGCGCCACGCGCCGTGGTGTCGATGCTGGCCTCAGCCGTCCGCCGCTGGTGCGCGCCTCGTCGTCGAAGTCCTCTCTGTCTCTCGCCTCTGGGCCGTCGCCTCACCTGCCGCCGACAGAGCCTCTGCCTGCCCTACCCTCGAACGCAGACGTTGCGCAACTGGTGCGCCAGCAGCGCATGAAGGCGCAGGCGAAGCAGCTGCGCGGCGAGGGCAGCAGCGCGCACTCGCACTCGACCAGCGCGTCCTCGGGCAGCCACTATGCGCTTGGTGTCGAGGTGCTCGATGCGCCTGGTCCGAGCCAGAGCCGTGCATCTTCCTTCGATGCAGCCCGCAGCAGCAGCGAGGCGATGGAGGAGGTGGCCGCTGATGAGGACGACGAGTACGACTACCGGCGTCACCTCCGCCATCAGCCCCATCCTCGTTCAGCACCGCTCCGCCCTCCGACGGCCTCCTCTGCAGGTGCTGCGTCCTTCGCAACGGCTCAGGCGCCCGCTCGGGCTGCCAAGCGCGAGGGCGACCGCGACAGCAGCGGCAGTATCGAGAGCTTCATGACTGCCATCACAGCAGCCACCGGCGAGGCACACGACTCTGCACTGGCAGAGGTCCCGCCTCCGCTGCCGTCGAGCAACGCATTGTGTCTCTCTCTGGGCGCCTCCGACCGCTCTCTCCCGCAGCCGCAGCCACATCGCCGTGAGGACCTGCGCGCCTCGCGAGCCTCGAGCGGCATCCTGCTTGCGGACGACTTTGCTGCGTACGCGGCGCTGCAGCGAACGGAGCGTGCGAAGTCTGCCAGTGCATCGCCGTTACTCTCTGACTCTGGCGACACGAGCGCCACGCCGTCGACTCTCTTTTCGCCTCTCTTCTCTGAGCCCGGCACGGCTCGAACTGGCGCTGCAGGCTCCGAGTACACGCACACCACGGCCAGCTCTGTGGGATCGCCGGTCGGCAACTTCTCGAAGCTCTTCAGCGTCGCCACGAAGGGACGCCGTGCCTCTGCTGCCGATGCACTTCTCGCCGCGCCCAACTCTGCCTCGATGGGCCGTCTCATGAGCGCTCCCGGCGAGGGCCAGGCCGGTGTCTCGCAGCAGACCATCCGCGAAGAGGCCACCGGCTCGCCGTCCGAGGAAGGCGTGCACGAGCGTCGGCGCGAGCGCACGGTCAGCGGCATGCCGCGCAGCGAGACTGCCCAGTGGATCCGTTCGCAGGGCGGCGTCGCGGCTGACGATGCCGACTCAGACGAGCCGGTGCACGAGCCGATGGTCATCTCAAGCGACAGCACCGACGCTGCCGACGAGCTGTTCCGACCGCGCACCTCGTTCGCCGCCTCCGAGGGCGCCGGGTCCATGCTGCACTACAACGGGGCACGCCGCATGAGCGATGTCAAGGGTCCGTGGCCGCAGTCGCCTCTGCTCCTCGACGTGGCGAAGGCCTCAAGCAGCCCTGCTGCCCCAATCTCGGCAGCTGACGCCTACGCACGCGCGATCGAGGGCGGCATGCACGCTCAGGCGTCTGGACTCAACCTACACGAGGCGCTCGTTGATCCCATCGTGCGGGAGAGCGAGCCAAGCTTCGCTTCGAACTTGGGCATCGGTCTTGGGCTCGATCTGGGAGCACCGGCCGTCGTTGAGAAGGAAGACTCGTCCTTGCCGACGATGGGCCTCAATGCTCGCCACGAGACTGACGTGACTGTAGCGCGCGTGCACCTCACCGACGCACGACAAGCGCTTGCCGACACGGCTGCTGGCATGTCCAAGCCGCTCGCATCGGCAGCCGTATCGGATAGACTTCCTCTCAAGCCCTCGGCGAGCTTCTCGTCGAGCATCGAGGGCTTTGCCTGCAACGTCACGCCGCCGATCGCCAGCATGCCCCTGCCTGGCATGGTCGAGGATGTGTCCATCGAGCTGCAGGCGCCCGTGCGTGCAAAGGTGGCCATTGCGGCTGGCGAGACGCAGCGCAACTCGACGCTCTCTGTCCTCGACCCTGCGGCAACGAGCGACCTCTCTCGGCCTAGCAGCAAGGCACACAACTCCACCACAACCGGCTGGGGCGCCCTGTCGAACCTGCGCTGGGGCAACAAGTTCTTCAGCGTCGCCAGCAGCAGTGCCGTTTCCGGCTCGGACGCGCTTGCCGACTCGCGCCCGACGCCGATGCGCTCCCTCACGCTCGTCGACAAGCGTGACGTGCAGTCGCGCCGTGCGGCTGCCATTGCTGAGCGCCGCACCAGCCAAGGTCATCGCCGCTCCCGCTCGCGCGAGGACCTCGCTAGCATTGTCCAGCAGCTCAAGAAGTCGGACCGCGGTGTCGCATCGGCGCCAGCTTCGGCAGTCCTGCCCGACGCTGCCACCTTCCAGGCGGCAGACGAGCCGACCACGACCATGCCGGAGGCGGCGCACACGGAAGGCCGCAGCTCCAAGCGTGTCAAGCGCCGCTCGCGCATCCGCTATCTGTCGAACGGCAACGAGATCCACCTCAACATCGGCGAGGACGCAGAGCCCAATGCGCAGCCGGCTCCCCTGGACGAGCTCAAGTCGCCGCGCGTGGCAGCGAGCCCCACGGGCTGGACTCCGCGCCTGCACTTCGGCCCCTTCTGGGCCGCTGGCGGATCCCAGCAGACGACAGAGGGCGAGATGCCGGCGCAGGACCAAGGCATGCAGCAGGCCGGCTCACCTGCCACGCCTGGCTCTCCGTGGCTCGACTTCGAGGACGGAGACGGCGGCATGCAGGCGAGCCGCGACCGTCTGCGGCTGCTTGCAAGCCAGGCCATGCCTGGCGCCACTCTGCCGCATCAGTACCTCACCGGCGAGGCCGAGGGCCTGCGCCACCGCAGCATCCTCTCGCGCCCTGCGCATCGCCCGTGCGCGTCGGTGCCGCCGACTGCCACCATCGTGCCGTACGGCTGGGCCTCCGGAGCCAACAAGCGTGCCAGCGGCTCCGCCCGCGTCCTGCTGCACGACGCCGAGACGTGGGAGGAGGGCGTCATCGATGTCGAGGAGAGACGCGCCCGCGGCGTTGCTCAGGAGCAGGCTCAAGGCCGGCCGATGAGCATCTTCGTGCCGACGTCTGCCATCGAGGCGCACCTGCTGCGCGCTGCTGGCGTCAGCACCAACCTCGACGCACGGCGGGAGCAGCGGCGCTCGCGCATGCTGGCTCCGCTGCGCCACCCCGCTGCCGTCTTTGGCGAGACGCTGCCGTCGCGCAGCCTGTTCTTTGCCGGCTTCCTCGGCATGCCGTGGCTGTGGCTCATCGGCGGCTGGTACGTCGGCAGCGACGGCCTGCTCATCACGCCGAGCGAAGGCAAGGTGGCCTTCTGGCAGCACGAGGACAGCATGCGCGAGGCAGCCGACCGCGACGCAGCCGAGAGCATGCCGCAGCCGCAACACTCGCCGCAGTGGAGCGAGTCCAACCGCCAGGACAGCACGGCCTTCGAGTCCGCGCACGATGTCTCGCTCGGCAACGGCTCGCGCGGTCTGCGCCGGGAGCAGAGCAGCTCGTCGATGTACGCCGACGCGGCCTTCAACGCCGTGCGCAGCTCGCACCTGCGCTCGCAGCCCTCGCGCGACGCCATCACCGCCGAGCGTGTGCCGACCTCGCGCTCGCGGTCCATCAGCGGCATGCTTTCTTCCGCACCCGAGGTGGCACTCTTCCGCTCGCCTGTCCGCCACATCGACGAGTCGCCTGACCCGGGCGCCGAATTCAACTCGCCGCGCCTCGGCAATGGCCACCACGGCAGCGCCTCGGCGCTCCGCGCCGTGCTCGAGGAGGCTACCGCGCCGCGCCCGGCCTCGTACAGCCCGCAGATGGACGTGCACGACGAGAAGCACGCCCAGCAGTACGAGGGTACGCACCAGCAGACCACCCTCGCGGACGATTCGTGGGCCATTCCCTTCGCGCACCAGCGCATGGCGACGGCGACGCGCACCGAGTTCGGCCTGCGTGCCATGCTGCGCCGCTGGCGCCAGCTTGAGCCGTTCGTGCTGTACAACCGCATCGCCGCAATCCTGGCCAGCATCCTCGTGCTGTGGGGCATGGGTGCCGCGCTTGCCGTCGTCGGCTCGAGTTTTTGAGACGCCTGCTTCCGGTGCTCCGCATACTCAAGTCAGGCTACATGCGGCGGCGCGGACGCGCCACTGGCGCCTCTTCTTCCCTCGACGGAGCGTGGCGGCGAGCGCTGCGCCCGACGCCGCTGCTGCCGCCTCGTGCCTCTCCCGTCTCCTCTTCCTCAGCCTGGCAACACCCCTACGCCCGCTTCCTCACTGCCCGCGCTTCGCATTCTTCTCCCGCCGGCGCCTCGCCCGCTGCCGTGCCCCACACACTCGCTTCGCTCCTGCTTGACCACCTCGGTCCCACACTCCCTTCTGCCCTCTCGGCTCCGATGTCACCGGTCTGGCGCGTCCTTATCCTTGCCGTGCAAGAGTCTTAATTCAAGCGCGTATGTGTCAGTAGGGCGTATGCCGCGAGTGCTGCTTGCTTGCTTTCCGCGATGCGCCGCCGGCAGCTGGCGAGCTGTCGAACGAGCCGGCAAAGCTGCCAGCCGGCAGCGGCGAAGAGGACTCGTCTGCCGTCCCTGCGGCGGCGGCGGTCATGTCCCATGCACACAGCAGGCCGTCCTCGCCTCCGGTGTAGAGCGTGCGGCTCTGCAAGGCCTTGTGAGCACATCGTCGTCGGTGCTGCCAGAATCGAGCTCACCGGTCGGTCCCAGCAGACAGTCCGCACGACATCGGCGTGCCCACCGGCGCTCGTGTCGGGCAAGAGCGTGAGCACCTTCCATGGCGTTGAGCTCTCCGAGGTGCCACTGCCCGTCTGCACGAGCGCAGCACGTCCACTGGCATTCAGAGCTGCGGGTGAGTACACAGTCGGACCAGCGCTCTGCGACTTCACGCACCTATTTGAGCCGGCCCAGAACACGAAGCCGTCTGCATCGGCTCCTTGGCCGTCCCACGCCAGCGCGCGAGCATCGCTGGCATCGATGCAGTAGTCCGTCTCCCAGTCGAGACACCGCACTGTCCGCACGTCAATCGACGGCAGCGTCGCGTCGAACTGTCCGGGAGTCGTTGAGCACTGAGCTCCGCCTCAAACCAGCGCCAGACTCACCTGCTCGTTCCACACGCTGACCGTCTGCATGTCGCTGACGCCCCAGAAGCCACCCATGCCCTCGGCGCGTGCCTCCTTGACGTCCAGCTCGGCATCGCCGCCGTCTATTTGCATCTCTGCGCCAGCAGATGTGCTCTGCTGCGCCGAGCTGCCGCCCCAGCCTGCAGATGCCACCGACGCGCCCGTGTTCGCCACGCCGAGCACCGCGTCGTCCTCGTCGCTTACCCGCGTGTCGAGCACACTGAGCAGGCCGTCGGTGCTGCCGCTGAGCAGCAGATGCGCATGCGAGGACGGGTGGAAAGAGAGACTCGTCACGTCGTCCGAGTGCGATTCGGTGTAGATGTACGCGGGCTTTGCGGCGCTCCGCAAATCCCTGAGAGAAGCGTAGCGTGAGTTGCACGTCACCCGCAGCCTTGCTTCTCCAGAGGGCTGCGCCCTCGCGTTGCACTCACCACAGATCAATCATCGCCTCGTAGCCCTTCAGCTCAGTGCCGGCCGCGACTGACGTGCCATTCTGCGCAATGGCCACGCTGAGGTACGGCGCATCGGCCGGGCCCTTGAGCTGCAGCGCCGGCGCCGAGCCCACGCGCGGGTCCCACAGCGCGACGGTGCCGTCCATGCCGGCGGCCAGCGCGCCCTGCGGCGATGCCGCGAGGGCCGAGATGCTGCCGCCGTGCCAGGTGCTCGATGCCAGCGGCGCCAGCGATGCCGGGTCGTGTGCACGCAGCGCGCCGTCGGACGAGGCGGCGACGAGCACGGCGGGCGCGCCGGGCAGCAGCGCGAGGTGCGTCAGGTACGGCGCCGTGGGCAGTGCGACGCTGCGTGCCGGCTGCGCGGGGCGCGACTTGCGCAGCCACGGCTGCTCGTAGAGGCCGAGCAGCTTGGGTGCGGGTGCGGCGGCGGCGTCCATGGCAGTAAGAGTGGTGTGAATGTGGAGCAGAGCGAGGCAAGAGCGAGAGGAGGAGCGGCGCCGCGCGGCGCCGCCTTTTGCTCCGACCGGCGCGCGCTCCGCGCGGCCGAATATTCGGGGGCGCGCGCGGGAAAATGCGCCCCTGCGGGGCGCATTTTCCGAAGCATGGCTCTCTGATGAGCGTGGGAACAGCAAAATCTGGCGGCAGTCGGGCCGCGGCGCCGCGCGGAGCTCCGCGGAGATGCGCTCCATCAGGGGCTGGCGCGAGGCGGTGCCAGAGACGCGCGTCTGGAGAGCGAGACTCGTGCTGCGCCTCCACGCGAGTGCGGGGTGCGTGCCTGCTGTTGATCGGGTCTGGATGCTGCGAGCTCGGTGCTCGCTTGGGCCAGCGTGAGCGTAGCGTGAGGGTCATGCTCGCGCTCGATGGAGGGATGTCCGAGCTCGGGCCAGGCCTGACCCTCGACGCACGACCACAACCACCCGCCCGCCCGCCGACGCACGCGCCAACGGCCCCGCTGCTCCAACGGCCGCCGCGCCTCGCGCGCATCCTCCCTCCGCTCCACCACTCTCCGCGCAACCGCCCGCCTCATCTTGCCCTGCGCCGAGGCGACAGCGCTTCTTGCCCGCCTGCTCCGCATCTGGCGGCCCAGACCGATAGCGACACCTGAGCCGCCTGCGTCGCGCAGTCCTCTGCGCCTCCCGGACGCCGCGAGCGTCGGCCCTGCCGCGCGCATTGCTTGGCGGCCAGTCGCGCGGCCCGGGCCATGCGCGCACAGGACCTGCTGCAGGTCCTGCTGCCCGACAATGCGACCATCCTCAGCGCCTCGCTGCCCGTAAACGCGCACAGCGATGGCTCCGAGACGACCGTCGAGCTGCTGCTCGGCGCGCTGCTCGCCGACCCGGCCAACGCACGCGCCCTCACGCGCGTCTTTGGCCACCACTTCGACGCCAAGACGGCCGCCGATGCCGCTGCCGCGAGCTCGGCAGGCGCCATCTGGCGCATTGATGCCAGCGGCATGAGCTGGGCACTGCAGACCGTTGAGAGCTCGCAGCCGAACAGGGAGTGGCAGGACGGCGAGCTGGAAGGGCTGGGCGATGGTGAGTCCCTGGCGAGGCGTGTGCGCGGCGTCGCGCCGATCATTGGCGCGCTTTGGCGGAGAATGAGAGCACGGACCTTGCTCTTGAGAGCCGTCTTGACGCTACTGCTGATGCGCTTCCTCCTGGCACGTAGGATTGCTGCCTCTGGACACGCCCGTCTTCACCTTCCTCCACGCTCTCCTGGCGCCTCGTCCCGACGGCACCCTGCCGCCGTCTCACGCGCCGCTAGCCGCCGCACTCGCTGGCACGCTGCGTTCAGCGCGCGGATCTGGCTTCTCCGACTTCATCCTCTCATCGCATCTGCACACGCCGCGGCTGCGGCTGGTGTGCGGCGCGCCTGGCTTGGCAGTGCGCCTGCGCTTCGCACACGTGCCGGAGGTGTACGACGGCTGGGATGGGCGCGTGTGCTTCCTGCCTGCTGCTGCAGATCCTGCTGCAGGTGCCACTGGGTCCGGCAGCACTGCCTCCGAGCTGGTTGAGGCTGTGTGCGATGAACTCGGCGTGCGGCGCGTAGTGCTGCAAGGATCCAAGTCGGCAAGGGTGGAGTACGCCTTGGCCGACCTGCCTGCGGAATACGTCGTCTCGCCGATGCCGCCACCGCCGCCGATCCGCGCAGACACGCCGCTGCCACAGCATCTCCTCACGCTGCCGGGACCGCCGGAAGAGTACCCCGGCATGCTCTTCACAGTGTCCGCCAGCTGGCTCAACCGCCTCGGCACAGTAGCGCTGGGCTTCCAGAAGCATGCTCGCCGAGCGCCGAGCCAGTCGCCCACCCGCTCGGCAGGCCCTGTCGAGCCACCTCTGACGCCCGGCACTCCAAGCCGGAGCGCGGCCAAGCCAGGCATGATGAGCCTGTGGGCTGCCAGCATCGGACGTGGCGCAGCTGCACCCGCACTCGAGACCAAGTCCTCGTCCTCCGCCGCGTCAACCTCAAGCGCGAGCAGCAGCACCGGCGACGCGGATCTCGATGCCTTGGGCAGCGACGCCGGCATCGCGGGCGACGAGGACGAGCCTGTTGGCGAGGGAACGCTGAAAGGCGCGCCCGCCATGGTGCCTCAGACCTCCGACGATGGCTCACGGACCCTCACCTCGGCGGAGAGCGCGGCGGCCGCGGCCGCAGCCGCCACTGCGGCTCAGGCTGAGACTCGCGCTGGCGGCGCAACAGGCTCGCTGTCGCAGGCGGCCGGTGCTGCCATCATGGCGCCCAAAGCGCGCGGCAAAGGCGCGCCGCACACTGCGACAGCCAGGCTGTCTCGGATGTTTGAAGGGTGGGGCGCTGGCGCAGCAGGAGATCCTCCTGTTGCTGCAAGTGGCGCTCCACCGCGCACGCCAGGAGCACCTGGCACGCCGGGCTCGCGACCGCCGGGCGCACCAGCGACACTGGGGCGCAGCGGCCGCATCGTCAGCGTCAGTGGGCCGCTCGAGCTCGAGGAGACGCCCCGCTCGCCCACCGGGCTGGTCTCGCCGACGCTGGCCTCCGCCGCGATGACATCGCCGATGCTCGGTACTCAGAGCGGCGAAGTGCTCGAGGGCGAGGCCCTTGCGAAGCGCTTCGAGGTCCTCATGGCGGACCTTGGCATGAAAGGCAGCAGCCGCACCGCAATGCTCGCTCTACCCGACGACCGCAAGCGCTTCCTCATCGCGCAGAACGAGTCGGCGCGTGAGGTCGAGCCGGCCACACCATCCCGCAGCGCCAGTGGCTCCAAGCCAGCACGCGCGCCGACGGCGCTGCGTCCGGCGGACGAGGCAGCTGGGCCTGGCGGCATCGCCGACACGCTCAGCCGCGCAAGCACGGCGCTGATGTGGGGCAACCGCTTCAGCATCGCCAGCATCGCCAGCTGGGGGACCGCGGACACGGGCGGCAGCGGAGAAGCGGCAGATGAAGCAAGCCCGCGCACCAGCGTGGCGACGAGCTTCACCGCGCCTTCCAGCAACGGCCGGCCGACTACAGTCGTGAGCACCGAGTCGCCAACGATGAGCCACGACAGCATGGAGCGCAAGGCGCCGACCCAAGCGGCAGATGCATTGCTCCGCGCCCAGCACACCGGCAGCAGCGGCAATGGAGCAAGTCTGTGGAGCAGCTGGTGGGGCGGTGGCGCTGCTGCAGGGTCTCAAACCGCAGCGGCAGGCTCCAGCGCTCCCTCTGCGGCGACCGAGAGAGACAGCCCGGCCTACTATCCGACCGCGCTGCTCTCTGGCAAGCTGGGCCGGAAGGACCTCGTCAAGCACCTAATCAGCCTGCGCGTCACGCTCTCGTCCGCCAAGCTGACCTGGATTGCCGCGTTCCTCGATGCGCGCGGCCTTGACGCTCTCGAGGCGCTGCTGCGCACAGAGACCGAGCCGCTGCTCTCGCGCGGCAAGGGCAAGGAGCGCGAGCGCAAGGAGATGAGCGACGTCGTGCTCGCAGAGTGCATCAAATGCTTGCGCACGCTCATGAACACCGAGGTGAGTTCCGCGTAGTGCAGCCTTCTGACGAGCGCTCGCTGACCCCCCTTAAGCTGGGCTTCGAGCGCGTGCTTCAGCAGCCGATGCTCGTCACCTTCATCGCATACAGCCTCCGCGCACCGTCTTACAAGCTGCGCTCGCAGATCGCAGACGTGCTCGCCGCGCTCTGTGTGCTGAGCCTTGCGGATGGCCACCGACTCGTCTGTGCGGCGCTGTCGGAGCTCGCCGTCGCAGCCGGCGACCGCTTCCGCTTTGCCTTCCTCGTCAGCAGCCTCAACGTGGGCGGCAGCACGACGGGCGCCGAGTCGGATGCGGGCTCGCACTCCGATGAGGATGGAGAGGGCGACGAGGCAGCCATGTGGGAGTACCGCACGTCTGCCATGGTCCTCATCAACGCGATCACGAACAGCCCGGAGGATCTCGAGGAGCGCGTCGCGCTTCGCGAAGAGTGCGCTCGTCGCGGCCTCAACGAAGCGATGGTCGGGCTGCGCTACGTCGAGCCGCCAGATGCACTGCTGGTGCAGCTGCAGGTGTTCGCCGAGGAGAAGCAGGAGGACCAGTCCGAGCTGCACGACCGCCTTGTCCGACGGGGCGGCGAGGTCGAGGACGATTCGTCGCGGACGCCGCAGAGCGTCAGCGTCAGTGCGCTCGGAGAGGTGGGCGAGCTGCTGCGCTCCGCACAACTCGACAGTCCCGACCTCTATCCGCTCATCGCAAGCATGGTCTCGTATACGACGCGCATCTTGGCGCGCGACATCGATCACCAGCTCAAGGCCGACCTGCTCTTCGTCCTGGAGAAGTTCCTCGAGCACTCCGTCGAGGTCGTTGACTTTGACGACGGCTGGCGCAGCTTCATGCGGCAGTACCTGTCGAGCGTGCAGCACATCGTCGGCAAGCAGGCGATGATCAAGGCGAATCGCATGAGCGACACGAGCACCGTGCCGAGCAGCTTCGTCGAGGAGCTCGAGGGCCTCCGCGCCAAGGTCGAGGAGCTCAGCGACGAGCGATCACGGCTCAAGGCTGAGCTCAATGAGTCGATCGCGCAGGCCAACACCCTCCGAGGCTTGCCACGTTCTCTCTCGGCAGACCGCGATCTCGCCTCCGTCGCTGGCGGAGATGTGCCGCAGGACGCCAAGAGACGCGGCGAGAAGGAAGGATTCGCCGGCGTGATTCAGCGGCTGGTGCAGAAGGAGAAGCAGGTGCTGCAGCTGCAGGCGGAGGTCGACCGGCTCTCTGCTGCTAACCCGGCGGATCGCGGAGGCGGCGCAGATGCCGAGGAGCGAGCAAAGCGCGAGCGTCTCGAACGTAACCGGCAGTGGACGAACCTCATGGAGGAGATTGCCCGGCACAAGGAGCGCATCGCCGAGTCTGAAGGCCAAGTCGAGGCACGCGAGCGCGAGATCAAGTACCTCAAGCGGGCGCTCGAAGCCGTGTACGGCAGATTCCAGGCCTCGACGTCCGCCACGGGCGCTGGCAGCACCGATGACGCCACGAAGGAGGCAGCGACGAGCGCTGCGCCCAAGAACGAGGTCGACGCAGACATCATGGCACAGCGATCTATTGACGCGCTCGGCGAGAAGGACTCTGTCATCGCGACGCTGCGATCGGACCTGGCAAGGCTGCAGGAGCAGATGATCGTTGCTACAGAGCAGCAGCGCTCCCAGGCAACGGCGCTCACCGAGCAGCACGCCGTGGCGCTAAGCGAGAGCAAGGCGCAGATCGTTCGTCTCGAGGGCGAGATGAGCAGGCTTCAGGCGCTCTTGCTGCAATTTCAGCTCGACGCACCGCCAGTCGGAGCAGGCACGACAACACGGTCGCTGTCCGTCCATCGCAGTGCTCCACAGCCACCCGCCGCAGCTGTCGAATCAGGGCCAACGCCTGCGACTGCGATGGCAGTTAGCGCAGGAGGGCCGCCCCCGCCACCGCCTCCGCCGCCTCCGCCGCCTCCGCCGCCGCCTGCCGCATCGGATGGACATTTGTCTGCCGGCAAGGATCGGTTCGCTGCCGGTCCTCCTCCTCCTCCGCCTCCGCCGCCACCACCGCCGCCAGCAGCGGCAGCCATGCCCGTCGCCATGAGTGCAATGGGCCCTCCGCCACCACCTCCTCCTCCACCGCCGCCGCCTGCGACCGGAGGCTCGGCGGCCTCCGGACCTCCTGGTCCACCTCCTCCGCCGCCACCGCCGCCGCCGCCGATGGCAGCCGCTGGGCCCGCAAGCATGGGCGGACCGCCGCCACCACCACCGCCTCCGCCGCCAGGCGCACCCACTGCCCCTGCGCCACCGCCGCCACCGGGTGCGCCCACTGCACCTTTGCCGCCGCCTCCTCCAGGTGCCCGACCACCGCCAAGCGCTCCGAAGCTTCCGAAGCTGCCCCAGAAGAAGCGACGCGTGAGTGCGAGCGCGCATACGAGCTCTCGATCTCCTGACTCATCTCACTCTGCCCGTCAGCCGCTCTTCTGGACGAAGCTGCCGAACCAGGTGCTTGCACGCACCGTGTGGAACGATCTGCCGGGAAGCCCCATCGAGCTGCCCATCGACGAGGTCGACAGTCTCTTTGCTCTGGATCGAGCAGCGCCAGTCGTCAAGGCCGCCACCGCCGCCACCGCCAAGAAGCAAGGCCCGACGACTATCATCGACCCTGGTCGCGCGCACAGCGTCGGTGAGTGTGCCGGGCGAGAAGTCGACCTGCCTGTCTGACAGAACTTGCGTCAGGCATCCTGCTGGCGCGCCTCAAGCACACGTTCCCACAAATCCGGCAGGCCATCCTCGACCTCGACGAGGAGCGGCTGAGTCTCGACAATCTGCGTGCGCTAGAGAAGTGCCTGCCCACGCCGGACGAGGCCGAGCTCATCCGCGACTACGACGGCGACATCAGCGCGCTGAGCAAGGGCGACCAGTACTTCCGCGAGATTGTCGGCATTCCGCGGCTGAGCGAGCGGCTCAGCTGCATGGTGTTCATGCGCAAGTTCGAGATGGACCTCGAGGAGCTCAAGCCCGACCTCAAGGTGCTGCGCGACGCCGTCGACGAAGTGAGCGCGAGCGACAAGTTCAAGCGCGTGCTGCAGACTGTGCTGCTGCTCGGCAACATGCTCAACGGCTCGACGTTCCGCGGCTCGGCGGCTGGCTTCCAGCTGGGCGACTTGCTCAAGCTGCGCGAGACGAAGCCTGCGGTGCCGACGCCAGCCACACCGACGCTTCTGCACTTCCTCGTGCGCGTGCTCAACCGCGCCGACAAGGCGCTGGTCGGGTACCTAGACGACTGCTCGCACGTCGAGGCGGCTGCGCGCCTGTCGACTCAGTCGATCATGGCCTCGGTCACGGCCATCCTGGCCGGACAGCAGCAGGTGCGCGAGGAGGCAGAGATGCTCAGCCGCACGCGCATCGCCTCTGCCGGCGACCGCTTCCTCGCGGCGACGACGCAGTTCCTTGCCTCGACGAATTCGCAAGTCCGCGCTCTGCAGTCAGCTGGCGAGCACATCCAGGCGGACCTGCTGCGCCTCGTCGCGTACTACGGCGACGACCCGACCGTGGTGCGGCCCGAGGAGTTCTTCGGCACCATTGCGAGCTTCGGGCAGGCGCTGATGCGCGCCGAGGCCGAGGTGCTGGAGCACGATCGCAAGGCCGAGCTGGCGGCGCAGAAGAGCGCAAAGGCGCAGTTTGGCGCTGCTCTGCGCGGCGCAGCGCTGCGCATTCCCCAGCCTCCGGCGCCAGAGGTGCGCGGGCCCCTGGCAAGCCAGGCGAACGAGGCAAGCCAGCCGGCGAGCAGCAGCGTCGATGCGCCGTCCGCGCTGGCTGTCACCATCGAGGAGGCCGACGAGGCAGCCGACGTCGTCTCGCCCGTCGGCTCGGACCTGACGCCGACTGCCGGTGCGCCGGGCTCGCGCTTCCGCTCCTGGGGCGCCTCGGCGGCGGCCACGATGGGCGACGCATCCAGCTCGGGCGTGCAGCGCGGCAGCTACCGCGGCGGGCGCGGCCAGCTGGACGAGGCGATCAAGGAGCTGCGCAGCGGCGTGCGCGGCGACCGTGGCGAGCGCATGGCGCAGGCGCTCAGCAACGCCGCAGGGCCCGGTGGTACGCTGAGCGGCCGCAAGAGCCTGCGCCGCCAGGACACGCTGCGAGCCTCGCATCGGCCGCTGAGCCGCGTCTTCCTCGACGCATGAGCGCAGCCGGCCCTAGTCCATACCTGACCTCGGTGTCCGACGTCCGAGATCGCTCCGGCCTGCGTGCTGCGAGTGCCCGATACCTACGCAATGCTACATCTATGCGCTGACCTGCCGCGCCGTGTGCCTGCCCGCATCTGCGACTGCCGTGCGAACGAACGTTGCTTCCTTGACGACAGGCTTCGGCGTCTCTAGCTCGTCCATATCCGCGTGAAGCGCAGCCTGCGATGCTCGAAAGTCGCACCACATCGTCGGCGGTGCCACACCTTCGCTTCCGACGGCTGATCGTGATGGCGGGCTGCTGCTTCGGCGGGCGCAGCAGCTCCGTCCCCCGCAAGCACACGCGTGTGTCAAGAGAGCGCATACGTCACTACGCGCGGCATGGCCCAGAGATGCAGGCTTGGCCGTCTCCGCCCTCCGCACCTGATCCGCGGCAGGGCAGCTGATGCGCACGCAGCACGCCGCTGCTTCCATCGCCGCTGCAGCTGGCAAAATGCTCCGCTGCCTCGCGCTGGACGCTCTCGATGGAATGCCCGAGCGAAGACGTACCCGCGAAGCGTCAGCGGGCGATTGGCGGCTCAAGACGCCGTCCGGGGCGCTATCAACCGGCCGCAACCGAGCCGCTCGGTGCAGATCTGCACTGCTGCTGCGGCTGTGGCTCGCTCTCCGGCGCGCTTGGGAGCGGTTGGGCCGCGCGCGTCTCACGATGGCGGAGCCGCGATGCGTGTGCCTGAGCCGGGAAGTCCGACAGGGCGAGGGAGCGCTGCCGGGGTGCTTCTGCCCTCACAAGGTCGTGCATCTGCGGTGACCGAGAAGTGGGTGCTCTGAGAGGCAGATCGCATCACCACCTCTCTTTCTGCTGCGGTGCGGTGCTGGCTCCCTCGCCTTGCCGCAGCATAGGAGACGGCAGAGAAGGCACAGTGCGGCAGGCTGAGTGGCCCCTACAGGAGTCAAGTGCCTCTTCGCGGCCAAGGCTGGCAGCAGCCGGCACACAGCGGCAGCGACATGCGGTGCGCAGACGTCGTCATGATCGTGCGGATAGGGACAGGTGCAAAGAGTCGAGGAGAGCTCTTTGACTGCTCGGAGCCGAGACGAAGCAGCGCATCAGCAGCAGCAGAAGGCAGCGCGTCGGTGTGGCTCGGCGTGCCTCGTCGGCGCGCCCCGCTCCTCGTGCTCCGCCGGCTGCGCCACGGGGCAACGCATCCACCTCTACATCGAGTCTGCCTTGCTTCGCACCACCATCTCCTCTCCATCCTCGCTGCCGCCAGCTAGTAGTAGCCCCTCCCGGCAGCACCCGCCCGCCCCGCATCGCGCTGCCCCGCACCTCGCCCTCCGCGCCCTGAGGCTGCAGCATCGGCGCGCCCTCGCCGCTCCGTTTATCCGCCCGCATCCGTGTGGCTGGCTGCACGCTTGTGGCCCCCGTTTCGCCTGTGCCTGGCCCCCCTTCGTTGCTCGACGACTCCCTCTCGAGCATCTGCTGCTCGCGAACAGGCGTGCTCCCAGCGATAAGTTGCTGCCGGCGCAAGCGGCGGTACGCACCGGAGCCGCACGCACGTCGTCAGGCACCCGGCACGCACCGCACAGCTGCCGCGGACTCCGGAGCCGCCGCCGCCCGCACTTGCTTGGCGCCGCCTTCTCTCCACTTTGCTGCCGCGCTACCCGCTCTCTTCCCGCCGCATCCACCTCGTCCACCTCGAACCCGTCCTCGCTCCGGCAGCCGCACCACTGCGCTCCGCTGTGCTAGGCCGCGCACGCCTGCTGCTGTATGCTGCCGCCCACGCAGCAGGCGCCCTTCGCCAACGGCAGCGCCGCCCGCCGCTTCGTCTTCTCGCCGCCGCAGCACTTCGCACAGCCGCCCGCCAGCCCGTCGTCTGCCTCCTCAGTCCGACACTTTCCGGCGCACCTGAAGCGCGAGCAGCCCATGTCGCCCCAGTCGCCGCAGGCCGGCTCGCCGGGCTCGAGCTCGGGCGACGCCAGCGGCGGCGACGGCGGCGGCGCAGCGCAGGGACAGGACTATGCCCGGCCGTATCGAAGTCGCAAGGAGCGTCCGTGAGTCTGACCTGCGGAAGCTGGCAGATGAGTACGGACTGACGGCCTGTCTGGACGATAAGATGCGATCTGTGTCGTAGGCGCAAGGGTGAGTGCATGCTGACAGCCGGCGCGAGAGCCGCCTGTTGACGATCCGGAATCGCCCTGTCTTGACGCTGCTAGGCCGCTGTGTGAGTCTGGACAGGGAGTAACCTCTAGCAGAGATGCTCACATCGATCGCCAGGTGATCGAGGAGGCTGGAAAGAAGTGTCAAGCCTGCCAGCTCAGCGGACGGCCCTGCACGTGAGTGAATCGCTCGGCAAGACGCCCGCGCACAACTGACACGCTCGCGCACAGCTTCGAGATGAGCCCAACGCCTCGCAGCCGGCCAAATCGGCAGGAGGAAGGCAGCACACCTGCTGCGCCACAACCTTTCGACAGAATGCGGCAGTCCTCGGGCCCGAGCCAGATGCCGATGCCGCACCAGTCGCCATACCAGGGGCATGCTACCCCGTTCAACCACAGCGACTATCACTCGGCAAGCGTGATGCAGACGCACCACCGGCGACAGAGCACGAATCAGCGCTTTCAGCCGTATCCGCTCAGCGCGTCCACATCGCACGAGTCGATGTCACAGCAGCATGGCAACGGCGCGCAGGCGGGCTGGAGCGCCCCCTCGCCGCCGGACTCGCGCTCGCTGCTGCCGCCAGATCTGCGCGGGAGCTCGAGTCCGCATGTGCTGTTGCAGCAGCGGCAACAGGCGCGTCAGGCGCAGCTACAGGCGCAACAGGCTCAGCAGACGCAGCATACACAGCAGGCACAACAGACGCAGCAGCCGCAGCAGGTGCAACAGCCCGCGCAGAGCAGACAGCCTGTTCTTCCTCGACTGGACGTCCAGGAGCGACCGAGCGATGTCAAAGCGGAGGCTCGCTCGCGCGACAATGGGCGCAGATCTGCAGCCATGGATGATCTGCACGGGCTTTTCGTCAAGATGGTGCAGGGCGACGATGCCTCCTCTGACCACGCGTCGGTGACCGAGGCGGACGAGGTCTTGAGTGGCTCTGTGAGTCTAGCTCCACGGTCGCTTGTTGCGTATGCTCACGCGTCCGCGTCAAGCCTCACAAGGAGACCTCAGCAGAGAGCGGCATGACGCCCTTCGTCTTGGGCTCCAGCTCATCTGAGGACCCTGTGCTGCTCGAGCAGGCCGCCTCGCCCGACGGCAATGCCTCGCCTCAGGTCGCGCGCATTGTGCCCACATCCCAGCGCATTGGCGACGGCGGCCAGCAGCACACGACCAATGCTGTGCCCGCCTCGTACCACGTCCGGCAGGTGACGCGCGACCCACGCAAGCCGGTCTTCTTCTCCTTCATGGTCAGCCAGCCCTACGGCACAGCGCCCGGACGCAAGACGAAGGAGATCGGTGCCGAGGGCTGGGCCAAGCTGCGCGCAAACATCGGCGACAAGCTCGGCCCGCTCATGTCGCTCTACTCGGAGCGTGACGCGGCAGCCTTCCCGCTGCTCACCACTTCGCAGCGGCAGAAGTTCAGGCAGATAGCGGCGGATCTGCAGAGCCGCCCGCCGAAGAGCAGCGTTACCGACACGGAGCCCGCGCTGCCACTGCCGCCGGTACTCGCCAACGCTGTGCTGGCCACGCCGCTCATCTACGACCGCTCGGTGCGGCACTTGACGAAGAGCGCGTGGGGGTCCAATCTGCACTCGCTCATCGAGCAGTTCGACGTCTCGTCCTTGACTACGCTGCAAGTGGCATGCACGGACCTCACCGGGCGCCCGAGCATCAACACGAGCGGCAACATGATGAGTCTTATGCAGATGCTCGCAGTGGCGCACATGCTGGGCATGCACCTGGATCCGACGAGCTGGACGCTGCCGCGAGAGGAGCGCGACGTGCGGATACGCCTGTGGTGGGCAATCGTGATCCACGACAAGTGGTCAGTCTGTCGCGCGCTCGTCTGGCCAGACGCTCCCTGCTGACACTTACACAGGTCCTCGCTGTGCTGGGGCCGCCCGAGCGTGATCCACAAGAAGGATCACAGCGTGCCGCTGCCCAAGCGGAGCGGCCTGTCGCCGTGCCGCGAGCATCTTGCCGACGAGGAGTTTATAAGTCTGCGCCGTGCCGATGCCGGCAAGTCACGGTCCTTGCTGGAAGAACACACGCCGGGCGACACTTTTGCCGCGCTTGCGGGTCTCACACAGCTGCTCGACGGCATCCTCACCGAGTTCCACGCTGTGCACTGCCGGCGCGACGACGGCCTGATTGTGGCGCAGCGCGTGCGCGCATACCTTGGCGACCTGGACGACTGGCGAGCGTCGCTGCCGAGTACCTTGCACGCAGTCTTTGCAGGCAAGGGCACGCCGCAGACCGAGACGATTCCGGGCACAAGTGAGTGCCGAAGCGCATGCAACTGGCTCCGCGTCGCTGACCGCACTCGCCGACAGGGAGTCTGCAGCTGTCGTACTTTGGCATCGTGCTGCTGCTCTGTCGCACGGCGCTGGACGCGGTGACGGCGACAGAGACCTACGACGAGGCGCGCGTGATGCCCGCGCACAAGACCGCGCAGCGCGCCACCGAGATGGTCGTCGACTGGCTCGAGAGCCTGACAGATGCGGAGATTGTCGACTCGTTCTTCTTGCACTGTGAGCGCGCCGTGGCGACCCATGCTCGAGCGGCGCTGATACAGCTTCCACAGACGGATCGCACCATCTTGCGTCGTGTCTCTCACTTCTGGCACGCCTTGCTCTGGGCTTCAGTCGGGCTGGCCAGAAGGACCAGCTGGGCCACTCGATCGATGCGCTGCGGCGCTTCCTGATCCTGCTGGTGCGTGCTTCTCCTCGCGACATCGCGCGAGTGTTCACTGACGTGCCTGCAGAGCGCGGCCCGTCGCAAGCACCAGTGGGACCTTGGCGAGCTGGCTCTGACTCGAGCGCTGGCCATCTGTAAGTCGCCTCGAGCGCTCACGCTGCGCCGCGCTGACTGCAGCGCCGGACACAGTGCCGCAGCTCGAGCTGCGCATACCCAACTTCCCGCGCATGACGAGCCTCATCTCGACGACGCCGCCGCAGCCGACGGTGCCGATGGCCACGAGTGCGGATCTGCAGGGCATCCCGGCCGATGCGCTGCAGTCGCTTGGCGGCGGCCAGTTCTACGACGAGACGGCCGCCACGCTGGCCGCGCTGGGCGGCATGAGCGGCGACGCCTTCCACGCCTCGCTGCAGGGCGGCCAGCAGGGCCAGCACGCGCAGCACGCACAGCATACCCCGCACTCCCAGCACCAGCACGCCGTGCAAGCGCAGCAGCGACAGCAGCAGCACCCGCAGCACCAGCATCACCAGCAGCAGCAGCAGCCCTTCGGCGCCGCGTCGGGCCAGCACGCCTTCAATGCGCCGCACATCTTCCCGACCTCCACGCCCGGCGACGCCTTCTTCGGCCTGCAGGGCGGCGAGATCATGGACGCCTCGGGCGGCGCCGATGCGTATGCCTCGCTCGGCGCCAGTGCGGGCCCGGCGCTCATGCTTGCCGACGACTGGATGCAGCTCGGCCTCGGCGGGCCGGGCAGCAACGTGATGCAGAGCTCGATGTGGCCCGGCGGCAATGCATGAGGCCCTCTGTGCTCTTTCTTCCATACCCGCGCGGTTGCTGCCTCGATAACCTCATGGTGGCCTCGATGCTTCGTGCGCGCGCACTTGCAGAGTGCGGCTGTGCCGCGCTTGAGTTGGACAGGAATAGCATCTCACGAAGCTCTGTTCCTCAGCCACGATCTGTCGATGGTGCCATTTCCGCCAGGGGTGCTTATTGGCCGCAGCAGGCACGCACTCTGCGCAGGGCGCAGCTGATTGCTCTCACGCGTGCCCGATATGAGCTGATGGAAAGGAGCGATGCTTCTTCTGCACCCCTCCGCATGTGTGAGGAAGCGCGGCGTCCGAAGGAGCAGAATGCACCGACGCTTCGAGGATGAAGCGCTGCCGCGCTCCTGCGCTGCTCTGGGGCTGGCTGCTGCTCTCTCCGTCAGCGTGCGCCGGACCGCGCGCCGGTGCCGCTGCCGCTGCTGCATGCTGCGGCTCCGCTCGCGCACGGCTCGGCGCCGACTCGGCCTGCCTGCAGAGCGCTCTCAAGTCGGCTTCTGCGATGCTGCATGCTGCTTCTGCGCTTGGCCGGCGGCCAAAGACGAGTGAGATTGCCGCCCCCGCAGAGCACCTCGGCGTGCGGAGCTGTGCAAGCCTCGCACCTTTCAGGGCGCAGCGAGCGCCTCTCTGGCAGCGCACTTCGATTCACAGGGCCGCCACGCGGCTCCTGACGCCTCTGCTGGCCGCAGAGGTGCGGCCGTGGGAGAGCGCCTCTGGCGCGCCGCTCGCCGTGCCTTGGCTGCTGCTCCTCTCTCGCAGCGCGCAGGCGAGTCAGGAGCCCGTCTGCGAGTCAGCTCGACAGAGCGCCTTATCGCGGCCAGCAGCTGCTTCGTGGGCGGCGTGTCTGCTGCGAGAGGACGCTCGCGACAGGGCGCGAAGCTCGCCGGCTGGCAGGTGCGGCAGCGGCAGGATGCCGAGCCGCGGGCGCCCCGCCGGAGGAGCGGTGCGGTGTGCCGGCCGGGCCGTCGGGCCAAGGTCCGTGTCGTCGTGCCGCCTCGGCGCCGCGCCGGCGCGGCACGGCTTGGCTGCGGGGAGCTGCGTGATGGGTGAGGGCGGCGGCTCGGCGGCGGTCGTCGCGTGCGGTGCTGTGGTGCTGCCTGCGGCTGCGTGCCCGCCTTCGCTCGCGGAGGGCTGCCGCCTGCATGCTGCCGTCACGCTCCGCACCCGTGTCCGTGTCCCACGCTGCACCTGCCGCTGAGGCCCAATGGCCGCGGCCAACTCTTCGTACCGCCCGCCGATGGCCACGGCGGCGCCGCACGCTGGACGCTGCTTCTGGCGCCGCTGCCGCCTCCTTCGCACCCACCACACCCCGCCGCTCGCACCCCTGCACCGCCGCACCGCGCCGCCTCGCTCTCGCAGCGCACACAGCCCGCTCGTGTGCACTGCCGCCGCCGCCGCCGCCGCCGCCGCTCGCGTGCTACTCTTCCCATCCCGCACTCGCGCGCACAGCAGCAGCAGCGGGGCAAGCGCCGCACGACGCACTCCCGCCCGCGCAGGCGCAGCAACATGGGCCGCATCATGACGGGCGAGCCGGCGGCGGCGAGCATCGTCGTCGTGGGCGCCGGCGTCATCGGCCTCACGGCGGCGCTCGAGCTGCGCGCCCACGGGCACGCGGTGCACGTCGTGGCGCGCGACATGCCGCACGACGCAGCCTCGACGCAGTTTGCCTCGCCCTGGGCCGGCGCCAACTGCGTCTCGTACGCCGCCGACGACGACCTGCTGCAGCAGCGCTGGGAGCGTGAGTGGCCCCTGCCGTGCCGCGCGTACTCCGAGCCGCTGAGGGGCGCTTCCGGCGCTGACACGCGCCGCGCTGCGGACAGGCACGACCTGGAAGCGGCTCGCAGGCATCAGTCGGAGACACCCAGACCTTGTGCAGGTGAGCACTCGATGTGGCGCTGCCGCAGCATGCAGCGCTGAGCACACGCTCTGAGCAGAAGATCCCGTTCGAGCTCTACTCCGCCTATCTGGCGGCGAACCAGCCGTGGTGGAAGGACAGTGAGTGCGGTGCCGGCACATCTCTGATGCAGCCTGACACGGCCGTACAGTGGTGGAGAAGTTCGGGCTGCTGCCTCCGCCAAAGCCCGGCGCAGCGTCGCCTGGGCTGTACTTTTACTCCTGGGTGCTCGACGTGCCGTCGTACCTGCTGTACCTCGCCAACGAGCTGGCGGCGCCGGCCTCAGACGGAGAGATGGGTCCTCCAGCGACCTTCCACCGCGTCGAGACGCTCGACTCGCTCGGTGCAGCGCTGGAAGTGGTGCCGCACGCCAAGCTCATCGTGAACGCCTCGGCGCTGGGCAGTCGGTGGCTGGCGGATGTGCTCGACGAGAAGGTCGTGCCGGCGCGTGGTCAGACGGTGCTCGTGCGGGCGCCAGACGTGCGGGTATGCTACATCGACCCAGCCGGCCTGTCCACGTCACGACCATCGCACGCATCTCTGCCGCCGAACAGCGAGCTTATGGAGGAGGCGGCCAAGTCGCAGCCGACCTACATCATCCCTCGCGCGGGCAGCGGCCAGGTCATTCTCGGCGGCACGTTCGAGGCTGGCTGGGCTAACGAGGCGGTGATCAATGAGGCGACCACGGACCGCATCCTCGCCGACTGCAGTGAGTCGGATGCAGCACTCAGTGCGGCACGCGGAATGCTGATCCTCTTCTCCACTAGCTCGGCTGTGTCCGGCACTGGCCGAGTGCGAGGTGATCAGTGTCAATGTCGGCCTGCGCCCGGTGCGGCTCGGGGGCACGCGCCTCGAGCCTGACCGCCTGGCGAATGGCGTCGACGTGGTGCACTGCTACGGTGCCGGGCCAGCGGGCTACCAGCAGTCATGGGGCCAGGTGAGACGCTCGCGGCGTCCAACTCTGTTGCACCTTGCTGACCCTTATCATCTGTCAGGCCGAGCACGTCGCCGAGCTTGTGGCCGAGATCCTGGAGCAACGGCGCAGCGCCCGCCACAGCCCAGTCGAGGAGCTCGCTCCGCAGTCGCCGCGTCTCTAGCCGGATCGCAGCCGCACATGTTGCCGTGCAGCCGCTCACCCCTTTCCCATCCTCCTTCGCGTGCTGCTCTGCCGCATCATGCTCCGCTCTCGGACTGTACCACTAGACCATCAGAAGCACGCTGCATCTTGCTCCCACACTCACGCCGCACGCCGCCGGCTCTGCTTGACAATCCATTCACTGATCGTCGCTGTTCTTCTACACGAGGCTGATGAGGTGCCCGGCCGCCTGCGCGGGGGCTGGAGTGTATGATGGATGTGTTGACGCGCCGGGCGAAAGGGATGACGTTGATGTAGAGACGTAGGTGACGATGGATGCCGGAAGCTTCGACGGTCGGTGCTCGGAGACGGAGAGGCGGGCACTTCAGGCATCGCCCGGTGCATTCGTCGCGCTGCCCTCTCGCCGACGCCGCTTGCCGCGGCCGCTGTCCGAGCCGAGCAGGGCGCCACCACGGCGGCCGCCCGGCTTCTCCTCGCGCTGCTCGTCGCTCTCGTCCATCTGCTCGGACGAGGCGTCGACGGTGCGGCCAGAGGCGTGTGCTTCGGCGCCGCTGCGGAGGCCACGCACCGTCCGCGCGTCGGCGGGACTGTGGCTGCGCAGGCGCCGGAAGGACGCCGGCGCCTCTTCGCCAACCGGGCTGAGCGCGTGGCCCTCGAAGCCGGCTCCGCTGCTGCTGCGGCCACCGGCGCCGACGCCACCGAGGTCGAGCGTCCCTGAGCCACGTGCGGCAGCGGCAGCCGCCTTGCGGGCAGCGCGGCCGCCAGGCGTGCTCGGCGACGCGAAGTGGCCCAGGCTGGCCGAGGAGATTGGCGCCGAGCTGCTGTGGCCGGCCGAGCCACGGCCGCCGCCGGAGACGAGGCGGCGCTTGAGCGCAGAGGCGGCAGCATGCGACTGCGCCTCGGTCACGCCAAAGACGGGACTGTTCGACGAGCCGGCGTGCTGGGCATACGTAGAAGGCGAGGTGAAGGTGAATGGCGAGGTGAGAGTCGGGACGGCGGCATTGCTGGTCGGACCGACAAGAGGTGTCTCCGGCGTGCCTGGACCTTGGTCCGTGGATGTGTTGCTGTCGACCGAAAATGTGACGCGATGCCGCTCGCCGGATGATGGGGCCGCTTCGCTGACAGGCTCGGAGCGGCCACCTGCGCTGCGTGTGCGGACGGCAGATGGCGGCGCAGAGGGCGCAGCGAACGCTCGCGGCGGCGCGGCCGGGCGGCCAGTCGCTGCAGCCGGCGGCGAGCGACGTGCCGTTGAGCTCGAGCCGGCACTGATGGAGCGCGGCTGCGGCTGCGACACCGGCGGAGCGGCGCGCTGCTGCACATGTGACGAGGAGCGCGCAGTGCGAGGCGGTGGCCGCGGCGTGCCAGATGCCGTCGAGCCGACGCTTGCCTCCCGCGTACGCTGAGTCTCGGCCTCGTCGATCTCCTCATCCTCGCCTTCGCCACGCATGGCCTCCATGCGGCCGCGCAGGTAGCGCTCCAGCCACGCAAAGTCCGTCGCGGTGCTGCTTGATGAGGTCACACCCTCATCCTCCATCATGGCCTCGGCCCGGCCGCCGCTGCCGCTGCCGCGCGAGCGCAGCGCCACAACATCGAGCAAGTCAGCGAGCGCAGCCGTGTAGCCTCGCGAGTAGGCGCGAGTGGCAGTGGAGAGCGAGGTGCGGTAGAGTGTGGTCAACTGAAGCGCAGCAGCTGGAGAGGCATGGTCAGCTGAGGTCGCCTCGTCTAGTCTGGCAGCGCTGCTGGTCGCGAGCGACACGACCGAGCCGGACAGCTATGCATGGCCATGGTAGGCGATGTCCACGACTGCTCGTCTCGGCTCGACCAGCCGCCAGCCAGAGCAGGAGCACCATCATTGCTCACCCTTGAAGTCTGCGTTCAGCTGCACCTCGTCGCGCTTGGCGCCGCCGGCCGCCTGGCGGCTGGACGAGTCGAGCGAGTCGCGCAGATTTGTGAGCGAGTCCATGTCGGCCGTGTGCGTGCGGTGCGGCGGTGTGCGGTCGTGAGGTGGTGCTGGCTGCTCAGGCGCCAGACGTGGAGGACGAGAGAGGGCTCGCTGAGGGGGTGAGGACGGCGTGCACGGGCGTGCCTGCTGGACCGCGGACGCAGGCGGCGCAGACGGCACGGAGAGAGGGAGCGGCGCGTGCGGAGCGCACGAGGGAGGTGGTGGACGAGCGCGAGGAGAGGCGCGGCGATGTGCGACGCTGCCTGCTGCGCAACGAGCTGGGATAAGGGGAGCGCCGCCGCGCCAGCTGCGCCAAATAGCGAAATCGAGCGCAGCGTGAAGTGAGCAGCGAGCGAGTCACACGCTCCGTGTCACGTGACGGCATGTCCTCGACAGGCCGCCAGGTGTCCGCTCATCGCCCTCAGAGGCTTGAGCTGGGGCTTGGCAGCAAGCCAGTGGATGTCTTGCGGCGTGCTGGATGGCGAACAGGCTGCACAGCGCGGCGAGGGCATGCCAATGGGCGCAGCCGCGAGGGTCGCTGGTCCACGGCGCCGGGGCTGTTCCCACGCGGGACGGCGGTGACGAGCACAAGGAGCGGCCACGGCGGCGCTTGCCAGCCATGCCTCTCGACCCAGCAAGCGCCGCCCGCAATGCTGCCGTACGAGCTGCTGGCCGACGTGGTGGCGCTGTACGTGGCGCAGACGCTCGACGTGCGGGCGCTGCTGCCGCTCGCATGCGCCTCGCACGCCCTGCGCCGCCTCGTGCTGCCGCACATGCTGCGCTGCGTCGAGCTCGCGTCGCCGGCGGCGGCGCAGCGCTTCGTGCGCATGCTGCGCAGCTCGCCCGCCGCCTGGCCGCTGCTGCACGCCGTCTGGTGGCACCGCATCGACGCCGGCGGCCTCTGCCACGACGTCGCAGATGCCTCGGCGCTCGCGGCGGCGGCGTGCGAGACGCTGCTCGGCCACGCGCCGCTGCTCGAGGAGGCCGCCTGGATCAGCGCCAGCCAGATGGGCGGCCTGCTCGTCGGCACGCATCTGTCTACAAGGCCCGTGGGACCGTGGTGCCGAGGAGCGGCGACGTCGCAAGCCGGACTGGCAAGCCAACTCGCTGCATGCTCCATCACTGACCGCCGCGAAGCGCAAGCCGCACGCGCCGTGTGGGCGCTGCACTTTGTCTGCTGCACGCTCGAGACGTGGCAGCACCGCCTGCTCGAGACGCTCGGCACCGTGACGCACCTGACGGTGACGCTCTATCCGGCGCTCTTCATCGACGACGACAAGTTTGAGCACTGCCTGCGCCGCCTGCTCGCCGTCGCGCCGCTGCTGCGGCACCTGCTGCTGCGTGTGGGGCACGACGCCATGAACATCGGCTCGCGCGTGCGCCGCATCGACCGCTCGCGCTCCATCGCGGCCGCCGCTGCCCGCGTGGGCGACCCGCGTGTGCGAGTCGTGGGCGCACCGACGACGTTCGGGCGCGCCGGGCATGGCCTCGAGGAGGATGTGGCGCGCCACACGCACATCGAGTGGCAGGCGCGCACGCGCGGCAAGGCCGGCCCGTGGCCCGATCCGCCGACAGAGCTGCCGCTGGCCGAGCCGGGATCGGGGCATCAGACAACGTACCACAGCTTCTGGCTGGCACGCGACCAGCTCGGCGGCAACGAGCCCATCGAGGACTCGTGAAGCGTCGAGGGCGCCTCGAAGGCCACGCGCAAAGCTGCCCGCGCCTCAGGCGTGAGCCGCGCCGCGCCGCGCTTGGCGTGCAGCGTGCCTCGGCCAGCGCGGCGCAGCGCTCACCTCGGCCCCTTCACTCCTCTCTGTCATCACCCAAGCCTCGCCCACCATGTCGGACAACGGCAGCGACGACGGCTGGACCACGTGCATGCGCAGTGAGCCGCTCGACTACTCGGACGACGAGGACGCGGCCGCGCCCGCCCGCGCAAGCGCCGCGCTGCTGCACACCTCGGAGGCGACAGTGTATCGCGACACCGACGCCGAGGCGGTAAGCTGCAGCACAGCGGCACAGCAAGCATCAGACTCGCACTTGCTCACGCAGATGCGCATCTCTGCCGCGTGTATGTGCAGCGCTCCATCGACATGTCGCTCGTCGACGAGAGCGGCGTGACGTTCACCGAGACGCCCTTGTGAGCGACGCGTCTGGTGCTGCTCCTGTCCACGCTGACACAACCGGCTCAGCACCATCGCCGCTCGCCATGCCCAGTCTCGCGCCCTGAGCCGCCAGACTCGGCCCAGCTTCGCCTCGTCCACAACGGCTGTGTCTGCCGCACCGTCCGAGATGCGCAGCTCCTCGCCCGCCGCAGCGGCGCAGGCTCGCAAGACGGCTGCTGCGCCCGCCGTCAATCAGCCTTCGCCGGCACGCTCGAGCGCAAAGGCGCCTCCGCTGCTCCGTGCCGGTCACCGCGCTGGCCTCGGCGCCATGCCGCTGCCCATCAACTCGTGGAAGCCCAAGGCGCGTGTGCTCGCCGTGGCTCGGGCGCCGGATCTCGCCCACTGCGGCGCGGCGCCCGTCCACGCAGCTCAGCAGGCTGTGCCAGGTCCGTCTGCTCAGCCAGCTCGGCCGCAGGAGCAATCTTCGCCGGGAGACGGCGCATACATGCGCTCGCCGGCTCTCGCGGCGCGTCCGCGCCTCACCGAGCGACCCTCGCTCAAGCCCGCAGGTGTTGCCGTCCGGCGCAGCGCATCGGCCTGGCGCTCTGGACAGGCGCGTTTGCATCTTGACCCGGCATTAGTGCCTGATCCGGTGCCGGCAGCGACGCCTGTGGAGTCCCTCGCCTTCGATGCTCATTCGCCTCAAGCGGCGCAAGCGGCGGAGCCGGTGAGAGTGGCGCCTCAGACGAGCCGCTTCTTCGACGAGCGTCCGAAGAGCACTGCTCCTCGCCGTCGTGTTGTCGGTCTCAGTCGTCCGGCTCGGCCAGCGCCCGCGCCAGCGCCAGCGGCGAGCCGCTCGGACGACGCTCTCGATTTACTTGAGTCTGCATTGCAGCCAGACTTTGAGCAGGTCGTGCCCATGGCCGTCACTGAGTTCGCGCTGCCCGAGAATCCTCGCATCTTCGGGCGTGACGCACTGGCGCCTTCGTCTGACGACTCTTTCGACGTCTTCCAAGACCTCGAGGCGGAGCACAGCGCGCCCACGTTCTCGCCCAGTCCTGCTCGCTTCGACTTCGGAGGCGACGTCGCTGCCGTGCCTCAACACGCTCGCTTTGCGTTCCCATCGTCGCCGTCATACGATCTGCCAAGTGCAGCTCCAAGTCGGCAAGGTCTGCAATTTGAGAGCGGGCAGCCATTTGCCTATGACTCGGAGGGCGCTGCGCCCGCCTCACCGCCGCCCCGCGCACCGTTCCAGCTGCCTGCATCGACCCGTCTGCAGCGCTTCGCCTTCCGAAGCGATCCTGTCGGCGAGCCACTTGGTGAGTCACATCCGCCCTACATGTAGCCACCAAAGCTGACACCAGGTTCCAGACGGACCAGACTTCCCGCGCCGTGCTTCGCCGGAGCGCCCCGACTCGCGAGCGCGGGGCTATGGCGTCGAGTCCACGCTCTCGCATGCGCGCAAGCCGTCACTGCCGCTCTCGCCTCCAACATCGACGTCCGTGCAGCACGCACGCTTCTTGCCGGCGTCGTCTCATTCGCCTGCAGAAGATGCGCCCGAGTGGAGCACGCTGTGGGCCCCTGGCCTCGGTCGACCGGGACCCATGCCAGCGCGCCACCTTCCGCCGGACGCCGTGCTGCCGACCGTCGCTCGTCGTCGCCGCTCGGGCCGTACAGGCCACCTCTCGACGCAGGGCCGTGCAGCCGCAGCACGGCGCTTCCGCCTGCCTCTCTTCTCCGGCGCCGGCACCAGCACGGCGCAGCAGCGCGAGCAGGCCATCGCCAAGGACCAGCAAGTGCGCCGCACGGGCAGCGACGCCGCGCATGGCCTCTCGCTCTCGCGCGTGGTCAATGCTGGAGACGCCGATCAGCTGCTCGAGGCCGGTCTGCGCTCGAGCGGCGCGCAGAAGCGGCCGCGCGTCGCGCTCTTTGAGCCCTCGCCGCTCGCCGTCCAGGCGCGCTCGCGCCGTGAGCAAGAGGCGCAGGTCGAGCAGGATGAGGTGCAGGTCATCGAGTAGCCGTCTCCGCGACATGTCTCCACAAGCGTTTGTGTGCATCATGCTCGTCTGCGAGGCTTGGTGTCTGACTGCGAAGTGTGCGAGAATGATGCTGGCCGAGGGGAGCTCTCGCGTCCAGGGTCCGGGCGGCGAAAGCAGCGGCCGGAAAACGCGGCCCATGCGCAGCGGCACCAGACGCTTCTCTCCTGCCATGTCGAGCGGGGCTCAGGCTGCACTGCTGCCGACGGGGCCAGCTGAAGGTCAGACCATCGCTGCCTCATCGTCGTTGCCTGACGTCCGTCCAGCGCAGGCGAGAGGAAGTGCGAGAGGCACACATGCTCAGCGGCAGACCGGCACAGGCACGATTGAGTCTGATTGCTGCTGAACGCGTGGGAGCTGGACAGCCGCTTGCAGCCCTTCATTGGGCAGCCTGAGCTCTCGGATGGCGCCAATGTGGGCGATGGTCATGGACGTGGGCGCTCCGACGTCGTCTGACGAGGCTTGTCGATATTTGTTGGTCTCCATGGGGGGTTTGGGAGCTGTGGCATGCGCAGCTCGTGCGATCCTCGCGAGGCGCGAGCGGTGTGCAGCGGGCGTCGCCGCAGCCGCCAGCCGGTCCGGCTAGCGCCCGCCGCGCCCAGCCGGTCCTTGCATCGTCTTGGGCGGCGCGCGCCATTCCTCGCCCGTGGATGCCGCCCTGCCGCCGCGGTCTCCTCTGTTGCGCTTGAGCTGACTCCGAGCGCCTGGGCCTCCAAGCTGCGGCTGTGTTGCCCGGCGAGACGAAGAAGTCAAAGACTGGAGACGAGCAGCGGCGGAGTGTGGAGGCGGCCGTGCGAAGGTGCGCGTTCATGCGTGCCCCGCACGATGCACGCTTGCGCGTTGTCGGCCGGGCACTTCGTCTGTGCGCTGCGCGCGCATGTGGCTGGAGCAAGGCCGAGCTCGGTGTCGCCGTCATGCAGGTGCAGCAGCTGCCAGCTCCAACACGCAGCATCGGCCGTACGCCGAATGCCGAGGCACAGGCACCACGCCAGCCGCAGCAGCAGTCCGGTATGGCCGAGCACGCTAGGCGGTGCGCAGCCGTGGCAGGCTGCAGATGCAGCGCTGCGCCACCTCGCAGCTGTCGTGCCTCGCGCGGCGCACGGACGGGGGCAGGGCGGCATGGCGGACGGCGCAGGGAGAGGCGGCTGCGTGTCTTCTCTCTGCGCCCGTCCGCCCGGCTCACGTCTGCCCGGCTCGCTCGCGCCGCCCCCGCACCTGCCAACGTGGCACAGGCACAAAGACCCAGCGCCGCCACCGCACCTTTTCCTTGCCCACCACCACATCCCCATCACACACACACACACACAACACCATGTCCTCGTCCATCAAGCTCCTCAGCGGCGACTTCGGCCACGTCATCAACGGCAAGCTCGACACCGCGCCCAACGCCAAGCGCCTCGATGTCAACAAGTGAGCGCCATCGCTGCGGGCCTCTGCTGCACATCGCTGACCGCTTTGCAGCCCGGCCACCGGCGAGCACCTCGCCTCGGTGCCCATCTGCGACCGCGCCACGCTCGACAAGGCCGTCGAGGCCGCCGCCGCCGCGTTCCCCGCCTGGCGCGACAAGTCGTGGGCGGAGCGTGCCGAGGCCGTCAAGAAGTGGGGCGAGCACTACCAGTCGTCGATCCCCGACCTCATCCCGCTGCTCACTGCCGAGCAGGGCAAGGCGCTCGGCATCTCGCACTACGAGGCCAATGCCGTGACGGAGTGGTGAGTGCATGCACGTGCGAGCCCTGTCGTGCCTCCGCTGACGCACTTGTGAACAGGTTCCAGGCGATGCCCACGATGGAGCTCAAGGAGACGACTGTGCTCGACGACGAGAAGATGAAGGCCATCACGCGCTACACGCCTCTCGGTGTCTGCGCCGGCATTGTGCCGTGGTGCGTAGTTCGGCTCAGTCACACATTGCCCTTGCTCACGCGCCTCCTCCAGGAACTTCCCGATCCTGCTCATGGTCTGGAAGATCATTCCGGCCGTGCTGACCGGCAACACGATCATCATCAAGCCGAGCCCGTTCACGCCGCTTTGCGACATCCGCATCGTCGAGGCTGCGCAGCAGTTCTTCCCGCCCGGCGTTGTGCAGGTCGTCGTCGGCGACGACAGCCTCGGCCCGTGGAGTGAGTGCCACGGCGTTGCCGAGACGCCAATTCGCTTGCTGACGCTCTATCGCAGTCACTGAGCACGAGGGCATCCGCAAAGTGTCCTTCACGGGCTCCAGTGCCACGGGCCGCCTCGTCGCCAAGAGCTGCTCGGCGACGCTCAAGCGCTTCACGCTCGAGCTCGGCGGCAAGGACCCGTGCGTCGTCATGGCCGACGTCGACTTCGAGAAGGCGATCCCGCAGATCTTCATGGCTGCGACGCTCAACTCGGGCCAGACGTGCGTGTGCGCCAAGCGCATCTACGTCCACGACTCGGTGCGTCTGCGGCGCAGTGCACGCTCTTGTCTGCCATGCTCACGCCTTCCCGCTTCCACAGATCTACGAGAAGTTCTCGCAGGCGCTCGCGGGCGCGTTCCAGAACGGCGCCGTGGTCGGCGACCCGCTGAAGGAGGGCGTGCTCATCGGCCCCATCAACAACAAGATGCAGCACAAGAAGGTCAGCGAGTTCTGTGAGTACGCGGCTTGTTCCAGCCTCTGCGCTTGGCGCTGACTCCACGCACAGTCGACGACGTCAAGTCGAAGGGCTACAAGACGTTCGCCGGTGGCGACATCACTTCGTCGGGCGACGGCCTCTTCGCCACGCCCACGCTCGTCGACAACCCGCCGGACGACAGCAAGATTGCCGTCGAGGAGCCGTTCGGCCCCATTGTGCCGCTCTTCCGCTACAAGGACGAGGCCGAGCTGCTGAAGCGCATCAACAGCTCCGAGTACGGCCTCGGCGCATCCGTCTGGTCGACGGACCTCGAGAAGGCCGGCGCCTTTGCACGCAAGATTGACAGGTGCGTCTCCTCGTCGGCCCTGACCTTGCACGCGTTGCTCACACGTCCCACGGCAGCGGCATCGTCTGGGTCAACTCGAGCCCCGTGCTGCACCCGCGCGTGCCCTTCGGCGGCTGCAAGTCGAGCGGCATCGGCTGCGAGAACGGCGACCAGGGCCTGCAGGGCTGGTGCCAGCTGCACTCGATCTGCGTCGCGAAGTAGGCGTGCGCATCCACCGTTCCTTTCTGTTCTACCGGCTTAGCTTGCATCCCAATGATATCTCCTCATGCCATCCCAACGAGCGTGCCTCGACTTGCACTCCACCTTGACTGCGTGACCAGCCCTGCTTTGGCAGAGAACGACTCGCGCATCCCTTGTGCGGCCATCGATGCTGCGAGCATGCGCTGCCTGCGGCTGCGGCATCGCGGGGCTGCGCGCTGCGAGAGCGGGATTTCCGCGGCAGCGTCGCCGGTGCACGGCCGGCATCCTTTGCCGGCGCGCGAGAGGCGCGCGGGCACTTGAGCCGTGTGCGCCTCCGGCTCTCGGGTGCGCGCGCGCCGAGTGCGGGGAAAGGCAGGACGGCAGGCCACCGACCGCACCGCACACCGTGCCGCAGCCGCCGCTGCCGCCGTTGCCTTGCTCGGCAGCGGCGCGACGGCGCAACGTCGGCCCGGCGATGCTCCTGACGCCCTCGTCCCTCATCAGCGGCCATCCTTCGCTCCACATCCTTATCCATACCCACCTCACCCCACGCCATGCCTGCTCCTTCGCTGCGCGCCGCCTTTGGCCACCTCGGCCCCGTGCCGGCCAAGATGGAGCACGCCGCCATCGACGCCGCCCTCACCGCGCCCACGTCGCCGTTTGCGCTCGAGGAGCGCGTGCTGCCGCACAACGGCGTCCTCACGCGCACGTGGAAGAACCTGCCGCGCAGCACGCGCGACTTCTTCCTCATGACGGCTCAGGTGAGGGCACGCGACGGCGCGGCGGCGACGCATCGCGGGCGGGCGCAGGTGGAGGTGACGGCAGCCTGCTCAGAGGGTCAGCGAGCGATCCTTGACCCGCGCGAGGCTGCATCGCCGGCGCGACGGTGCTTGCTATTCGCCCCTCGGATGCGCTGCTGTGATGGTCGATGCGCGCTGACACTCTCCTCCACAGGCCTTCGGACCGCGTGAGCTGGTCGTGTACGAGGGCACCAGCATGACGTACACCGAAGCATTCGAGCGCGCCTGCCTCGTGGCGCACTGGCTGCGCATGGAGTTTGCGGTGCGCAAGGGCGACAAGGGTGAGTGTGCAGGCAGAAGCCTCGCGTGCCGCGAGCCGCACTGACGCCCTGCTCCAGTCGGCATCGTGATGCGCAACCTGCCCGAGTACCTCATCGCCTACCAGGCCATCCACCTGCTCGGCGGCGTCGCCGTGTGCCTCAACGCCTTCTCGGACGGCGACACGCTGGCGTTCTGCGTCAACGATGTCTCGTGCCGGGCACTCATCTGCGATCCGGAGCGCTTCGCACGCCTGCAGGCCGTGTACCCGGACCTGAACAAGGGCAAGGCCGGCAGCGTTGCCGGCATCGCAGTGACGGCGCGCGTGGGGGCCGGCTTTGCCGAGAAGTCGGAGCGGTCGTGGGAGGGCGGCAGGGCGGGCCCGAAGGTGTTCGGCTGGGAGGAGCTCGATGCGAAGCACAAGCCGACGCTGCCCAAGGGCCCGCCGCAGGCCGAGGTGGACCCCGACGACGACTGCATCATTGTGAGACCTGGCATGCCCTTCTCGTCTCGCGGCCGTGCGCTGACGCTGTGCAGCTGTTCACGAGCGGCACAACTTCGCGCCCCAAGGGCGTCGTCAGCACTCAGCGCTCCAACCTCTCGTGCCTCATGCTCACCACGTACGGCATTGCCCGCGCATTCCTGCGCCGAGGCGTGCCGCCGCCGCCGCCGGCCGACCCCAAGGAGCACGACTTGCAGGCGACGACGCTTGTGTGCATCCCGCTCTTCCACACGACCGGCATCCACTCGGGCATGACGGGCAACATGGCCACTGGGTGAGTGCATAGGGAGGGGCTGCCAGAGTCGGCGCTGACTCCTGTCTCAGCTCACGTGTACGTGACGACCACCTCCGGCTCAGCCGCCCAATGCTCACCCGTCCTGCAGATCGTGCTGATGCACAAGTGGAACGTCGACGATGCGGTGCGGCTGATCCAGAAGTACTCGTGCCGCGGCATTCTGGGCATTGGTGCGTGACCTGTAAAGTGCCTCGCCTTGACCGTAATGCTGACTGCTGCACAGGCTTCATGGGTTCGTCTGTCTGTCTCTTTCCCGCAGAGCCTCGCTGATTTGCGCAGTGCGCGAGGTTGTGAATCACCCGGCAGAGATGCCATCGCTGGAGTCTGTCGCACATGGAGGCGCATCGGCCGCCAAGGAGCTGCCCGGCGAGGCGGACCGCAAGACGAAGGGCATGCTTGCTGGCGTCGGCTATGGTGAGTGGCGGCGAGTTGTGTTAGGCAGTGCCCTGCTGACTTCGACACAGGCCTGACGGAGGTGAACGGCGTGGCGTGCGCCAATTACGGCGACGACTACCATCGCGAGCCGACATCTATTGGTCTGCCGCCCGCGGCGGTCGAGCTGCGCATTGTGGACCCCATCACGCTCGTCACGCTCAAGGAAGGCGAGCAGGGCGAGGTGAGTAGAGCGTTTTCTGGGTCGTTGACCAGTCTGCTGACGCCCGAGACAGCTGTGGATCAAGGGCCCAGGCAACGCCAAGGGCTACTACAACCGGCCCGAGGCGACGCGCGAAGCATTCATGCCCGATGGCTGGTTCCGCGTGCGTACCGTCCGATCTGCCGCCGATGAGCGGCACTGACTTGACAGCTCTACAGACGGGCGATCTGTGCGTGCGCGAGCCGAAGAACGGACTGTACTACATCGTCGGCCGCGCCAAGGAGATGATCATTCGCGGCGGCGAGAATATTGCGACGGTGCAGGTGCGTGCCGATCGGAGGGTGCTTCCTGCGGTGCCCACTCACACGCTGCGCAGGTTGAGGATGCGGTCTACAACCACAAGGCGATCGCCGACTGCGCCGCAGTGCCGCTGCCGGAGCGCACGCTCGGCGAGCGCGTTGCCGTCGTGTGCGTCGTGCGGCCCGGCGAGGAGATGCCGAGTGAGGAGGACGTCCTGGCGGCAGCATCCAAGTCGCTCGCGCCCTTCCAGAGGCCCGAGGTGAGGCTGCAGCGAGCTTTGACGCCGCCAGCTTGCGCTGACCAGCCTGCTCTGCGCAGTACCTCTGGATCCGCACGGAGCCTCTGGAACGGAATGGTGCGTGTGCTTTGCGCATGATGCATGAACCGAGCAGAGCACTGACGCCCAATCGGCACAGCCAATGGCAAAGGTGCGCTCATCAGTTCTTCCGACATGCCGCATCGCCTGGCCGTCAGACTGACGCCCTACCCGCAGTGGACCGCAAGGTGGTGGCCAAGGCAACGGCCGAGCGGGCAGCCAAGCAGGGCTGGGTGCCCAAGGAGAAGACAAAGGCCAAGCTCTAAGGAGCGCCATCTACCCCAGACTATCGCGATCCTGCTGCTGCTACGCCGCTGCTGTGCACTTGCTGCCTCTGCTCTATCACTTGTGCTTCCCTCATGCGCAGCCTTGCGATCCCGTCGGTGGAGCAATCAATCGATCATTCACTCTCTTGTGCCTCTGTCCCTTCTGCCCCGTCTGCCTCGTCCTCCTCGCTCCGCTCTTTCCGCCACTGCTCCACCCACGCCACGATGCGCGCCACGTTGGCGTCGACGTCGTCGCTCGACTCGCTCTTGAGCTGCACGATGCACCGCTCGTCGTACGCGCCGTACGCCTCGCTCAGCGAGACCTGCATGATCTCGGCCGTGTTGTTCTCTTGGATCTTGGCTAGTGAGTAGCCGCTGAGAACGCAGGAGGTCAGCAGGGACCCTTTTCGCGTGAGCGGCAGGGCTGGGCATCGGGTGGACAGGCAGTCCGTCGTAGCAGCACCAGAGCTCGCACGTAAGACCACGCCTCGCCTAGCTCGCGCATGGCAGAACGACATGCTCATGCCAAGCCCAAGCCATGGGCTCATTGCCTTACGCGACCGACAAGCATTGGCGGCCCGCAACTCTGGCGGGCCTCATGACCACGGCGATCCTTTCGAGGCTCCAGCTGTGCCGCCAAGCGGACCACGAAGTCCGAAAGCAAGAGCCTGTACAAGTCCAGCTACTGATTCCCGGCACCCTCAAAGGCATCTGGACATCGGTTGCTGCCACCGAGGCAACAGGCCTCCCTCTCGAGCGCGGCGGGCCGTCGGATGGGACGAATCGTGGTGACGCAGACCAATTTGCCGCTCGGCCCGGCTGGCGGCGCTCCAAGTGCCCTCGAGCATCTGGCCATCTCGCTCTTCGCCTACACTGCGCTGCCACTTGTCCCGCGCACCACGCTGCGCCGCCTGCGCCACCACGGCGCCACGCTCGACTCACCGCTTCTCGAGGCGCGTCCAGAGCAGCTCGTGGTCGCACGTGAGGACGACGACGAGGTCGACCCAGCGCTCGGGGTAGATCTCGCTGCAGTGCCAGTCGAGCACGACGCCGCCGGGCCGCACCTCCTCCTCGAGCGCATCGAGCAGCGCCTCCTCGTCGAGCTCCCAGCTGGCCCATGCCTCGTCGTACGCCTTGGTGAGCGCCTTGCTGCGCGCATAGGCGCCGACGTCGAGGGCGCGCAGCGCGGGCAGCGCGGCGGCGAGGGCGTCGGCGTGCGTCGACTTGCCGGTGCCGGGCGTGCCGGTGAGGACGATGTTGGGCTGGGCGCGCATGGTGGAGGTGGGGAGGAGAGCTGGGATGCTGCTGCAGGCGCACATTTTTGGCCGGCGTCGCGCCGAGTGGGGCCGCGGCAGCACACTGCGCACGTGATGCGAGCCTCACTGGCTGGCAGTCGCGCCCTGCTCAGGCGGCGGCAGCGCAGGCAGCTCGCAGGCCGCCGGCGTGCGTGGCGTGTGCGCATCTCGAGGCGTGAGCGGCGCGCTTCTTCCTCGGCGCGCGCTCGCAGCGCAGCGAGACGACGACGAGCAACGCACACGGCCTCCGCATCCCTTTCCCCTCCTCACCCACCACCCACCACCCACCTTCCTTCGCCTCACCGCCGCACGCTTGCTGCCGCGCCGCTCTCTCACGCACACACCCCTTCGCTCCGTCCCGCCTGCTCCGCCCGCGGCCCGTCGCGCTTTCTTCGTCCTTCCTTCGTCTGCCGTGTGAGTGCGGCGTGGAGTGACGGGCGGCATGGGCTCGGCAGGCGCTGCCTCGCCCGTGCAGCTGCGTCGCACGGCCGCACAGCGACGCTCCCTGCCGCTGCTCGGCCGCACTGACGCCCGGGCGCCCCGCAGCATGTCGTCCGCCTCGGCCGCCGCGCCGGCCGCTGCCGCCTCGAGCTCGGCCTCGCAGACGCCCGCCGCCGCCGCCGCCGCCGCCGCTCCCGCCGCTGCCTCGGGCACCAAGCCCGCCGTGCAGCCCAGCGAGGTCGGCTGGCTCTTTGTGCCGCAGTACTACACCTTCCTCAACCAGAACCCGGGCCGCCTGCACTGCTTCTACACCAAGAAGAGCACCCTCGTCCACGGCACCGAGCTCGAGGACACGCAGCCGTGCTTTGGCCAGCAGGTGCGTGCAGCGGGCGCATGGGCAGCGGACAGGGCAGGAGAAGAGAGAGACGACGTCACAGGCTGGGAGGCGCGACGCTGCTGCCTCGTGCAGCGGCAGCGTCGGGGCGCAGCAGCGAGGCCTGTGCGGCCGACGACGCCAGGCGCACTGTCCGAGTGACGGGCGCATGGCGCAAGCAGCGTCTGTGCAGACGTCGGAAGATGCTTGGACAGGTGGCGCGCCAGAGCCGGTGTGGCTGGGCCACAGTGCCTGAGAGGGACGGCGCCGTCGGGCTCGAACCTTCTCGAGACGCTGCCCGGGTCAATGCTGCGCGACTGGCGGTCAGACTTGGACCATTGGTGCCAGCAGAAAGAAGGTCTGGCCTCCTCTTCTGCCGGTCTCCCAGGTCCGGTCGGCGAAAGTAACGCTGCAATTCAGCAATCAGCCTGCTGACACACTGCACGCCATTAGGAGATCCACAACAAGATCCTCTCGCTCGGCTTCTCGGACTGCAAGGTCTTCGTCTCCAATGTCGACTCGCAGTCGTCGGCTGCGGGCGGCATCCTGATCCAGGTGCTCGGCGAGATGAGCAACGCGTCGGGCCCGTGGCGCAAGTTCGCCCAGACCTTCTTCCTTGCCGAGCAGCCCAACGGCTACTTCGTCCTCAACGACATCTTCCGCTTCCTCAAGGAGGACGATGCTGATGTTGAGGCCGATGGCGAGGCTGAGGCCGAGGTGGCCGCGCAGCCCGCTGTCGATGCCACGCCGGAGCAGGACTCGCAGGCCAGCAAGGCTGCCGAGCCCAAGGCTGCCGAGGCTGCGCCTGCTGCCGCCGCCGAGCCGGCCGCGCCTGCACCGACCACCGTGCCCGCTGCTGAGAAGCCGGCTGCCGCTGCGCCGGCGCCGGCGGCCGCTGCACCCACCACCAACGGCACGTCGAAGCCCGAGGCTGTCGTGGCCGAGGACGCGAAGCCGGAGGCTGGTGTGGACGCCAAGGTCGCCACGGTGTCCGCTGCCGCCGTCGCGCCTGCCGCGCCCGCGGGTCAGGCTGCTGCCGACGAGGCCGCCGCTGCTCCTGCCCAGCCGGAGGCCAAGACGGAGGCTACTCCCGCCGCTGCTTCCGCCAGCAAGACGGACGCTCCCGCCCCCGCTGCCGAGAGCGAGCCGGCGCGCCTTGCTGCGCCTGCCGCTCCGGCTGCGCCCAAGACGTGGGCCTCGCTCGCCGCCTCCAACTCCAAGGGCTGGGGCGCCACCGCCAGCGAGTCGCGCGGCGTCTCTGCTGCTCGCACGCCGGCCGCCGCACCCGCTGCGCCGCGCCAGGCCCCTGCTGCCCAGACAAACGGCGCGCCCTCGGCCCCCGCCGCCGCTGCTCGCCCGCAGGCCAACGGCACGGGCCAGGCGTCGCAGGCGTACCAGAACGCCTCGACGCAGAACCACGGCGGCGTCTTCATCAAGAACGTGCTCGTCGCCGAGATGCCCGAGGAGGGCCTGCAGGCCGTGCTTGAGCGCCTCTTCGGCCCCATGAAGGAGTGCCAGGTGATCCCGTCCAAGGCGTGCGCCTTTGGCGAGTTTGCCAGCGTCGAGAGCGCGCGCAAGGCCATCATCATGAGCCTGCGGCCGCAGGACGGCGGCAGCGGCGGCGTGCCCGTCAACGACAAGGGCTTCACCGTCACCGTCGAGGAGAAGCGGAAGATGGGCGAGCGGCCCACGCCCAGCGGCCGCGGCGGCATGCGCGGCGGCGCCGGCGGCGAGCGCGGTGGCTTCCGTGGCGGCCGTGGTGGCCGCGGTGCGCCGGCCGGCCGGGGTCGTGGCGCTGCACCGACGCAGAAGTGAGTGCGCTCTCTCGCAGCGGCGACGGGCACTGCTGACCCAGGTTGCCCTCACTCACAGCGCATGAGTCTGCCGTCTCCACCTCGCCACCACTTCCAGCATCGCAGCCCATCCCCTCACGACCTCCACCCGATGGCAGCGCACCCAGCGCCTCGCCGCCACCCCTCACCATCCTTTGACGCGCCTCCGTCCCGGTCACCAGTCCGCTTCCGCCCACTGATCCCAGCATGGACCAAGCACGCTTCGGTCTCATCCTCTCTCCCTCTCTCGCCTCATCACTCAAAATCACCACCAGTCTCGGCTCCTCCATGGTCTCGTCCATCCCTCCTCTCCCTCCTCCCCGTTCCCGTCGCCCACACCATCCATGCAAGACCGCCAAGCTCCCCACGCCACCCTGTCTCGTCTCTCTCATCTTGACCACCCACACGCCCCCACATCTCTCCCATCATTCGCTTCCACTCGAGCGGCCGCGCGACGCGCAGCAATGACACGTCGTGCTGCCACAGACCTGCGCCGCCGACAGTGTCGATGTATGGATTGGTGACATGCCTCGGCGCCTCGGCACGACGGCCTACAACAGGTCGCCGACGTCGCCCAGGAACTTGGCGTACTCGTCGTCCTTTGGCCTCTGCGCGCCGCGCGCATCTGCTGGCCCGTCGCCGACAGCCATGCGCAGACGCTCGCTGAGGCCGACCTTGTCCGCCCGATGAGCCTCGTCTTCGGCATCAGGCTCGCCCGGCGCGGCATCGACGCCCTTGCGCAGTCCACCCAGCGCCGCGCGCGCCTTGGTCGTCGCGAGCTTCTTGCGCAGCGCCGGCGGCACAAAGGCGGCCGCCTCGGCGCGCAGGTCGCGCAGCTGCGGCGCGGCCACGAGCGTGGCGCTGCTGCTGGCGGCGGCAGCCGCAGACGCCGTCGGGGCAGCAGAAGTGGACGCAGATGCGGACGCCTCGCCGTTGGCAGGCATGCGGCCCCACTGCGCCTGCCCCTCGGCAATTGGCGGCGCAGCGCCGCCGCGTCCGCTGCGGCCGTAGAAGCCGCGAGGTGCCTGTCCAGGCTGCTGCTGAGGAGCATGTGGCCGGCGCGGCGCGGCGAAGCCAGGCGGTGGACCAAAGCCGGGCGGCGGACCGAAGCCTGGCGGCGGGCCATAGTCTGGAGCAGCGAAGCCAGGCGGGGGGCCGAAGCCTGGCGGTGGTCCGAAGCCTGGTGGTGGCCCAAAGCCAGGCGGCGGCCCAGGCGGCATGGCGAAGCGAGCGCCCGGCAGCGGCGGCGGCCCTGGAGGCAGCGGGGCGGCAGCAGGCAGCGGCGGCGGGCCTGGCGGCAGCGGCGGCGGCGGAGGCGGCGCGTCCGGCAGGTGGATGTCGTCGAACTCCGAATCCTCGTCTGAGTCCGACTCGGGAGCTGACGGCTCAGCAGCAGCACCGTCCGCGCCCGCCTCTGGTGGCGGCCCAGGTGGCAGGACGATGGCGTCGTCGTCGTCATCCTCGTCGTCCTCGCCGCTGTCCTCCTCGGACGCATCCTCAAGCTCGACGTCGGCGTCCGCATCGCCCGAAAAGGATTCGGGCCACGCGGGCGGCGCCGCAGCGCCGGGCCATTCTGATGGCGCTGTGGAGATGTGTCAGCCATGATGCGGGCATGCACAGCATGGCTCTTGCGCTGCAGCTGAAACCACCCGCGCACAGCACGCGCTCGCTGGCAGCCCGCACTCGCCCCTGGCCCCCTGGCCCACAGCTGCACTCACGCTTCTCGCGGTACGGCATGCCCGGCGGCGGCGCGCCGCTGGGGTTGAAGACGGCGTCGTAGTAGATGCTGCGCTCCGGCACGCGCCCGCTGCCCGGCGCACCGTGCGGGGCCTGCGCTGCGCCGCTGCTGCTGCCGGCCTGCGCCTGTGCGTCGTGCTCCTTTCTGTCCTCGCTGCGCTCGGGAAAGACGAGCTTGCGGCTGGCGGGGTGCAGCTTGACGAAGTCCTCCTTGAGCTTGAGCACGCGTGTGCGCTCGCGCTCCAGGCGCGCCGTCTCGGCGGCGTCGCCGGCGCGCCGCGCGGCCCGCAGCTGCGCCTCGAGCGGCGCCATGTCGCGGCGCACGGCGGCCTCGTCGCGCACCTTGTCGCGCGCGGCCTTGTTGCGCGCCAGCTCGCGCGCACGCGCCGCCTTGCGTGCCGCCTGCAGCGGGTCCGAGCTCTTCTTGCCCATGCGTGGCGGTGCGGGTGTGGAGAGGAAGAGAGCGGCGAGGCGAGGCGCGCCGCACGCTCGCCCCACGCTCGCTCCACATGCGCGCGCCGCGCACGTGATCAGCCCCCTGGCGCCGCTTGCTGGCCCCGCCTCGCCTGGCGGTGCTGCGTCCTCACCACCTCACACGCATCGCGCAGCATCATCTCAGTCTCACACAGCGTGCCAGTCTGTTGATTGCATCACGGCCACATCGCGAGCATCATTCGCGCGCTAAGCCGTGCGTGTCTGGCCGCTGGAGATGGCGCATCAGCAACGGCGTCGCACTCTCGGCACCGGCACGCTCACCTGGCGTGCAGCGCCTCGGCGTGGCGCTTGAGCTCCTCGTTGGCCCTCTCGAAGTTGGCGCGCGTCTTGGCCATGTTGGCGCTCCACCACTGCGCGCCGCTCGCCCGGCACAGCCACGGCGCCGGGCCGCTGAACGCCTCGCTGTGCAGCAGCCGTGTGCCCTCGGCGTGCGCCTGCACCTCGAGGCGGTGCCGGCCCGTAAAGAGGCCCAGCGGCAGCGCGCCGATCCACTCAAATACACGGCCCGGCGTGATCTCGGTGATGCGCGGCGAGAACTCGAATGGCTTCTTGTCGGCGCCGGCGGGCTTGAGCGCCAGGTGCAGCGCATCGCCCACGGCCAGCGCGCCGTCAGGGCCGCTGGGCGACGCAGAGGCCTTGACGAACATGCTGATCCAGCGCGGGTAGCCGGGAATGTCGAGCAGGATCGAGTAGACGAGCGACGGCGGCGCAGCGATGACGATCGACGTCATAACGTCCGGCTCGGCGACGACGGCAGAGGATGGTGAGGCGGACATGCTGCAGCGGGCCCTTGATGCGAGGTGAGGGACGGTGCGGCGCAGAGATGCTTGGGCGAGCTTGTGTGGGCTTGTGCGAGCTTGTGCGATGAGCATGCTTGGAGGTGCCGAGCAGCAGCTGTGCGCTCCTTATGTAGCCTGTGCCCGCCTCCGCAGTCCTCTCGCTCTCGCTGTCATATGTTGTGCTTACGCCGGTCTGCTGCGGAATGCGCAGCTGCTGAGCAGAAGCGCTCCGGCCGAGAGGGCGGCAGAGGCACGTTTGGCGCTGTGGCCGTGCGCAGCGTGCCCCATATGAGTGCCCTGGGTGAGCTCAGCCGAATTGCTCAGGGGTCAGGGCACAGGGGCGGTGGATGCGTCAGCAGCAGATGCAGGAGCGATAGGCCTGCCGCTGCCGGCTGCGGCTGTGCGTGGATGTGAATGTGATGCGAGGTCAGAGTTGCCGCATCGAGAGAGCCATGGCGACGCCACATCCCCTCCCTCAGGGCCTTGCCGCTCGGCACTCTGGCTGCGCACCACGCACGCTCCGCAGCAGGCAGACCTTCGCCCGGCTGCTAGATGCTGCGCTGCTGAGCAAGTGAGGCGAGTCGTGTTGCAGAGTATGACGAGGACATGAGCCGGAGCGGCAGCAGGACGAGGGCAGGCGGACAAGGCGCCCTGAGCCATCGACGCGCGCGGCTCAGGGGGGCGAGGAGGCGTGCGGCGCGGCGCGGCGCGGCGCGGACGCTGGGCCGCGGGCGGCAGTCCGGCTGGCGCAGCGCCCTCGGCCCTGCCTGCCGCAACGTGGCGCCTTCGCTGCCTCCAGCCAGCTTGGTCTCGCAAGAAGAGCGCACAGCGAGCAGCATGGCGTGTGCACAGCTCGGCCCCGCCTGTGCCATGCGCTGTGGCAGCGGCGGCGAGGGCCCGTTGCGCGGCGATAAGGCGCCGTCGCGCGCCGGCGGTTGGGCCGGCGTCGCGCCGCGTGAGCTGCAGCTCGGCACGGCGCTACCTGGTACGGCGTCAGCCGAGCACAGGCCAGCCGGCATGCCCGCCGCCGTCTCTCGCTGCTTCCCTTCCTCCATCTCCACCACTGCGCTCCCCTCGAGTGCATGCTCCGCCGGCTCGCACTGCGTCCGCTCCCTCTGCGCTCTCCGCTGCCTGCGCTCCCTTGCTCCGCCCGCGCCGCACCTCGCCTCGCGCCGCCTCGCGCCTCCACCGCGCCGCGCCTCGCTCCTCTCGCCGCCCGGCGCACCTTCAGCTGCAGCCGTCTCGCAATGGGCGCCGTCGCCACGCCGCGCGTCGACACGACGCAGCGCGTCGAGCAGCTGCGCAGCCTCATGCGCCAGCACAACGTCGATGCCTAGTGAGTGCAAAGCAGGCACCGGCGGCGCGCTGCGAGCGGGCGGAGAGGCGGACAGGGCTGGCAGCGAGCGACATGTTACCACTCTGGGCCGCTCAACGGCGAAGTGCGAAAGGATCGACAGGTGAACAGAGCCCACCATGGAGCGACATGTTCTCACTCTGGGCTGCTCCACGCCTCAGCGTGAAGCTCAGGCATGCTCTACTTCGCTGCTCAGCGGCTCAGTGTAGAGCTCAGTGATGCTCCACTTCACACTTTGCCGTGCCGCGAGCTTGCAGCAAGCTGACCTCTGCCTCTCAGCATCATCCCATCCGAGGATGCGCACTCGTCCGAGTATCCCGCCGAGTGCGTCTTGCCGTCTCCACACCTCCTTCCTCTCGCTCACATGCAACCCGCAGGGCCGATCTGCGGCGCGGCTACATCTCGGGCTTCACCGGCTCGGCCGGCACGGCCGTCGTGACGCAGGCCGAGGCTGCGCTCTTCACCGACGGCCGCTACTTCCTGCAGGCCGAGCAGCAGCTGTGGCAGGGCGTGTGGCGCCTCATGAAGATGGGCGAGTCGGGCGTGCCGACGTGGCAGGGTGAGTGTGCCGAACCGATGCAGTGGTCCGGCAGCCGGTTCAGTGGCAGAGGTGCAGCGATGCGGCAGGCAGGAGAGAGGTGGAGTGAGAAGGGTTGGATGAAGCGCTGCCGTCCGCGCGTTGCAAGGCCGGAGCAGGGCCAGGCTGCGCAGCGTCTAGCTCGACGGCGTGCGACGCTCTCGTTTTCGCAATGGACCGCTACTCATGCTGACGGCTCCCGCAGAGTACCTGAGCAAGAACGTGCCGTCCGGCTCCAAGATCGGCATGGACCCCACGCTCATCGCGGCCGACGACTGCGTGACGCTCTCCAGCTCGCTCGCAGCCGTCTCGTCCAGCCTCGTCTCCATCCCGCAGAACCTCGTCGATGAGCTCTGGACAGAAGGGCGCCCGGCGCAGCCGAGTGCGCCCATCTTCGCGCTGCCCGTCTCCTACGCCGGCTCGGCGCCGTCGGAGAAGGTGAGCGCCGTGCGTGCCGAGCTGGCGCGCAAGGGTGCGTGGGCCAAGGGCTACGTGGCCAGCATGCTCGACGAGGTCGCCTGGCTCTTCAACCTGCGCGGCTCCGACGTGCCGTACAACCCCGTCTTCTTTGCCTTTGCCCTCGTGCTCAAGGACGAGACGCGCATCTACGTGCACGAGAAGAACCTCGAGGACGAGGCGCGCGCACAGCTGCAGAAGGACGCAACGGTGCGGCCGTATGAGGCCTTCTACGACGACCTGAAGGAGGTGGGCGGCAAGCTGGCTGAGGGCGAGAAGGTGCGTCTCCCGTCTGTGCCAGGCCGCCAGCAGCTGCTCACATGCGCGCGTAGATCGTCGTGGGCAAGCGGGCGTCGCAGGCGGTGCTTGATGCGCTTGGCGGCGCGTCGCGCACACGCATCGACCGCAGCATCATCGTGGACCTCAAGAGCGTCAAGAACGCGACGGAGCTCGAGGGCTTCCGCGCTGCGCACGTGCGTGATGGCGCCGCGCTGGCGTCGTACTTTGCATGGCTCGAGGAGGCGCTGGCGCGCGGCGAGAAGGTCAACGAGGCGCGCGGCGCCGACGAGCTCGAGGCGTGCCGCCGGAAGCTGGAGCACTTCCGCGGCCTGAGCTTCACGACGATCTCCAGCACCGGTCCCAACGGCGCCATCATCCACTACTCGCCCGACCCGCAGAGCTGCCCGGACATCGATCCGAAGCAGATGTACCTGTGGTGCGTGCGTTGTGGCAGTGTGCCTTACCTTCTGCTCACACGCCCGGATGCAGCGACTCGGGCGGCCAGTTCACCGATGGCACGACGGACGTGACGCGCACGTGGCACTTCGGCCAGCCGTCGTCGGAGGAGGTGCGGGCCTTCACGCGTGTGCTGCAGGGCCACATTGCCATCGACCGCGCCGTGTTCCCGCGCGGCACGACGGGCTACCTGCTCGACCCGCTCGCCCGGCGGCCGCTGTGGGAGGACGGCCTGGACTTCCGGCACGGCGTCGGCCATGGTGTTGGCCACTTCCTGAATGTCCATGAGGGCCCGCACGGCATCGGCACCCGCGTCGTGTTCAACGAGACGGCGCTCAAGGAGGGCATGGTCGTGTCGAACGAGCCGGGCTTCTACAAGGTGGGTCGGGCGGCCGACGTGTCGCGATGCCGTTGCTGACAGCTGCTGCAGGACGGCGCCTGGGGCATCCGCATTGAGAACCTGGTCATCGTCCGCAAGGCGCAGACGCCGAACAACTTCGGTGACAAGGTGCGCCGCCCGCCTCCACACGCTGCTCCCTCGTCTGACTCTTTCGCTCCAGGGCTTCCTTTGCTTCGAGCACCTCACCCTCTGCCCAATCCAGCGCAGCCTCATCGACGCCTCGCTGCTGACCGAGGCAGAGCGCACGTGGCTCAACGAGTACCACGAGGACACGCTGCAGAAGGTCGGCCCGCTGCTCGAGAAGGCCGGCGACGAGCGCGGCCTGGCATGGCTCAAGCGGCACTGCGAGGAGCGCGTGTAGACTTGCTCGCTCGTGGAAACGCGCCCAATGCCCATGCTCTGCCGATGCACTCAAGTCGAAGCGCTGCATTAGAGGGGCGGACGCGATAGCGTAGGAGACGAGCGGGTGAGACGGAGCAGGTACATGAGGCGGGGGACGCTAGGCACAGCGCGCGAGAGGGAGCAAAGTGTACAGGTTGCGAGAGAGCGCAGGGAGGTGGAGCAGACGGAGCACTGGCACAGAAACGCGACGGTGACGGGAGGAGGCACGGGCCTCGAGACGGTGACGAGCTCAGGGCGAAGAAGCGAGCACGAAGTCGCGGTAGCCACGCGCGCTCGACGTCGTGGTCTCGAGCTGCTCAAACGTCGCGGGACCGCCGTCGGGCGCCGTCGAGCCGTGGCCGTGCGAGCCGTGGCTCTGCTCGTGGTGGCCGGCATGCGAGGTGGAGCTCTGGATCGGGCGAGCGGACATCGTGGCGCCGGCGGAGAGCGACTCAGGGCCGTATTGAGGCGCAGCGTGGTGGTAGGGCTGCTGCGCGACCGACGACGAGGAGTAGCTGCGGTGCGGCTGGGCAGAGTAGATGTGCGCCAGGTTGCTGGTGCTCGAGCTCGTCGACGTCTGGCTCGGCACTTGCGCCGACGTCGAGTACTGGTAGTTGGTCGCCGTGTGCGTCTGCTGGGGAACGTGCTCCTGCACCTGCTGCTGCAGCTGTGTCTGCTGCTGTTGCTGCGTGTGCTGCTGCGGTTGCGTCTGCTGAGCGTGCGGCTGCTGAGCGTGCGGCTGCTGGAAGTAATAGCCATTGCTGTCCAGCCGCTCGTAGCCGGTGCTGGTGGCGTAGTAGGCATGCTGCTGCCCGCTCGTCGACGATGGCGCCTGCCAGCTGTGGCGCTGCTGCATCAGCAGAGGGCGTGTCGACGTAGGCGCGGCCATCGGCTGTTGCTGGCGCTGCTGCTGGTAGTGCGCCTGCTGAAGCGAGCTCTCCTGGTGCTGGCGTTGCGAGTGCTGCTGCGAGGCGGCGGCGAAAACTGCGTCGTGCACGAAGCCGCCCGAGGACTGCTGCATCGGCGAGTACATGGGAGCCTCGTTGGAGGCCACGGACGAGAAGCTGTTCGCGTGCGTGTGCGTCTGCGTGTGCTCCTTGGCGCTGCTGCTCGACGAAGCGAAGCCCTCCAGGCCGGTGAAGTATCCGCCGTGCGCCGTGTGCGGCATTGGCGCGATATCGCGTGCCTCGAGGAACGACGATGCATCAATGCCGGCCGAGCGCGGCGGCGGCCGGGCAGTGCGCGTCGACGCCGTCTGCAGGCCGAGCGCCGCCTTCTTGCCACGGCCGCGCGCGGCGATCGATGACATCGTCTTGTTGGGACTCTTGTGCATCGCTGCGTCGGGCGTGGCGCCGTCGGAGACCTGCGTCGGCGGCGTCGAGACTCGCGCGTCGGCGGCGAGCTTGGCGCCCGTCGAGTCGGCAAGCAGCTGGTCGTGAGGCTTGGTCTCCTTGACGCCACGCGCACGGTCGATCTGCGCATAGACGCACGTGTGCCCGCCCTTCTTGCAGCGCTCGCACTGCAGGCCGCCGGAGCAGCGGGCCTTGCGGCGACGGCAAAGCTCGCACGCCTGCGACGCACGCTCGACGGGCGGGTAGAGCTGCACGATGCGGCCGTCGTGCAGGCGGCCGAGGTGGCCGTACGGCGTGCCGTAGGCGCCCATGATGCCGAGCGGCTCGAGGTGCTGCGCGTCCTCGGGAGCGTCGGGGTCGCCGTGCTCGTCGAGCGCCATCGACGAGCCGAGGAGCTGCGCGTCGGTCATGTTGAAGGTGGCCGGCGACGAGAGCGACGACGCAGACGAGTTGCGCTGCGGCGGCGTCGAGGCCTTGAGGTTGCGCAGCGCCGCGATGGCCTCGGGATTGTGCGTCTGCTGGCTGAACGACGAGAGCAGAGAGCCGCCGGAGAGCAGGTCGTCGTTGCTACCGGCGGTGGGCCGGTAGGCGCTGGAAAACGGCTGCGCCGAGCCCGGGTAGAAGACGCCATGGGCATCGTGGGTGGGCATGTAGCCGTAGTGCCGATCGGCGTCGCCCAGCTGCTGCGACGGCAGCTTGCGGCTCGGCTGGCTGGGCACGAGCGCGAAGGGACCGCCGGCCGAGGATGCCGAGGCGTTGGTCGCGTCGTCGTCAGTGCCCTTCTTTGCGGCAGCCTTGGGCTTGGCCGTCTTGCGTGCCGGCGTGCGGCGCACGCCCTTGGCGCGGTTCGATGCCTCGAGCTCCGCCCGCTTCGACGCAGCCGCGGCCGCCGCAGCCGCAAGGCGAGCGGCACGCACGGGACGGCCGGTCGATGTCAGCGCCGGCTGCTCCGAGTCGTCGGCGTCGTGGGGCTCCTGCGCCTTGTCGTGCCTCGCGTCGTTGTCCGACGCCAGCGCCGTGACAGCAGCTGCAGCGACGGCAAGCGTCGTCGCTGCGGTCGCCACGGCGGCCACGCCCGCGGCGCCCTCCGTCGACGAGCAGGCAGAGACGGCCGTGTCGGCGATGGCGCTGCCAGCGGCGCAGAGGGTGTTGTTCTCCATGGCGGCCCAGAGCAGTGCTCGACTCGGCGGAGAGAGAGAAGCAACGAGGAGCCGACGAGCGGGAGGAACGAGGCCGACGGCGGCGGAGCGGAGCGGCGGCGGCGGGAGTGTGGCGTTGAGTGCTGCGGTGCGCACGCTCGCTCTCCTTTTACGGGCCTTTTCAGAGACGAGAGAAATGCGCCGAGCGCTCGCAGATGGAGGCAAAGCCGGCGAGTTGCGCTGGAGTGTGACGAGGGAGAGGCAGGGAGGAGGGTGGCAATGGAGAGGAGGTGGGAAGGGGATCGTCTTTGAGGACCAGCGTGCAGTCTGAAGGGACGGAGCAGGTGGGGCCTGCCATGCGATCGATGTGCTCGCCTCGGGCAGGCTCGGGTTTGCGCAACTCCAAACACCATCTTCCTCTGCTGGGCGATTGCCTCTCTGCGGCGGCTCGTCGGTGCTCGGCCACCAGGAAGAGACGGAAGAGGCAGGCCGCCTGCGCTCGATGGCGCTGGCCGTGCAGCTCATCGCCGGCGAGGAGAGCCCCCTCGGCAGGGCGATCCGAGATGGCTCAGACGCTGCCGGCCTGCCTTAGTGCTGCTGATCGTGCAGCGCGGCTGCCGTGCACTGTACCCTGCTCGCTGCGCTGATAGCACTTGATGAGGAGCCGCGCGGAGCCGCGCTGATGAGCGAGCCACGCGTGCCGGTGGCCTGCCTCTCCGGCGATGGGCTCTCGGCGAGACGTTCTGGGCGCAGGCCCCTCTGCAGCGCCGGCCAGCAGCAGCAGCCGCGGCACGCAGCGTGGTGCTGCGGCTTCACTCGTTTGAGCTGAGGCACTCTGCCTGAGCGCTGGCCGCGTCCACATGCACGTCATCTCCTCTTCCTTCGCAGGGAGAGTCGCGATCCTTGCAGCAGCAGAGCGAGCGTCGAGGTGCAGACGCTGTCGCTGAGATCTAGACTCCGCGATCGCAAGGAGCCCCGTGCGGCAAAAGACGAGATGAAGGACGGCGGGAGAGCGGTCGAGTGCGCCCAGAGGCACAGACGAGGCGGTGCCAGAGTGAGGGACGCGAGATCTGTGCTCTCATGTCGCAAGGCACTTCCCGGGCCCCTTCAGCGAGCATGGAAGCCTTCGCTTATCATGTCGCTCCGGGCGTGGGGTACACGACGTCTGCGCTCCCGCTCGATGAATTGAGTTCCTGAGGGGCCTGACAGCTCGCTTGAGGAGTCCGTCGCGTGCATCGCCATCCTCGGCGAAGGCTTTCTGATTCCCGCCTAGCGATTCCTCTCTGCCCCTGAGACCACTCACATCCCTGCAAGCCCTCCACGCGCATGCAGCATGGCGATGAGTCCAGACTCCTGGAGCGGTTGAAGAAAGATCCGGCGCCCGCTCTCGCAGTCCGCGAGCATCTGCAGCCCTTGTGCCAGCAGCTCTTCGCTCTGGCTGAGGTGCCTTCGAGGCTCGACGGGACGGATCCTGCGAAGAGGCCCGAGCATGCGCACTCTGGATCAACGCCCGAAGCGAGGCGCCTGCTGGCCTGCGCTGTCCCGCGGTGCGCTGAACATGGGACCGAACGCTGTGTGCAGCCGTGCCGTGCCTCGCGCAAGAGAGTCTGCTGTCGCAGGGCTGCGGTCCTCACAGCAAGATGTCAGCCTCGCTCTTTGTTGACAGGGCGAGGAGGCCACTCACTCTCATGGTCCTCGCGCGTCGTTCGAGAAGCAGGCAGCAGAACAGAGAGGCGAGCGCGGCCACTCGTCTCGCGAAAGGAGAGGAGGCCCAAGCACCGCGCTAGCGAACGAGCCCACAGCACCAAGACAACAGCTGCAGAGCGCATCTGCCGAGACGCTGCGCCAGACTACACGCTCGTCTCATCACACGACCGTCCAGCTTCCAGCCGTCATGCTTGCACTGAGCAGCCTCTGGAGCAGCAAGTGTATGCGCGAGGCGTCCACGACGGCCCCGCCAGCAGCTGCAGCAGATGCTCTTCGTCTCTTGTTGGTATGAGACGCGATGCCTTCGACAACCTCGCAGCAGCAAGGGCTCTCGATGCGTCTGCTTTGAGTCTGGACGGCGGTCGGCCCCCTTGACGCAAGCGCACAGTGCGTGATGTGCACAGCCGAGGGCCGCGGCGAGGGCGTGCCGCGTCGCCTTCCGCCTCGCAGAGTGGCCGGAAATAGGCACCCGGCTCTCACGCAGTGCAAGGCCGTCACGGCACACGCCGAGCAGAGGGAGCAGCTGATGATTTGTTGGGGCGAGTCGAGGGTGGTGGAGAGGAGGGAAGCGCGAAGGCGCGGCTGAGGGCGCTACTCCGCGGGGCTGGGGCTTGCGCGCGTCACGTGCACGCGCACGGACGAAGTGGAGCCGGGCCAGCCGGGCTGCTCAGGAAGCCGCCTCTTCCCGCATGGCACCCTGCCTCGCAACCACAACCACGCCGCAGCCATGCCATTCACCGTCACCGTCGCCTCGCGCGTGGCGCGCAAGAACAAGGCCACCTCGTCCGCCTATCCCATGGTCATCGAGCTGGCCTCGGGCAGCGCGTCGCTCGCCGAGCTCAAGCGCGCCATCCACAAGCGCCACGTCGGCCTCACGCCCGAGCGCCAGCGCATCACCAGCGACGACAAGAAGCCGCTACTCGACGACGACAAGGCGCTGCAGCAGCAGGGCGTCAAGGACGGCGACACGCTCTACGTCAAGGTGCGTGGCCGCGCGCATCTGCTGCGGCGCGCGGTGTGCTGACGGGTCCGGCGCTCCAGGACCTCGGACCGCAGGTTGCCTGGCGCACCGTCTTCCTCACCGAGGTGAGTGTCGAACGATCTGAAGCGCTTCCACTGCTGCTCACATGGTGCACATCAGTACGCTGGCCCGCTCGTGATCAACCCCCTGATGTTCTGGCTCGCACCGCGCATCTGGGGCCAGTTTGAGCACTCGCGCATGCAGAAGTGAGTCCGGCGCGGCTTGGACCTCGATCTTGCCACGGCTGATGCCTGCATCAGGCTCGCACTCGCACTCGTCGTGCTGCACTACCTCAAGCGCGAGGTCGAGACTGTCTTCGTCCACCGCTTCTCGAACGGCACGATGCCCCTCTTCAACATCTTCAAGAACTCGACGCACTACTGGTACGTCTCCTTGACGTTACGCCGCCGAGACTGCTGCTGATGTGTCCTCCCAGGATCCTGTCTGGCGTTCTGCTTTCCGGCGCCATCAACATCCCGTCTCTCTCGGCCTCCGCACTCAAGGGCACGGTGCAGGACTCGGACGCCTTCCTGATCGGCTGCACGGCCGTCTGGGCGCTCGCTGAGGCCGGCAACGCCTGGGCCCACATCAAGCTGCGCAACCTGCGGCCGCCGGGCACGCGCGAGCGCAACATCCCGCGCGGCGGCCTCTTCGACTTCGTCTCGTGTGCCAATTACTTCTACGAGTTCCTCGCGTGGACCGCATACACGGCGCTCACGCTCAGCCCCGCATCGGCGCTGTTTGCTGCTGTCTCTACGGGCCAGATGGGTGCGTGTCGGTTGACTGACGGACGTCGCTGTGTGCTGACGCCGGTCTCCTCAGCCATCTGGGCACTGGGCAAGCACAAGGTGCGTCGCGGGACTTGAACTGCGTCTGGCCACAGCTGATGCCTTCTCTTCCTCGCTGCAGAAGTACCGCAAGGAGTTCAAGGACTACCCGCGCGGCCGCAAGGCCAGTGAGTCGCCTGTCTCCGCTCCTGATGCTCTCCTTGCGCCAGCTGACCGTGCCTCTCAGTGTTCCCCTTCATCTTCTGAGCCAGCGCAACAAAAGTGCAGGCCGTCCCAGCGCACAGGCTCGCCTGCAGTGCGAGACCGCGCCAGGGACGCTGTCGCTTGGCAATGTGAGAGATGCACATCCAGAGCGTGAGATGATTGTATGCCCAGAGAAGCGATATGGTACAGCAGAAGATGCGGGTCGGGAAGGGGTGTGCGAGAGCGGTCTACGGGCTTGCGTGATCACGCGGCCACTTCGAACTCGTTCGAGGTGCCCTCAAACTCTGCAGGCGCATGTCAGCGGTGGTCAAGGATCGCCTCGCTTAGACGCTCACCATAGATGCGTCCAGTGACGGGCTGCTTGTGGTTGCCGCGGTACACGATGCGGTACGTGCCCGGCGGCGTGTCCGGCTCGATGAGCCAGGCAATGTCGGTCTGGCTCGAGCCGACCGTCTTGCTCGTCAGCGTCCAGCGCAGCAGCGTGCTGGCATGGCCGTCGGTGCGCACGACGCGCCAGCTGCCGTCGTCCTCGCGCACCTGCACCTCGAGATACGTGCCCTCGAGGCGCAGGTCGTTGCGCGGGTTCGCGCCGATGAACGCAACCGTTACGTTGGCGCCGGCGGGCGACTCCGAGAGCGAGTAGCGAGGCTCGGGCTGGGTGATGACGTCGCCGAAGTTCTTGCGCAGTCCGCCGGGCTGAAGGGAAGACGTCAGAGCCGATGTGGCACACCTTCTCGCTCCACTCACGCTGTCGTACACCACCTTCGTCTCGCCGAGATGGAAGGCCTTGTCGACGTTCGAGGGCGCAAGGCGGCCCGGCGGGATGAGCTGTGCTGCGTCGTCGGTGCGCAGGGCAGGCAGCAGGATGTTCGTGTAGATGTAAATGTACGCCTGCGGGAGCGGAACGTCAGGACAAGGCAGCAGGTACGAGCCGGCGGCGACGTACGTCGAGCGTGTGCGGGCCAAAGACGGTGCTTCCGCCCTCGTACCGCTGTGCCGAGTACTCCTCGATGGTGGTGATGTCTGCAACGGGTCAGCTTGCGGCATGAGCAGGAGCAACGCGGCACTCACAGTGCGAGTACGTGTTCGCAGGCCCGCTCAGCACGACGATTGGCGCCTGGCCCTTCGGCAGCAGTCCGAGCTCGGCAATCTTCTTCGCCGCGCGCTCCTTGATGCGCCGGCCGGCCATCGTCGTGAACTCGCCGGGCACGACGAGCAGGAACAGGTTGCCTGCGCGCAGGATCTGCGTCTCGACGATGCCGTCGGGGCCGCCTGGCCCCCAGTCGTAGGGGTAGTGCTGCTCGCCGATCGAGAGCAGGACACGCTTCGGCGACTGGCAGTCGATCTGATGGGCCGACGGCGCCTTGATGGCCGTGCGCACGACGTCCCAGAACGGGTTGTGCGAGTCGGTGTCGTTCGTGCCCTGGCTGAAGTCAAAGGCGCCCGGGCCGTCGGTGGTGCCGCCAGCAAAGCCGTAGCCGAGCGCGGCTGGGCACGTCGTGACGACCGTGCCGTTGTCGAGCGCGAACTGGAAGCCCGCGCCCATCGCCACGTTCCACTTGACGCTGCGCACCTCGCCCTCGATGGGGATGAGGTCGCCGTCCGCACGGCCGAGGATGTCCAGTGCCGCGTCGGCCTGGTACTTGGCCGTCACTTCGTTGCCGCTCCAGTCCCAGCCGCCCGTGGGACTCTGCGCCAGCAGCTCGTCTTTGCCCCACGTCGGGCCGCGGCCGTGGCACGTCTGCACACGCTCCTTGCCCTTCGGATTGGCGCATGTGCTGTGCTGAAAGTCGCACGTCTCGCCCGAGTCGCACCACGCTCCGCCGGTGTTGGGCGTCGTGTCGCCGACGGACCCCTGAGCCATGCCTGCGATGAAGGCTGCAAGGGGCTGCGTCAGTCCGGAAAGCATCAGCCGCGGGATGGCAAGTCTCACAGGTCTTGCCGGGCAGCGACTCGGGCTCGACGGCCTGCTCGACCATGATAGCCGCCAGGCCCTTGTTGTCGCCGCTCGTGAGTGTGTTGTTCTCGTACAGGCTCGTCTGCGGCGATGTCAGCTGATGCACACAAGGCAGTGCGAGAGGCCACTCACTCCGTGCACGGCATACCAGCTCAGCAGGCCCTTCTTCTGGTCGCCGTCCTGGAAGCGCACGGCGGCAAATTCGTCGTCCTGGTCCGAGTCGTAGCGCTCGCGCTCTTCCTCTGGGTTCTGCAGGTACGAGTACTTGCTGCGGTTGATGTGCGCCTCGCGCACCGTTGCGTTGCCGAAGTGCAGGCTAGCCTTCTCGCCAGCTGTGACGCGCGCTGCGCGGCTCTCGAAGTCGCTGTGCGCGCGGAGGATGGAGAGCACCGTGCCCTCGACGATGGCGTCGAAGTTCTGCTGGACGATGCCCTTTGACGACGTCTGCACGACGAGTGCATTGATGAAGCCGCCGGGTCCAGAGTGGCTGCGCGAGGTCAGCATTCGCATGATCGTCGGGCAGCCGGACACGACTCACCTGTGCGTGCCGCTCCAGCCAAAGTTGCGCTCGCCGTACACGTCGGGCAGCTCCTCGCGCAGGCGCTCCACGACTGCGCGGCGGATCGCAGTGTCGCCCATGCACAGGTCCGAGTTGACGAAGACCCAGCGGTCCTGCTGTCCGTCGTTTGGGTCCTTGTCTCCGCCCTTTGGGTGCACTGTGCGGCGCCGCAGAGCCCGCGGAAGCCGCGACTTGAGTGAGAAGGGCGAGGAGGGCGCACCGACGATAAATGCGCGCGAGCGAGAGCGGTATGCCAGGCCGGTGTTCGTTTGCGGCAGCGCAGCATAGCCCATCATGTTCGTCTCGACGATAGGGCCTGTGTGCGAGCGATGAGCTCACAGAGCAGTCGCAGCAGAGGCGGACACAGCGACTCACCGGTGATGTCGGCAATGCCCAGGCCAAACGCAATGCTGCCCGTGCTCGCTGCGCTGGCTTCGGCACACGGCGGGCTCATGGCGCCAGCCATCAGCATGCCGAGCGGCGCCGGCATCCATGCGCGGGCGGCGTCGGGGTCGAGGGCGCAGCACGCCAGCGCAAAGCCGAGCAGCACGAGGAGCGACGCCACGAGCGCCTTGAGCGAGCGCAGCGCCAGGCGGAAGCGGCGCTCCTCGCGCGCATCTGCGGCATCGCCGTCGCAGGCGGTGCTCTGCTGCGGCTTCTCGTCGCCGAGCTCGGCGGCCTCGGGCTTGTCGGCGTAGAGGCCGGGCTCGGATGTGGGCAGCGGCGTGTAGCCGGGCACAATCATGGCGGGTGGAGGTGTGGGGGGCGCGGAGGGCGCGGGGTCGCCGCGGTGGCTAGGCAAGACGGTGCACGCTGCGCATGGGTCCAGCTAGTCGAGCCGGATCTTGGAGGAGGCAGAGATGCAGGTGCGGGAGGAGGTCGTGGTGGAGAGGCCGAGGCAGCGGGACGCCAAGCACCCCGCACCGCACCCTGAAGGCCCGGCGCCGCGCTCGGCCCGCTGCGCCTCGCTGCTGCGCATGCACGAGAGCCACGCCAAGCAAAAGCAAGGCCGGCGCGCCTTCGCGCTTGCTTCCCACACCCGTCATCCCTCAAGCGCTCGAGACACAAGCTCAAGCTCAGGCCTTGACGTGCGCTCAGCGCCGTCCCTGCTCATCCACTCGCTCGCGCTTCGCCAGCTGGTCTGCAGGCGTCTGCACGTGCTCGATGCAGCGGTGATCTGCGCCCCGCCATCAAGCGCCCTTCGCTTCGCCCACGATGGCATCCTCACACAGCGACCTGTCGCCGTCGCCGCCGCCCGTCGCCTCGTCGTCATCAGCGCGGGCTTCTTCTTCGGCAACGGCTGCTGCGCTGCTTCCGCCTCGCCGGCGCACACGGCCGCCTGCGCGCGACAAGCATGCCATCGCCGGCTATCGCGCGCTGCTGCCGCTCGCTGCAGCTAACAAGAATGGGCAGGCAGCAGGCGCAGAGCTCGACTGGGAGGAGGTGCTGCTGCGCGAGCTCGCTGGACCGGCTCCGCTGGCACCACGCATGACGCAGACCACGATCACACGCAAGAAGGCGTGGCCCACCGGCGACGAGCATGCGCAGTGGAGCACCTTCGACGAGGTCGCGGCGAGCAACGAGCGCAGCAAGAAGGAGCGCTTGCTCCATGAGCGGCAAGAGGCGCTGATTGGTCGCCTGATGACGCGCAGCTTCGATGCACATGACGATGAGGCTGGGTCCGATGCCACTTCGTCGTCGTCGTCGTCGTCGTCGTCGTCGTCGTCATCCTCGAGCAGCTCAAGCTCGAGCTCAGCGTCGTCCTCTGCCTCAGCGTCGGCTGCACAGCGCCGTCGCTCGCCCTCGCCGCGAGATCCATCTCCTGGCGTGCTCGCGGCCGCACTGCACTCTCACGTGGCACTGCATCGTCTCAGCGTCGCGCTCGCTCCGCCGCTCGGCAAGCGCCCGCAGCCGCTGACTGAGGAGCGGATGCTGCATGCGCTGCCCATCGCCGGCGCGACGAGCGAGGCAGTCGCCGCTGTACGAGCTGAGGCTGGCGTGCTGGATCCCGATCCGGGCCAGCCGCAGCGGCCAGGCACGACATGGTCAGCGCTGAACATGCGTGCCTTCGTCGAGCCGACTGCCGTGCTTGCGCCGCCGCGTACGCGTGCACAGCAGGACGAGGCGCTGCTCTGCGACCCGTTCTTCGCGCGGGTCAAGCTCGCCAAGATCAAGGGCCGCACTCCGAACATGAGGCGAAAGCTCGGCGACACGGTGCCGCTGCTCGTCGCCTCGACGTCCGCCAAGCTCTTGGATCCGGGCATCGACGTCGACGAGGCCGTGAGACGAAGCAGGAATGCGCGCGACTGGGTGCTCGACAAGTTGGAGGTTCGCAAGAAGCGCAAGGCCAGGTCTCGAGAGTACCGCGCGCAGCGACGCGCTCGCGAGGCTGAAGCGAAGGCGCAAGCGCAAGATGAGGAGGAGGAGGCGCAGCCAACCGCAGCGCGCGAGGGCGATGAGGCATCTGCGTCTTCATCATCGGGCTCTTCCAGCTCATCATCCTCGTCGTCATCTTCGTCGTCCGATGACGAAGCGCCGCATACAAGCAGCCGCGGTGCCGCCTCTGCCGCAGAGATCCGCGTGAAGCGTCCAAGGTCGGACAGCGACGCCAGCGATCAGCCGGGACCGCGACGACGAGCTCGAAGAGGCGGCTCGCCTCCGCAGCCAGGGCCGGCGACCGGCTCAGGGGCTTCTTCCTCCTCGGGAGTCCGGCGCGCAAGTGCTTCAGCCCCTCGCGCTCCTCAACGGCCACAACGTCTGTCCCTGCCTCCCTCAACGCATGCCTCGTCACGATCGGAAAGCGAGGCGAGCGAGTCGCCCGTCCGCGCACGCCCGCCACGCCCTCCTCCGTTCAAGAAGAAGAAGCCGTGCCGTGGCTTCTGAGAACGAGCGCCATTCTTCGGCCCAGGCGCGTCGTTGCGGCACGCTCCCATGTACCTCGCGGCTCATACGAACGAGCCCGAAATGTGCCAGAGGGCGAGCTCAATCGAGTCTGAATCTGGCCTGCGATTGCTGTGACGCCCCTCGGAGGCCGGTGTGCAGCCGGCGGCGCACTGATGAGCGTCTCCTGCGCCCTCATCAGCCGCTATTTCAGGGTCCTGATCGGGCCCCGAACACGTTGCCGGGCTCCCTGCGATAGGAGAGAGGCTTGCTGAATGCGACCAAGCCGCTCGGCTGCTCGCTGACAGCACAGCACATACGCCATACGGCTGCCCCTCTGCCGTTGCGCTGTCACACTCGAGCGGACCGAGGCTGCTCGTTGCTGTCCGCATCGCGGCAAAAGACTTCTTTGACGGAGCAGCGGCCGCGGCGCCTCTGCCGCAGCGGGGCCCGAGCAGCGCCGCTGGAGACGCCGCGTGGACGCAGCGGAGCAGAGATGTTGGAGTGACGACGAGGCGGCCGAGCGAGGGCGGCCGTCGGGCGGGTGATGAGCTCCATCGCTCGCGGCGATCATTCGCCCGCAGCGGCAGCGCGGCGGAGGTGCGTGCGGCGGCGCGCGGCAGGCACGCCAGCGGTGTGCGCATCTGCGCGCTTGGGTGCGCCACACCACGAGCCGCCGGCTCGCGGCACACCCGCCGGCGGCCTGCAGCACGCTAGAACGGCAGAACGCGTCGAGCGGGCGGCGGGCGCTCCGCCAGCGATGCGCTGCGTCGTGCATGCGCCTGCACCCTCCTCGCCCGCAGCACGTCGAGCAGGCGTCAGGCACGCGGCGCCAGCGAGAGTCAGAGTTGGGCGCCCGAGGCGATGAGGCAGGTGCAGCAGACGGCGTGATGCACCTCGCTGCGGCTGACTTGATGTGACGAGGCCAGAGGGCGCGGCGCGGTGCGGGCAGCAGGCCGCGTGTGTATCTGCTGCCGGAGCGCCGACCGTTGCGCGTCGTCCCGAAAGGGCAGCAGCGCGCCGCCGGCTGCCGGCCGCTTTGCCGATGCGGAGAGGGGCCGATGCCGCACCACACACGCACACACACGCAGCGAGCACCTCGCAGACGTCTTCCCGCCGTGCGGAGTGCCCGCCTCCTCTGTCGTCCGCTCCACCAATCCCTCCCAAGCTCGCCTCTCATCCCCACTGCCTGCTCGCACACAAGTCACGCCTCGACACCACACAGCGCCGCTCCCTGGCACCCACATCCCACCACCTCGCACCCGCACCATGCGCTTCGCCCTCTTCTCTCTCGCGGCGCTCTTTGCCGCGGCGTGCGTCTCTGCCGAGGCGGCCACGAGCGGCAGCGCCCTCGCGGCGCGCGACGAGCCCGCCGGCGCCATGCTGCCGCGTGCGCACCACTCCAAGGCCAAGCACCGCAGCGCCAAGAAGGGCGCCAACAAGGCGGCGGCCAAGAAGGGCTCGACGGCACAGCGCCTCACCTACTACTCGGGCCACCAGCTCGACGACCCGGCGTGCGGCGGCCCGCGCCCCGACGACGGAGACATGATCGCGGCCGTCGTCAAGGGCGCCGGCTACGCCAAGTGCGGCGACCACATCACCATCGAGCACAACGGCCGCCAGGTGACGGTTAAGGTCGTCGACTACTGCGCCGGCTGCGCCCACAACTCCTTCGACCTCTCCAAGGGCGCCTTCAAGAAGCTCGCGCCGCTCGACGAGGGCGTCATCGAGGGCGCCAACTTCTGGAAGTCCGGCTAGGCAGCTGCGCTTTGTTGTGAGTCGTGCCGTCTGCTGTGGTCGTAGTCGCATTCGCTGACCCTTCTGCTCCTCCAGCCTTCTCTCGCGCTGCGCGCACCGCTCCGGCCCACATACGTCACCCTCGTCGCTCCTTTGACCTTCCCTCTCTCCTTCTCGTTCCATCCTGCCCCGCCACAGGCACCTTAATCTCACGCTCGCCGCCGCCATGACCTGACCTACCCAGCCCTTGCCCACGCTCCACGCTCCCCCGGACACGTCGCTGCCTCTCCCCCCGGCGCACACTGCGACCACAGTTGGGAACGCCCTACTACTCCCCTTCCACCTCTGCGCCCCCGCCCTTCGCGTGCCGCGGCTGCAATCTTAGGCGCCCTTTCTTTCCCGTCGTGTGTAGTGTCTGCTGCCGGCTTGGTGCGTCATCGACCTGCGGGCACGGACGCATCTGCGTGCACCCGGGGGCCGAGCGGTCCGATCGTGTCGCCAGAGTGACGATGCATCGTCCGCTCGTGCGAGTTCCGCGGCCGTTGAGCGACACGCTTGCCCACAGCGAGCTGAACGGTGCGTCTGCGCTGGTGCGACGACTTTGACCCCTGAGCGCGCACGACACCCACCAACGGCTGCGCGCGACGCCAGCCGCGACAGCACCCAGGCAGCAGCGCCGGACACGCGCGCGCGAGCCCGCTTCAAGTCTGCTCCCGCTCGATCCGCCACGCCTCGTGCGCTTTAGCTGGCTCTTTGATGCTTCGTCGAGCAGCTATATTGACTCCTAAATGGAGCGTAGGATTCTGGCTCGTTGCTGCAGTTGCCGCAGCACTGCACACGTCGATGCTGGCGCACCATGCCGAATTAGTGCAGTGGCCCATGGCATCGGAGGTGTCCGCAAGCAGCTGAGCGCCCCACAATGTGGCCCTCATTCTCTCGGATCAAGACACCGTGCTACGGTCCTCCGTTTCATGGGTCTAGTGTTGCCTGAGTACAATCTAAGGCTCGAGCAGAGGCCCGCAGCGGAGCGACTTCGTCTTAACCGCCTGCTCGCAGCATCCATGCGCCCGATACGAGGGCGACTCAGCGGATCCGCAGATGCGTGACCGCCGAAGCTGAGCTCTTAAACCCCCTGTGCTCCGTGGCGATGACCGTGGTCAGCTGAAGCCACCAAGCCCAGTCTGGCGATGCGTCCGTCGTCTCTGCGCATCGGCCGCAGCATGCGCCGTTCCCGTCGCACGGTGACCGACTTGGTCGGCCGCTCGAGCCGCATGTGCTCCCTCCGACTCAACTGCTCCGCATGAGCTCATCAGATATGCAGGCAGCTTCGGCGGCCCAGTGCAAGTGTGGAGCGCGGTGAGCGAGAGCGCCGGAGATGCGGCTTGAGGCGGCGCTGCGGTACGAAGAGGCCGCCCGCCTCAGCCGCCGCACCCCAGCGAGGGCGAATGAGGGGTCCGCTCCGGCACCGCGGCACGGAGGGCGGAGACGAGGAGGTTACGAGCGGCGCTGCGAGCCGGCTTCTCGGGCGCAGCGGAGCGCATGGGCCCGGCGCTGCAGCCGGCTTGAAGGCCGGTGCCGTCTTGCCGCTGCGACACGTCCGCATCGCCAGCCTCCAGACGCGAGAGGTGCCCACGCTGCGGAGCATTCCGGCCGCAGCATGCCACTCTTTGCTCAAGCTCGCTGCTGCTCCTGCGGCATCAACAAGCAATGTGGGTTGCCGATGTCGTCGCGCTGTCGAATGTCGAGCACGATGTGCGGGGACCCGCGGGCGAGATTGCCGTCTGGCGCGGCCTGGGCCCACGCCCGGCGTCGTGACACGCCGGCTGCGGCGCGTGCGCACCTCGCTGGGGCTGCCGCGCCTCAGCGCCTGCGTGCGGCAGCGATGCCTGGGCGCTGTGAGCGCCGAATTCCGTGCCCCTCTGCACTCCGCTTGTCCTCCGCAGTGCCATGCTCCGGATCCCGCTGCATCCGACGCCACGGCCGCAACGCCGTCGCCGTGACAGCAGGGCGGCATGCTGCACCCCCACGGCGCGCCAGAGACCAGACGAGATGCGCCTCTGCTTGCTCTTCTGCGGGACCGCCCGGCTGTGGGTTACGTTGCAGCGCCGGGCTCCCAGCCGTGCTGCTGACGGAAGCGTCGCGCCTGGGAGCTGGGGTACCGAGGCGCGAGCCATGCGCTGGGCTCTGGCGCTGCCCTGGCTGTGGTGCGGAGTCAGTGTGGCTTGCGTTATTCCGAGGGTGCCTGAGCGCTGAGAACAGCAGGCAGCTGCTGCCGCAGCCCAAGTCCGCGACGAGCCGAGCTCGCAAGCACCCCGACGCCGCGGCAGGGCGCAGGATGGCTGCGGGATACTGCGTCGCAGAGCATGTCAGCCGAACTCTCGCCTCAGCGCGTTGCTGGCGGAGCATGGTGCTGCAGCACAGCACAGGTGCAACGTCGCAGCGTCGCAGCGCAGCCCGTCGCAGGCAGCAGCAGCGTGGCTCGCCGTGCTGCTCCGGCTGATGCTGGCTGCGCCGGGCAGGAGCGGCCTGAGCGTGCGGCTCGCGCTGGACCCGTATGCGTGCTTGCGAGCGCCACGGCGCCGTGCTGGGAGCCTGCGAGCGCGCGTCTGCGTTGGGGCCTCGCTGCCCGCTGCGACGCTGGACCCTGCCGCATCTCGCTCGCGCGCGGGGAGCCAGCCCTCTGACACCCGACGGGCCAGCAAAGCAAGGCGAAGCGAAGCTCCACCGAGCACGAGGCAGCGTGCCGTGCAAGAGCTGGAGGGGAGAACGCGCGCCTCTCCAGCGCAGGACGCAATCGCTGGGGCTGTTCGGCTGCGCTGCGCTGCTGCGGCTGCCAGGCGGCGCAACATCGCAGCCTGAGATGCGGCACCCACCGGTGGCGGGCACGGGAGCAGCGGCCTCTGCGCTGAACCCTCGGGTTGCGTTGCGCCCGAGCGCAAGGCGCAGCAGCAGCAACCGCGCGCCGGCGCGAGATGACGACGGCTGGTGCTGATGCTGCGGCGCTGCGGCACGTCAGCGCTGTGCCGCCTGCGAGGGCGGGTGCGCACGAGGCGCGCCGTGGGCAAGATCCGGACGCGGGAGAAGGAGAGGCGCAGCGCAGCACGGCAGCAGAGGAGCGTCTGGTGCTGGGGCAACGGAGCAGCACGACGAGCGTTTAGCCGTGCCGCCGTGCGAGCACTCGTGGCGAGCTGCCCAAGCACCGAGAGGGGCGATGCGCTGCGAGCCGAGGGCCAGCTGACACACTGCGCTCTGGCCGGCATGCGGCGAGGCAGCAGCCGGCGCGCCGCGGCGCCGCACAGGAGCAGCGCCGCGCACCCAGACGTCATTTGGCGAATGCGGGCAGCAGCGCAGCCGCACCTGGGTGCTGCGATGGGCTCCGTGGGCGGGCGGCCGGCCAGAGCATGCGCCCGGCTGCGCTCCTCTGCTACGCTGCCGCGGTCCGGCACCTCCGCACTGTGCTACACGCCGCCCCTCTGCGCAGCTGCCTCGGGTACGCCTCAGCGCAGGCACCGAGGCTGCGGCGCCACTGCGGCGGCGCCTGCAGCTCTGATGCCGGAGCGAGCCGTGTGTGTCGTCGCCTCGCCGCCTGCGCTGCGCGACGCCCACGCTGTGAGGCTGCCGCCGCCTGCGCCGCCGCCTACGCCGCCGCCGCCGGCGCCCGGCCCAGCACCCAGCAGCCAGCCCCCCCCTCGCGACCGCCGCTCTTGCCTCTCGTCCATCTGCAGCCTGCTGTGTCTCCATCTCCACTGCCGCTCCTTGTCGCCTCGCCCGTGCTCCGTTGCTGCTCCTCTCCCTGCCGTGTGCTGCTTCTCCACGTCTCCACTCCACCTGCCCGCTCGCGCTGCTGCACCGGTAGCGCGCCCCTCGACCGTTGCGCCCGCATCCATCGGCGCGCGTGCATCGACGGCGCCTGTCAGCCAGCCGGCGCTCCACAAGCCTGGCCGTCCGTGGTACGCTCGAGCGGCCCAGTCGCGAGCTCGCCCCGTGCTGCTCGACGACGACGACGACGCCGACCATCTTTGCGCACCCGCTGGCTCCGCGCAGCAGCAGGCACGAGCGCGCGCTGCACACGCCTCTGCGCCGCTGTGCTCCCGGCGCCGCCGCCGCCGCTCGCGCTGCACCGCCCTGCTGACACGGTGAGTGCGACGGACGCCCAGTGACACGAGACCCTCGGGTGCGGCCCGTCCGGCACTGCCTCAGGCGGGCCCCTCGGGTCCCCTGGAGCATGACGGCGCCGTCGCGGCCGTACGCAATTCGCCGTGTTGCCGCGCGCGGCCAAGGCTCGCGGAACGCCGTGGCGCGCGCGCGGCCGAGGTGATTCGCCGACGCGCTGCGCCACCGCTCTCGCTTGCGCGTCCACGCAGGCACCGCTACAGAGATCATGACGAGCCACTGCTCGGATGAACCCACACGGCGCTTCGGCTCAGCAGACAGCTGGGCCCGATGCTGTGCTGCGCTGGCGCGCCACGCCCGCCGACACCAGTCCTCGCACTCCCTGCTCCCGTGCTCACACGCCTTCCTTCAGCCTCAACCACACCATCCCTACCGCTCTGCTCTACCTCTCCAGCCCACCATTGCCGCGAACACCATGAGCCGTGTCGGCTCGCGCGGCAGCGGCAGCTCGGAGTCTGCGTCACACAGCTCGCTGCTCTCCGAGCCGACCTCCAGCGACTCGCATCAAAGCACCTCCTCCACGCTCGCTTCCTCTGCGGCTTCGTATCGCGAGCCCGCGAAGCAGGTGGCGTCGGATCAGGCGCCGGCGCGCATGTCGCACATGCACCGGCCCGAGGCCATCCGCGCATACCAACCCCACGAGGCCAAGTCCGAGCGCACTCCAGTGGCAAGTGCATCGCCCGACGTGGCGCCACTGGACCACGCGTCCTTGCAGCGCCTGCACCAGGCTGCGGTCTACGCAAATCTGGGTGCTGCGTCCACGTCGACGGACGGTCACGACGTGACCAAAGACGCACTGCGGGCCGTGTCGGCCTCGCTCTCTCCGCCTGCCGCCAGCCCGTCGACGGCTGCGCTCGCAGCTTACGCCTCTCGACGTCCCCTGGACGCCGCCATTGATGAGGAGGTGCCGCGTCTGTCGACGTCATCCACGGAGAGCAGCGTCGGCAGTGAGATCTTGACGCCCGACTGCGGCTCGCGGACCCGCGACTGGGCGGTGAGCAGCGGCAGCGACGCCTCGGACTACACCAGCACCGCCGGGCCGTCGTCCAACGTGCATCGGCATCCCACACTGCGCGCCCGGCCCATGCCCACCCGCGTGGCCAGCAACCAGACCGACACCACTGCACGCCCTTCGCCACCACCGTCGGCAAGCACCAGCTCGAGCGCCTCGCAGACGCCCGCCAACCAGCCGGCAGATCCGCTTGACAGTGCAGCGCGTCGTTCGCCTGCTGTGTCACGCGAGGGCGATGCGGCGTTCAAGCGTCCGACGCTGCCAGCGTCCGCCACGCGACGGCCGAGCTCCCGCCAGTCACGGTCGGCCGACGCATCGCCCAGCCTCACGCGGCTGAGCATTCCTCCGACGTCTGGACTGAGCTCGCCTGCCGAGAGCATCGACGCCGAGAGCGTTGCCTCGGGCTCGTCGTCGTTCTTTGCCGGCGCAGATGGCGCCTCAGGGCGCGCACGCACGTCGTCTGCCACCTCGGCCACACTCGCGCCCATCGCCAGTCCCGACTCGTGGCGGTCGCTGCTGCCCGAGCACGACCCGTTCTTCATTGCGCACGACGGAACTAGCGCGACCAGTCTCAGCAGCCCGCGCGCCACGAACAGCCAGACTGGCGAGGCCTTTGGTGGAAGCAGCTCCGGCCACTCTGTGGGTGACAATCGCGTCAAGCGCGAATCCATTGGCAGCGGCTGGGGGCCGAGTGGCTCGGACTCGCGACGTCTCTCAACCAGCAGCCAGGCTAGCCAGCTGTCGTGCTTCTCATTGCCGGGCCCGACGTCTGCTCTCCCTGGCTCTGGCAGCACGACGCGTGTCGCTACAAGCCCGAGCTGGCCGGACCGCGAGTCATGGCGGTCGCTGCTTCCCGAAGGCGACGCCGCCTCGAGTAGCCGTGCGCTGTCTGGCCCCGCGCCGTCGAGCTCATCGGTCCTCGCCGAGGTGCCCAGCGGCAGCCGTGGTGCGTTCGGCATTCTGGATCGCAGCGGCTACGGGTCCGAGCTCGCCGAGTCTCCGACTGCTGTGGCCCGTCGCCATGCATCCTTTTCCACGTACGACCGTGCTCGCGAGGGCGTGCGTGGACAGCTCGGCCGCACAAACAGCGGCGGCAACCCGGTGATCTCGAGCGCCAGCAGCACGCACAGCACGGGCCACGGGCCGTCGGACATGATGGGCCATCACTCGCCCTTCATCCACCCGCCGTCGCCAATGGTCAACAACGGTGCTGCCCTCTTCCGTGCGCCCACGACGAACCTCGACCGCGCCGCGCTCGAGATGGTCGCTCGCGACTCGTCTGCGCGGCGCACGTCGAGCTTCCGTGCGTCGGGCGTGATGAAGGACGCCGAGGAGCGCGAGAACTGGCCGTGCAGCCGCAGCCTTTCCGGCGTGGCTCCGCCTGTCGGCGAGGCAGTCGACGAGGAAGCCTTGAGCCGCATGCTCTCTGAAGGCCTGCGCGGCGGTCTCAACGCACAGGCGGCCACTTCCGATGGCACGAGCACGCAGACGACTCAGGAGACGATGCAGTCCGGCCTGGTCACCACGACGACCACCACGACGACCACGACGACGACGCGCACCACCTCGCACCTGGCGCGCGCTGCCACGGGCGAGATGCGTGCCTTCCCGAGCATTCCTGGCGCCTCGAGCAGCCCGGCGTCGCTCGTGGGCGCACCTGCGCCGCTGCCGCTGCCGCCCAAGCCCGAGCAGCTCTCGCGCAGTCTGTCGCAGCACGCGCCGTCGCCGTACAGCATCTCGCCTCTGTCGCCGCCTTCGCTGCCGGTGCTCGACCAGCGGCCCGCGCCGCCGGAGACCAATCTGAACATCGACACGTCGACCGAGCGCTACACACTCGTCATGTCGCTGCCCGGCTTCAGTCTCGATGCCATCACGCTCGCCACGAAGCATCACCGCCAGCTCGTCATCGTTGCGGACTCGTACGACGAGGGCGGCGGGCACGTGGAGCGCCGCGTCACCTTCAGCCACGACGCCGACCTCAAGAAGACGACGGCGTCGTTCGACGGCCAGAAGCTCACGGTGCTCGTGCCTCGGCGCGGCTCTGCGCCGCCCGGCCACCGTGCGCCGGCGCTGCCGTCGCAGGACTCCCAGCAGCAGCTGCAATACCCCACGGCCACCGCGATGGCGACCCGGATCTGATATCCTCGTGTATCTGCGCCCTCTGGCGCTCGTCCCGCTCTGCGTTCTCCGGTGCTCCAAGGCCATCCCGACGACTCCACATGATCTCCCGCGCTCGGCTCATTTCCACTCACTTGCCGCACACCATCGACGTGTCTTCACTCTCCATGCTCGGCTCTCAGACACATCATCTCCATCACGCCTCCCACTCTCACTCCGCGCACGGGTCTGCTCGCCTGACTGCCGTGCACAGCATCTTGTTGTCTCCACGCGCTCGCAGCCAGTCCCGTCGCCGCAGACCACGCACGCCTCTCTCATCACCGGATTCATACCACCTACACCACCCACTTCGCCTTCGTGCCTCTGGGCGTGCCACGCGCGCGCGCCTTCGGCTACTTAGCATGCCATCGGACACTTAGCTGCGCCCTGCTGCAGCTCCACCTGGAATCAGACTGCACTATCATCATCTCGCGTGTGACACTGGAGCCCTAGCGAGCAGCGCGGCGGACGGCCCGCAACGATGGGGCGGCGGCGGCGCGATCGGGCGTGATCCTGCTCACGCTGACCTTGCTGCTCTCAATCTGCAGCTCTCTGCCGCGCACGCAAGCTTAGCTTGTGGGTCCAGCTCAGGCTTACATCACGATGACATGTGTGTATTGCGCAGCTCAGGATCAGCACGCCTTCAGGCCGCGTCGGGTCCTTGCGCGGGCGGCGGCGCCGCCGTGGCGCGCACAAGCGGCTCCTGACAGACGGGACAGCGGCCGCTGACGCTGCTCAGCCACGGATCGACGCACTCCTTGTGCAGCACGTGGCCGCACGGCATCCTGCGCAGCACCTCGGCCGTCTCGGGCGCGCCGGCGTCCGGCGGCTCGTAGTCGGTAAGACAGATCGGGCAGGTGGCGCGGTGCGCCTCGATCTGAGGAGAGACAAGTGTGAGCAGAGGCATCGTGCGCGTGCTCAGCGCAACTCACGGGGTATAGTGGGTACTTGAACGCTCCTGCAGATGCGCCAGCCTCGCTGTCGGCTTGTGTGACACCTGCGGCCTGCCGTGCGGCTCGACGCCGGCCAAAGAGACGGGCCAGACCACCACCTCGTGCGCGAGCGGGCTTGGTCGGCGTGGGCGTGACTGCCGCACTCGATGCCTGCGCTTCCGCATTTGTCGCGACGCTCTGTGCACGCGAGAGCGGCAGCGGCATGTGAATGGCCACGACATCGACGTCGCTCGGCGCCGCTGGTGGCTCCTCGATCGTGCTGCGCAAGATCTCGCCGCTCGAGCGCGGTGCCGCCGGCACGATGGGCGCCTCGGCGGGGGTGAAGTGCACCAGCTGCGTCGCCTTGTCGATCTCCGACTGCTCGATCTTGCTCGTCTCGGGCCGGATGCCTGCCACTGGCAGACGATCGCTGAGCCCGAGAGCGCGCAGCACCACGAGGAGCAGCGGCAAGAAGAAGACGACCAGCTGCGGTGCACGTCAGCTAGAGCAGGGCTGCGGCGGCGCGGCAGACTCACCCAGACGAGCAGCGCGACCTCGACGATGATGACATACGAGATGGCGATCATGGCCAGACTGGCCCACCAGAGCGGCACACTGTCCGCCGGACGGCGCGCGCATTCGAGCGACGTCCAGACCGTGTAGTTGCCCACGACGAAGAGGATGCAGTGGACGAAGCCGAGCAGGTCGGAGAGGCGCGCCGCCTTGGCGTCCAGCTGCTCTGTGCCGACACGCCGGTTGCGCTCCCGCTCCAGTCGCGCTTCGGCACTGCGCTGTCGCCGTGCTTGCGGCGTGCGGTGCGGAGAGAGTGAGAGGTACATGTCGAGCGGCAGCGATGCGAGGACGCGCAGCGTGTGCAGCAGGATGAAGACGAACATGCTGCGAATAAGAGCACGCCTGAGCAGAGGGAAAGCTGCGAAGATGCGCAGCACTTACCCTTCTGGATCGCAGATGCCGCCGTCTCTGCCAACAGAGTTGCCCAGCGAATCAGGCATGGCTACGACTACGATGCCGAGAACGATCTGTTGAGGCACGAGCAGTCAGCCGCCGAGCGTCGCGGTCTCTCGCTCGTCCTCGTGCTCAGCCCGATCGACTCACCTGCGCGAGTGCGAGGGCAGCGCGGATAATCAACACAGACTTGCGCCCGTTGCCCAGCTCCTTGACGGCCTCCCACGACTGGCGCAGCATGTTGCCGCGCACCCGCAGCGCCTCATTCTCGTCGCCCGGCAGCTGTGCGGGTAAGGCGGGCGGCTCTGCTGGCTGCGCAGCACCTGCTGGAGCTGCAGCGCCAGGAATTCTGGGCGCGCTGTGGCTTGCGGCAGGAGGCTCAGAGGCTGCGAGCAGGTGCGAGAGGTCGAGCGAGAGCGGTGCGCGCGACTCGCCGCCTGGCGGAGCGAGGCCCGAGTCGCCGGCGCTGCTCCCGGCCCGGCTGCCTGAGCCTAGCGGATGTGAGGACGCTGGCTGCAGCGACGGCGCAGAGGGAGCAGTGTGTGTCCTTGGCGAGCTGGACTCGGCCATGGCGCTGCGGCCGGCCGCGTCGCCAGCAGCGTGAGCGGGGCTGCGTGCGGCCCGGGTGTGGAGGTGCGCAGCCGAGAGCGAGAGCTCCATGCGGCGGCGGCCGAGGCGCAGACGGATCGCACGGCGCTCAGCTGCGACGACGGTGCAATGCCGGACGCTGTGTGTGAGCAGATGTGCGGGGTGGATGTGGAGAGGAGGCAAGAGCGACCGTCGGCGATAGCGAGCGTCACATGCGCAGCGCGCACGGATGACGCGGCCGCGAGAGCCGTCTTGGCACACGCGGCGCGGGCAGCGCGCGCGTCGCACAGCCACCGCCTCGACTGCGCCCCGAGCCCCAGCCGGAGTAACACGAGCCGCTCAGAGCGGGCATCCACCGCGGCTGGATGTCGCACCTCTTACTGATCAGGAGTGGGGCAGTCGGACCAAGTGGCCGGCAGAGAGCAGAGGCTGCTAGCTTCTGGGATGAGATGCTCCTGAGCCGTCGTGTGCGTGGGGTGAGAGACACGCGCGGCGCGGCTGGACCCCTACGCGAGCCCGCGCAAAGGCAGCCACCGCATCCGACGGCCGCGCAGGCCGTCGCTGCTCGGCCTACAAGCAACGCAGCAGCAACGGCGCCGGCCTCTCCATGCTCAGCCTCGCACTGCACCGCTGGACAAGAGTCGCCAGCTGCTGCACGCTGGCCGCTGCTGCCGGCGGCAGCGAGCGTTGCGAGCGCCGGTGCGGTGCGGTGCGGTGCGCCGCGCATGCCCGCTCCCGGCCCCCCCATCACAGGATCAGCGGCCCGCACCGCCCAGCAGGACAGTCACTGAGCGCCGCGGATGCTCAAAAGGAAGAGTGCATCGGGCCTGCTGCCGTCCTGCAACTCGTTCTCTCCCTCTCTCGAGCCTCTCTGCCGCAACCAAGTCGACTGCTGCACCCCACAGCGCTGCTTTCAGGCCAGGCAAGCGCCACGTCAGCCGTGCGCCACAGCCCCGCGCCACGCCTGCCACGCAGCATCAGACGAGCGCTGCGCCGCGTGATGGCACAGCCGGCGTGCCGCGCCGCTGAGCCCCTCGCCCTCGCCGCCCCGGCGCTGCTGCCCTTGTGCGTGCCGGCCGTGCGCCGCAGCCAGCCGGGCGTGGGCGCAGCATCATCCGCGCCAGCCGCCGCCGCGGCGCGTGTGCCGCGTGCGCGTCTCGCCTCGTCGCCCTGCATCCTCGGTGCTTCTTCCTCGCCATCCACCACGAGCTCGCATCCGCCGCCGTCGCCCTTCGAGTCGTCGCCTGCTGCGCCGTTCCTCGCTGCGCCGCCCGCCGCCATCTTTGCGCAGTTCCGCGCCTTCTCCTTCGACGCACCCGCTGACTTCGACATCGAGCACGCCGCGGCCGCCGCCTCCTTCTCGCCCACCAGCAGCGCCTTCTTCCGCCCGCACGGACGCAGCAGCAGCGCCGCCCTGCCCACTGCCGCCTTCGCCGCCGAGCACCTCGCGCTCGACAGCCGCAGCGCCGGAGCCGCACCGCGCCGCTACTCGAGCATCTCGTCGACGTCGCGCGCTGCCTCGTGCACCGCCTCGCCGAGCGACAGCAGCTGCTACGTCTCGCCGCCGACGGTCCGCCGCGCCTCGCTCCAGCTGCTCGACTCGCCCGTGCAGCCTGCACTGCGCAGCACCAGCGGCAGCACCTCCACGCCGCCGCTCGCTCACCGCCGCGTCCTCTCGCAGCAGCAGCCTCGCGCTGCGCCGCCCTCGTCTGCGGCTCTGGCAGCACGCATCTCTGCGCACTCGCAGCTCCTCTCGGCACCCGCCGCGCCTCGCCGCGTGCCATCCACCTTTGCCCAGGGCCGCTCTCCTCCGCGTCGCGTCCTGCGCTACCGTGGCCGTGCCGTCGCTCCGCTTCTCGCAGCACACGCGACGACGCCGTCCGACTTTGCGCCTCTGCCCTGCCTCGTTCTGCAGGCGCCCATCGAGCTCGCGTCTGACGCGTCCAGCGACCTGTGCCTTTGAGCACAGCATCCACATCTAGCAGCTATGGCCTCGCCTCAGCCGCCGCCCGGCCAGGGAGGGCCGCAGCAGGGATACGGCCAGCCGCCGCAGCAGTACGCGCAGCAGCCCGGCCAGCCAGGTCCGCCCCAAGGAGGGCCGCTCGGCGCACGTCCGCCGTTCCAGCAGAATCCATCCGGTCTCCAGGGTGAGTTTCGCTCAGCGGTCGGGGACTGGCGGACAGTCCGGATGAAGCACGCGCGCGGGCAAATGCAAGCGAAGCTATAGCTGGAAACGGCCCTCTCGTGCTGCATGTCCGTCCGCCCTTGCTGACTGTGATTCTGCTCACAGCACGTCCGCCAGGACCGCCAGGTGCGCCGCAAGGGCGTGCTCTCTCGCCAGCGCCGCCGCAAGGCCTGGCACCGCATATGCAAGGCATGCCGCGGCCAGGCAGCACCGGCCCGTTCCCGCAAGGCCGACCTATGCCTCCACCCGGCCAGCCGGGCATGCCTGGACAGCCAGGTATGATGGCGCCAGGCGGCGGTCCGCGCCCACTGCAGCCGGGGCAGGCACCGCCGCGTGCCGGCAGCCTCACGCCTGGTCCGCCGGGCCAGGGCGGCCGCGTCAGCCCAGCGCCTGGCATGCCGCCAATGCCGCAGCAGCTCGGTGGGCGTCCGCCGATGCCGCCCGGCCAGCCCAGTGGGCCGCAGGGCCAGGCCCGGCCCATGATGCCGCAGCAGCAGCAGCAGCAGCAGCAGCCACAGCAGATGCACCCACAGATGCAGCAGCAGCATCAGCAGATGCATCCGCAACAGCAGCAGCAGCTCGCTGCGCAGATGGGCGGCATGAATCTGGATGCCGGCGGCGCGCCAAACGCCGGAGAGATGCAGCCCGCAAAGACGAAGCGCAGCGCGCGTGCGTACCATCAGCAAGACGAGCCTGTGCAGCAGGGCTACGGGCAGCAGCCGGGCCCGCAGGCCGCGTGGCAGAACGAGGCTGCCGCTCGCGTGGCGGGCTACGAGTCTCAGATGGCTGGCCAGGCGGATGCCGCGCTTGACCAGATGCCGGGCCAGCGCAACGTCCTCTCGCCGGCTCAGGCCGCGGCCAACCAGCAGCGCATGGCGGCCGAGGGCCAGCGTGGACAGCTGCATGCGCCTGGCGCGCCTGGCGGCGCGTTCGCGCAGAGCATGCCGCTGACGCCTGGCCCGCCGGGTCCGCACACGCCGGGTCTCGGACCCAACCCCAACTTCGCCCAGGGCATCAGCCAGCCGCCGCACCAGGCTGGCCAGCGCTTCCCGGGCCCGCGCTCCAAGATCGACCCGGACCAGATCCCCAGCCCCGTCGAGGCGCAGGACGCCGACCAGGAGTTCTTCGACCGCGAGTGGTTCGCCACGTGCGGCCGTGGCGGCCTGCCGCTGAGCACGACGGACTTTGGCGCCATCGACCAGGGTGCGTTGGGCTGTGCTCATCCTGCAAGGCCCGCTGCTCACCCTTCGCTCCGCAGGCAACTGCTCGCCGAAGCACATGCGGCTCACGACGTACAGCCTGCCGGCCACGGACGAGCTCGCCAACACGTCGCAGCTGCCCATCGCGCTCATCGTGCAGCCGTTCGCGCAGCAGCGCCTGGATGAGGCGCCGGTGCCGGTCGTGGAGTGCGGCCCGAGCGGACCGCCGCGCTGCAAGCGCTGCCGCGCGTACATCAACCCTTGGGCCATCTTCGTCGAGGGCGGCCAGAAGTGGGTGTGCAACCTCTGCGGCACGGCCACAGACGTCGCCGCGGACTACTTCTGCCACCTCGACATGGGCGGCCGCCGCGTCGACTTCGACGACCGTCCGGAGCTCAGCAAGGGCACGGTCGAGTTCCGCGTGCCGAAGGAGTACTGGGCCATCCAGTCCGCGCCGCCAGCCAGCCTCTTGCTGCCTGTTGCCCCAGCGCTCACGCTCACCGAGACGGCCAAGCTCGCTCCGTCGGACACGGCAAACGGCGAGGAGTTCAACGGCACCACGATGGGCCTGACGGGCCAGAGCGGGCAGGCCGCGCGCGCCGCAACCAAGGCGGCCAGCGAGGCGCTGAGCAGCACGCTCAACGTCGGCCAGGGCCGCACCACTGTGCGCGCGCCGCGGCCGATGACGTACTTCTTCGCCATCGACGTCAGCTTCTCGGCGGTGCGCTCCGGCAGCCTCAAGGCATGCGTCGAGGGCATCCGCGAGACCATCTACGGCCCGCGCGAGGGTGAGGAGAAGAAGGAGAATGGCGCAGACGCGGGTGCGCCAGGCTCGCAAGAGGAACCCGTCACTGGGCCCGGCTTCGGCCTGCCGCACGGCAGCCGCGTGGCCATCCTCACCTTTGACCGCTCGCTGCACTTCTACAACCTCCTGCCCGAGCTCGAGACGGCGCAGATGCTCGTCGTCGCCGACATAGACGACCCCTTCGTGCCGATCAGCGAAGGCCTGCTCGCCGACCCGTGGGAGTCGCGCAGTGTCGTTGAGGGCCTGCTCGACAACATCCCGAGCCTCTTTGCCGACAACACGGCCTCGGAGGCGGCGCTCGGCGCAGTGGTGCGCGGCGTGCAGGCGACGCTGAGCACGATCGGCGGTCAGGCGAACGTGTTCCTCTCCACGATCCCGACTATCGGCCCAGGCTCGCTCAAGCACCGCGAGGACACGAAGCTGTACGGCACCGACAAGGAGAAGACGCTCTTTGCGGCGCAGGACGGTTGGTACCGCGGCGTGGCCGAGGAGTGCGTCGACGCCGGCATCGGCTTCAACATCTTCTTCTTCCCGAGCCAGTACATCGACGTCGCCACGATCGGCACGCTCAGCGGCATCACCGGCGGCGAGCTGTACTTCCACCCGCGCTTCGACCCCGTGCGCGACGGCGACAAGCTCGACGCGCAGATCCGGCGCGCCATCCTGCGCGAGTCGGGCTACAACTCGACGATGCGCATCCGCTGCTCCAACGGCCTGCACGTCACCGAGCACTTTGGCAACTTCTTCCAGCGCAATACGACCGACCTCGAGCTCGCCAACATCGACGCCGACAAGGCCGTCGCGGCGCTCGTCAAGCACGAGGGCAAGCTCGACGAGAAGCAAGAAGCACACTTCCAGTGTGCGATCCTGTACACGACGGCGTCTGGCGAGCGCCGCGTGCGCTGCCACAACATCGCCGTGCCCGTCACGAGCCTGCTCGGCAACGTCTTCCGCTACGCCGACATGGACAGCACGGTCGCGTACTTCATGAAGGAGGGTGAGTAGTAGTCCGGTGCTTCGACCAGCCCACGGCGAGCTGACCACCCGCCGCAGTCATCTCCATGGCCCACGTCAAACCGCTGCGCGACGTGCGCCACTACCTGACGGAGAAGTGTGTCAAGATCCTGCTGGCGTACCGGCGCAATTGCGCCTCGTCGACAAGTCCGGGCCAGCTCATCCTGCCCGAGAGCTTCAAGCTGCTGCCGCTGTACTCGCTCGCGGTCAACAAGACCAAGGCCGTCAAGGGCGGCAGCGTCACGAGCGACGTGCGCACGTTCTACATGCGCCACCTGCGCGCCCTCGGCACCGGCGCCACGATGGCCATGCTGTACCCGCGCATGATCGCGCTGCACTGCATGGCCGAGAACGACGGCGAGCCGATCAAGATCGAGCGCGTCGACGAGCGAGGCAACAAGACGGAGGTGCAGGGCGCGCGCGTCAAGTGCCCGCCGCTCATGCGCCCGAGCTACCTGCGCATGGAGCCGCACGGCGCCTACCTCGTCGAGAACGGCGAGATGTGCATCCTCTGGCTCGGCGCACAGGTCAACCCGCGGCTGCTCGACGACCTGTACGGCGTCAACTCGCTCGACGAGCTCGACTCGCGCATGGTGAGTCGCGACGGAGGCCGCACACCGAGCGGTGCGCTGACCCACCTCTGCAGACCAAGCTGCCAAAGCTGCCGACGCGCCTGTCCCGCCAGGTCCGCGCACTCGTCGACAGCTTCGCTGCGCAGCGCGCCAAGCCGTCGCTCCCGGTGCTCATCGCACGGCAGAACCGCGACGGCATGGAGGTCGAGCTGGCCAACTCGCTGGTCGAGGACCAAAACAACGACGGCATGTCGTACGTCGACCACCTGTGCCACAGTGAGTCGCGCCGGCGCAGCGCAGCACGAGCCACTCTCACATCCTCTCTCAGTCCACCGCATCATCACGGCAGAAATCTCGGGTAACGCATCCTCGGGCAACTCGAACGGCGGCGCCACCGAGGCAGACAAGGCGTCGCTCTGGCGCGGGTGGTAGGCGTCCAGGCCGCAGGTGTGCACACATAGACTCGCCCCGCGCTCACGATCACGACTGTCGGGCCTGCCTCGCTCCCACGTCCCCAATGCATCATGAAAGCCTTGCTGATGTCGTTGCGATGGAGGCATAGGCGGCCCCAGGGCTGTGTATCCGTGCGGCTGCACGGCGTCGTGCTCGGCCCGACGGTGCGGCCGAGCTTTTCCGCCAGCGTGCGCTCGCCCAGACGGCACGGCGACCTGTGCCGGCGGACTGCACCATCTCGCCTGCGGCGCTTGCGCTGCGCAGCAGCAGTGCCGCCCTGGCGGATGATAGATGCTCTCGTCGCTGAGCCGTGCTGCTCCGCTGCAGCGGAGCTCGGCACGCAGGCGCGATGCGCGAGCCTGCGGGCGGGGCGTGGGCGCTCATGTGCCGGCGCAGCGCAAGCACGGCGCGCCCACCATCGCAGCGCAGCGCGTGAGGGCGCGCGAACCATGCGACAGCGGGCGAAGGCGGAGCGTGCCTCGCCTCACCCCCACTCCGCCGCTCCGACTCCGCGGCCTCGCTGCTGTGATGCCGCGTGGTTGGACCCCGATGCGGCTCGCAGCACTCCGCCAGAGACTGGTATGCCGGGCGGCTCGCGCCTGGGCCTCCTCATAAGCCAGTGGAGATCGTCGAGCGTCCACCTGGTCGCCGCGAGCGCGACGAAGGGCCGCAGAGGGCTGATGACGAACGCCTGAAGTAGTAACAAGTAGTCCGACTGTATTATGAGAAATAGCGAGACGAGGTGTGGCAGAGTACAGGTGAGAAGTAAGGCGGGTCGCAGGCAGGGCAGAGAGGGCAGTGGTGTGGAGTGCGCTTCCGTCGGTCATGCGGTGCAGGCGTGGTATGCGTGACGAGTTCGTGACGGGATGGAGGACGTTGCTGATGAGTGAGGCGCCCGGAGGGGCAATGGGGCGGCGAACAGAGAGAGCTGCAGCAGACGGGCGAGGCGATGGGTCGAGCGATCACTGCGACGGCGCCGTGGCGGACGCGCGCGGCGGCGGCTGGCGCAGCATGAGGTAGTCGCGCAGGCGCTCCCACCACGTCTGCGGCACGGCCTCGCCGGCGGCGATCTGGCGCTTGCGCTTCATGCGCTTGCGGAAGTGGCGCTCGACAATCTGGAAGATGATGGCGTCGAAGGCACCCTGCGCGAAGATGAACCAGCGCGAGACGGCACGCAGCGGCTCGTTGGGGTCCTTGACACGGCCCACGGGTGCGGGCCGCGTAAAGTCGGTGATGATGCGCGCAATCGAGACGGAGAAGAGCAGGCAGTACGCCAGCGGGTAGAGCAGCATGAGCACGCTCGCCTGGCGGTTGAGCGTGCTGCCGAGCGACTCGACGCCGTGCTCGTCCACAGTGCTGCCGGTGCTTGCCACACCGTTCGCATCTGTGCGGTCGTGGCCGCCGAGCCCGCCGGCGTGTCTCGAGGAGTGTCGCCACCACTTGGAGCGCTTGCGGTCCTTGCGGCTGCCCGCATGCCGGACGTGAGGAGCCGGCACGGGTGCGGGCGCTGCCGAGGTATCCTGACCGCCCACCTCCATGCCCCATGTCCAGTCCTCGCCAAGCATGTCGTCAAATCTTGGCTGCACGCCCTTCTCACGCCCCTCGTAGACGTCTTCCGACGTCGGATCCAGCGGAGCCTTGGCTGTCCGCGGCGAGGCGGGATGCGACATGGATCCCGAGTCGGTGCCCGGCGGCCGCGGCACGCCCTGCGTCCGCATAGGACTGAGCGCGTAGTGCTTCAGGTGCTCGCGTGGAGACGAGATCATCTGGAAGTCGCGCACGTCTCGCCGTGGCTTCATGCGCTGCAGCGGCTTGTACGGATCAAGCGAGAAGTCGTCCGACTCATCGTCGGCCGCGGTGTCATCGTCGTGTGCGTCGGCTCTTGGCTCGATGCTGGCGCTGACATGGCGCGCCGCGAGGCTGAGCTTGGCTGGCCGCGGCCGGCCGCCAGCATCGTCCGCGGTGCTCGGCCGCCGTGCGTTTCCTGGCCGAGGAGGCTCGACCAGCTGCGCCGTAGAAGAGAACGTCTCGTCACGCGGCTGCTGCGGGCTCGAGGGCATGCTGACCGGGCCCTCGTCCGGCTCGACGATGCCGATCTCTGGCCGGGCACTCTGATGCCGGCCGTCCGACGATGCGCCCTCGTTGCTCCGTGGTGGGCTGGACGGCGTCGTGGCAAAGGAGAGTATGCGCTGCCGGTTGCACTCGCCCATCTCCATGCCCTCGTCCTCGGCGCCGGAGAGGAAGACGTCCTTGGGCGTCTGCGTCGAGGCGCTGTCGGCGCGCTTCGACGACGAGCTCGCCGCGCTGCCTCTGCGGGACGAGTTGAACGTCGGAATGTAGCGCAGCAGGCCAGTCGGAAAGCTGGTGCGGCGCGACATGGTGCCGGCGTTGCTCCGCTCGCCGTCCATCTGGTGCAGATGGTGCAGCGAAGGGTCGTTGCTGGGCCGTCGTGAGCGTGAGACGGGCGCACGGCTCGACTCGTCGCTGTCGGCCCGCAGACTGGTGCGACCAACGATCCTGCCCCGGGTGCCGTTGCCGGCCTCCTGCGACGCAGAGCGGTGCGAGACGGCCGAGAAGAGGTTCGTCCGCCGCAGGAAGAAGAAGAGATGTGTGTAGAGGACGATGATGATCACGACGACGAGGCCACTGCACGAGGCGTCAGCAGTGGTCCGCACGGTGCAACGTCTCGTTTCACTCACCGAGGCACGAAGCTGATGATCGCGCCGTAGTACCGTCCGCCTTGGTTGCCAAAGGCGCAGAAGCCGCCGGCGTTGGACCATCCGGCGATGCGCCACGAGATGCCGTTGACGATCAGCGAGATGCCCCAGATGATCGGCCACAGCCAGATAAGGTGCCGCTCCATGAGCGCCGTGACGTTGTTCTGGGAACGGCAGCGTGAGCAGGGCAGCAGCGGATGCTGCGACTCAGGCACGCACCAACGGATGCACAAGGATCATGTACGTGACGATCGCGATGCCCATGTTCCACAGGTGCTGCGAGAAGATGGACGAGGCGAGCGAGTAGCCGACGAAGTCGCAGAAGCGCTTCGAGTTGGCCAGGTCGCCGCCTGCGAGAAGGAAGGACGTCGAGGCGATGATGATGAGGCTGCGGCAGAGCGGACGGGTCAGTGCTTGGCGCGCGGCTGCGCCCCTGAGACGGGTGCGTTCGCGTGCGAACACTCACCTCGTCACGAGGTCACTGGTCGCCAGACCAAGGATAAGCGAGTGCCGCAGCTTGCGTGCCCTCTTGTTCAGCAGGTAGGGCAGGATGATGGCCAGTGCGCCCAGGAAGGACAGGATGCAGATGACGAGATCGACGATGTTCGCCGGCGTCGCCAGCTGCGGCCCGCGCTCGTCGGTCGTGGCGCGCGCAGCGAGCGAGCGGTGCTCGAGCGAGTCGCCGATGGGCGCCGCCGCATAGCGCCACAGCGCCGCCGCACCGGCGCCCAGGTCGCGCGGAGGCACGATCATGGCGAGAGAGACGCGCACGCCAGGCCTCGCACCGCAGCCGGACGCAGTACGGCTGGACGGTCGGGCCTAGCGTCGCAGAGACGCGCGAGGTGCGGAGCGCCGCCCGCCGCGAGCTCGGCTGTGCTCGGAGCGAGCCGCAGCGCACGGTGAGGGTGGTAGGATGGCGCGTGGCGCTCGGCAGCACGCAGGCACGCGTGGGCGGTGACGCGCGTGGGCCGCCAGAGAGGCGTACGAGAGAGAGTGGGAGCCGGTGCAGAGTGGTGCAGCAGAGGCGTCGACGACGAGAGACGCGCAGACGCAGCGGCAGCGCGAGGTAAGGTGCAAGAGGAGCTGCGCCAGCGACGGCCAGCGGGAAGGGTGAGGACGGGAGGCTGGGGGCGAGGATGGGGTGCGCGCAGGAGGGATCCGCACCGCACCCGACGGCTCGCCGTCTTGCGGCGGCAGCGGCGGCGCTGGAGCAGCATCAGCAGCATGCCCGGCAGCGCGCGCCGAACAGCCGCTCAGCAGGCAGCCCATCGGCGGGCGGCCGCGTGCTGCTGTGCGGCCGCACGTCGAGCCGACGGCAGCGCGCTCATGCGTGGCCGGCTAGAATAGGCGCACGGCGGCAGCGCAGCGGCAAAGGCGTACGCGGGCAGCGGCAGCGACGGGCAGCACAGCAGCGTTGCGCACACGCCTCGGCAGCTCGCCGCGAGACAGCGAGCGTATCGCCGGCGCTGCAGCAGCGCCGCGCCGTGCGTTCGGCATGCGTGCCGCACCGGCACCGCCGCGCAGGAAGCAACAAGTGACGCAACGGCTGCGCGGCACTTGCGCCGCCAGTGTCTCGCATCCGCACACTCGTGCGCCGCCGCCTGTCGCGCCCGAGCTAAATGCCTGGGCGGCGTCGAGTGCAGCCCCGGGCACACTGCTGCTGCGCCCGGGCGCTGGTCTGGCGCACCAACTCTCTCCTGCAGGTCCACGCTCCGCTCCTGCCTCTCGCAGCGCTCAGTCGCCGGCTGCCGGCCGAGCATCGCCCGCGCTGCCCACGCTGCCGTGCAGCGGACGCGGCAGCGGCAGCGCTGGTGACGCGCGTGGGGCCTGCGCACGTAGGGCCGCTCCTCCATCGCGATGCTCCCGCGCCGGCGGACAAGGGCGTGGGATGCACCCTTCGCAGCGCCTTGCATCGCAAGCAGGCGGCAGGCTCAAGGTGTGTGCGGGATGCAGCGCTGTGGTGCGAGAGCATATCTGCTGCGGCCAGGCGCCAGCGCTTGGAGGCTGCTGCGCTGCTGCGCGGCGCCGACGGCGAGCTCGAGCCTCCGCGGTGTCGCGTCCCCTCCTCCTCGCTTGCTGTCCTGCGTGCGGGCGCCCAGCCGACTTCCAAAGTCAGGCTCGAGATCTGCGGTGCGGCATACTCGCCACACTCCAAGCTCAGCGGCCGCACCCTGAGCAGCGATATGCTGGGCGCCATGCGCTGATGGACGCCCGCGCGCACACCTCTCCTGCGTGCGCTGCGCGCGGCTGCGCGATCGCAGCGCGGCACAGGGTGCAGCAGCGCCCGTCGCTACAGCACAGGACGCTGTTCGGCTCCAAACAGCTGCATCGCCCGTGCCTTGCAGCACAGCGCTGCCTCCCGATGGTCGCGATCACAGGAGGGAGACCGCTCCGGCTCTCACGGACAAGGTGCGGCGCTGGCAAGCGTGGGATGTGCGATGTCACCTGTCCGCGCTCAGGGAGCCCCAAGGCTCGACGTGCCGGCAGGCGTTCGCTCTCACGGCGCCGGGGCCATGCGAGCTCGGCTCGGGTCCGAGGTGCTGCTGCGGCACCGCGGCGTCGGCAGAAAGGGGCCTTCTGTCGCGGGCCCTCGGGGGATAGGCACGCCGCGCGGCGCGGCCCAGTCTTGTGACTGCAGCGAGAGCGCCTCGCACCACGCATGCAACGCAAGGCACACGACTGTCCTCCTCGTGGGCCAGCCACTCATCGCCGTCGAGGGTGCCTGCAGCGAAGACGGAAGCGAGACGTCGTGCGACTGCACGCTGCGATGCATGTACCTCCTGGAGCCCCCTGCATGGTCGCCCGACGCGCGGCGCGCCAGCCACACCCCGACTCATGCGAGGCCTTGCAGCGGCGTGCTGCAGCGCCTCGCCGCCGGCTCCACGGCCGTCCGGAGTCTCCGAGAGGCGAGCAAGCAGACCAAGGGACTTCCCACATGCCGCCTGGCGGATGCGAGGGTCCAGGCGGAATCTTGGCCGTCGGAGAGTCGGAGGGCGGAGCGGCGGAGATGGCGCTGGGGACTCGGCGCTGCTCCCACGCTCGCGGTCACGTGATAGCAGACGCCCCTCTGCTCCACCAAGCCGCCGCTCTCACAGCGCCGAGCAGCGCATCCATCCTTCGCTTGCCGCCGCTGCCTGACGGCTGCAGCGGCTCGCCGGCGTGCTGTCGATGCCGCCGCGTGTTCTGGCGCAGCGGCAGCCGCCGTTAGCGGCCTCGGAGCCGCGGCGGAACGGCCCAGCAGAGCGGGTCCGTGCTGGTTGCATGCTGCCTGCTGCATCGCGCATGCCGGCGGACACGCTAACGTTGTGCGAGCCGCGAGCCGAAGCGACGAAAGCCTCTTCTCTCTTCGAAGGCGCGACAGGAGGCAGCAGCAGCGCACTCTGCCCGCGTCCGTGGATGGCCAATGACCACGAGCGCTCTCGAGCGTGATGAAGGCACGAACCCTTTCGGGCTAGCGGGGGGCGCGGCGATGCGCGCAGCCGGCGTGCGTGGGCAATGCGCAGCGCGAAAGCAGCGTCATCGAATGGCGGGTCGATATCGGCGCAGAACGCACGCGGCCGCAGCAGCGGCCTGCATGCTGCGGCAGAGTGCCGCTCGAGGAGCAACCGCGCAGCCAGAGCACCGCTCTTTGTCCCTCGCGCTGCGTCATCGCCTTGGCAGAGAGTGGCCGCGCAGGGACCCTCGGGCGAAGCCACCATCAGCCTGCAGCGCCGCGCCGCGCTGCGCTTACCCAAGGCGAAGGAAGCGCCTCGCCCCCTCTGCCGCATCCACTCTCGAGCGCGAAGAGGCGCTGTTGCGCGGCCCAAAGCGCTGCGACGCTGCGCCCGATTTAGCCCAGCGTGGGCGCCGCTGCTGCCCGGCCTGCGAGCGAAAGGGCGCCGTGTGTGTTGTGTGCGTCAGCGCGCGTCTGCCTGCCCGAGGCACGCGCGCTGCGTGCTGCGCCGGTGCGGCGTGGCTGCACAGCCGGCACGCACGCCTCGCACACACTCCGACAGGCGCAGGGGCCCAGCACTCGCGCTCCTGAGGCTGGAACGCCGCAGCAAATTGCCTGGCCTCGCCCTCGGGGCCGTTCTCTGTCGATGGCAGCGGCCGGCCGCGCCTTGCTGCCTAGCCTCAGCCAAGGCATCAGCGGCGAGAGGCGCACAAGAGACAAGGCCATCCGGCGCCGTGCCGCTCCCTTCTCTCTCACCACCACCACCACCGCAAGCCCACCCTCGCCATGCCCGCCTCGCCGCGCCTCGCCGGCGCCGCGGCCGCCATGCTGCTCCTCGCTCGCCAGGCTGTTGCGCAGCAGGCCGAGCAGGCCGCCGGCACGTCGACGGCCACCGTCGTCTCGTCGCTCATCCTCAACTCGGCCATCTTTGGCGTGCAGATGGCCGCCTTCTTCCTCATCCGCCCGCGCTTTGCGCGCATCTACCAGCCCAAGACGATGCTGGGCCCGCGCGAGTGAGTGGTGTGCTGTGTGCAGGCAGGAGGCGCGTTGGGCTGGCCAGCACGCTCACACATCCCACAGCGAGCGCATGGCGCCGCTGCCCCGCTCGCTCTTCGGCTGGCTGCCCGCGTTCATCAAGACGCCGACGATTGAGATCATGCACAAGCAGGGCATCGACGCGTTCCAGTTCGTCGACTACCTCGAGATGATGATCTGGATCTTTGTGCCCATCTGGGCATTCACGTGGATCCTGCTCATGCCGCTCTACTCGGTCGGCACGACGGGCGAGGGCCGCGCCGGCTTCAACCTGTTCAACTTCGGCGCCGTGGGCCCGCCGCGCTCGGAGCAGCTGCGCTACATCGGCGTGCTCTTTGCGCAGTGGATCGTCACGTTTTGGATCCTGTACAACATCAAGGCGCGCATGGGCGCCTTCGTGACGCGCCGCCAGCAGTGGCTGCTCTCGCCCGAGTACGCCAGCACGGCGCAGGCCAAGACGGTGCTCATCACGGGCGTGCCGAACGAGTACCTCTCGGAGCGCAAGCTCGAGGAGATGTACGGCGTGCTGCCCGGCGGCGTGCACAAGATCTGGCTCAACCGCAACCTCAAGGAGCTGCCGGACCTGCACGACGAGCGCCTCGCGGCGTGCAACAAGCTCGAGAAGGCCGAGGCCAAGATGGTCAAGCTCGCGGCCAAGAAGGTGCGCAAGGGCAAGGTCGAGGCCGGCAGCGCCGACCCCGAGATGAGCCTCAGCGTCGCGGACCGCTACGTGACGCAGAAGGAGCGCCCCTCGCACAAGCTTGGCGCGCTGGGCTGCTTCGGCGAGAAAGTCGACTCGGTGCAGTGGGCGCGCGACGAGATTGCGCGCCTCAACACGGAGATCGACGCGCAGCGCCAGAACCTCTCCGACTTTGAGCGCTACCCGCCGCAGAACTCGGCCTTCATCCTCTTCAACCGCCAGATCGCCGCGGCGATGGCCGTCAAGGTGCACGCGCACCACCAGCCGTACCGCATGGCGCAGCACTACGGCTCGGCGCACCCGCTCGACATCGTGTGGCCGAACCTCAACATGAACCCGTACGAGCAGAAGCTGCGCACCGCCATCTTCTGGGGCGCCACGCTCGGCCTCATTATCTTCTGGATCATCCCCGTCGGTTTCGTCGGCATCGTCAGCAACATCGAGGGCCTCTGCACGCAGGTGGGCTTCCTGGCGTGGATCTGCCAGATCCCCACCGAGGTGCGCGGCATCATCCAGGGCATCCTCCCGACGGTGCTGCTCGCCGTGCTCAACTTGCTGCTGCCGATCATCCTGCGGCTCTTCGCCCGCCTCTCCGGCGTGCCGACGCGCACGGGCATCGAGCTGAGCCTCATGGACCGCTTCTTCCTCTTCCAGCTCATCAACAACTTCCTCTTCATCACGATCATCAGCGGCGCGTCGTCGGGCATCGACCAGATCGTCGACGTGCTGAGCAACCCGCAGGGCCTGCCGTCGCTGCTGGCGCAGTACATCCCCAAGGCGTCGATCTTCTTCCTCAGCTACATCGCGCTGCAGGGCCTCACGGGCGCGGCGTCGGGCTTCCTGCAGATCGTCGGCCTGGCCATCTACTACGTCAAGAACTTCCTGCTCAACAGCACGCCGCGCAGCGTGTGGCACATCCAGCACGACATGAACGCGCCCAACTTCGGCACGCTCTTCCCCACGACGAGCCTGCTCTCGGTCATCGCCATCGGCTACATGGTCATCGCGCCCATCACGGCTGGCTTCGCGTCCGTCAGCTTCATCCTCTTCTTCTTCCTCTACAAGTACCTCTACCTCTACGTGTACGACGTCAAGCCGTGGAACGAGACGGGCGGCCTCTTCTTCCCCAAGGCGTGCTGGCAGCTCTTCTACGCGCTGTACCTCGAGATGGTCATCCTCACGGTGCTCTTCTTCGTCGCGCAGGACAGCAACGGCAACCTCTCGTCGATCCCGCAGGGCGCCTTCATGATCATCCTCATCGTCATCGTCGCCGGCGTGCACTACACGCTGGCCAACTCGTACACCGACCTCTTCACGGCGTATCCGCTCTCGATTGCGCCGTCGGGCGCTCAGGAGGCGGCCATGCTGGAGGAGCACGGCTCGTCGCCCGACGAGAAGAAGCAGTCGCTGCAGCAGCAGCAACAGCAGCAGCCGCCGTACGGCAACGGCCAGCACGGGCGCAACGACCAGTCGATGGAGATGCACGAGAGCCGCACGGCGCTCGTGCGCGAGGGCAACCAGGAGGAGGACCCGGCGCTGGCGTTCCAGCACCCGGCCACCAAGGAGCCGCAGCGCACGCTCTGGTTCCCCAACGACACGCTCGGCCTCGGCAACGCCGCCGTCGCCGGCGCGCAGAAGCAGGGTCTCGAGGCGACGAACCGCGACACGTCGGTCAGCGAGAAGGGCCGCATCGACACGGACGCCCACGTGCCGCCGGGCGAGGTGCTCCTGTAGACGGCGAGAGCGCGAGCATGTGCGACTGCAATATTCCCGGCCAGTCGTGCGGGTCGGCCTGTAGAGCCCGAGCGCGCGACGCGGCCACCCCATTCCCATACCATCCTTGTCCTTCTCCTCCTCCCGCCCAGCGACTCCTCGCTGCTTCGTCTCCCGTTCTCCCCTCCTCGAGCTGCTCCGCCGCTGCTCCCAGCGCCCAGCTGTCACACCTTCCTTGTTGCTCGTCTCTATTACGGAGCCGTCTGAAGAAGAAATCAAATCGCAGTCCTTGCTCATGTGCGTGGTGTCGTGCGAGGGCAGGAGTGGGAGAGAGCGGCTTGCGGCTGGACGGCAGCGTGCGCCAAGGGCGCGTCGATGTCACGAGACCAGACGCGTCGCCTCTGAGGCGTGTAGAGAGCGCCTCCGGCCGCGCCGCTAAAGTGCTCCAGGGACCGTGCCTGCCTGCCTGCCTGCCTGCCTGCCTGTCTCGGCAGATAGCAGCGGGCTGACCGTATAAAGGCTGCCCTTCGCCGCTGGCCCGCCTGTCCCTCCCGCCACCACCCCACCACGCCAGCTCTCCATCTCCCACCGCCGCACACCATGACCGACGTCTCCTCGAAGAAGCCCAAGGGCTCGCCCTCGTACATCGACATGGTGAGCAGCTTGCAGTCGTCGTGTCCTGCTCATCGAGATCGGCCTGCATCGCTCACCTCGTCGTCAGCTCAAGGAAGCCATCGTCGAGTGGACGGCGCAGCACTCGGGCAACGCCGGCGAGGCGCGCAAGGGCATCTCGCTCCAGGCGATCAAGGTGCGTCGCCGGTCTAACGCCGCGGTCGCTCGTCACCATCGCGTGCCCATCATCGATCGCGGCTGATCGTTTCGCTCTTCCCAGTCGTACCTCGCGTCCAAGTCAGCTGTCTGGCGCGCCGAGTCTGCTGTCGACGTCGCTTACTCGAGCTGCGTCCCAGCTACAACATTGACATGAAGGCAAAGGGCCCCATCAACGTGAGTGACGGGCGCGGCGATGCGTTCGAGCGGCGCTCATGAGGCGCACAGCACCTCAAGGTCGCGACGGAGACGGCCATCGAGAGCGGCCAGGTGGTGTACGCCGGCAGTGAGTTGCACCTGATGCGTGGCGACATCATGGCTGACCACTTGCGCAGCGGGCCATCTGCGCTACAAGCTTGGCGTCGCCGAGAAGAAGGCCAAGGCCGGCGCCATTGCTGCAGCGCGCTCCTAAGACAACGAGGAGGACGAGTCGGAGGAGGAGTCGGAGGACGAGCCGTCGCCGCCGCCCAAGAAGAAGAAGGCGCCTGCCAAGAAGGCCGTGAGTGCTGCCTGCACGTCGCGTGCTCGTCGTCGACTGATCGTCGTGCTTCAGTCGCCCGCCAAGAAGGCCAGCCCGAAGGCCTCGTCCAGCAAGGCACCGGCCAAGAAGGCCGCCGTAAAGAAGGCGCCAGCGAAGAAGCCCGCGGCGAAGAAGGCGTCGCCCAAGCCCAAGGCCGCCGTCAAGGCCAAGACCAAGGGCGCCGCGAAGAAGAAGGCCAAGGTGAGTCGCTCGGCAGCAGGCGGACTCCTGCGTGTCCGCACTGACACCTTGGCTGTCTGCAGTGATCTGCTCTGCCGCCGTCTGCCTGTACTGTGCCCGCCGACCCACATGCCAGCCACGTCGTCTTCATCTGTAGCGCCTCGTCACCTGTAGCACCATGCACCAATGCAAGCGTCCGATCCGACCGTGGCGTGTGCGCGTGCCTCGGGAATGCCTCTCGGTCGATGCAGATGCGAACTGCGCTGCCAGACACCCACCGCTGAGCCTGCTAGAGACACACGGCGCTGCTGAGCTCTGTCGACTGACGCAGCGTCTGCAGATGACAAGACGTGCGATTAACAAGGGCGTGTGAGTGAGATTGGCCAAGACCGTGGTGAGGCTGGGGTATGCATGCTGTGTGTGTGTGCGTGTGTGAAGTGCAGGGTCGCTGAGTGCCTACGGCTCGTCGTCGTCGCCCCACTGACTCGGCGGACTGGGCGCGCCGCTGCGGTAGTGGCGCAGCGCCGCAGCCATGAGCGACGCATCGGCAGCGGCGTCTCGCAGCGGCGCGCTGCTGCGCTCTGCACCGGCGCTGCTGATGACAGAGGTGGCGCGTGCAAAGGCGCGCGAGAGTGAGGCGTCGGCGGCGTCGGTCTCGTCCACGTCGGCGTCCTCGTCGTCGGCGAACGTGGGTCGACGATGCGCAGGCTGCCTGTTGTCAGCTAGAAGTGGATGCTGCAAGACGGGAGTGCTCACCATGGACGGCGAAGAGGGATCAAAGTCGGAGCCCCATGCCGAGTCGGCATCTGCGGCGGTGCGTCAGCGCCAGCTTATACGCTCGACAGCAACGGCCTCAGCTCACCGTGGCTCCCATCCCCCTCGCTGGCATAGCCACCGCGCTCGTAGCCTTCTCGAAAGGCGCGGCCCAGGCCCCACATGTCCGCGCAGCCATCGAGTTCCTGCACCTCCTCCTCCTCCGGCTCGTACTCGTATCCTGCCTCTGCAGCATCCTCGAGCGCAATGGCGCGCTGCTCTGATGCTGCACGAGCAGAACGCTGCTGAGCCTCGGTCGAGGCGCGCAGCTCCTCCTCATCCTCGACACTCGCCTCGTCCCATGCCGCCAGTGCCGCTGCTTCCTCCCATGCCGGTCTGCTAAGGCCCGCGCGGATGCCCGCGAGTGCACGGCGCATGACGTGCAGACTTGCGTGCTCGCCCTCTGCCTCGGCAATAAGGTGTCGCAGCATGGCGCTCTCGTTCCACTGGGCCTCATCATCGCCGTCTCGCTCCCATGGCCCATCGGAGTCGCCATCGCTCTCGTCGTACTCCCAGAAATCGGCGCGCGGATCCTCGTCGAAGGGATCGAGCTCGTGCTCTGCGGCTCCTAGCTCGCCGCTCCAGTCCAGATACTCCTCGAGGTAGTGTCCGCCGCCTGCTTCGAGCAGACGCCGCAGTGCTCGCGCCCGCTGCCGCTGTGCTTGCCGTGCCCGCTGCTCCGTAGCGCCGGCGCCGAAGAGGTAGCGCTCGTCGCTGCCGGGCAGCTTGTGCGAGTAGTGGCAGTCGTCTATCGCCCACACGTCAGATCTGTGCCCGTGCCCGCTCGCTTGTACGCCGCACTCACCGCCAAAGATGCAGTCGGGCATGCCGTTGCCCATCACGAGGCTGCGCTCAAAGTTGCGGCACGGCTTGCGCGCCATGCTCGCCTTGTAGCTCGCGATTGCGGCAACCTTCTGCGGCCCGGACGCGTAGTGGAAGTGCGAGGGCGTGCTGAGTGCAGCGTGAGCCTCGGCCATCCTGCCAGGAGAGAGAGGCCGAGACAGACACTCACACGAACCAGCTCCGCTCGCGGCACACGGGACAGCACTTGGTGACGCCGCTGTCGACGAGGCTGGGCTCCTTGCCCTTGCCCTCGCGCCAGTCGCGCGCGCACGAGAGGCAGACGACGTGAGGACAGCGCTCCAGCAGCGCATACGTCGCCGGCACGTCGTAGCAGATGACGCAGGGCGGCCGCTCGACCTCGTCCTGCGGCTGAGCCGGCTCGGCAGGCGCAGCGGCGGCGGCATCGTCGGAGCTCGGCGCCGCACTGCTGCTGCTGACAGAGGTGTGTGCGAACCAGCAGCTGTCGCCGCGCGCACAGTAGCCGGCGAGGAACCAGCGGCAGGGCGTGATGCTGGCGTTTGGCGGACGCCAGGGCTGCGTCGGTGCGCTCTTGGAGGAGGCGGCGGCCGGGGAAGGGCGCGAGAGGCGCACAGCTTGGCGCGGCGAGTGGGATGGCGAGCGGCTGCTGGAGGCCTGCGCCGAGGGTGGCCTATCTGGCTCGCTCATGGTGCCATGTATGTCCGGTGCGCCGGGGTGTGGTGGTAGGAGCCAGGCCGCGAGGAGGGCGCGGCACGGAGCTTCAGGATCCGTTGCGTGCCGCCGCACGCTGTTCCTCCACTTGCCTCGGCGCGCCGTGCATGTGTCTCACTTGACTCCGCACCGCAACACCTCAACACGCATCTTCTCAGGCGCAGCTCTGGCGTCGCCTCCATGTCCAGCAGCACTGCGCTCGCCGGCTTGCTAGATCCGTCGCAAAGCCCGCAGCACGCCAGCGCCTAGCTGGCAGCGCAGCGAGGGCACGCCGCGACGCAGGCATGATTGCGGCGCGGCCTGTGCAAGCCACAAGGCCGCTCTCTCGCCGCGCACGCTCAGGTGTGCCAGCATGAGTCCTCCTGCGGCACGACTGCACAGGTCACACAGCGATGCCATCGAGGCGCTGCCGTCGTCGACTCGTCTGTTGCTATGCAGCACGCTCGCGCTGCCCACGCTCGCCTCGCTGCTCGCGTTGCTCGTGCACAACGCCCTCAACGCTGGCGCGCGGCGCATCGCCGTCACACTCTGTCTGGGGCCTGACGATACCGCGGATGGACCGACGCCGTTCATCGAGTGCGCAGACGATGGCGCTGGCTTCTCCGAGGCTTGGCTACGCACGCAGGAAGAGCGCGTCGGCTCGCTTGCTCATGCGGCGACGGTCGGCGGCCTCAGTGTCGAGACGAGCGTCAATGGGAAGCGCTGGTCGCTGATACGCCGAGTGGGTACGATGCTTATGTGCTGCCTCGCCCCGCTGATCCGAGCTCAGGACGGCAGGACACTGCACAGCGGCAGCATGGACTCGATGCCGAGGTCGCTTCGCTCCCAAAGCAGTGCGAGTCGTAGCGCCGAGGTCGCAAGGGACCGTGGCAGCGTCGTGCGGGTCGACGACCTCTACAGCGCAGTGCGTCAGCTCCTGCAGAGCGCTGATGGCGTGCCAGCTCTGACGCTCTATCTCGATGCAGCTGCCTGTGCGCCGCACAGCACTGCAGCGCTCGGTCAGCGCAAGTTGCACGGCCTGCGTCAGCATGTTCAGCATGTTCGCCCTCTCGGCGCCGCGCACGCATATGACGCTCTGCCTGCGGCGCGATGGCAAAGAGCGTGTTCTGGCACGCTTCGCAGCGGTGCGTATCTCTGACCTCCATTGAGGCGCGTGCTCACGACCTGCAAGCAGACAGAATCTCTTATGCATCGCCTGGGCGACGCTCTCGACGTCGAGCTCTGCGACCGCGATGTGTCGCCCATCGACGTCCTGCTACCTCTCACCTCGTCTGTCAGCCAGCACGAATCGACCGCCGTCGAGGCGCCTCGCGGTACCGTGCGCGTCCGCGGCCTTCTCGCGCTGCAATCTGTCCCTCGAGGCGGGCAAGCCATCTTCTGGGCCGGCGCGCCAGTCTTCGACGACTCAGCAGAGGGCGCAGCATTGCACGACGGCGTCCGCAGCGTCTTTGCGCGCAGCACATTTGCACGTTCAGCCTCTGGCAGTCCAGTCAAGTCGCCGCGTGCAGGATACGTGCTGCATCTCGACGTCGTGCTCGAAGCCGCGCACGACGCACAAGAGATCGTGACCAGGGAAGAAGGCTTGGTGCTTGGTGCAGTCGACTCGATTCTACAGAGCGTGGTAGCGGACGAGCTGTGCAAGCGTGGCTTGCTTGCTGCGCCTCGTCGAAGCAAGCGCGCTGCCGCAGAGGGTCTGCAGCGAGCAGAGACGGCACCACCGACGCCACGCTTGGCTGCACAGAGCGCTGCAAGCACCTCTGCCCGTCCAAAGCGACCTCGCACCAGCTTGGGACAGCGCGTCGCAGACCTTGCCGGCGCGCGACCGTTGTCGAGCGACGCCCCCGCTGCTTTCGCCGCTGCGGTGCCGACAGCAACAGTCGAGCAGCCTCGGCTGCCGCGATTCGCTCGCCCGCCCTCCCGCCTCACCAAGGCCGATTTCTCGCGCCTTCGAAGCGATGATCCGCAAGCTGCGCCGCCAGATTGGCTCGTTCAGTCCCTCACAGGGCTCGTCGATCCCGTCCTGCCTCGATCTACAGAAGCCGACATCCCCTCCCTCGACACTGCCGTGCTCGAAGCACCTGCCTCGCCCGAGATGTCCCCTTCTCGAGCCTCGCAGCGCGCACGTCTCTCGGCTCACTCGGCACGAGCCAATGCCGTGCCGCTGCCCGCTGCTCAGCTGGCCTCGCGCTTCTTCGGCGGCTTGTCAGGCGGATCAGACATCCAAGCACTGCATACGTCAAGCTTGCAGGACGCTCGCGTGATCGAACAGATCGATCGCAAGTTCATTGCGAGCACGATCAGGCTCGAGGAACAGCAGGCACTTGTCCTCTTGGACCAGCACGCTGCCGATGGTGAGTGCTGTGCTCACACAATGCCGAATTCCTCGAGCTGACGCATCGTACCTCTGCTCAGAGCGCGTCCGCTTCGAGCTGATGCTTCAGCCGTTCCTACACGGCGCTCTGACGAGTACCGCTGCGTCAAGCATTCTCTCCGCCGCACAGAGCATCTTTCTGACGCCACGAAGCGTCTCGTCCTTACTCGAGCCTGCGCACGCGCACAGCGTTGCGCGCTTCGGCTTCTTGCTGGGCGCCTCTTCATCGTCCGACTTGATCGACGTGCACGCCGTACCCTCACTCCTGCGCGAACGACTAGGCGAGCGAGAGACGCTCAGCCAGACGCTGCAGAGCATCGTCGAGTGGCTTCAAGACGGCGGCGCAGGCGCACTCGAGGCGGCAGCACGACTGTACGTGCGCGATGAGCCGAGCGGAGGCAACGAGCGGATGTGGATGAGAGGCATGCGACACCTACCTTCTCGGCTCGCAGAGCTAATCGCAAGCAAGGCCTGCCGTGGCGCCATCAGTGGGTGCTGCGCATGGCGCCAGCGCAGAGAAGCAGCTGACATTGGGTGCGGCCAGTGTTCAACGATGCGTTGGAGAAGGAGCAGTGCCAGCGCTTGCTCGCGCAGCTGGCGGGCACGGCGCTGCCCTTCCAGTGCGCCCATGGCCGGTGCGTCTTCAGCTCCACCACCTTCCTGCGCTTTGCTCATCCGTCCGCGCAGACCATCGATGATCCCTCTCTGTCAGCTGTCCAGCGCCTCAGTGCGGCGCCCCGTCGACTGGGCACGTCTGGCAGACGCGTGAGGCCGTGAATAACATCGATGCAATTACCACAGCAGCGCAGCGAGCGAGGACAGAGCGGCCGAGGAGGCGTCTCGGCAACAGAGACGCGCCTTACGAGGCAGGCGTAGAGACGGGCGAAGGGATCACGCCGCCGATGGCGCGCAGACGCTCCAAGCCACGCACTCGTCGCTCCTCGAACTCGGCCTGCAAGAGAGTCGCTTTGTCAACCCCCGGGCTGAGTGCTCGTTCCAATATCAGCACCACTCACCAGCGCCCACGACGACTTGTCCTGCCAAGCTCCCAAGCCCCTCTCATCCTCCTTGCCTGCTCCCTCCGGGCGCGCAGGATCATACCGCGTCAGAATGCCCGCCTTGCGATGTCCATGTCCCGCCACCACGCCATCTCTCGGCAGAGGCGCTCCATGCTTCTGCTTGTGCTCCGCGCGCGCATTGCTCAACACCTGACGGCGCAGCGCCTCTGCCTTCTCCCAGTTGGCGCGCGTCGATGCAAAGGTGCCGTAGCCGGAGGTGGCGAGCACGAACCACGGCGGAATCGTGCGGCGTCCAGACTTGAAGCAGTAGCGAGAGACGGCGGTGCAGTAGAGCGTGCGGCCAGCGATGGGATCCTCGATGGGCGCAGGTGCGCCTTCGGCTTCCTCAGCCTCGCCGGGCAGCTCCGTCACTGGAGGCTTGCCTTGTGGCTGCGCTGCGTCTTTGAGGAGCTTGCGCAGGTTCTGCGCCGAGAGTGTGCGCTTGGCGCCCGGCGGAGGACGCTGGGGACCCTTGGCAGGAGAGACGAAGCGGGCCACCACGTCTGGCGATTCCCGCGTCAGCGAGCGAGGGAACAGGCGAGACTGAAGACTCACAGCACCACTTGTCGTCCCACGCCTCGACATTCATCTTCACTTCGAACTTGCTCAGCGCCGGAATCTCCTTGTGGAAGGCGAGGGCTGCGCCGCCCAGAGCCATCCAGCCGCCATCGAAATGGACTGCGAGAGGTGGAAGGCCAGGATGAGCTGCGGGCGCGAAAGGGGGCGGGGAGCGCGAGAGACGCACAGCGAAGGAAGCGAGGAGAGAGATGGCCCATGCGCGCATAGTCGAGGATCTTGGAGTAGCACGAGTTGGAGACATGTCCGCTGCAGGTACTAGAGTCAGCCAAGGCCATGGCGAGAGCCGCTGACCAGCCGCCGCCGCCTGCCGCACCTCGCTCCACTCACTTCCAGTCACAGTCATCCGGCCAGGCGCGGAAGCAAGCCGTGCTGACATCGGCAAAGAGATCTCTGCCCAGCGGCAGACTGCTGAGCTTCAAGCTCGGACTCGTGCCCGGGCTCGTCGTCGGGAAGCGCTGGCTGCGAATCCAGGGCAACAGCGGGTGGACGCTGGGGCGTGCCTTCATGCGCGACCAGATGGCGGGCAGGAAGACGCGGAAGTGCCAGACGAGCGGAAAGGACTTGATGTTGGCGACGAGCAGCAGGAAGAGAAAGGAGGAGAGCCAGCGAGGCAGGCGGAACTGCGAGGGCAGCGAGGCGAGAAAGTCGCGCGAGAGAATGACGCGCAGGGCGCGGCGCACGACGTACGGCGGCATGACGTGCGGGTCCGCGACAGTGCCCGGGTTGGTCGTCGACATGGCGGCGTGTGCGGCGGGGTGAAGGGGTGTGAGGGTGAGAAGTGACGGAGCGGAGGCGCGTCCAGGCACCAAGCCAGGCACGCAAGCGAGCTGCCACGGCGGCGAAGCGAGCCTCGCGGCGGCGCACGGCCACGGCGCCTGCTGCCTTTGCTGCTCCACACCGCACGCTGTGCAGATCCCGGCTCGCGAGCAGGCAGAAGGCCGAGCGCCGCGCCGGACGCCGACGTTCGCGGTCGCTGCCTTGAGATCCAGCCTGATGCCGCGGCTGCTCAGCGTCGATCCCTGACACTCGGGTGCAGCGTTCAGCCGCTGCCGCTGCTGCAAGAGTGCACGCATGGCTGATGAGGCCGTGGCCGCCAGCTCCGCGGGGTAGCAAAGCGTGGGGCGGCACGACGTGACGCGACCCGGCTTCCGGCACGCGCCTCTGCCGGCTCAGTCGCCCCAAGCTCCTTCGTTCTCTGTGCCGCACCCTGCAGCTGGACCAGCTGCCGGCTTGCTCTGCGAGAGATCTAGATGAGCCTCGGCAAGCAACTCAGACCGTCAATGAGAGACTCTGCGCCCCAGCGGTTCAAAGCCGCGGCTGTGGCTGCTCAACGAAGCGGCATGCCTGGCGCCTGCGGACCGTCGCGCTCTTTTCGCGCTTCTGCAAAGCAGATCTTTGCTGTGAGCCGGCCAAGTCGTGACCCGAGCCTGCTGCGGCATCGTCTACTGCAGCACATCTGGGCAATATTGCCGCCAAAAGCTCAGCGAGGTTGAGCTGACTCGCTGCTCGACGCCGGGAGCATGGAAAGCAGCGCTGGCGCCTCGCGCAGTCTCAGCGCGAAGTCTTTTCTCCGCTCGCTGAACGCCCCTCAGACTTCTGACTCAAAACGGTCTCTTCGCACGGCCCTTCAGAATCTCGCTCCCAGCCTAGTGTCGTTCCCAGAGACGAGGCCTGCCGGCGCTAGGGATGGCGAGCGCTGCAGCATCCGCGCCGGCATCGCGGCGGCTGCGCGAGGCGGGCTGGCAGATCTAGCAGCTTGCAGCTCGCAGCCCGCAGCATGCACAGCGGGCGGGAGGATCAAGCGGGCGACGTTACTGCAGAGCAATCCTCCCCGAAGAGAGCTGCAGAGCGCAGGAGCCGCTTGTGCGGGTCAACCTCTCGAGTCGGAGCCGAGGCTGCCAGGGGCCTACGCGCCAGCGTCTCTTGTCCTCGCCCCACAGGAGGCGCGCCACGCGCGAGAGCTGCGGAGGCGAGGCATGACAAGGGCCGCATTCGTTTTGCGCAAGCAGAAGGGCGCTCCGAGAAAGGCAGGCAGTGCAGGCTGCCGTGGGGGCGGGACAAACAAACGCTTCAGAGCCAAGGGGTGCGGCTCCGAGTGTCGGCAGTAGCGTCGCCCAGCCTGGTCTACAGTCTACATCCGTGGCACAACCGTGGCACGTCTGCGTCGCATCTGCGGCGCAGCTCTGCCGCAACTGTGCCGGGTCGGGAGGTGCCTTGCATCCCGATGTCCGGCACAACGCGCGAAGGACATCGCATGCTCCCTGCAGAGACAAGGCAGCGAGCGAGTAGACATGCAAGCCGCTGCACGGGGCCTATGCGCGATGCATGCACTCCGCATCGGCGGCCACAGACGCAGCATCGGCGACGGCGCTGCACAGGCGGAGCGAGAGGCAGCGGCAGCGGAGGAGGCTCGGCGAGACGCGTCTCTTGTGCTCGTTGCACGCGTCGCGCGCGGCGCGTGCTAAAGTGTCGCCGTGGGACAAGGCGGCTTGGCCCCCTCTGCCCCCTGGGCCTCTTCTCTCGCGTCATGCGACCCTCACCTCTCGGCTCCGTGCGAGGACAATGTGAGCGCTAGGAGGGGTACATTGACGTCAAGCCCCCTTTGAGCTTGCCTGCCCGGCACACACAACGTAAGCGTCAGACGGAGGTAGACAAGCGACGCCAAGGGTCGCCTCTTGTGCCCGACGACAAGGGCGTCCGCGCGCCGTCGTCAGCTGTCTGTCGCTCTGTCGCGACGCCACTCAGCCGCGTTTGTGTTGGTCGGGGTCGTCAGGAGTCCGCTGCGTATGCCGCTCGGCACCTTGTTTGTTTGTGCCATCTCCGCCGCGCGCCGCCTGCTCCGCCCTTTGTGATCGTCGCCCTCTCAAGCACGCTTGGCAGTCCGCCAGGCCGCACTGCGCTCGTGGCATGATCGACGCTTCATCGGCCTTAAGAGGGCTTGTCGTCGTCGCCTCTCTCCCGTCTCATCCCCTCCGCTTCTCTCTTCCGCTCCCTCTCGCACTGTCTCGAAGCAAGACCCAGCCATGTTCAACGCCACTCTCTCGCGCGCCTTCCCCTGCACTCCCTCCAGCGATCTTCCTCCCGTGCTCCTCTCCTCAACCCGCGCTCCCAACGCTCCTCGTCAGCAAGTGTCCCGAGCGCCGCTTTGCGGACTCGGCATCTCGTGGGAGGGCTCGAGTGAGGCACTGCAGAGCATCACCATGTCCGACTCATGCGTCGAGTCGTACGACCATCTCTCCGTCGGCGGTCTGCAACCTCCCTTCGTCCCGTCGTCCCGCAAGCAAAGCTGGTCGCAGCTCGATCGTGCATTCGACGGTCTCACCGGTGCAAGCTACTGCGCTTCAAGCGCCGAGTCCATCGAGTCGTCGGCCATGAGCAACCTCAGCGACGAGGACTCGACGTCGCATTCGCGCGCACCGAGCACGGCCCCGTCAAGCGTCGCTTCGCCACGTTCGCCACCGCAGCAGCCGCAAGTCGACTGCGGTCGCTTCCTCTCGCCTCCAACACCCGCACACTCGCCGGCGCCCTCGCACCCCGCGCCCATGCGGTCGTTGGGCACGCGAGAGCGTCTCGAGACGCGTCTTCGCGGCCTCGCAATCGACGTCGAGTCTGCTTCCTCTAAGGCCGTCTCCGGCGCGCCATCTGGCCTCGGCATCAACATCAACACGCACCCCTCCTCAACCCCGACGCCCTCTCAAGCGCGTCGTCGGCGTTCTCCTTCCTCTCCACCGGCACTCGAGACGTCCTTCAGCCCTTCCATCACCCACGCCGCGGGCAGCGCACCTCGTCTTCCATCTGGATTCATCGAGGGTGCAGAACTCAAATGGCTCCGGCGCGAAGCGTACCTGCTTATTCCGCTGCGCGTCACCAGCAGCCCTCGTCCTGCTGCGCGAGGACCGTCGACAAGAGCAATGCAGGATGCTAGCGTGCAGCAACAGCAGCGCACGGCGTCGCTGCCGCCGCCGACGGCCGCAATGGCAAGACGCAGAATGCCCAGTGCCAGATTCCATCCTTATGGCCTGGGCGGCGCCACTGCGGCTGCTTCGGCTTCGCCCTTCTCGCCGCCTTCGACTGTGCCGCCGCCGAGCGCTGCTGCTGGCTCGACGAACGCTACGCGCCCCTGGGACCTCTGAGTCGCGGCACCTCACTCAGCTCTTGCTTCGATACCCTATCATTGCCTTCACATGGCCGTCTAATGTCCTTCCACGTCTCGCTACGACCCCTCTTCCCTCTCTACTCTTATAGTTTCAGCCCTTATACGCAGCGTGCTCAGCGCTGGTCGCTTCTTCCTCTTCACACGAAGCACTTCGCCTTTTCCTCCCCTCGCGGACGCCTCATACCCTGCTTCTGCTCCTCATCCTAATGCCATGCCTCGCTTGTCCCTCTGCTCTCACCAGTTGTGCCAAGTCGTGAGATTATCAAGATCGCGTGTCGCCCCATTGCCCTTCCCTCGCTCTCGCATACTCTCCTACAACTCCACCCTCCCGATCTCGCCCACCACATCCCTCGCCTTCTCCGCCGCCAGTTGTGCCTGACTAAGCACGGCGCCGTCCGCTGCGCTTGCGCCGCCGAGATTGGAGGCGCCCCAGATGTAGTACGACGCCCGACGAGCTGCGCCGCGTGCGTGTTGCGGGAAGTGGAAGACGAGAGAGTACCAGAAGAGGAAAGTGAGAGAGAGGACTACTGTGCCTGTTTCGGAGGGAAGAGGACAGTGCCAGGTGGATCAGCAGGGAGAGTGCGAGAGCGAAGGCCAACGGCGAGGTGAGGCAGCTTGCGTGACCTGCGCCGTCGCGAGCAGGCGGCGGGATGCGACGTTCGCTGCGCAGGCTGTGTCGCCACGAGGAGACGCCATCGCTGTGTGAGCTGCACCTTGCGGCGACGACTAGAGTGCAGCCCACGTCGACAGCACTGCCCTCGGCGCGAGAGTCGCCCTGATCACCCATGCCCGCCGTGCCGAGCAAGTCCCTCACCTCGCCGAGCCCCCTTCCTCCTGGCATGCCCCCTCGCCGCAGCGCACTCACCGACAAGCACCTGTTCCCACCACTCGAGCATGCCCCAGCTGAATTGGCCGTCGATGTACATCTTGCCCCTCCACAGCGCCGAGCGCGGGTCGGAGAGGGACCATGTGGTGCGGCCGTACTGCGTGGGCTTGCGCGCGGTCGCTGAAGCGCGAGGTGCGAACGCGGAGGACTTCGGTGTCGGAGTGCGCTGCGAGGCGGAAGAGGCTGGACGCGACGAGGACGACGGCATGATGAGAGCGGTGGGGGAGGAGAGGGAGAGAGCAACACATGCGCCGGCAGGCGCGGCCCGGTCAGCGAGGCGCGAGACGTGCCGTGCGAGACCGCCCGCCGCCGCCGCGCGGCGCCGAGGGGCCAACGCCAAGGCCGCGCTGCGCTGGCGCACGGCCGCCGAGCGCATCTGCTTCTCCCTCTCTCACCACTTCTCCTCTTCTCCCCGTGGCAGGCATGTACAATCACCAGTCGCGCCACATGGGCAGCACCGCACCGCGCGGGGCCTACAACGGCTCCTCGAGCGCCGGCTATGGCGGCGCCGGCAGCAGCGGCTCTTCCGCGGCCGGTGCGCAGCTGGGCGCTTGGGCAGATTGGGCGGCGCGAGGCCTGGAGCTCGAGGAGAGGGCGCCGACGCAGCTGGGCAGGATGATCGGTGCGTTGCTTGAACGCGGAGGGGCCGAGTCAGGAGACTGACGCTGGCGGCGCAGAACGAGCGTGCGATCCCATCAATCGCTCGCCTGATCTCGCGCACAACCTCGAGGTCGCCGACTTTGTCACGAGCAAGAAGGCCAACATGTGCGTTTCCCTTCCTGGCTGTCCTCGCTCACTTCGGCAGTGGGAACTGATGACGCTCTCTGTGCACAGGCCGAGAGAGGCGGCGATGGAAGTGGTGCGGCTGATCAACTCGAGACATCCGCATGTCGCCATGCTGGCGCTGCATGTGAGTGAGGCACGACGGTGGGCGCGCTTGCGTCTGCGTGCAGAGCTGCGTTTTGGAGCCATCATGGCCAGCAAAGCATCACAGCAGAGCGACGCGTTCTCGTCGAGGCGCGGCGGCTCGAGCAGCGCTGAGCCTGCCTTCTCCTCCTAGCTGCTCGACACGCTCGTCAAGAACTGCGGCTATCCCTTCCACCTGCAGATCGCGACGAAAGAGTTTCTCAACGAGCTGGTCCGACGCTTTCCTGAGCGTCCGCCCATGTATGCCACGCCCACGCAGAGCAAGATCCTCGAGCTGATCCACGAGTGGAAGTCGACGCTCTGCGTGAGCAGCAAACACAAGGAGGATCTGGTGCACATTCGCGATATGCATAGGCTGTTGGGGTACAAAGGTGAGTGGAAAGAGAGAGAAAGAGCGGGAAGGCGGCTGTAGACTGTGGCAGCGTGCGGAGAAGAAGAAGAAGTCGGGGAGAAAGGGCAGGACGTTATGCCAGAGCGAGGACTGCGACTGACACCTGTGCCTTCCAGGCTATCGCTTCCCCAACCTCGACTCTCGCGTCGCCGGCGTGCTCAACCCGGAGACTGTGCGTATTCGGCACCCCTCGCAACGCTCCCACATCGCAGCTGACTCCTTCCGTGCGTGTTGCAGACGCTGCGCTCGCCTGAGGAGCTCGAAGAGGAGGACCGAGAGGCCCAAGCTGCTGTAAGTTCTCACTCGCCGCAACGGAGCTCAAGCGTGCGGACAGCTGATGTGCGGACGGCTGCGACGCAGAAACTGCAAGAGCTCATTCGACGCGGCACGCCTCGGGACTTGGAGCAAGCGCAGGAACTGATGGTCATCATGAGTGGAGCTGTACGTTGCATGCTTCCTCTCGCAGCCCTCGCACTGCTGATCCTCAACGCTCGAGCAGGAGCCAGAGAAGAAGCCCGACTACAAGTCGCAGACGGCCAAGGAGCTGGACAAGGTTCAGAGTCGCGCGATTCTGCTCAACGACATGCTCAACAACGCCAATGAGGGAGAGAAGTTTGCCAAGGGAGATGCGTACGATGTGAGTCTGCTCCACATCGGAGGAGCGGCTGGCGATGCAGCGCTGACAAAGCCTGGACGCACAGCAAATCTCGAGCCATCTGAAGAGCGTGCAGCCGCGCCTGCAGAAGTGGATTGGCGAGGCGGAGGAGGGCGAAGATGCGGCGGAGCACATGGGTGAGTCCGACCACGTCCGGCAAGCTTGCCGTGCTGGAACCTGCCTGACGTCTGTCTAGACCGCCTGCTGCTCATCAACGACCTCATCAACCGCGTCTGCGAGCGGCACGAGGCGTTCGTCAAGGGAGACTTTAGCGCTACTGCTGCTATCGATCCTTCGTGAGCAAGCTCTCCACTCCTTCCGTGTTGCGTGCAGTAGCTCACACGCTCTCCCTTCTCCAGTATCGACCCAGCTCGCGGCGGAGCCGATGCAGTGCCGACGGCCAAGATCAGCGATCTGATTGACTTCGCAGACGAAGCCGACGCCCCTTCCTCCTCCTCTGCGGCTGGCGGCGCCAACTCGCTCTTCGACGACTTTGCCACGCTCAACTTCGACTCTCCAGCGCCTGCTGCGGCGCCCACGGCTGCATCTCAACGCGCGATGCCCTCGTTGGCCGCGCAAGGCAAGGCCTTGGCTGCACCGGCGCTCACTACGGCACCCTCCCTGCTGCCGACCAACCTGCTCGACATCTCCGACTCTACGTCCTCTTCTACCGCGCCTGCAAAGGCGGCGCCTTCGACAGCAACGCCGCCGCCCGGCTTCGGATCGTGGGGCGCCGTGCAGCTGCCTACGCGCGTCGGCGCGGGCAGCAACGGCGGCAGTGGGGCGAACACGCCAAAGACGCAGCAGCCGCAGCAGACGCAGCAGAAGCCTGCAGCTGCTGCGGATCCGTTTGGTGACCTTGATGCGCTGTGGAAGTGAGGTGCGGCGCGGTGGACGCCAGTCATGGCTGGAGGATACCACTCGACGACGAGCGCCGCGCGGTGCGCCTTGTTGGGCCGCTCCGCTGTTGGGCTCATCGGGCGGATGACAATACAGATGCTGCTCTGGCCCGTGCGGGTGAGCGTGAGAGAGCACACAACGGACGAGGTTGTGGCATGTCTGACAGTGGGCTGACATTGCTGAGTTTACTCGGGTGAGGGCGAAGGGAAGAGAAGCGGGTGGAATGTGTGCACGGCACGAGCGGTTGGGAGGGAGCTTGACATCAAGGGCTGGACGGGCATGATGGTTCGGCGTGACGGTGAGAGGAGGGGGAAAGACGGATAGATTGAAGAGTGTGTTCGAGCACTTGGGTGTGAGGGAGCTAGGGAAAGAGACGCCGCGGATGGTAGTACAGTGGGTACACGGGACGAGAGAGGAGCATTTTGATGATCGAGGAACTAGCTACCAATCAAGAGGTTGAGGGGGCCATCGCAGCGCATCGCAGTGGAGAGAGAGAGGCGCGCTTTTACTGCGGGCCGCCGAAGCCCTGCTGGGGCTGGCCGTAGCCCTGCGGGGCCTGGCCGTAGCCCTGAGGAGCCTGGCCGTAGCCCTGCGGCGCCTGGCCGAAGCCCTGCTGGCCGTAGCCCTGCGGGGCGCCGTACGACTGCTGGCCGTAGCCCTGCTGCTGGCCGCCGAAGCCGCCCTGGCCGCCTGTGGACGAGAAGGGTGTCAGCGCTGTAAGGTGCCCGGCACAGGCAGCACAGGTTCGAAGGACCCGCGCCTCTCCGCTTGCGCGATGCACGGCAGAGAAGGCGCAGGCCTTCGGTCCCGGCTGCTAGGCTGGGTTATACTGACCGTAGCCGCCGAAGCCAGAGGCAGGAGCACCTCCGGCACCGTACTGACCACCGTAGCCACCACCGTAGCCGCCCATGGCGCCGCCCATGCCGCCGCCCATGCCGCTGCAAAGAAAGGATCAAAATGGGTCAGCGTCTGCACGTGCACTATGCTCTGTCAACGGCACGGCACTCACCCGGCAGGGCGCGAGTTGGCCATGTTGACGCGGATGCGGCGGCCGTCGAGCTCCTGCTCGTTGAGCGCGGCAATGGCGGCGTCGGCCTCCTGCTGCGTGCCGTAGGTGACGAAGCCGAAGCCGCGCGAGCGGCCCGTCTCGCGGTCCTTCATGACAATCTGAGACAGGAGAGGGTGAGCATGGTGGCGGACAGGAGACGACAGGGCGACGGGTGGTGGTGGTGCGAAGCAGCCTGCTTCGCCTTGCGGCATGCAGGATTGCAGACGGCACGCAGGCTTGCTGCAGAGCTGCGCCATGCGACCACCACCTCTCAACGCCACCGCACCGCGCCGCCCAGCTGCATGCCGCTCGCCGCGCACTCACGTAGTCAGTGAGCTGGCCGTAAGCCGAGAAGGCGTGGGCGAGACCATCGTCGGTCGTGTTCCACGAGAGGTTGCCGACGTAAACCTTGGCAGCCATGATGACGAAGCTTGGAGAGAGAACGAGACTAGGGGTCGGAGAGCGAGGTCGTGCAGACGAGACGAAACGGGACGAGTCGCGGAACGAGACGAGACGAGAGAGGGAGAGAGAGCGCGAAGAGGGCACGGGTCGAGTCAGACGGGTCGGAACCGGGAACTGAAGCAGACGAGTGCAAGAGAGGTGTGGTGTGGTGGTGCGAAGGGCAGGCTGACGTGCAGCACGGCGCGCGCTTGAGCCAGCGCAGAGAAGCCCGCTCGCCTTGGGCGCTGCGCTGGCGACGCCTTGGGCGCTGCGCTGGCGACGACCCGCCCGCTGCCCGCCCGCTGCGCAGAGAGCGGTGTGGGTGCAGCACGAGCGGCGGCGCGCGCGAAGGCGGTGGCGTGCACGCCAGCAGCATCAGCACAAGGGCCGCGCGGCCGGCCGAGTGAGCCGAGGGCGGTGCGAGACTGATGCGGTGCCTGGGCCGCGGCCGCGCGCAGGAAGAAGGGCAAGGCGCGGCTCTCGCGCGTCCCTCCTCGAGCGGCGAGTCACCGCCAGCCCCTCATCCCGCCATCAGTGCCCCTCGCTCCTCCGACACAAAGACAACCTTTTCTTGTGCTCACGCTCACGATGCTGCGGTAGCCTGCTGGCGTGCAGAGAGCGGATACAAGCTGGAAGAGAATAGCGAGAAGGAGCCTGTTGCTGCTGGCTCAGCGCAGGCGAGCGCGTCGCTTGCTCGCGTGCGCTGGTGGCGCGGCGAATCGCCTCTCTGCGCGCCTGCTGCACCCTGCTGCCGCTCGCTTCGGCCTCTTCTCTGCCGCACCGCGACGGTCCTCCTCCTGTCCGGCGCAGCTATACCTGCGAGTGCGGCCTACCCCGGAATGCGGTCGAGGCCGCAGAAGATGAGAGCGCTTCATGCACCATCCGCATCCTCTCTTTGCGCTCACCCGTGCATCAAGCTGGGCGAGCAGAGGCGTGGCCCAGGCTCGAGAGCAGAGGGCGGTGCGCCAGGAGGCCGTGGTCACGTGACGCACAGCTCTCTCCGTCGATGTCGCGAGCTCTGCTCCGTCGAGTTCTTCGCCCTAGCACGCAGCTGCTTCGCTTCTTGAGACGGATAGCGCCAAGATCTGATGTGAAGAGAGCCAAGCGAAGACGGAAGGGGCCAAACCCAAGGCCGAGCGAGCTGCTCCGCGAGCCACTCGCGCTGATCCGTGCACCACGTAAGCCTCACAGAGGCCTCTCTCGCCTCTCATCGATGTTGTGCTCGCGCCGACTCTTCGCAGTACATGAGTCCAAGCCCACGTATGCACATCGAAGCAGGAGCACCAAGCTTCCAAGCCTTTGAAGCTCGCATCGAGGTCCGCAGCCAAGAGAGAGCGCGACGTTCCTTTGGCGACATCGACGCGCGCGCGGCGCCAAGGCTCCTGCACGTCGCTCGGGCTGGAGAGGCAGCCGGGCATGACAGGTCTCGGGAACGCGCATGGCGCCTCTGTGCAGCAGCAGCAGCCGCGAGCGCAAAGGGCGCCGTGGCTTCCACGCAACGAACCCTTCTGCCGCTTCGCTCTCAGCAGCTGAGCGGGGGATGCGAGACGTGGCGTACGTACGCTATGAGGAGCGCATGGCTTGACGATCGCCTCGTCGTGCTCTCGAGACGGACGCGAGACGCAAGTTCGCACTTGCGTGCGTGCTTGATCGGCTCTGACAGCGGTACATGGCCTGCGCTACCAGACTCCACTGCGTCTCGTCGATGGGGTTCCGAGCTGATTGACGCTGTCGCGCAACTATGCCTCGCGTCTCTTGCTTGCTCGAGAGGCGACGCCCGTCTCGAAGGCGGCGATGCTGCGCACCTCCCACAGCGGCATGCGACAGGAAGCACGGTCGTGAGAGCCTGTGATCAGGCCGGCTTAAGCGGCAGAAGAGATCGCTCTCCTTGTTCGGCCTCGGTGGTCAAGCGACGGAAGCCGCAGCCGTCGAGCACGAGAGAGAGAGCACAGCAAGCCGTCGCTCCGGCTGCCGTCCCGTTCGGATCTGCTGCTGCCGGCGATCATCTCACCTCCACCACGCTCCACCTCTCGCGAGCGTTTGCGCGCGTCTGCAGCTGTGCCGAGCTCCGCTGCGGCAGAGAGAGGGCTCCACGCTTCGATTCGACGCCCGCGGCTTTGGGCCAAGGACCCCCGCCGACTCTGAGCGCCGTGCCTGAACGAGCCGCTGGGAAGTTTGCGAGAGGAGACGGGCCGTGACAACGAGGACGCCGAGCGTCGGCAGCAGACGACATCATATCGGCCGAACCGCCTTTGTCCCGCTGCCTCGTGAGCGCTCAGCTCAGCCTTGACGCTTGGCCGAGGAGCGAGAATTTCGTCTGCGCTCATGCTGCTCGTGGCCCGTCTGCGCGCTGCCGCGGCGGAGAGAGCGGCGCGTTGCGATGCACGCTGCAGATCCGCATGTCACGCTGCGATGCTGCGCTGGAGCGCCGAGGCGGCGCATGTGCCGATGAGGGTGCCTGCCCTGCGCCTGTTCGTACGCGCAGCTCCGACGCCCGTGCGCTGCGGCTGCGAGGGCAGTGCGGCAGCAGAGCAGCACACCAAGGCGCCGAGGCGAGGCACCGACGCGGGCGCAGACGCGGCCGGCAGCAGAGCAGAGGAGGAGCAGCGGCAGGCCGTTTGCTGCTGTTGATCTGGCGGCTTAGGGGCATCTTTGCTTGCACCCTCGCGCGAGCAGCGAGGCGCGCGAGGGTGCACCCGCACCGCGTGGCTCGCCTGTGGGCGGACAAGCGCGCTTCTGGCTCGCCAGCGCCGCTCTTCCGCGGCCGCCACGAGGTGAGCTCGAGGTCGGTGAGGGGTGCAGCGAGAGAGGAGAGAGAGAGAGGGGCGGCACAGGGTTCAGACGCGCGCCGAGCGTGCGGGCGGGCGGACACAGGGCGCGTGCCCTTGCATGCGCCACGCGGGAGCGCCCAGACTGCTCGCCTGCCCGGCCCCTTACTGCGCCAGGCTGTGCTCCTGGCGGCGCGCTGCCGGCGGCCGGCGGTGCAGGCGCGCGCGTCGCAGCGGCCGCCTAGCGCCTCTCGCCGCCTGCCGCCTGCCGCCCTCCGCCTCGCGCCTGACGCCGCCGCCGCCCGCCTCGCGCGCTCGCACCGCTGCGCCTCACGCTCAACGCTTGGCCTTGCCTCGCCTCGCCTCGCCCTACGCCAACGCAGCGCATATCACTCCGACCCTCTGCTCCTCCATCTCCACACCCCTCCCGATCTGCCGCCTGCCTTGCTTCTCCATCACCCTCGCTCGCTCTCATCCACACACGCCGCGCGTGCTGCCTCTCACTCTCACCCTCTCGCCGCACACTCTCTCGCATCTCTCTAGCGCCCTCGCCGCGCCCACGTCCGTGCCGCCGGCGCGCTCCCCCGCTCGGCCCGCCCGCACCGGCTGTGCACCGCATCCGCCTCTCACAGCAGCAGCCATGTTTGGCAGCTCCAGCCGCGCGTCGAGCAGCCGCCTCGCGGCCGCGCGGCCAGCCCGGCGCAGTGCCGCGCCCTCGTCCTCGCGCGTGACGCCGCGCCGGCTGCTCTCCCTCGCCGCTTCGGCCGCATGTGCTGCCTCGCTCGTCGCCACCGGCGCCGCCGCGGGCCGCGCCGCCGGCGAGTTTGAGGTCGTGCAGGCCAACTCGCTGGCGTCGGCCATGATGATGGCCCTCATCAACGACCACGACGTCGTCATTCTCGACAAGGTCGAGAACAACGAGGCCAAGCTCGACGACGGGCGGCCGGTGTGGGGCAGCATCCTCAGTCTCGACGACAACACCATCCGTGCCGTCGACGTCAACAGCAACACGTTCTGCGCCAGCGGCGGCCACCTCGGCAACGGCTCGCTGCTCGTGGCCGGTGGCAACCAGGCGGTGCAGTACGGCGGCGCCTCGCTCACGCCCGGCCAAGATCCCACGACGGGGCCGTACAAGAACACCGACGGCAGCCAGGCGCTGCGCATCATGGACTTCACCGACACGAGTGCCAATCTCGAGTGGAACGACGGCACGCAGTTCATGGTCTCGAAGCGCTGGTACCCCGGCATCGAGACGCTCGCAGACGGCAGCATCCTCCTCATCGGCGGCGCCACGGGCGGCGGCTACATCAACCGCAACTACCCCAACGACTCGCCGCCGTTCCAGGGCGGCTCGCTGCAGAACCTCAACGGCGGCGGCGCGAACCCGACGTGGGAGTTCTTCCCGTCCAAGGGCAACACGCCGGCCGTGAGCAACTTCATGAGCGTCACGAACGGTGAGTCGTGCGTGCGTTCCAGAGGCTGGCCATCTCGCTGACACCCTCACAGGCCTGAGCATGTACCCGCACACGTTCCTCATGCCCAGCGGCCTGCTCTTCATGCAGGCCAACGTCAGCACTGTGCTGTGGGACTACAACACTAACCAGGAGACGTACCTCGCCGACATGCCGAACAGTGAGTGCACGCAGAGACACGGCGGCATGGGCGCTCACCTGACGCGCTTGCCGCAGACAACGTGCGCGTGTACCCGGCCTCGGGCGCCACGGCCATGCTGCCGCTCACGCCGGGCAACAACTACACGCCGACGATTCTCTTCTGCGGCGGCGCCGTGCTGAGCAACGACCAGTGGGGCAACTACACTGCGCCCAACGTCAATGTGCTCAACATCGAGGCGAGCAAGGACTGCTCGAGCATCACGCCCGAGACGGCCGACGGCAAGCAGACGGGCAGCGGCTACGTGCACGAGGAGGACCTGCCGCAGGGGCGCACGATGGGCCAGTTCATTCACCTCCCCGACGGCACCATGGTCATCGTCAACGGCGCCAACAAGGGCACGGCGGGCTACTCGAACCAGACGTGGACGTTCACGGCCGACGGCACGCGCACCGAGGGCATGTCGGCCGACCCGACGTACCAGCCGGTGCTGTACGACCCGACGAAGCCGCAGGGCCAGCGTCTCTCGAGCACGGGCTTTGCGCAGAGCAACATTGCGCGCCTCTACCACTCCTCGGCCATCCTCATTCCCGACGGCAGCGTGCTCATTGGCGGCAGCAACCCGCACCAGGACGTGGCGCTCACGATGCCGCTCAACTCGGTGCCGCAGGCCTTCAACACGACGTACGAGCTGGAGAAGTGGTACCCGCCGTACTTCTTCCAGGAGCGGCCCGTGCCGACGGGCCTGCCGAGCAGCATCCTCTTTGGCGGCAACACGTGGAAGTTCAAGATCGACGCCGCCTACATGAACCGCGACAATGCGGCCAACTACCGCGCCAAGACCACAAAGGTGCGCGTGATCCGCCCCGGCTTCTCGACGCACGCCATGAACATGGGCCAGCGCTCGCTCGAGCTCGCCGTCGCGTACACGGTCAACGACGACGGCAGCGTCGACTTTGAGGCGATGCCCATGCCGCAGAACAAGAACATCTTCGTCGCCGGCCCCGCGCTGCTCTTCGTCGTCGTCGATGGCGTGCCGAGCAAGGGCGCGTACATTCAGATCGGCTCGACGAGCATGTCCGGCGTCATTCCGAACAACTACGCCGTCGCGGCCAACCCGACGCTGCGTGCCTCGACGACGCAGTCGGCCAAGAGCTTCAACGGCGTGCCGGCCAAGGACTCGTCCAGCTCGTTCGGCCTTGGCAAGATCATCGGCGTCGCTGTTGGAGGTGCCGCCGTGCTGGCGGCCATCCTGCTCGGCATCTGCCTCTGGCGTCGCTCGGCGAACCGCAAGGCCGGCGGCGGCGGCAAGAAGGGTGCGACGCGCAGTGCCGGCGCAGGCGTCGTTGCCGGCGGCGCCATGTACGGCATGGGCACGTACGGCAGCGGCAACGGGCCAGAGTACAAGCGCGTCGACACGCCCAACTTCATGCCCGGCCGCGCCAGCATGGGCACGTTCGACAGCTACCGCATGAACGACGTCGGTGGCCCTGCCAGCATGCCCGGCACGCCCGGCACGCCTTCGCAGCGCTACTACGACCATCCGGCGGCTGGCGCACGCGCTGCCTCGCCGCTCGTGCCCGGCCAGCGCTCGCCGAGCGGCGGCTCATCTGCGGCGGGCGCGTACCAGCAGCAGGGGTGGGGCGAGCACCAGGCGGCAGGTGACATGGGAGAGGAGTACTACCGCGACGGTGGCTACTCGGATCCGTCGCGTCTGTACGATGCGCACCAGCCAGCCTCGAGCAACCAGCTGGCAGCGCCTTCGCCGTACGCCTCGCACCAGCAGCTCGCGCCACAACATGCGCGGAGCTATTCGCAGCAGCACGACTACTTCCGCGGCAGCAACCCGTAGACGGCGACGAGGCCTGCATCCGGCTCTCCTTCTCTCTCTCTTCATGCCTTAACGCCTCCACTCAGCCCGCTGCGCCTGCGCTTGCGTTCGACCTCTGCTTGCACGTTCGCTCTACTCGCCGGACCCGTCACCCATACGAAAGCTCAGCCGCGCGGCGTGGCCCAGCCCGCTCCTTCCTTCTCCACCCCACTTCGCCCTTGACGTCTCCACATCATCACTCCTATCTCCCACGCGCGCGTGCTCTTCGTCCAGCCACGCCCTACTCGTCTGTCTCTTACGCCACGCCTCTCCGGTCCGCGTCTCGTCCGCGCCCGCTCGTGTCTCTCCAGTCTCGTCTCGCTCGCTACCCGCTCTACTCCACACTGCTGTCCGCCAGCCTATGCGCTCGCCGAAGCGGGTGAAATAAATGCGTCTCCATCAGCTGAATCGTGGACATGTGAAGCTGCTTGCGCGAAGTAGGGCGACGGGCGAGAGAGAGAGAGGCTCATCGTGGGCGTTGAGCGCGTATGACGAAGAGATGCTCGCCACCTGCTCGCCGCTGCATCGCGATCTGACGGTGCGGTTGCATCAGCGACTGCCCTCAGCCAGACGCCTCCATGTGCTTCCTGAGTCACTCACCTCGGCGAGCAGGCCCTTCGCTTGCATCTTCGCCACGAGCGCAGGGGGATCATTCGCCCGCAAGGCGAGGAGATAGAAGAGCCCGCCGGGCGCCAGGATTGTCTGTTTGCGGTGCGTCAGCGCGCCGTGCCTCCAGCAAGCAAGCGCACCGGAGCTCACTTCAAGCCCATCTTCCAGCAGTGCCTCGACCAGATTCGTGCCCGTCGCCCCGCCCGCCCAGGCACCCGCTATCCCGCCCGCCGCTTGAGCTGCTGCCTCCTCCTCTGCGGTCGTCGGTACATACGGCGGATTGAAGAGGAGAATGTCTATCAACCCGCCTGCGGCCCGAGAACGGGAAGAGAGGGAGGAGAGGAGTGGCGAGAGGATCGGTGAGAGCGCCACCTGAAGACAAGGGTTAGTCGTCGTGGAGAGAAAGAAAGAGGGAGACGAACGGAGTTGGCGCTTCCTGTTCGTGCAGTTGCTGAGGCGGCATGAGGGTTGATGTCGGTGCAGAGGTGTGCTGTTGGCCGGCGGAGTCAGCTTAAGCAGAAAGCGTGCCTTACTGTGCACTCACCACAGTCATTCTTCCCAACGACGGCAGCTGCGAATGCGCTCACGCAGCCGCTCCCCGACCTGCGTGCAGGGAGTCCGCATCAGCCTCTCCGCTCCCTCCTTCCATTTCGGCACAAGCGCACCCAATCTCGACGCAAAGTCGCCGACTCCCATCTCGCAGCAGCGCAGCGTCCGCATCGAGGGCGTCAAGCAACAGAAAGGTGTCTTCTGCCGGCTCGTAAATATGCGCGTACTCGGCGCGCGAGAAGGGCAGTTCGGGCGTCGGTGTCGAGACGGCTGCCATGTCGCGACTGCAGGCTGATCAAATGCCAGTCAGACAGACGTTGCCAGACGAGTCGCTGCGCGAATGAGAGATGCTCTGAGGTGCTTGCCACAGTGCTTTGCGAGCGCTCTTGCTGCTTTTGAGAGAGACTTTGACTTGACTGGTGAGGTGAAAGCCTCGGCGCGAAGAGGGAAGGCAAGGCGGCCGCGCCGCCGTGGCGCGGCAGGCCAGGCGGCAGGCTCAACTGTTCCCACGCTCTCCGCCTGGATCTGCCCTCGCGCCTTGTGAGCTGGCAGTCTTCTCGCCTCCCGCAGTCAGTACCGGGGCAGTCGTCGGAGCATCTGCGCTCGAGCTGGGCGAGAGCATCTGCCATGCGCAGATCCAAGCGCCGCCTGCTGCATCACAGCCCGTGGCGCAAGATGCGGGCGCGAAGGGCGGGCTCGAGCTCGCGTGCGGCGCGTGCAAGGCCGAAGCGCGGCGCTTGAGTCGCCGAGGGCGTGCTCGCGGCCCGCCAGCCAGCGCACCCACACGCCGCCTTTGCTGGCCCGCACACGTCGACATGCAGCGACGAGCTCGTGGCACACCTTCTCTCCATCACCATGGTCGCAGCCTCTCATCAGGACAGCATAGGTGGCGCCCTGGCACTTGCCAGCGTGCAGCCGCGTCGAGCCGACGGCTTGCTCGCGGCGGCGGTGACGGTGACGCTGCGCCACACGCAGCGCGCCAGCCGATCGATGTCGCCGGCCGACTACAAAAACGCGCCTCGAGTGGCGCGTGCCGAGTACAAAACGCGGCGGCCCGATTCTAGAAGATTTGTACTCGCGCCCCGCCTTGCGCTCCGCAGCTCTTGCATCAGCCAGCCCGGCGCGCCTCTTGTTCACCCCTGGCGGTCGCTTCGCACTCGCACTCGCGTCTCCCACCCACCCCGGCTCCCTCACTCGGGCCCATCCTCTCCCTCTCTCTCGCTCGCGTGTGGCAGTCACCGAGTCTTTGTCCCTTTGCCCCAGTGCAAAGTGAAGAGCTCGAGCCCGTTCCTGCCCTCTTGCCTCTCTCTCACACCTCGGCGCATACTCGTGGCTCTTTCGCCTCGCGCCATTGCTGGTCTCTGCTCCAGCATCGCCCTCCTCTCTGCTCTTCTCTTCGGATCGACACCTGCACCCCGCTCGTGGCCGGCCACATCGGCTCACGCTCTATCTATTCACGCCCGTTCCGTCTGCTCGAGTCTATTACCAGCGGCCTGCGCGCTGCTGTCCCCCGTGCTGAGAGCGAGTGCGCCAGCCGCGCTGCTGCTTCGCTCGTCCGCCTCTCTCGGTGAGTTCGCATGGCCCGACACTGGACGAGGACTGGAGCAGGGCATGACTCGTCGCATCAAGCATGCTACCTCATCGCGCGGGCAGCTCAGCGGCTGCGTTGCTCGACCAGGTCGCGTGACCGGCCCTGAGGGCGAGCGCCACCGCAGCATGCCCTGCTCCGGCAGCCCACTCGCTCTGAGTCAGCACTGAGCACAGCCCTTACCTGCAGGCCGTCTCCGCTTTAGTCCTGCTTCGTAGCGCTAGCCTCAGCGAGAGAGGCGTGCGCCGCGGCTCTCTCCGCCTTCAGCAGCGCCGCCACCCCATCTCTGGCGGACGCCATGACGCCCGCTCCCTCTGCGCACTCGCAGCAGAGCGGCGGCAGTCCGCCGTCGAGCAGTGCCTCGCACTCGCACGTGCCCAGCGGCTCCGTCTCGACGGCTCGCTCCACGCCGCCGCTCGATGGCGGCAGCAACTATGGCGGTGCCAATGCGCCGCATCAGCCGACGCGTCCCGCCAGTCCGGGCAGCGAGGGCAGCGGCAAGCGTGTTCTCATCTGTCTGATGCGCCTGGATCTGCGCATCGAGGACAATGCTCTGTTCCACTAGTGAGTTGCTCGAGCTGCTGCTGCTGCCGTGCGTTGCCGACACCCGCTTGCCAGTGCCCACACGACGACGCCACCGCCTGACCCGGTGCTGGCGCACCACACGCACTTCAACAAGGACAAGGACATCGATCTCTCTGGCCTGCACAGCCAGGCCGACTATCTGCTGCCGCTCTTCGTCTTCGATGAGCGCACCATGGAGCTCAGCGGCCTGCCGGGCTACGAGCGCCGTGGGCCCGAGGCGCGCACGCAGAACTACGGCTTCTGGAAGACGGGCGGCTACCGCGCTCGCTACGTGGCCGAGTCGGTGTACGACCTGCGCTCTCGGCTGCGCGAGGTGGGCTCAGACCTCGTCATCCGCTTCGGCATCCCCGAGGTCGTCGTGACGAACTTTGTGCGCGCCTTCCAGGAGCGCGGCGACGAGGTGGAGGGCGTGTGGCTGCAAAAGGAGATGACGCACGACGAGGTGCAAGTCGAGACGGAGATGGCTCGCATGCTCCAGGGCACCGGCGTGCCGATGCGCTTCGTGCACGGCAAGACCCTCGTGCATCCTGCCGATCTGCCCTTCGAGATCGGAGACACGCCCGACGTCTTTACGCCCTTCCGCAAGCGCGTCGAGTCGCTGCCCAACATGGTCCGCCCCTGCTTCCGTGCGCCCAAGACGTGGAAGTCGGTGCCGCCGCTGCCCGAGACGCCCGACTATGCCCTCGACGTCTCGTACGAGGTCGACGTGGATGGTCTCTCGCCACGCCCGCCGCAGGAGCAGAGCCAGCAGGAAGGCCAAGTCTCGTTCCACGACATTCTGCGCTACCTCATTGCGCCCGTCAGCGAGAACGGGCCGCCCAGCAAACAACTCACTGCTCATCAACTGCAGGAGCGGCATTCCGCCTCTGCCTTTCCGATGCGTGGCGGCGAGAGCTCGGCGCTCGAGCGGCTGGACTGGTACTTCGTGCGCGGCAAGTCTGCCGACTCGAGCCGCTGGGGCAAGGCCGATCCGCCGCCCGTGGCGCGCTACAAGCAGACGCGCAACAATCTCGTCGGACACAGCTACAGCACCAAGATGTCGCCCTTCCTCTCCTACGGCTCCATCTCGCCGCGGCAGATCTGGGAGGCGCTCGACTACCACGAGCGCAAGTTCGGCGAGGACCGCAACACGTACTGGGTGCGCTTCGAGCTGCTGTGGCGCGACTACTTTTTCTGGGTCAGCGAAAAGTACGGCGACTTGCTGTACAAGCTCGGCGGCTTCGAGGAGCGCAGCGACCCGCGGCAGGCCGAGCAGAAGCTGGCGGCCGGATGGTGGAAGACGTGGGATCCCAAGAGTGCGCCGCGCGACCATCACATTTCGCGGCTGCTCGAGGGCCGCACGGGCATTCCCTTTGTCGATGCCAACATCATCGAGCTGCGCGAGTCGGGCTTCATGTCGAATCGCGGCCGGCAGAACGTCGCCAGCTTCCTCACCAAGGATCTCGGCTACGACTGGCGCATCGGCGCCGAGTTCTTCCAGAGTCATCTCATCGACTACGACCCGACGAGCAACTACGGCAACTGGCAGTACGTTGCCGGCGTCGGCAACGATCCGCGCGCTTCGCGACACTTCAACGTCGTCAAGCAGGCCAAGGACTACGACTCGCACGGAGAGTACGTCAAGCTTTGGATTCCCGCACTGCGCAATCTGCACGCCGACTTCTGCCAGACGCCGTGGCTGCTCGACGCCGAGGAGCGTCGCAGCTACGGCCTCAAGACGACGCAGATGGACATCGCATGGGACGCCTACCCCGCCGCACCGATGATCGAGAGCGACACGTGGCGCAAGCACTACGAGCGCAAGGAGGGCGTTGGCTCGAAGATGTTCGGCAACCCGCAGGAGAAGGTCAAGGACGGTCGGCCAAAGCGCGGCGGCAACAAGCGCAACGCAGGCGTGCCTCCTCCTCCGCCGCCGACTTCGCACAACCAGAACGGAGGAGTGACGCCCGGTGCATTCGCACTCTCTGGTGCCGGCCAGGGCCCCAAGCTTGGTCCTCGCGGCACTGGCGCCGTGGGCGCACAAGCCTCGCCGTACCCTCCGCTCAACATTCCCGGCCGCGTCGCGGCGCCGCTCCACGAGATCCCGCCGATGACGAGCAATGCCTCGGCCTCTTCCGCACGTTCGGCATCGCCGTTTGGCGTCGTGCGACCACAGCAGGCTGGAGGTGCTGTGGCGGTGCCCAACGCGCTCGCAAGCCTCGGAGGAGGTGTCTCATCGACGGCCTTCGTCTCGCAGATGGGCGGCCTGTCGCTCGGCAATGGTCTGCCTCGCGGCAACGCACAGGACGCACCTGGTCCACGCGCGCCCGACTACGTCAGTCCAGCGCATCAGCATGCTCAAGTCGCGCAGCAGCCGCCGCCGGGCATCTCTTCGGCCTCGGCGCCTCAGCAGCCGCAGCCTGGCTACACGTCGCGCGCAGCGGGCGGCGCAGGAGTATTTGGCCGTAGCAGTGCGGGCCTGCATACGCCAATGGGGCAGATGGGACGTTCGAGTCCCTCGATGAACGGACCGGGCACTCCTTCGAACGGCTATGCCGCCTTCTCTGCGCTCAGCACGACCAACAGCGCCGGCAGCGCGGGCACGGCCACGCCGCCGCCGGGCATCCATGGACACCGTCAAGCGCCTCCGCAGCCGCACTCGGCGATGCAGCAGCAACAAGGGTACCCGCAGCAGCTGCAGCAGCGCCCGATGCAGACGCAGCAGAGACAGCCGCCGCAGCAACAGAGATCGGCGGACCAACAGACGAGCTGGAGAAGAGGCCCTAGCTGGCCGGCCGGCACTTCGCGCGACTGAGCCCCCCAGTTCCAGCAGCCAGCAGGCATCGCTCGCTCGCCGCCCATCGCCCGAGCGAGCAGTAGAAAGCGCAAAGGCGCCCTTCGCTTCGCGCACCACACCATCACACATAGCACTCATTCCGTCCCATCCCGCTCTCCATCGACTCGATGCGATGCGAACCTATCATATCTCTACATCACATCTACGAGCCTACACACACACATCTGTCCTCTCTCTCTTCCTCTGCATGTCTCCCTCGCGCCTCCCGCGCCCCACCTTCTCAACTCTCCCAGGCTCAGCGCGCTGTACACCAGACGACTCGCGCAAGCTCCCCCCTCTCTACTTTTCGCATGCCTCCCGGAGCGCCGTTTGCGCCTCTCATCTCCCCTACACACGCCTCTCCTGCCTCCCATCTCCCACATCTCTCGCCTGGAGACGCCTACTCTACTCGCGTCTGGAAACAACGGAACGGGGCTCTCTCTCTCTCTCTCTCTCTCTCTCTCTCTCTCTCTCTCTCTCTCTCTCTCTCTCTCTCTCTCTCTGAGTGTGCGACTGTGCTTGACGTGGCTCCTGCTCTTCATGTCGACAGCGACGAAGAATGCAGCAAGCGTGCTCCAGGAGGCATCAAGCTCGCTTGCGGGAGCGAGATCGTGCCTCAGCAGCAGCGCCCGGAGGCCGGAAAGGGAGGCGCAGCAGCACGCGCGCCAAGCGCCCGATGCAGCAGCACCGCCTCACGCTCAGCGCGCGCAGGTCAGGGGTGACGTCACGCGCTCTCTCGGCACGCCGGCAGGCCGCCTGCGCGCGCACGTCTCGGCGTGAGGAGCACGGCAGCCGCTTGATGAGCTGAAGGCGGTGCCGGGAGCATTCTGTATTGCCTGCACTTGCACAGCCAGAGTAGTCCCGCAAGAGTCGTGCGACTCGCGTCTCATCGGGCTCCGCCTCTCACCACCACCACCACCTCATCCCGTCTCTCTCTCTCAACTCACACACCACACCACCCCCAGCCAGTCGCCCAGAATGGACTTCTTCTTCTGGTGCGTCGCCATCGCTCGTCACTCTGTCCCTTTCGCGCTGACCTCGCTCTGGCTCGGCGCAGCATCCCCATCATGTTCGGCTGCCCCAGCAAGATCAAGCAGGAGGGCGATGGCACGTGCGTAGCGCTTCCTGGCTCTATGACCCCCCTCGCCGTATTTGCTGACACGAGATGGTGTTGGAGCAGGCCACACATCTGCCCGCGCTGCCACAACGCCCAGGTGGTGCGCGCCAAGCGCAGCAAGCGCTTTGAGCTCTGCTGGATCCCGCTCGTGAGTGAACGGGCGATGGGCGGCGAGAGGAAACGCGACGAAGGAGCGGGCGCATGGCGGATGGCGGGCGAGAGGGGACAGAGGCGGATTGCCGGGGCGCGCGAGGGTGTGGTGGAGGGAAAGGACAGAGCGGGCTCGAGGACCTTGCAGGTGGTGGCGCAGTATCTAGCGGCAATAGGCAAAGGAAAGCAAAGCGGCGAGAGCGCAGAGCTCTGCCCTCCTGCAGAGGGCCGCCGCAGCGCCGCTAGCAGAGAGCAGGCACTCGTTTAGCTGTCCGAGAGCGACGAGGAGCAGCAAGAGAGTGCAAGTGCAGCGTGTTGGGCGGCGCAAGCGCGGCAGCCGGCACACTGAGCGGCCAGCCTTCGGCAAGAGTGGCCGAGATGGCACTCAGCGACGAATCCTCGCCGCACTGAGGGGTGGCTGTGGCTAAGGACGAGCAGCTCTGGCTCGATACGCAGCGCTCTGCGTCGAACCGGTGGGCGTCGAGCACGACGTAGCACCAACTTAGCGTGTGGGGCCCGTGAGGGCACGCGCAGCAGCTCGCAGATCCGCGAGCTGCCGGTGCCGGCCAGGGCAGGACAGAGTCCCTCACCTGGAGCGCAGGAAGCCGGTGTGCTCTCGCGAGCCGAGCGAGACAGGCGGCTTGTACGCAGCCTCTCCGCGCGGGCATCCTGGCCTGATCACGCCGGTCTCACTCTCCTCTGCCTTAACGCAACGCTGACGTCTTTTCTTCCTCTCTAGATTCCTCTCGGCAAGAAGCATGTGCGTCTCTCTCTCTCCCCCCCCCCGCCTTTCCTCTCCCTCCTCTCGCTCGTTGCTGACTCGCTCGTTCGACACAGCTCTTCTTCTGCTCCATCTGCCAATGGTCCGCGCCCGTCGACGGCGGCTTCCAACCACAAGTGGCGGGCGGAGGCTATGCGCACCCTGGCGCGCCGGGCGGCGGGTATGGAGGATATCCGCAGGGGCAGATGCAGGGCTACCCGCCGAAGTGAAGGCGCGTGGGACGCGATCGGCCCCGAGACGCGGCTGAGCGGCAAGGCGGACCGATGCCGATGTCCATGCCGATGCCCGATGACGACGATGACTCCTCTACGACTCCACGTTCTTGTACCTAGTAATCATGCCTCTTTCGCGCTCGTGCATTGCTCTGGCTGCTCCAGCGTAGTTGCACAGAGAAGCGAGGCCAGAGGCTCGTCATGGGTCGACCACGAGCAGCGCCTCTTCCTCGCACATCCATCCCTTCACCCTCACATCTCCTCCACCAACTTGCAGCACGCATGAAGAGCCTCCGAACACGGTCCCTGCCGTCCGGCGTCAGCATCCCAACATGCAGCGCGAGGAGACCGGAGAGAAGGGGGGGGGGGGGGGCAAAGCTAAGAGGGGGACTCTCACCTCCTTCTTGCCCCACGCGATTCGCGCAAGCCACTACACAGCGATGCGGTGCTTCGAGGAGAGGAGTGAGCCGGAGCAGCCAGTAGTGGATCATTTGCTGCGCTTGGTGCTGCGCTTGACGAGCGTCCTGTTCCAGCTCGCCCTCGCTCTGGCCCTCGGCTGCCTCGCTCTTCGCGCTGGCCTGCTCCTCATCTTCCACTTCGGGCTTGAGCCACGCCATAGGCAGCGCCAGCGTATCGACGTGATTCCTGACGCAGAACGAAGCGAGCTCGAATGAGTCGAAGGCGGCTTGGAAGCGATAGGCTTCGGTGCGGGTGTGAGGTGTCAGCTTTGCGAGGCGGCGTTGAGGGACGAGAAGGCAGGGCAAGGAGCGGCACGCACGGTTCAGGTCCATGCAGATGCCTACTGCCAACTGAGACGAGGCACGGGTGAGCGTGCGGCTCGAGCTCTCGAGTGCGAGAAAGGTGCAACTCACTCGTCCAAGCGGCTTCGGCAGATCAACAAACTCGAATCCCGGTCCTGCATCATTGCAGACCGTCCCGTCAGTCTCCTCTCTGCTCATCAAAGACGCAAGACGCAAGAACGCACCTTCGCAAGCCCACGCCTCATCAGCCTCATACAAAAAGTGTTTGCGAAACACATGCACCGCCTCTCCTGTTCTATCGAGCAGGAGAGCGGCATTGTACGCTCCCTCCTCGCCTGCATTCGACCGCCCTGATCCGGAGGGAGAAGGCTCGGATGGACGAGCGTCGAATGCGGCGGAGCTAGCGGAGGAGGAAGAGAAGGCGTGGGCAAGGAGAGCGGGCAGCCCGCAGAGCACGTAGCACTCGAGACGGCGCGCGAGGGAGGAGCACAGGGCTTGCGTTGGAGATGATGAAGATGTTCTGCTACTGCTGCTACGAGTCGAGAGACGCTCGAGGGACGGCTCGATGGAGGCAGGAGTGGGGAAGATGTAGCCTGAGACCGAGAGAGTCAGCGGCGCTGCTGACGGGCGGCGCACGAGGAGGGGATCGGCGCACCGCTCAGGGCCATCTCGGGCAAGATCAGCAGATCCACTTCTCCGCGCTTCAAGCTGTGTCGACAAAGGTGCCGGCGTCAGTAGTTCAGCCGCTCCCTCACGCAGAACAAGGCCAAGAAGAGAGGAGCGACGGCGGCAAACGCACTGCGATGTCATCTGCTGCACGCGCGCCGCGTTCTCGAGGGGCGCGCCATGTGCGGGCGAGAGCTGCAGCACGGCGATGCGCGGCGACGCGGCCATGGCGCTTGTGGAAGGACTTGGGCTGATGCTGCAGTGAGGAAGGAAGCAAGAGGCGAGCGCGGCGAGGTGGAGCAAGAGAGGGTGGCTCGTGCAGCGCAGCGTGGGAGCATTCTTCGCCCCAAAGCGTACCTCTTGAGCGCGCTCCGCTTTCGACGCTTGCTTCTCCTCCACCACCGCCCGTCATGCCCGCTGCCACCCCTCCCTCCTCATCCGTCTCGTCCGTCTTCCTGCCGCCGTCAGCGCCCACCGCTCCTCCATCCGCGCCCGCGCCCGCGTACCAGCTCACCTCGCAATACGCCTCCTGGACCTTCGCGCCTTCCACGCTCGCCGCGCTGCGCCAGTCCGCCTGGTCTGCCGCGCGCGATCGGCTGGCGCAGCAATGGGCCGATGAGCTCGCCCTCTCTCCGGGCGCTTCGCAGCCCGTGTATCCGAGTCACGAAGCGCTGCAGCTGCTCGTCACGAGCTACCTGGCCAAGCTGCGCGGCCTGACAAAGGTGCTGGGCGTGCCCGAGGTGGTGGAGGAGTATGCGGCGACGTATCTGAAGCGCTACTACGTGCGCAAGAGCGAGTTGGAGGGCGATGTCAGAGGGGTCATGTGAGTTGTGCAGAGCACGAGCGTCGGCGAGGAGTGGGAAGTGAGAGGAGAAGAAGGATGGAGAGGACAGGGCAGGAGAGAAAGAGGGCAAGAGGAGAGGGGAGAGCGAGAGAACACGGTGCTGGACAGGCCGGATGTGAAGGCAGTACTAGGTAGAAACAGAGCTGGGCTCGACTCGCAAGCGCGGTTGTGGGGTCGCTCAGGGAGCAGGTGTCCTCCAGCTAGATAGTTGCGCCGCATTGGCCCCACAGCGAGCCACGCTGCCCTGTCTCACGCCTCGTCTCCCCCCTCAGGTTGACCTGCGTCTATCTCTCTCTCAAATCCACCTCGCACGCCCTCCCACTCTCTCGCTTCGCCTCCTTACTCGCCGGGCGCGGCGCAAATGCTCATTCCGTAGCATCCGAGATTGAATCCTCAGTGCGGGCGCTGGAGTTCGGCGTGGCAGATGCGCTGGGGTGGGAACTGGTGCTGCATACGCCGGGCGAGGCGCTCAAAGGACTGATTCTGGATCTGCAAGTGAGTCTGCTTCCCGCCGCCGGCCTCTCGAGTATATGGCTGATGTAGAGGTGAGGGCAGACGCTGGAGCCAAGTCCGCTTCCACTGCTGCGCAAGCTGCTACCAAGGGCTCAAGCGCTGCTTGCACTCGCGCGTCTGACGCGATTGGAGCTGAGCTACTCGGCGAGCCACATCGCGCTGGCCTGCTTGCGCTCCGCCGGTAGCGGGGAGGCAGAAGCGATGGAGCAAGAGGCGCACGACTTAGTGCGTCGTTGGCTCGAAGCTAAGGAAGAAGCAGCGCGGAAAGCGGGAGAGGCACAGAGGAGGGAGAAGGCGGAATGGCGAGCGAAGCAAGCTGCTCGACAGCAAAAGAAGAATGGCGAAGCCTCCTCCCCTACTGCGCTCGGCGAAGACGCCATCTCCACCTCCTCACCACTCGGCCTTTCCCTCTCCGCTATCCTCGACCTCCTCGAGCGGATCTCAGAGGCGATCTTCGCTCAAGAAGAGCGCGCACGCGAGGCGAAGGCAAACGCGCCAGAGGGGAGCAAGGGACCGTTTGTGGTGGACATCGAGGAGGTTCGCAGGATCGATGCGGAGTTGAAGGCTTGTGGGGATCCGGAGGGGAAGGAGGGGAGTGCTTTGTGAGTTTGGCTCTCGCTTTGCCCGGCGCGAGGGCTCGGGATGGGCTGCGCGTCACTCGAGCTGCGAACTGAACTCTGATCTGCATTGGCGCGACAGGAACAAACGCAAGCGACAGGCCGAGGAGGAGGCGCTGGCGTCCAAACGCGCTCGCAAGGCAGAAGCCGTCAAGGCTGCGTCAGGGCCCGATCCGTTTGGCTCTGCGCCGCTGCTTGCTCCTTCTCTAGGAGACGCACTCGACGCCGGCGGCAAGGAGGAGGGCAGTGGAGGAGGCGGGCTGTTTGGCAGGGAGATTGAGAGACGGAAGAAGCAGGAGAAGCAAGGAGTGGATAGTGATGAGGATGTGCCGATGCTTGCTGGCGCTGTACAGAAATGAAGCAGACGCATCACCACGAGAGGAGGAGGAGCTGAGGCGAGAGAGCACTTGTGCGACGAAGGTGCGCTGCGTGACCAGCAATGATGAGCCTCTTCTCAGAGAGCTGTTCGCCATCATATGTCGGAGACATGGCACAGCTTGCTTCTAAACACCGGCGTCGCGCTTCCTTTGCCTCGGCTGTGCCTGCTGCCCCATGTGCCAATCGATCGTGAGGGGAGCGTGTCACTTGCTCCGCGAGGGAAGAGCGTACCGCGAGGCAGAGACAACAAGTCTTGCGGCGCCGGACAGACATCGGCGAGGAGCGAGCAGCCGCGCGCCGTCAGAGAAGGCGAAAGCGAGAGGCCAGAGCGGCTGAGTCTCGCCGCGAGGTACCGCCGCGGCTATCTTCTCTGCTGTCTCTCGCGGCGCTGCTGGCCGCGCTGCAGGGTCCTTGAAGGCGCGAAGCAGCCTCGCCTGCGCGCCCGCCAGCGTCCGCAGCCTGGCATCGCACGTACGGAGTGGCACACGCGGCTCCGTAGCCCTGTCTGCGGAGTGGCCAGGGCTGTGGGCGGTGCGCAGAAGCCCGCTGGGCGGTGCCAGGGTGCAGCTGCGGGGCCTCGAGGATGGGCCGCGGCTGCGGCGCCGGCGGGCTGGCCGCGCCGATGTCTGTGCGCGCGCCGCGCGCGCCTCGGCCTCCTGAGCCTCTGACTGCACGCGCCTCGAGCCCGTCCCACCTCCATCATCCCCTCCCTCTCCCAATGCGCACAGCGCACCGCGTGCGCTAAGCTCTCAGCGCCGCGCCCGGACCATCGTAGAGCGGCACCGCCAGCGCTGCCCGGGGTGGCCATGAGCTCGCTCTCGCCCCTCTCGCCGGCGCCGTCGAGCGATGCGGCAGCGGGGCACTCCGACTCGCCGCCCGCCTCAGCCTCGGCCTCGACGCACTCGCTCGCACTCGCCACCGCCCTGCAGCGCGCCGGCCTGCCCGAGGCCTCTCGCAACCGCGCCGGCCTGCTCTCTCGTGCACCGAGCGAGTCAGATCCGCACCTGCCCGGCGGCTCACGGCATTCGCAGCACGAGGAGCACTTGCTGCTGTACGACGAGGAAGATGGCTACACCGACGGCAGCGGCCGCGATGAGGATCTGCCTCGCCGCTTCGCCCAGTCGGCGCAGCAGCAGGCTGGTACCGCTTCGGCCTCGACGTCCTCCTCGCCCCAGACGCCGCTCGCCGCTGCGCTCGGGCCGCGAGCACAGCGCGGCGACGCGGAGCCCGGCGGGGGCCGCCGCAGCAGTTCAGCGACTGGCTCGCGCTTGGCAGAGCTGCACGCGCGAAGCAGCAGCACGGGCGACTCTGCCGAGAGCTCGTTGCACAGCGGCAGCGGCTACAGCGGCGGGCCTTCGTCTTCCAGCGGCAGCGCACGCGGCGGCGCAGGCGACACTGCCGCGCCTACGCCGCATTCCGGACGCAGCTCCTTCTCCGTGCCGAGCGCGCCCACGTCGGCGGCCAGTTCCATCTCCGGAGGGCATCGTGGAGACGGTCGTGCTGGCTCTTCAGCGCGGGTTTGGGCACAACAGGCTTCGTCGTCGCGCAGTGGACATCGCAGTGGGGACGTGAGCGAAGACGGAGGTGCGAGCTTGGGGAGAGCCAAGAGCGTCAGCAGCGTCAGCAGCGTCAACTCGACGAGCAGCATCGAGGCACTGCCCTTTCGCGCGGCGCCGCTGGGCAACACGCGCGTCGGCTTTGGCGGGTATGGCGGCATGGGAGGGTCAAGAAATGGAGGGATGGGCAGCGGCGGCGGCGGCGGTGGAGGATGGCCGACGAGAAGAGACGCAGATGCAGCAGCAATGCCCGTCTTTTCATCGCCGAACAACGACACGACACCAAGAGCAGGCGGCGGCAGTGCCGTGTTCGACGCATCCATGTCTCCTCTCACGCGCGCACGCATCCTGCCAAAGGCGCCATCCGACGCCTGGCTCTACCGCAACGCGCCGGGCATGGGCGGTGGTCGAGACGGACGACCGATTCCTGGAAGCGCTCCGCCTCCGCAAGCACAGAGCATTGCCGCTGAGCATCTGCGACACTTGCAAGCGGCCGGCGCAGGAGGCAGCGGAGGCTTCCTAGGCGATGGCAGTGGCTCCATGCCTTCTACGTCGCCCACGCGCACGAGAGCAGGCGCGGCCATCAGGAGCAAGCTGGCGCGCAGCGCTGGCAAGCTGGGACTCAAGCCGCTGACGAGCATGCCGCTCGGTGCCGTCGCGCCTGCATCGTTGCCGATCGGCACTGCAGTGCCCTTCTCGCCCGGCGCGCTGGGTGTCGAGGAGGACTATCCGCTGCAGCCGCTGCTGGCCGACATGTCCGGGCTAGGCCTGGGAGATGTGGGCGTACGCACTAGCAGCGTGACGAATGCGCCGCTGGTCGTGCCGAAGCATCCACCGGGTCCGCCGGGCACTGGACCCTTGCCTTCGCCCGGTCTGACGGGCGCTGCAGCATCGAACGGAGGCAGTCCAGGCTTCCTTCTCAGCGGGCCGAGTCCGCGCGTCTCTCCGCACGCGCTCGAGCGAGACGAAGACGTGCTGTCGCGACGAGGGGCGGCGATCGGTGTGCCCTCGCCGCCCGGCTCGACTGTCGATTCCTCTGCGCTTTCTACGACGGCTTCGCCACGCGCCACCTCTCCTTCTCCGGCCGCACAAGTGGCTCGCACCGGCAGCCCCAATCTAGTCGGCACCAGCAGCTCTCGACGGCCGAGCAGCAGCAACGTGCACAGCCTGCTCGCCGCCGTCGGCGGCAATGCGTCGGGAGCATTTAGCAGTTCGAGTCGCGGCAGTTCCTCCAGCATGCTCTCGCAGGGCCCGACACCCGCGCAGCAAGTGCAACTCGACGCTGAAGCCGGCATTGCGCGCGCGCCGGCAGAGCCCAGTGGCGATACGCCCGGACCATCGCCAGTGAGCCCCTCTTCCTCGCCCGTCTATCAACCTCAGCGCGGCTCGGGCGTGTTTCTCACTGCTGCGGCACGCGCGGCTCGCTTCGGAGGGCTGGCGTCGAACAACCCCTCGGCGCCTTCTTCGCGCGCTGCGTCGGACTATGGCGGCAAGGGAGAGGCTAGTGCGGCTAGCAGCAGTGCAGGCAACAGCGGCGGCAGTGCACCTCCCATCGTGCAGTCTGCAGCGCGTCGGCCTCGTCTGCTGCGCGCACTGACGAGCGAAGGAGCCATGTCGCACCACAGTCGGTCAAGCGAAGGCTCTTCCGAGCCAGAGTCGCCCAACAGTCTCAGTCCCGTGTCGCCTGGTGGAGCGAGTGGCGCAGCACCACCACGGCCTCGCTCGTGGCGCCGAGGAGGCAAAGGCTCAGATGAGCCCGGCAGCACGAGTCGCTTCCGAAGCGCTCTTGCAAACACTCTCGGCACGAGATCGCCTTCGCCTCGTCTGCCTGCCAGTCCTGAGGTGCCGCACGAGTCGCTCGACGGCGTCTCGCGTGCGCCGCTCAACCCCTTTGCTGCACCGCGCATCACGCCGACGCTCGATGAGGGTCCGCTAGGCGAGCCGCTGCAGGGGTCGCCACGCACAGCTCCGCATCGTCCGTCGCTGCAGCCGTCGTATCCATCCACTGCCGTCTCTCTCAACTCCACCAGCACCGCGGCCATCTCGATGCGCGCGCCTCAGCGCGTCGTGGCCTCGCAGGTCGAGCCTCCGACATTCGCACTCGACTCACCGTCCCTTTCGACGCCTGCCTCTTCTCTTGCCCCTCCTTCGTCGCTCGCACAGGCAGGCGCCCCTTCGCTCTCGCCGACGCGAGAAGTCACGTCGCCGATGCCCGAGAGTGCAGCGTCGCCTTCGGATCAAGCGACCGTGCTTCCGTCCAGTGTCGAGACAGCCGTGCCTCTGCCGCCTCCTGCCGCCGCTGCCGCTCCCTCTCGCACCGCACGAGGTCGAGACGACTTTGAATTCGGTGAGGTGCTGGGCGAGGGCTCCTACTCGACGGTCATCGAGGCGTGGGATCTCCTCTCTGCGCCTCGCGCCCTCGATGCGCCCAAGCCGCTCTCCGCCAACGCCGCCATCGCAGGCGCCGGCTCGGCGGCGCGCAGTGCAGCGGCGCGCAACGAGGGACGCAAGGCGTATGCGGTAAAGGTGCTCGACAAGGTACACATCCTCAAGGAGAAGAAGCAGAAGTACGTCTCGGTCGAGAAGGAGGCGCTGAGCCTGCTGCTGCGCCACCCCGGCGTCATTACGCTCTTCTGGACGTTCCAGGATCGCGACAGTCTGTGTGAGTTGCTGTCAGCCCGCTGGAAGCGCACGCATGGCTTACGACTGGCCCACACAGACTTCGTCCTCGAGCTGGCGCCCAATGGCGAGCTGCTGAGCTTCATCAAGCGCTTCGGCTCGTTTGACTCTGCCTCGGCGCGCCACTACGCCGCACAGCTCGTGGACACCATCGCAAGCATGCATGCGGTAGGCGTGGTGCATCGCGACATTAAGCCCGAGAACGTGCTGCTCGACGGCAACATGCGCATCAAGGTTGCCGACTTTGGCTCGGCCAAGATCACGCGCAAGAAGAGCGGTGCCGCCGCGGCGGCGCCCACCACAGTGCCATCTGAGGCGGAGCCGCAGCGGGCGAGCTCTTTCGTGGGCACGGCGGAGTACGTCTCGCCCGAGCTGCTGACCGAAAAGGCCGCGACCGAGGCGTCCGACTGGTGGGCGTTCGGCTGCGTGCTCTACCAGATGATCGCGGGCCGGCCGCCGTTCAAGGGGCCCAACGAGTACCAGACGTTTCAGCGCATCATCCGGCGGGACTTTGACTATCCGGACGCGTTCCCCGCCGACGCGCGCGAGCTCGTCGACCGCCTGCTCGTGCTCGACCCGATGCAGCGCCTGGGCACGGGCGCCGAGGGCGTGGCAGAGATCAAGGCACATCCCTTCTTCAAGGGCGTCGACTGGGCCAGGCTGTGGACGCTCGAGGTGCCGCCGATCAGCACGGGCATCTTCCAGCGTCCGCGGCCCGCCGCCGCGCCCGAGGGGTCAACGCCGTTCGATCGCTTTGGGCGCGATGCGTGGGTTGAAGATGCGCTTGCGTCGTCGGACGAGGATGGTGATGAGGCGTCGGGCGACGTGTCGCTCAGCGGCGATGCCTCGCACGACGAGGCCTCGCTGCCGCCGTCGTCGGCGGCGTCGCAGGCACGCGGAGGCGCAGAGGCCGACGACGACGACTCTTCGAGCTCCGACGGCCCGCCGGCGCCTCGTCGGCGAGGCCTGTCGCAGAACGGCGGCACCGGCAGCCGGCGAGGCAGCCACATTCTGCGCGTGGCCGCGAGCATTGCCGGCATAGCCGACTCGGCTCGCGGACGCAGTGCGTCGCAGCAACAGCAGCAGGCGGCGCTGGGGCGGCCCGTCGCCCTGCGGCATCTGCAGAATCGCTTCAGTACGGCATCGATGAACACGAGCTCTTCGTCGCTCAACAACAACGCATCCGAGTTCGACACGCCGAGCGGAGGCAGTCGCACGCCCGCTGCGCAGCTGCAGGCCACGAGCTGGGCCGCGCTGCTGCTGCCGCACGAGGCGCTGCTCTATGCCTGTCCCATCACGCAGCGCAAGGCAGGCGCCTTTCGCTCCACCTCGAAGCGAAGGCAGTTGCTGCTGACGGACTTTCCGCGCCTGCTGTGCGTCAAGGAGACGCAGGACCAGCTGCTGGTCAAGAGCGAAGTCATCCTTGGCATTCCCACGGCTGCCTCTTCAGCGGCCTCGCGCACTGCATCGCCGCAGCACGAGGCGCGCAATTCGTTGCGCCCGCAGACCAGTCAGGACATGCTGCGGCAGACGAGCGCGGGGCCGACTCTCGGCGGCGCAGAGACGAGCGAGCCGCTGGCGGCCAGTCCACGACTGCGCGCCGTGCGGCGCGACAGTCTTCCGGCGGCCGCCTCGCCCCAGCTGGCCGCGGGCGTGCTCGACCGCGCGCCCAACTTCATGACGGGCATCGAGGCCAAGGGCACGCGCGGCTTTGTCGTGCATACTGTGAGTCAGCCCTGGGCACCGTGCCGCATTGCGGCCCTTGTTCCTGACCAGCTGACGTCTCGTCTACAGCCAGCGCGCTCCTACACATACGAAGATCCCGGCGGCGATGCGTCGTACTGGCTGCGCTCCATCACTGCCGCAGCAGCTCGTGGTCGCTGAGATGTGGCCCGGCCGCGAGCAGCCTCTGCGCCACCCCCTCGACGTCTCACCGGCCTGCACCCTCTCTCCTCCGCATCCCTCATCCGGCCCCTGGTCACATGCCCAATCTCCTCCTCACTTACCACTCGCCTCATCCTCTCGCCATGGCGCATCATGACTTGTTGTCCCGGCACATATTCACACACACTGGCCAGTCACGTAACACCGAAGTCGTCATCGTCCATCTCTCATCGCTCATTGCCCGGGCGAGCGCAGCGTGTGAAAGGTCGAGCGTGCCCGGCACGCCGTCTAGAGTCGAGAGCGGCGAAAGGCGGCGATGTGCGCGCTGTGTGACGCCGTCACTGGCCGACACGATGCACGCGCACCGGAAGCGGCGCGGCCTGGTTGCGCCGCCAAAAGTCGAGAAGCGTCTGAGCGGTCTTCTCGGGAGCGTCCTGAGCGAGAGACAAGAGGAAGGGGGGGGGGGAGGCAAGACCTGTCAGCCAGGCGGCAGAACTCGGAGAGCGCTGCCCACACAGGAACGCACCTCCTGCAACGAATGCCCCACGTCGGGAAAGACGACGAGCTGGTATTTGCCTGAGGGAGTGCGAAGGGGACGCAAGGGCAAGCAAGAACAGGGCGGGGCAAGCAAAGGTTCAGCGCGCGCACACACACACATACACACACACACGAACTCTTTCTTTCCGCCCGGCCTGTGCGTTGGCGGCGCTCAGCCTCGGGCGTGAACACAACTCACCCTGCATCTGCCCAATCATCAGCTCGCGATCCAGTCTGTCCGTGCCCGCCAGCAGCAGCAAGCGCGGCGCCTTGACGGCGAGAAAGCGCGCCGACAGGCCCTCGAACCAGCCGCGCCAGTAGGGCTCGGTGGCGAGGAGATTGGCGCGCCAGATGAGAGCGTGCGGCGCGGAGGTGGTGGGGCGTGAGGTGGAAGGAAGAGAGGCAGAGGTGATGGAGGGAGAACAGAGCGTCTCGATGGCTTCCTCCGCCTCGAGCTCCGGCTCCTCGACGATGCTAGTCGTGCCCATGCTCGGCGCTGCCACCGTACCATCGGCAGCGTCATTCGGCTTGAGCAACGCCGGCACGCTTCTTCTAGCGCTGTCCACATTGCGAATCGTGCCGCTCTCAAGGTGCCAGCGCACCGCGTCTTCGGCGTTCTTGAAGCCGCTGGGCTGAGCAAGCACGATGTTGCGCATGCTGCCGAGCGCAGCCATGGCTGTGCCTTCGACGACATCGAGCACTACCACGCCTGCAATCTTTGCTTGCGGCAGAGAACAAGGTGGCTGAAGAAGAGCCTCGGCGAGCGAGACGATGATGGAGCCGCCCATGGAATGCCCCACGAGGAGCAGGGAAGGCATGAGTGCCGCAGAGGGGAACATGGCGTGCAGCACGCCTTGGAGGTCGCCCGTGAGATCGGAGAGCGCCATCGAGCTGCTTGAGGGATGTTCCGTGCGCCCTTTGCACACGCTCGCCTCAGATCAGCCTTTTCGCAGAAAGACGCAAGCACGCAAAGAATCCACCACTCACCGTGTCCGCGACAGTCCAGCGCCAGCACGCCCACTTGCCCGCCGGACATCTCCCGCAACGCACGCGCGACGAGGGCGAAACTGAGCGCCGAATAGCCGGCGCCGTGGTGCAGGACGAAGAGGGTGCCGGGGTCGGCTGGCGCGGCTGCAGCAGCTGCTGCTGCTGCTGCTGCTGCTGCTGAAGGCGCGTCGGACTCTTCGTCGTCGTCGAGGACTGGAGGCGGCGTCAGACGAGCGAGCGTGGCATCGCTGGAAGCGGAGGTGGAGCGTGGCGCAGTGCTTGATGCAGAGGCAGCAGCAGCAGAGGAAGAGGCGCTGCTCGAGCTCGAGCTCTTGCGCTGCGGCGCAGGCGCCGTGTAGTACACGCGAAACGTGGCGTCTGCCACCTCGACAGCCAGCGCCTGCTCAAAGCAGTCGGCGGCGGAGAGGGGGGAGAGGTCGTCGTGGCCGGATGCTTCTGCCGCTGCGTCGCGTGGCACGCCCGAGGCAGACGCGTGCAAGCGAGGCGGCGGCATGGAGGCAGAGGCAGAGCCAGAGGCCGAGCCCGCCGCCGCACTGCTGCTACTGCTGCCTTCGGCGGCGACGCTGTGCGGCGCGACGGCGGGCATGTGCGGCAGCTGTGCGAGGCGCGCCTTGAGGAGCGAGCTGTGCAGCGCCGAGGGCATGCCTGGCATTGCCGGGCGCGCGCGTGGCCGTGGTGTGCCAGGGTGCTGGAGAGGAGGCGGGCTGCAAAGCAGAGAAAGGCTGCCCGTGGCGGGATGGGGACGGGGGGCGCGGTGCTGGACGAGAGGGCACAAAGTGCTGCGTGCGACTCGACGAGCCGAGCTTGGAGAGCAGCGGCGCTGGGCGACGGCCGAGGCACGGCGCAGAAGGAAAACGGCCGGTGCGACACCCGATGGCGGAGGCTGTTGGTGTGGAGGAGGCGAGGCGCTCGTGCTGGCGTAGCGCCGGCATGATCGGCGTCTCGCGCGCGCTTTCAGGCACACGGACGCGCGCGCTGCCAGCGCTTGCTGCAGCTGCTGCCTGGCGCGCGGAGGCGCGTGCCACGCCCAAACAGCGCTCGCTTACGCCCCCGCACGGTCCCGGCCCAAGGCTTCGCGCGTCGAGGGAGCAACCAAGGCGGCCTCCTCACCACCACCGCCCCTCTGCTCTCTCGCTCGCGGCCATCATGGACGCGCCTCCTGCGGCCTCCAACGGCCTCGCTGCCGCCGCCTCGCACGCAGCGTCGTCGGCCCTCTCCTCCTCCTCCTCCGCCGCCGCCGCCGCCGCCGCCGCCGCCGCGCCCGCCTCCCGGCTGCATCTCATTTCCGACGAGCAGCAGTTCACACCCTCGCTGGCCGAGTCGCTGCAGCAATGGCACCTCCTCGACGCCGGCTTTGCATACAACCTCTGCGCCGTGCTCGGCTCGCAGAGCACCGGTAAATCGACGCTGCTCAACCGCCTCTTTGGCACGAGCTTCGACGTCATGGACGAGCGCGTGCGCGGACAGACGACGAAAGGTGCGTCGTCTCTCTCTCTCTTTCTCTCTGTCTTTCTGCCGCAGAGGAGAGAGGAGAGTGAGGAGAGGGAACAAGGGAGAGATTAATGGAGATGAGGGCGGCAGCAGAGGCAGAAAGAGATAGCATGGCAGAGCGGACTGGCGCACAGCGGCGGGAGTGGCAAGGGAGGAGAGCCGAAGTGAGGGGCTAGGAGAGGCTGGCAGGTGCTGCCTGCGGGGGGATCAGTAAGGGCGACAAAGTGGCAAGCCAGCAGCATCTCGACATTCGTGCGCGCGCCTGGCAGTGTGAGGGGCTTGGTGTGTTTGGGGGGGGGGGGGGGGGGGGGGGGGGGGGGGGGATCAGGTGGGGAAGCATTGCGCACCCGGCACCTAGCAGCTGGCAGCGAGCAGCAGCATCCCGGCACCGTGCCCAGCGCACCTTGCTGCGGCCTTGCTGTGGGGATTGGAGGGAGGGATCAGGTGGGGTAGCTTCGGTAGCCCCGGCAGCCGGCAGCGTGCACAGCGCGACACCTGCTGCGGCTTTTCTGTGGGGATTGGTGGGGGGGATCAGGTGGGGTAGCATTGTGCACCCGGCACCAGGCAGCGAGCAGCCGCATCCCGGCACCGCGCCCAGCGCACCTTGCTGCGGCCTTGCTGCCCTCTGGCTTTGTCTCCTGCAATCTGCCCTGCTCATCGCTGACGCATCTGTCCTGCTTCCCACCATCTCCGTTGCTCAGGCATCTGGCTCTGCCGCGCCCTCTCCTCTCCCCTCCTCGTCATGGACGTCGAGGGCACCGACGGGCGGGAGCGCGGCGAGGACCAAGACTTTGAGCGCAAGTCTGCCCTCTTCAGCATGGCCAGCGCCGAGGTTCTCATCGTCAACCTGTGGGAACATCAGGTGGGCCTGTACCAGGGCGCAAACATGGGCCTGCTCAAGACGGTGTTTGAGGTCAATCTGGCGCTGTTCCAGAGCGGCAAGGGGAGGTGAGTGCGGCGAGAGAGAGGAGAGGAGCGGAGAGAGAGATGGGCAAACGGCAGGTGCGGATGGCAAGCTGCGCGTGCGACGCTGAGCGAGAGGCTGGAGGAGCGGCGAGAGGGAGTGAAGAAGGCCGAGCGAAGCCTTGCGCAGGCTTCTGCACAGCCGCAGAGAGTAAGGAGACAGCAAAGAGCTGCGGATGGGGCGCTGCGTGCCGCCAAACTTGGCGCGTCCCGCTCTTGGCGCCGCCCAACTCGTCGGTTGCCTCAGCTGTCTGCGCTCCTACGCACAGCCGTCCCCTTAGCTCTAGCTCTCGATCCCGTCCAGCGACTACCCTTCGCGATGTCCGGCCGCTGACTCCCCTCAACCCCCTGGCCAGATCGTCCAGCACAGGCCGCGACAAGACGCTGCTCTTCTTCGTCATTCGTGACCATGTCGGCGCGACGCCGCTGAGCAACCTGCGCGAGACGCTCCTGGCGGATCTGGCGAGGATCTGGGATGGGCTGAACAAGGTGAGTGTGTGGAGAGAGGCAGTGCGGTCCATGCTGTCACTGCTCAGCAGCCAGCTGACATTCGCGTCCACGCGCCCAGCCCGAGGGTCAAGAAGCCTCTCGCATCACCGACTTTTTCGATCTCTCCTTCACCACGCTGCCGCACAAGCTGCTGCAGCCCGACGAGTTTGAGCGGCAGGTGGCGCAGCTGCGCGAGCGCTTCGTGGAGCGTGACCATGCCGACTTTGTCTTCAAGAAGGAGTACCACAAGCGCATCCCGGCCGACGGCCTGCCCATGTATCTCGAGACTATCTGGGTGTGTTGCATGTGCCACGGGCTCAGTGCGGCATGAGGAGCAGCCACTGATCTCGCCCCTCTCTCTCGCAGGAGCAAGTCATGACGAACAAAGACCTCGACCTGCCCACGCAGCAGGAGCTGCTGGCGCAGTTCCGCTGCGACGAAATTGCCTCTGCGGCATTTGCCGTCTTCACCACGGGCGCAAAGGTGTTCAAGAAGCCCATCGAGGCCGGCCAGGTGCTTGAGACGCTCGGCGCCGAGATGGGCGCGCTGCGCAGCGAGGCGCTAGGTGAGTGAAGAGTCTTACGTTGACGAAGCTTGCTGCAACTGCTGACTCCTCGCGCCTCTCAGCTGCATTCGACAAGGCCGCCTCGCGCTACCACGCCGAAGTGTACCGCCGCAAGCGCAGCGAGCTGCTGGAGAAGCTCAACGCGACGCTCTCGCCCCTCTTCATGGGCCAGCTCAAGAACACGCACAAGCTCGTGCTCGCGTCCTTCCGCTCTGCCGTGCTCGAGCGTCTGCGCGGCGACACGTACGACTTTGCCGACGTGGTCTCCTCGGAGCGCCAGCGTGCCTTGGCGCGCTTCGAGGCGGCGGCCCAGGCCGTGCAGCTTGCGGAGACGGACTGGAGCGTGGAGGAAGAGACGCAGCAGCTGGCGACTGCGATTGATGCCATTGCGGATCAGTGCCGCGCCGAGGAGACCAAGAAGATGCTGGCGCTCATCGAGCGCGCATTGAAGAAGGCCATTGCGGAGCCGACGGAGATGGCGCTCGCAAGCCCGGGCACGGAGATGTGGGACGGCGTTCTGGAGGCGTTTGGCAAGGCTCTCGCACAGGCTGAAGCGACGTATCTGCGCAAGGCCAAGAGTGAGTCGAGCAGAGGCGCATCGTGTGCATTCCCCCGCGCGCGCGTAGCTGACGCCTTCGCCTTCCAGGCTTCAACGCCACGGAGGAAGAGAGTGTGCTGGCCCTCGCGGCGCTGCGGCGCCGAGCCTGGCGTGCTCTGCGCGCCAAGCTCGACGAACAGACGGCCGACTCGTTCCTGGCGGCCAAGCTGCGCTCCGTGTTTGAGGACCGCTTCCGCTACGACGAGGCCGGCACGCCGCGCGTCTGGTCGCCGACGGATGACATTGATGGGCTGTATCGCGCGGCTCGAGATGAGGTGAGTAACGTGGGCACCAGAGGGGTGGCTGCCGCAGTGCTGATTCCTTCGTCTGCCAGACCCTGGCACTCGTGCCTCTCTATGCACGCATCGAGCCCACCAACGCCTCGCTTCTCCCGTCCATTCCGTCCACCGCCGACGATCCCTCGCACGCCGCGCTCGTCGAGCGTGGCGAGGAGGAGGAGTTTGACTTTGACGCGTCGCTGCTGCTCTTTGGCGAGGCGCGCAAGGCCGACGTGGCGGCGCGGCTGCGCAAGGAGGCCGATGCCTACTACGTCGAGGCAAAGAGAAGCACCGTCTCTTCGATTGCCCAGGTGCCCGTGTGGATGTACGCGGTGCTTGCGGCGCTGGGATGGAACGAGGCAATGGCCGTGCTCCGCTCGCCGCTCTACTTTGCATTCATGCTCATCCTCCTCGCCAGCGCGTACGGTGAGTGCTGCTCCACACCTTGCCTCCAGCGACAGCACACACATCGCTCATGCTCTGTTCTCAGTCGTGTACCGCCTCAACCTCTCCGGCCCCCTCGTGCAAGTCTCAAAGGCCGTCGGCCGCGAAGTGCATCGCCTCGCAGACGGCGCGCTGCGCGAGCACTTCCAGCAGCCACTGCCTCAGCCCGCCATGCTGCGCGACGACTCAGCGCCGGCGCCTTCGCGTGCTGCTGCACCGGAGAAGGCGGCGGTGCGAGAGCAGAAGGCGGCGCCGCAGCCAGAGGAGATTGAGCTGAGCGAGCGATAGGCTGGCATGCAGGAGTGTCGACTATGTACTACGAGCGCTGCGCGTCTCGGGGCAAGCAATGATGACATTAAGGAGATTCTAGGCCACGTCTCTCGGGGGGTAGCAGGCAGGATGAAAATGCAGCGCAGGTGGATAGGATGCGAGGCGAGCGAGCCGTGGTGTAGTTGCAAAGGGGGCCAAAGAGGGGCAAAGGATGGAGAAGTCGTGAAACGTGAACAAGGGCACATCGCCGCGACGAGCGACATCAGCCGAGCGCAGGGAGAGGAATGGCGGAGAAGAGAGCGCGCCAGAGCGAGGCCTGGGCTTCCTGCACCTGCTGCTCGCCCGACAGACGAGCGGGGTAGAAGGGCCGTGCCTTGTCTCCGTAGCCCACACCCGTCGGCTCGCCTGCATCGTTGGACGTGAAGAGATGCCGCAGCCCTGCCGCGCTGATGAACATCTTCAGCGGCTCGTGCGCCACGTTTGGCACGTAGTCGACGGTGTGAGAGCCCTGCTCGCCGGCGAGGATGTGGTCGAGGTGCTGCATGTAGAGCTGTCCTCGCATCACTGCAGCAAGGGAGAGAGAGAGAGAGAGAGAGAGAGAGAGAGAGAGAGAGAGAGAGAGAGAGAGAGAGAGAGAGAGAGAGACGCGCAAGGAATGGGGTCAGCCACAATCGCGACCATTGCAATGCCTCGGCCCCATTGTGTGGCCGGCCCTTCGTGCATCAACTCACGGTGCGTGTCACCCTGCGCAAAGGCCTCGCAGCGGTTGTCGCCCACCTCGTGATCGGCGAGGCCGTACAGGTAGTGCACCTTGCGTTCGCGCGTGTAGCGACGTCGCACGTCCTCGACGTCCTTGGAGGAGTCGAGCGACTCGGACATGAACGACGAGAGGTAGCGCTGCGTGTAGGAGCCGAGGCCGAACTGGAGCAAGGGCGCAAGGGGGGGCATGCGGGCGTCAGCAACGACGCATGGTCGAGAGATGAGCCTGCGCCCCCGCCGGGTGGCCGGTGGCTTAGGGCCCAAGCCCGACTCACCTTCCAGGCGTCGTACGTGCTAGAGCAAGCCTCGGTAGAGTTGGGGCGCGTCGAGTCGAGGTATGCATAGCTAGAGGGATTGGCAATGACGAAGTGCACGGGCACGTCGCGCGACGGCACGGCGCCGATGAGTGCGTAGCGCTGCACCATCTGCGCGCCGAGCGAGTGGCCGGCGACGACGATGCTCTGGATGTTGGGGAAGCGCGTCTTGTTGCTGTAGTGCTGCACGGCGGCGTCGACGGCCTCGAAGGACGAGACGCCGGGCGCCGGGTGCGAGAGGCCCTGCGCATCGAGGAACGTCGCGGGCGCGCGCGTGTCGGCGCCGTACGCCCACTGCGAGCCGTGCCACTGCAGCGTGCGGTTGTTGGGCGTGGCGCCGTTGTCCTGGTCGTTGAGGAAGAAGGGCGCAAAGATCATCACCTGCTGCTCGGTGAGCAGATTCTGCCCGTCGGTGCGGTTCTTGCGGCGCGTGGCGCGCTCGAGGGCTTGCGTGGTGAGGTCGAAGTACCACCAGGCATCGCGCCTGGGGAGAGGGCATGTGAGTCGAAGGGGCCACGACGACGACGACGACAGCGGCGGCAGCAGCAGCTGCTGAGCAACAACGACGGCGGCGGCAGCAGCAGCTGCTGAGCGACAACGACGGCGCACTGGCAGGCCTCGCCCGCCTCGCTCGCTCGCCGTGCTTGCTGGCCCATGGTGCGCATGCCATGTGTTGGCCTGCTGCGGAGGCAGGCGCCGCGCCTCTGGCCACGTCGCGCCTGCCAGCGCCGCCCTGCCTGCCGCGCCCCGCCACACTACTCACGCAAGACCATGCAGCTGGATCACCGCCCGTGTGATCTGCGTCGGGTCGCGCGGCGACTCGAAGCCACTGAGCTGGAAGCGTGCCTGGCGCGCCGCCTCGAGGTCTACCGGGTTGTCGTAGGCCTCCTCGGGCAGGTGCACGGGCAGCGAGATGCGCACGCGCTTCGACGTGTCTGCCGGCACGTCCTTCATGCGGTAGGCGTGCGCCAGGAGCGGCGAGAGCAGGAGGAGGAGGGGAGTCGAGAGACGCATGGCGGTGCGTGTGCTAAGAGAGCGTGGGGGAGAAGAGAGGGGTCGGGGAGACGCGAGCGGCACTGAAGACGCTGCGTAGGCCGACCTTGCAGCCGGAGAGCGCGAGAGCGAGAGAGAGAGCGGAGGGGAGACGAGAAGGGAGGAGAGGAGAGGAGAGGAGAGGAGGAGGCAGGTGTTGTGGGTGCTGCCCTCACGCGTGGTCTCGCTTCGCAGGCTTCTATACTCTGGCGAGCAGCTCGCAGCGCCCAGAGGCTGCCAAGCGGCACCTGCGCCGAGCCCTGGCAGCGCTGAGGCTGATCTCACGCACGATCTGCGGCGCCGATGCAGCGGTGCAGCGCCCGCGGCGTGCGGCGTGCACCCTCGAACGACGAGGCCGCAGCGTCAGAAGCACCGCGTGTGCTTCTCCTGAGCGCTGCAGCACTCTGACTGACTCGCGTGCCTCCCCGTGCCCGCCAGAAGCACCTTCGCAGAAGCCCTGCCAGCGGCACGTCGTTTATCGCGCGCGTGCTGCAGCTCCGCCTCCCGCTGCCGAACGAGCGGCACCGCCGTGGCGCAGCGGCAGCGCAGCAGGACGCCGCATCGCTTCCGCCGGACGCGCACAGCCGCAGAGTCTCGCGAGTCTCGACGCGCGAGGTGCCGCCGCCCCCCCCTGAGACGCAAGCAACAGGGCGCAAGTGCCCTTGGCGCCGCCGTGGCGCTGCACGGGTGCGCCTGCACCCTGGCGCGTCGCTCCGTGGGGCAGCTCGCGAGTCTCGTGCGCCCGCCTCCGATGCCACCCCCCATGCACGCCCATGCACGCATCTGCACGCATCTGCAGCCGGCAGCCGCCGCAGAAGGCTGCGGCGCCACCGCCGTGGCCCGGTGCCGCTCGGGGAGAGGAAAGAAGAGCACAACGGCAGCCGCGCGCGGGCGGCGGATGCCGCCGTGCCTGAGCAGCAGGCGGCCCACGCGGTGCGCCGCTGCCGGCGTGAGACCGCCGGATGGGCCACCTCGCGCAGAGCAACGCACGGCGCATGCTTCGCTGTTTCTCGCCGCCTCCCTTGGGCTGCGAATGGCGAGAAGTGCGTGCCGAAGCGTCGGACGCTGGTACAAGCGAGCGAGCGTAGCAGCGCAGGCTCGAGGCGCGTGCGAGTATAGCATGCCGCATGGGAGATGCGAGAGGGCAGCAGGCCATCTCATCGGTCGCTCGCAGCGAGGCGACAGGGAGCTACATGCGAGCTGCGCGCTCGAGAGGCAATGGCGCGCAGCGAACAAGCGAAGCTCACGGCACGGCCGCAGGACGAGAAGGGCATGAATTGCCCCCCCCCCCTTCAAGCTGGCTTGCGCTGCGACATCCCTGGCGATGGCGGGCGTGAAATGTGAGCCCGATGGACGGCCACGCAAAGCTCTCACCAGCGCCGCCGCAGAAGCGCATCAGAACGAGAGCCCCCTCTCTCTCTCTCTCTCTCTCTCTCTCTCTCGCTGGCGTGACATTTGCCGCCGGCTCGGCTTCGCTCCGGGGGCAGCTCTCTGCCCTTTTAATGGGAGCGCTTGAGGGGGGCCGCCGCAAGAGTTGAGCGCCTGCGATGAGTTCCTCGCTGAGACGACGCACGCAATGGCGCAGCAGGCCGTGCTGTGAAGGCCCTCACGCCGTGCAGTGGCCGAGGGCCTCATGAGTCTGCAGCTAATGGCGGCGCAGCTGCCAAGGGCCCTGATGACGAGCACACACACACACACACACACACACACACACACACACTTATACACACACACACACACCCACACACGTGCAAGCGCTTCTCGGCCCTGTGCCTCGAAGGCTTTGCCCTGCAGAAGGGCTCACTGCCGAGCTTGGAGGCGAGATGCGCGGCCAAAAGCAGCCACGAGCGTGTGTCCGTGTTGCGAGCAAGGCTCCGGCACGTATTCTCCCCCCTCCAGCGCAGTCTCCGAGCGTTGCCTGTCTGGCCGCCACAGCGACGCCTGTGTAGTCTCGACTCTCTGCTTGGCGGCGTTGCGCGTCACGCAAGGGTCACGCAAGCGCAACAGGGAGCGGAGGATGCCTGGGCGGCAGGGCGCGCAAAGCGCATGGTCTGGTGGTGCCACCGCGGCCGCGACAATGCCGAGAATGGCGCCGCGTGCTTCAGCGGCGTCGCTCTCGCGCACGTCCCTCGCCTCCACTAAGCCTGCTTCCTTCGCTCCGCGCCTCTCTCCTCACCACCACCACCCTCGCCCTCTCTCAGCATGTCTCTCCCTCCTCGCCCCACTCTCCCTCCTCCCCTGCTCAACGCCACGCCCGACGATGCGCGCATCTACTTCGACCGTGCCTCGGCCTCGTGGCGCTGCGAAGTCGACGATGCGGCGCGCGAGCAGCTGGGCGTGGCCGCCGTCGGCGTGGCGGAGATGGAGTGGCAGGCGCAGGGCGAGAGATGGAAGCCCGTGCTGGACGAGGAGGAAGTGAGGCGACAGCAGCAGGCGTATGGAGTGAGCGGCGTCGATGAAGAGGTGAGTGTGCCTCCCCGTGAAACGCGGCCGAGGGCAGGGCAGAGCCAAGGCAGGCGCTCGCATGAGACCTGCGCCGCGCTGGCGAGAGAAAAGGCAAGGAATGGAGAGGAGAGACGAGCTCAAGTGCACGCCTGCAACACACGTTGCAGCCTTTCTCTGCGTCAAAGCTGCGTGGACGTCTACAAGAAGGGTCAGCACGAGAGATGGCGAGCACAGAGCAGGCTCCTCATTGCTGTGCCCTGTGCTCTGCAGGTGGAGCAGGACGGCTCAGGTCCGCCGTGACTGCTGCCGCACGTTCGTCCGATGCTCTGCTGCATTCTTGGTCCGCTGAACGTGCACAAGTCGAGGGCTTGCCTAACACCCACGTGTTTCTCTCTGCAGACGCCCGCCGCTCCCATAGCTCGGCGCCTCGCCAAGCGCACTGCCGCCGAGGCCGAGATTGACTTTACTGGCGCATCCGGTCCCTCGAAAGCCTCCAAGCCGGAGAGCAAGGAGAAGCAGGCGCGCGAGAGAGGGCCGAAGCAGACGACTGCCGTCTTTGTCTCTGGCCTGCCGCTCGATGCGTCCGTCGAGGAGATTGCGGCCGTGTTTGAGCGCTACGGCGTGCTGGCCGAGGCAGACGACGGCAAGCCTCGTGTGCGCATCTACGAGGATGAGCAAGGCAGGCCAAAGGGCGAGGCCTTGGTGACGTACTTCAAGGCCGAGAGCGTCGAGTTGGCGGTGGCGGTGTTGGACGAGAGTTGTTTGCGCGCGGCACAGGGCCAACAAGCGCCCGTGATGCACGTGAGCAAGGCGCAATGGAAGGCGGAAAAGGGGAAGAAGAAGGAAAAAGAAGAGGAGAAGAAGCCAAAGGAGAAACGCACGGAACAGGAGAAGAAGGAGGCAAAGCGGAGGTTCGAGAAGCTCAACGGGTGAGTGGGCGCCGCCTCCTCACCCCTCCTCCATCGCTCGCGATGCTCACCTCCTCTCAGCAAACTCACAGCCTGGGACTCCGACGAGGACGACTTTGGCCCCGCTGGGCCATCTGGTGCTCCCGCATTGCCCGGCTCTGGTGCCGCGGGGGGCAACGAGGCACGCATCGTGGTGCTGGAGAAGATGTTCACGCTGGCGGAGCTCGCCGCGGAGCCGACGCTGCTGCTGGATCTCAAGGAAGATGTCAGAGAGGAATGCGAGGGCTTTGGCAAGGTGACAAACTGCACGCTGTGGGACGTGAGTTTTGCGCGCGCAGCAGAGAGAGAGGAGGAGAGAGGCTGATGTGCCCTGGACGAGAGCAGAAGGAGCCGCAAGGGATCATCTCGGTCAAGTTCTCCACGCCCGCCGCCGCGGCGGCCTGTGTTCAAGTAGGTGCTTCCGTCTTCCCAGCGCGCTCGCTGCTTCCTGCTCACCCCCGCCCGCCACCTGCTATCAGAAAATGGCAGGTCGCTTCTTCGGCGGCCGCTCCATCGTGGCGTATCTGGCCGCGGGCAAGCCCAAGTTCAGACGTTCGGGCGCGGAGGACGATGCGGCAGAGGAGGCGGAGCGGGCAGATCGATTCGGCGAATGGCTGGATGGAGGCGGAGATGAATGATGATGGGCCGTGTTGCGCGATGCAGTGCGATGGGAGGATGACGTGTGAAGGCAGGTGCGAGAGAAGGAAGAAAGGGGGCAAAGGGCCCCGGGGGGGG